GGTAAAAGAACCCAGGGGCCCGCCTTCTGAGACCAAAAAGTCCATTGCGTCTGCCCGGTCACGTATTTCAGTCGACAATGGAAGAGCTTTCAGAGATGGATATTGGCCGAGAGCCTACAGTGCTTTGTTCACAGGCATATGTCCTCATTTCTCGGCGAAATGCAAAGAACCTTAGTTCCGAAGCCATCGCCACATGGTTGTGGAGCGGTTTTCATGCATCCCTACGAGCTGGGGAGGGTTGCCGGGTTACCACAGATTTGCTGTCCAGTCTCCTGGAATTCATCAGCATTGCATGAAAACCCTGCCCCCCTTCATCTCATTTCCAGGACGCTTTGGACGAATAGGGAAATTCCATATGTTATATATCCATGATGCTCGAATGGCACATGTGTGCGGGCAGATTTCGTCTTTGCTGCTGAGAGTCGGCTCGGGCCTGCTAGAAACCAGCTGTTCGGGCTTGGCCGGGAAAGATTGGGGCGGGAGCGGAGCACTGACGAAGGGTCAGCTGCGGAGGGGGTGAGGGGATCGGAATCTACGTCGGCGCGCGTCGTCTGTCGGGCAGAACTGTTGGATTGGCGCTTCCGTGCGTCGCCGTTGCTGGGGAAGAGGGGGTTATGAAGCAGAAGCGACCCCCCCGTGGTCACCTTGGGAATCATTGAGCCAATGGTGAAGGCCATGAGCCTCCCGGTCCCAAAGCAACGATAGCTTTGGTACGGAGTATCAGACCATTTACCAACTCAAGAGTGGCGTTATGATCACTTCGGGTTAACTCACAACAACATTCAGTTCAACGACAAACCCGAACAATGTCTTTCCTCCCTTCTCTGGACTGTTCATAATTGCCCCCGACTTCGTGATGGTGCCTAGCAATCCAGTGTAACCACACTCGGGGGATACTCTGCCGCTGAACGTGGGAACTGTGGATCGTTTTTACTAATGAGGATGCAACTGGTGGATGTCTCCTCTAAAGAAGCAACATTCCCCGCGTCCCCCTATGCTTTTCTAACCCTGTTTGGGCAGGCGATCGAATCTAATCTTACAGCTTACCAGGTTATCATTTATCACCGTCGGCATTAATACCATCACTATTACTACCGTATTGCCATGGTCATTGATTTTGCTGGAACATCCATGTCACTTGGCCGTACAACATCCCACGATTCAGCACACAAGGGACAAAGGTCATCAGATTGGATACTCGGACCTCGGGTATGTGTGAATCATTGTGCGATCGGACTGAACTGACTCGACCATATATAACTGAGTACATGCATGTACAGAGCCTATTCAAGAAATCTAGACATATTCACTTCTACAACAGCCAGCCAGTGGCGATAGAAAGGCAGAGAAGACGGAGTATCTTGCTTGATATGTCATTATTAGGGCCGGGGTTATGCAACACCAGACGGAAATCTGACTCCGTTTACCCCAACTACTACGTACGCGACCCCGGTATCCCAGCGTAGTAAGCAATTACGACCAACCAGGGAGTGGCCCGCCTGCCGGGCGTCTTGCCCCAAAGGAACAGGACACAAGCACAATTGCGGGTTCAGGAACGAGCAGCAGATCTCACGGGAGGTGGTCACGGTAGTTGACCGCAGCGAGTGCAACCCGGGTACCTGAGAATAAATACTTGGATGGGTGATGCTGTCCTGAGACGTCACGTCACCCAGGCAATCCCTCGGAGCCACCTAACGTCGCAGCTATGAGGATTTCTCGCCCCTTACTCCAAGTTCCCGTGGCTGTCGGGTTCGCCCATGGCTCGACCATTGCGGACTGCGAGTCCTTGGCGGGCCGGCTGAGTCTCCCAAACACGACGGTCTACGGGACGACCTTCGTCGCAGCGGGGACCAATGTGGCCCTCCCCGATGACCCCCCGTCATGCGCGACCCCGTCCCAAGTCGCCGACGTCGACCTCTGCCGCGTCGCGCTCCTCGCGACCACCGGACCGAAGAGCAATGTGTCCATGGAGGCTTGGCTCCCGCTCAACTGGAGCGGCCGCTTCCTGGGCACCGGAAACGGCGGCATGAACGGCTGCATCAAGTACGCCGACCTGAACTACGGCGCCTCTCACCAGTTCGCCACCATCGGGACAAACAACGGCCACAACGGCACCTCGGGCGCCCCCTTCCTCGAGAACCCCGGCGTCCTCGAGGACTACGTCTACCGCGCCGTGCACCTCGAGGCTCAGCTGGGCAAGGCCATCACCGCCGAGTTCTACGGCAAGAACCACACAAAGGCCTACTACATTGGCTGCTCCACGGGAGGCCGGCAGGGGTTCAAGGAGGCGCAGTCATTCCCGGAGGACTTTGACGGCATCGTCGCCGGCGCGCCCGCCTTCGACCTCATCAGCCTCCAGTACTGGACCGGCCAGCTCTTCCTCAAGACCGGCACCAGCAAGGACTCGCGGTTTCTCACGCCCGCCCAGTGGGGCCTGGTGTATAACGACATCTTGAGCCAGTGTGACGGCCTGGACGGGCTGGAGGACGGCATCATCGAAGACCCGAACCTCTGCCAGTACCGCCCTGAAGGGCTCATCTGCTCTGGTGGTTCGTCGGGGGCGTGCCTGACCGGTGAACAGGCAGAGACGGTTCGTGCCGTTTTCTCTCCCGTATACGGCGGGGAGGGCCAGCTTATCTACCCTCGCATGCAGCCGGGTGCACCCCTACCGGGGTTTTTGCTCGGGGGGCAGCCCAATCAATACCCCATGGACTGGTGGCGGTATGCCGTGCACAATGACCCCAACTGGAACATCTCGACGCTGAACTATGACGATTACGAGGTCGCCGCTCAACAGGACCCGTGGAACGTGTCCACGTGGCAGGGCGATCTCTCCGGCGCGCGCGAGCGCGGCGTCAAGATCCTGCACTACCACGGCATGCAGGACCCGGCGATCAGCAGCGACAACTCGGAGAGATACTACGACTACGTCTCGCGGACCATGAGCCTGCCCTCGGCGGAGTTGGACGACTTTTACCGCTACTTCCGCATCTCCGGCATGGGTCACTGCAACGACGGCACCGGGGCCAGCTTGATCGGCGGGAGCACGAACGGGTACTCGGCGTTCGAGCCGGACGCCAACGTGCTGTCCGCGATCGTCCAGTGGGTCGAGGAGGGCGTCGCGCCGGACTACATCCTCGGCAGCCGGAAGACGGCGTCGGGCCAGATTGACCTGCAGAGGAAGCACTGCAAATACCCGGCGCGAAACGTGTACAAGGGCCAAGGCGACCCCGGTACACCTGACAGCTGGGAGTGCGTTTGAGATGCGGCTGCACGATGTGCCGTTTAGCGACGGAATGACTGGCCTGCCCAGCGATGTACATATTGTAGAAGTTTTTGGCTTCCAGGGTCCTATATTGCATATTATATTGGGACAGTAGGAGCTTCTAATGCCGCAAGTCACGCCAGGAATCAAACAAGTAATAAATATTTTACCTACACGGCAAATTTAGTTTTGTTATTGAGCCGACTGTCTTCCAAGAGGAACATAATTCTTACCTTACATTTAACCAAACTACGTTAATTGTACCAACAAAAAGCAAGCACACGGAAGTGCCGGATACCTGCCGGTCGTCACTTTTCGAACTACTGATTTGGTCGTTACTATACCAAGACCATTTCATGGCCCCGCGATTTCCGTGGTCACGATCACGGCGGCAGTGCTGGTGTTCTGGCTGCAGCGACTTAGAGCGGACGTATGCGCGCGAACCGGGAGAGATTAGCTTGCTTGCCGTTTGGGCATCGCCAATCGCGGCATGGGATGTTGTGTGGCCACTGTAGGTTTCGCTCATGAACCTCGGATAGTTTACCTTGACAATAGAGTCAAAAGCGACACCTGTGTTCAAAGTCCGCGGCTCGGGTAGTATAGATAAGGAATACCTAGAGGAATACGGAGTAATAGAACTAGTGTAGTGTACCAAAAGAGTGGACAGGAGGGGGGCGTTAAGTAATTAGTGTAAACGCCCTTGTCTAGAGGTAGACGGCTGAATCTAACTTACCCTGGGAAGACATGCGCAAAACCAACAAGCGTTATCTAAAAGAATAAAAAGAGAGAGGCAGAAACCTATGCTTAATTAAGACTTAGGAAACACACAAGGGTACAATTGCAGGGGCAGAAGCACCAAAAGGGGACTAACATGGCACATGGTGGTAGAGCGTTTAACAGGGAGACCCGGCTGTCCGATGCAAATCCATTCATTCCATGGCAGCCAGTGACAACTCTGACAGTGAACATTGACGGGGGGGGGCTCCCACATTTGTATCTGTTTCTGCGCCGACTCAAGCACAACTAGAACACTGGCCTGGGTGCAGTACTCATAATGTACTATGTAGATTGCCGAATGGAGGTGGCTCTGTCAATGCGTTCTCCCCATTCGCAGCAACAATATAGATGTCGACCCTTGTCGTCTGTGCAGCTCCCTGGTAGTTTATGATCCCTGTAGCATGTTTACAACCTATATGTCGTGTCCAAAGAAACTTATTGCCCGTGTTCTGCGTAGTATAATCACCGGGAGTTGGCCAAAGACTTGGTCGCACTTTCAGCTGGCGCTAAGCTCACTCAGCCAGAGGGTGGAGCGACGGAAATTCCGCCAGCGAAGCGGGAGTAACTGCCGTTGACTCGTTGGAGTGTTACACGACGAGTCCCAACGCGGACTGGCTGTGGTGAATCAACACCGTCCCGAGCGCCTCAAATATCGCGATGGGGATCAAAGCAGGGAGACCGGGCAAGGCGTGCTCGCTACGCAACTGAAGAAAGAAACAAGTCGAATAGAGTGAGGAGAATCGTAGTTATCGGGTACGTCGGCTCATTGTTAAAGCCAAGCTAAAAATATGCACGAGACCGCGAAGCTCGTGTTGAGGTAGCAGTTCTCTGCACGAGTCAGGTTCGCATGCTGGTTTTGCAGATTACGATCGCCGCTTAGAGGCTCGGGTTCCCCGACAGAGGGCCGCCTGGAAGACTACTATCTATACAAGCTCTCCGGTCTGTGGTATCTCATCCACTCATAGCAGAGCCCCTTATGGCTCAACCGCGGAACCGCCGGCAACGCATCACGTCAAAGGCGTATCCGTACACTGTTAATATAGTGGAGTCTACACTAGCAAACTTGTCTAGAAGGAGAACATTCCAATAGTATAAAGTATCGGCAAGATGTCTACTCCACACGAATAGTCAATCAGCATCGGAAACACAACGTTCTTTACACTGCGAACCAGCAACTATTACCTATCAAAACCACACTCGCTTCTCCACGAACACACTCGCTTTCACAATGCAGTCCGCCCTCGTCTTCCTCGCCACCCTCCTGGCCGGCGCCAACGCGTGCTCCACCTACAACGAGTGCCACTGCACCAACTCGGACGGCACCGCCAACGACACCATCACGGCCCTCGTGTGCAACGACAGCAACAAGCTCGCGCCGTCCAGCCCCGGCTGGCCGCTGTACACCGAGGAGCAGGACTCAGTCATGAAGTGCGTTCTCAACCCGGGCCCCGTCAACGACTTCGTCGCCATCGACAACTGCAAGTTCCGCGAGTTCTGCACGAAGGCCGGAGCCACCGGCCCCGACTCCGTCTGCGAGGGCAACAGGAACACCTAGATCGAGGTCGGGGTTGTGGAGGTATGACAAAAGGGGGGACAATGCGCCTATGATATACGTTAAAAGTCAGAAAAAAATGGTTTATTTCAGGGGAAACAAGAGGCAGCAGTCGCCGGCTGTAAACGAGGGCCATGTGCTACATGGCCTACCGGAGATCGGATAGGCTATAAAGAAAATGAACATTCGTCAAAAGGCTACTTGGTTTGTTGAGAAGCCGAATGCCCCGTTTGCCATACCACTCAGGGTGTCTTATCAAGTCATGTCACACACTGTCGAAAGAGCCCCGCAGATGTTGTTGGATGCCTGTCTGCAACATCCCTGGACTTCGCGTTGATATCCATGCTCATCACGTCCCAGGGATGACAGAAATGTGGAATTTCGTCTTTGATGGAGAGCGATACATATATACCTTGACCTTCTCGGTGCAGCTTGTATGAAGCCAGACCCTCAACTCCAGAACGCTTACCCAAGGTGCCCAGAAACCAGCCCGACAAACTAATGAGAAACCATCCCCGTCCATGAGGTTTGATCAGGTAATGCAACTACAGTCCATGGCTTCTCACGACAGCATCCTGCTTAAACAAGTACTGCGGTTCATCATACCGTTTGTGGCATAGAAAGGCCCACCTCTAAAACCTCGGCCGGGCGCTGACTTCCCGACGACTAAGATGGCATCCCAGCTTGGGCCGACAGACTTTTTCCAGCTTCGAGCCGCTTCATAAACTCCTCCACCGCAAGGTCAAGCTTTATGGCCCGCCTGAGCTCATTTTCGCTGGCGTCTTTGACCTTGAGGCCCGACAGCGACCGCGCCCGGCTCAGCGCTACGTAGGCCTGCCCCTTCTCGAAGACGTCGGCCAGGCTGACAATGACGCGGTCTAGGGACAGGCTCTGGCTTTTGTGGATCGTCATGGCCCAGCCGGGGACAAGGGGGATCTGCGCCCGCGATACGAGGGCGTAGGGTGCGCCAAGGCCGACCTCGTTGACGATACATTCGGGACCAATGACACAGCTGAGGCCGTTGTGAAACCTGACCTTGGGGACTAGACGCAATACATGAGAAGACGGTCGGGAAAAGGAGAAACCTTGGGAGCGGGTCAGGAGGGTTTATTACTTACACTCATCGGGCGATTTTGTGGCTTCCATATACTCTACAGTCCTTTTGTACCTTTCCATTGCGATTTTGAAGCCTTCCGGGTCATTTTTGTAGTTGCGCTGTTGTGGTTCTGTAGGTCGTGGAACATGAGAGCGTGGTACGAAGTCACAAATGATGCCTTGGCTGCCATTGCAAAGTTGGCTCCTTAGGTCAATCTGCGATGGTTTGGGTTAGTGAACTTGACAACTCATCCCAATCCGTATGTTCAGACCGGTACTGGGGCAGAAAATCTTACATTTGCAAGCAATATGACAGGCATATGAAGCTTAAGGACCACTTCCTGGGGGTAGCGTTCGCGGAAGCGAAAGGACTGTGTCGACTAATTAGAGGGCGGCACTTCTGTGGCAATTTCAAACTTCGATCTAGAGAGAGGGGGCCTTACATCGTCCTCATCCGATACATACTCAAGCGGTTCATCTTTGGAATCAAGACACCGATACCTTCGTGCAACAGAACTAAGCTCTTCAAGCTTCCTCTCATTGTAGCAATTGACCTTATCTCTGCGACTGTACAGCTGAACCCCGTTGGTGACCTTGCGGTTGTTCAAAAGGAGGTCCACCTCGGTCTTCTCGAGGTGTTTGCCCAAGCGGCACTTCTGCAGGACGCTGATGAAGTCCCCTTCCTGCTGGCGGTGGATCTTTGTCAGGTGCACGTACTTGAACTTGCACTTGTCCCACTCGGGAGACTTGAACGCCCATTTGTCGTGGTCATTGAAGTCGCCGTGGCCATTGAGGCAAGAATACGAGACGTCGGCCCCCCCGGGCAACCTCCTACCGGACACCTTCTTTTCGGACACATTCTTTTGCATAGCGCTACCGCACCTAGTGCAGTGCTCGAACGGCTTCACAGGGGGTAGCTGGCAAAAGTCACCGACAGCGATGATCTGCACACCTCCAAACGGTTTATGGGCTTTCCTTGCGACCTCACCATGATTTGATTGTTGTCGGATGTGGCATATGACGTCACTGAGTCGCTCGAAGCACTGAGCATCGACCATGCTGATCTCGTCGATGATGAGGACATCAGTTCTCGTGAAGCGCTTGAAGACCTTTGTACGGTGTGACATTTTCCTAAGGTTCTCGAGCGACTTCTTTGAGTCGGTGGCTGTCCAGCCGGCGTAGCTGAAAATTGTTCTTCCTCCAATGTTGACTGCGGCCAGTCCAGTGGGTGAGACAAGGTAGACAACCCTGCCCATATTCCTGAACTTGCGATAGAGGGCCTTTACGAGAATCGATTTGCCGCATCCGCCCGACCTGGGAGCATTCAGAACAAACCGTAAGTTGCCGCTTGCCACAGAGACAAGGTTGGGACTACATGAGACGATATCTTCAGCGCGGTGACTACGTACCCAGTAATGAATAAATTGTGGCCCTGCACGGCAAGGTCCATGGCTTCTTGTTGTTCCTCGCACAGCACGTACTCTGGCTGTGGGATCGGCTGTGAATCATGACCAGTCGAGTTCGTGGCGGCGGCAATGTTAGGAGCGGAAATGCCAAGAGGGGCAGAGGGGCGTTGGGGTGGACGAGAATGGTGCCGTACACGAGCCTGCTCGCGGAACTTTTCAAGGAGCTTCTCGCGGAGCTTTTCAAGGAGGTCCTCGCGAGGCTTGCTAAGGAGCTTCCTGTGGAGCTGTTCGATGAGCTCCTCGCGAGGCTTTTTAAGGAGCTCTTTACAGAACAATTTCACGAGCTCCTCGGGAGGTTCGTCAAGGAGCTTCTCGGTAAGACGGCTCACCTTAGCGTGCGTCAGCATCGTGTCAATTGCGCAGATGGAGTTGTTCCCTCACAGCTCCGTGGAATGTCTTTTCACTCTTATCTGCATTATGAAACGTCAGCTGAAGAGCCCCTGGCTCGAACGAGGTCCGATGGGCAGCTCACAAGCACAGTTTGGGAATTGATTGACCTGGGCCCTGCAGTCTTCCCAGGTCAGGAAGATGCCGCAGTTTTTGCCACGCCAGACGACATAGTACTTTGCCTTCTTTTCGGAGATGGTGAGGGGTACGCCCTGCTTGTACAGGGCGACGAGGCGGTCCACTGTCTTCTCGACCGGCTCCGCCTGCGTGTCCTCGGCCACGAGACGGCTCGCCACCGCCTCGTTCGGCTCCGCATGTGTGTACTCGAGCATGAGGCGGTCCACAATCGCCTCGACCGATGCCGCATGCGCGTACTCGGCCACAAGGCGGTCCACCGTCACCTCGACCGGCTCCGCTTCTGCGGGGGGCTCGCCGGGGACGACCGGATCGTCGTCATCCGAGGGCAGAGAGATGTAATCTAGCTCGGGGGTATCATACCGTGGTCGCTTCGGCTCTTGTGGTGAGGGTAGCGACCCGACGCCAAAGGATTGGCTGCGCTTGCTACTCAAGGCTATGGGACGCGGTTAAAACAGGAGTACAAAGACCTTGAGAGAAGACGTACGCGAATGGGATGCGAAGACAGAGTCCCAATCTTCCTGTGTAATCTCATCATCTATAATGTCGTCCTCTGCAATCATGACGATGATTAAAAGACGCGTCTTTAAGAAGCGCGCGTGCGTCAAAGTTCAATAAAGCAACGTTGGGATTTCTTTCCCCTTGGAAGTGTGGTGGGATGGGCGGTGAAACAGTTGGTTCTTCCGGCTGTGGCGGCCGCCACAGTAGGTATTTAGGTGCATCGTGCACGGGTAGACTGCGCCACATTATCCTCCAGGAGATGAGGAAAAGAAAAGAGAGGAATAAGAAAAGAAACAAGGAATGGAGAAATAGTAATGCCGTGTAAAGAAAAGACAAAAAAGATGACGGGCCTGCTTGCTGCATCTTGGTCGGAAATACACGCATCTGTGTCAAAGATGCCTCGAAAGGGAGCATGCATCGTCTCGATAAGCCGCCAAATGCATTCCACACGATGGACGTGGCATTCAGGCGGCAATCGACTTCAGCAAATGTAATGAGGTTTGCAGGCATTATGGATTAATGGATTACATAGGGAGAATAGTGTAAGCCCTCCCAGCAAATCCACTAGCTGCCAGACTGGCTAGCAACCACAATAGTCACGACTCACATTAACCCCTACTATCCTTTTTAGGCGGTTAACTTAAGCTGTTGCCACTATAAGACTGGAGCAAGCCTAAGCCAGGGACTAAGTACCTAAGCAAGACCTACTTGTTTCTAGATAGCTTATCTATAAAAGCATGATAACATACAGACTATTACAAAGCTTTATCAATTAAAATTATAAATATTTATACATAATACTGCTCTAACGTGGCTTTCCCTTTGTAGGATTAGCTAAGACATCAAGAGCAAAATAAGCGTAGTTTTGGGCATTCTGTATTTTCTGATTGTCTGGTAAAGATGCGCAGCTATATCAATATTAACGTTAGCCTATTTTCGCAACTCGTTCATAGTGTCTATCAATTGTACCTTGCTGAATCATAGCTCAAGTCTACACAGTCCTCATTGTCTGTTGTAGCAATTGCCATGTGCTGAAGCTCATGGAGCAGGACCATGCCTCGAGACATCTTAGCATCTCGCCCTTGTCTCCACTGATTCTTCATTTGTGTTTCAGAAATGATGCTTGAGCTGAAGAAGCTGGGGCAAAAGTAAATCACTGTGGCATCCAGATAGCTTGCCTTATGTGCCGTTGCGCTGACGACAGCAGCCACAGTGTTCGAGCATAAGTGCCGACTGGAGAATGGATCGATGCAACCGTAGACAATGGAATTCCTCGTGACAGGCGGTGCGTGGCCTGCTACTCGATATTGCGGTGTGCCTCCTACGTCGAATGTAACCGGCGTCGACGGCTGCCGCAGGTTTTGAGATGCAATACGGTAGTGGTGCGTTATGATTTGATTCTTTCTGTAACTATTGGCATTCGCTACGTCAAGTATTAATAGCCAGTCAGTATAAATGGTCTATAGCCTATGCCCTGCATTGTGGCCTGCGGATAAGTGGCGTACGTACACGGCCCAAACCAGGTTTGGTATGCTTCTGAAGTTTCGGCCCCTGGGACTGCGAGAACATTGATAGCTTGTCTAGCGATTGCTTGTGTTTCTGAAATGGCTGCATTGATTATTCGAAGTTGACTCCTGTCGCAGACCCAGTCGCCCTTCGCTGCGTAGTACATGTGATCGAAAGGGTCGCGTTGTGCTAGCCGGAGGGCAGGGTCTCGAGGTGCTCCCAGGCACGATGGGATGAATAGGGTACAGGACAGTATTAAGAACATGGTAAGACAACGGGGTGGGTGATAAGTGCTCGCCATCGTGGTTAGATGATGTGTATGTTAAGTCGGCCTGAATGTAGAGGTACGGAGTATTTGCCTGGCAAACACGTTCAAGCTTTTGAAATAACATTTCGGGATGTGCTCCGTCTATATAGCTTAATTCACAAGCAGGCATTAACCTTAGTAGGTGTCGTCATTGATGTGAATTCTTCACCTACTCAGACAGATATAAGGGGGGGGGTACCACATATTCGTTATAGTGAGTGGGTCTACGCATCGCACTCGCAGACCGGAGAGTCCGTTACAAACGAAACAGCCATCTACAGCAAATCTAAACCTAAAGTATTAAATGCCTATTAGGGGACGTATGTTTATAGCAAGAAGAATTGAGAGTACAGCTCTTATTGCTTGCTTTCTTCTCGTATAAACTTTCGGATATTCAATGTTCTCTAGTTGGGAGACCTATAGGCATTAGCTATAAGATCCTTTCCTAGCTGTACAGAACTCTACTATAGGGCTTGTGCTACAGTGGGGGCTCAAAAGTATCCGAACGCACCAATTTTTGTAGAACTATGTAGGTTATAGGGGCTTACTAGGGGGCTTACAGGGGGCTTACAGGGGGCTTACAGGGGGCTTACAGGGGACTTAGATAGCTAAAGTATCTTTACTTCTACTAAGCTCTCTATATCTCTACACATACAAGTAAAAAGAGAAAGAAATACCAGTATAGTATATAAATTGAATTTGTAAAACAGAAAAGTAACATTAAAATAAGCTTGTATTACCTAGAACTAAGGGGTGTATTGCCCTAAATACTATAAGTTTAGTTGACTTAGGGTGGTGAATTTCATACGTTCAGATACTTTTGAGTGGTCACTGTACTTACTCCACCTAGCTAACTATGTAAAGGCTATCCACCTTTAAGGTTTTTTATAGCTCTAGCATAAGGCTAGCTCTAGTGCTCGGATATTACCGACTACAAAAATATTTAGGGGCAGCCTCCTTTACAATTTATAACAACCTAGATTGCGGCTGTGTTAGCCCTGATTCTTTTAAAGATAGTCTACCTTTACAGCTATAGTAATCCTAGGCGCCTATTACTTTAGTATTGTATAGATCTTCTTTTAAGAGCCTATTAACTCTAGCTTATGTAACTAATGTTAAGCTTATTTAAACATAACTAGCAGGTTAATATCTGTAGGGCCTCTGGCCGTGTAATGTGTGTGTGCAGAGCTTCTGCCAACAACGACTTTTGCTTCGACAATTAATTGGCGCGTGACCTGGCTGACGATATCGAAAAGAACGAAAAAAAAAAAGCAATGACTAGGATTTTGAAAACAGATCAGATATCCTCAGAGGAGAGTCGCTTATTACAACAACAGCTGCATCGCAACTCTATGAGATGCATTTACTAGTATAGTTTTGTACAAAAGCGTAAATTTCGGGGTTTATTTATCCAAAGCGATAGCAGAGACTCTTCCTTTCGTGTGCCTCGCGACACTTTCCATCAGGCGTCTTTAAAACTCGGGGGCAATGTTAGGTGTTAATACCCCATGTAGAACCACTGCTGCACAAGGAGCCGTCAGAGAAAAGCAATCGACTAGAATAAAGCAACTTACTTACAAATATGACTTGGGTAGTTATATAACAGGCTGTAGTAATTCGTGCAGGAAGCCCCGGTCAGGAACATCCCTATACACTCACCAGCATAGCCAACCTAGCTTCAACATACCAGACTCAAGGGGGGTAGAAGGAGGCAGAAGAGCTAGAGGTACAGTTGATGGAGGCAAGAAACAATAAAAGAAGGGTGCTTAGCGATGAACATCCCGACACGCTCACCAGCATGGCCGACTTGGCTTATACTTAGAAAGCCGCTAACTTAATTCGGACGAATTTGCTCGCCATATTTGTGTGACAATTATCCATCCATCCCGCAGACTGGCGTGCCACGCGATCTGGTAGCGCGATGTAGCAGCGACCAATGGCATGACATGCTGCTATTCGAATTAGGCAATAAAGCAGGAGCCTCGCGCCAGTCCCACCCAGCATCAACCAGCATGCATTGAGCCATGAAATCCAGACTTTGGGCGCTTGGAAGAAGTGATGCGCCTCCAAGCCAGCGTCGGAGCCGAGCGTCGTGGGGATACTCAAGAGAGTGTTCATCCGTGAAAAGAGCAGCCAGCGGTAGGGTGCGCGTTGATTCGCTTAGAATCCCAAGGTTCGGAATCTTATCAACTTCCAACCTTCAACTGTCACAACATCAGACGCATTCCACCCGCACAACAAATCAAGGGTTGAGTGAGGACCACCTCACCTTCCTGGTTTAAATGCATCTTGAAACAACCCCCGAACCCCCTCAAAGGCATGAATAGCTCCGGCTGCCCGCTTTAACAACCTCAAAGGCAAACGCGCCCTATCTCTTTATCCGCCATGGCTTCACCCTATCTGCATGGCCCGAGGACAACGATTATGTCACATGTCTTTCGATAGGATCATCGCCCAAACCCTGTTAATCGTCTTGCACGATTATGCATAGCTTGCTTTGCATACAACGAGGGCCCCGACGCCCCAACTTGCATATCATATCGAGGGTGTGCATCGGTGGCTTGGACTCCCGACCGCCGACCTTCACGTGACTCCATGCACGGGAAGCCTGGCCCAAGCCTCCGCTATCCGTCTCCAGCACGCTTCCAACCACTCAGCAAGAGCCCATCTGGCATCCCAAAGAGGACGATGCTACACAGCCAAGCCAGGCACAGCACAAACATGTCGCCTAAATGGAAAGTTGACCCGATCTGGGAAACATGGCAAACTCAACACCACCGCCGTTCGGTCACAATCCGGCCCCGGCCCTCGAATGAACACTACCGCAAGGACAAGCGCTGGCTGATGCGGCCAGCCTTGCACCTCTCATCATTAACAATGAACATGGCGCCGACTACATGAAATCTCGCCGCCGTCTACGGGAAACCATACCTCGGGTTTCCCAGACCGAGCGTGACGTACGCCAGGAGATGAGGCGCGGAGCTTAGTATGGGGAAACCCCCTCGCCCCCGATGGACTCGTCCAGCTGATGTCGGGGCATTGGAAACTTTGAACCCGCCGAAGCATAGCGAGTTCCATTGAGCGTTTCGCGGGCACGCGGCGTGTAGTCTATACGACTGGCGGAACGAAAAATGATAAAAAAGGCAAACGCAGCAAACGGTATTTAAGTTGCCATCCCCCGCCCCTCGGCTTCAGATAGGAGTGATGGTTGTTTTCGTCGCTCAACACTAGCACGACAAGGGTAATCAAGAGAATCAGCAACATATCCGCACCCAAATGCATTCGCCAAAGTCTCCCACCGAAAAGGCACCGTTGGCGTCGTCGCCCACCTCCTCCGCCTCCACCCCCTCTACCGCCTCCTCCGCCTCCTCCTCCCCCAAGCCTCCCAGGCGCCGTCTGCCCAAGATGAGCAACACGGACGTCCTCATCGTCGGCGCCGGCCCGACGGGCCTCACCCTCGCCCTCGAGCTGTCGGTGCAGGGCATCCCCTTCCGGCTCATCGACAAGCTGGCCGAGCCGTCGGACAAGTCGCGCGCGCTCGCCGTCCAGTGCCGCTCGCAGGAGCTCCTCAACCGCCACCCGCACATCGCCGAGTCCATGCTGACGGACGGCACAAAGGGCCCCGGCGTCAACATCTACTGCAACAAGCGCCGCCTCGTCACCGGCACCTTTGACGACCTCGGCATCGACGACACCCGCTTCCCGCTGCCCCTGTGGATCTCCCAGGCCGACACCGAGGCTGCCATGCTGCGCCAGCTCGAGGCCTACGGCGCCCACGTCGAGCGTGGCGTGACGGCATGCGACATCAAGCAGGACGGTGTCCGCGCGAGCGCCACGCTCATCCGGGGCGGCGGCGGTGGCGGCGGTGAGTCGGGGAAGGAGGAGCAGGAGAAGAAGGAGATGGTGCGGGCAAAGTACATTGTCGGGTGCGACGGCGCGCACAGCGTCGTGCGGCACAGCGCCGACGTGTCGTTCGAGGGGTCGCAGTACCCGACGCAGTACATCCTCTGCGACGCGCGGCTCCGGGGCGAGTACGACGCCGAGCGCATCTCGCTCTTCCTCGGCCGGCGCGTCATGGTGGCCTTCCCGCTCAAGGACGGCGTGCTCCGGATGGTGGGCGAGCGGTCGTCAGCGAGCAAGCGCGATGGCGACCCGGACGTCGAGGAGTTCGAGGCCTTCATGCGCGAGATGATGGGCCCCGGGCTCGAGATCGAGGAGGCGCTGTGGCTGACGAGCTTCAAGTGGAACTGCCGCGGCGTCAACAAGTACCGCGACGGGCGGCTGCTCCTGGCGGGCGACGCGGCGCACATCCACTCGCCGGCGGGCGGGCAGGGGATGAACACGGGCATCCAGGACGCCATCAACCTCGGGTGGAAGCTGGCGGCGGTGCTGCGGGGCGAGAAGGACGAGGCGTTCCTCGACACGTACCACGAGGAGCGGCACCCGGTCGGGCGGCACCTGCTGGCGGGGACGGACCGCATCTTCACGATGGTGGCGTCGCAGAACACGCTCTTCACGACGGTGCGCAACGCGCTGATGCCGTGGATCGTGCCGCGCATCTGGGGCAACCGCGCGCGGCGGCGGTCGGTCTTCACCTTCATCTCGCAGATGGCCATCAAGTACCGGCGGAGCGCGATCGTGGGCACGGCGCTCGGGTTCGAGGGCCCCGTGCGGGGCGGGTGGCGCGCGCCGGACGGCGAGGTGGCGGACGAGCGGGGCGACAAGGCCGGGTGGCTGCTCGGGCTCGCGAGCGCGCGCGACCACACCGTCTTCCTCTTCGCCGGCACGGACACGGACGAGGAGGGCCTCGAGCGGGCCGAGGAGAAGCTCGTGACGGACGGCCGGTTCAAGGAGTACGGCGTCGTCAAGGTGTACGCGGGCGAGGCGGTCGGCCGGGGCGGGTACAGGGACCCGGACGGCGTGCTGCACGGGCGGTACGGGTTCGGCGGCGGGGGCGCGGGCATGGCGGTCGTGCGGCCGGACGGCTACGTCGCCTTCATCGGGCCGGCCGAGTGCATGGACGAGTTCCTCATGATGTGAATGATGTGAGGGGGGGCGGTAGGACCGTCGCGTTGTTCGCGAATGGGTTTTTTTTTTCTGAGCGGAAAGTTATCCATGGGTTTGCAAGCGTCTGAGCACGAAAGGAGTTCTTTTCACCTTTTTTTTTTTTTTTTTTTTTTTCCAATTTTTTTCCGGCGTCGGGGAGCAAGTAATCTCTCCTATTGGAACTGATCCCCCGCGGAACCAGGGTTGTTTTTTTTTTCTTCATAGAAAAAGCCAGCTATTTCCACTGCCTTCTGTTTTCTCTTTCTGACTGAAACAATGTGTTCGAGACTGCGGCGCGGGGAGGGGGGCCCGTCCGCTTATCCCGCATTGCTCGGCCGTATTCTCGGCGGCAACACCCAGCCGAATCAGATTGATGGGCCGGCGGAGCAGCTCCCGCTTCCGCTGTCTCGGGCGACGGGGCGCAGTGAGCGAGAGATGAAGCAAATAAATGGAAGAAAAATAAGAAGGAAAAAGAGACGAAAGGACAAAAGGAAAAGTAAAAATAAAAGTGAAAGGCGAGGGATAGACAAAAGCTGGCACCCGCCAAGACGACATCTCCCCTCCCCCCCCCGGAGACTCGCCGAGCCAAGCGCCGCCCCCGCGCAGCCATGTCCCGACAGACACGGCAGAGCCTCATCGGCGCCAGCAGACGGTGGCCGGGCCACACCCTCCTTGCTCTCCGCGTTTAGATTCCTCGCACTTTCTCTCTCTCTCTCCCTCCCTCTTGTTCTAGTTACCAAGACGTCAGGCAACAGAGTTTGGTGGGGGCGACACATCAGACTGATGCGCCGCAGCGCTACCCGCATCAACAAGACATCATAGCGGGTGTTGGGATTCGGACCGATTATGCCCTTCGGGGGGTTGAGGAGGATCTGGCCCTTCTCCTTCTTGTTTTTTTCTTCTTTTTTTTCTTTCCTACTCTTCCCCAGTACCCACTGGGATTAATGGTCGGGGGAATATGGAGCAAGTGGGAAAAAGGCAGAGAAAGATGATGCAATTGGGGGGGGAAGCTGGCGAGGGAGGGCCTTCTTTGTCGACGTCCTGGCGCCGACGATGTCCATAGTGCATATGCCTCTACTGTATTCGCATATGGGATTTCTGTCAACTGCCCAAGTGATTTTTTTGCCCCGTCAGACTCGAGATGTGAGAAGCTGCCCAATAAGTCGCGTCTTTAACCATCATGTAGCCGCAGCGGCAGCCACGGCAACCCAGACCGTGATGAGGTTTTCAGCATCCTCCTGCAACCCCTTCCTCCTCCTCTTCTTCTTCTTTCATCGTCGATAGGATGGATTAATGCAAAGTATCTCCCCCCCGTCCAACGGCAGATATGCCGCTCCCAATGGCCGGAAACGAGCCTAGCGTCGCAGGCGCCCCTGCCAACACCGAGATCGACCTGGTTAAGCTTCGACTACGGCGAGGGACCCTGTGTGCGTGTGTCGGTACGTACTTACTTACCTACGGTACCTGTAACCTACCCGATAAAGTGCCCCAGGTGCCCCTGCCCAGGTACCATTTGTAGGGCCGTTTCAGAGAGCCTCGGTGGGTCCTGTCGACGTCATCGGCCGTCCATTTTCGGCAGCGACCAAGAAACTAGCATCGCTCCTTCCACGACAGCGACAACGACAACGACAACGACAACGACAACGACAGTCGCGTCAACTTCGAGAACCCCCCAGGCCACGTTTTCGTACCGTGGCAGTGTACCTTGTACCTCTACGTTGTTTCCCTCTCTCTCCCTCTCTCTCTCTCCCCATCTCTCCTCACATCGCCCTGCTTCCGCTCCATCATCCCCTCGCCCATCTTTTCGTCACAACACTACCTATACGGACACAATACCAATATGGCACCTGCGCAGTGCATTCATGGGCACGCAGCGATGATCAAGTTCGAGTATGCGGGGTGCTTGTGGTTGACAGATGACTCTGCCCCTGGGGGGGCCCTGACACGGAAAAAAAAAAACACGAATCGAGCAAAGTCGAATCTTCGCCCTTTTGGCCGTCCGCTCAACACCGACTGAATCCTCACTCGACGCCGGCCTCGACCCCGAAACTCTCGCCGACCCCCTGCCCGTCAAACAATGATGGATGATGCATCGCCTTTCCGTCGTCTTCTCCACCATCCCCCACTTCAGCCCAGGCAGGGGGCCTGCTCTCCCACCCATGCCCCCCGTCTTCCTTTTCGGCCCGGCCTAACAAGCGCCGGTGCCAACGGGCGACCACCGCTCCCCCCCCGGAACCCTGCCCGCCTCGTTGTCCTTGGCCAACGGCGCCGTTTGGCTCTCGCGCAACGCCTAAACCTTGGAAGCCAGCAACTGGGAACACGGCACCGGCGCTGCTGGCGCTCGTCTGGGGAAGGATGACATACTTCTTCGGCATCGGCTGGCAGGGAGTTCCCTGGTTATACCCCACCGAAATCAACAGTCTATCGATGCGGACGAAGGGTGCCGCCCTCGGGACTGCCACGAACTGGATCGTCAACTTCATGGTAAGTCTCCCCATGACGTCGTCTGTCACAAATCCTTTGACTAACGCCAACCACCCACAGGTCGTCGAGATCACGCCTCCTGGAATCAGCGCCCTCGGCTGGCAATTCTATATCATCTGGACCGTCCTCAACTTTTCCTTCGTGCCCATCGTCTACTTCTTCTACCCGGAGACGTCGGACCGCTCGCTCGAAGACATCGACCGCTACTTCGCTAACAACCAAGATATTCTCGTCTTCCGCGACAAGGACGCCACCTCATCGAAGCGGCCGCTGAAGTACATCGCCCAGGAGGAGGAGGCCATCCGAAAGCGCAACAGCGGCGTTATGCCCGGTGAGGTCGAGGATATGCTACGCCGGCGGGGCGCGGCGGAGAAGCTTAAGAAGGGCTCGGAGGACACGGAGATGGCGTTTGGCGAGCACAAGGAGAGGGCCTAAGACGAGGTCTTCGACAGGGTAGAGAGAGCTGTATGACGCGATTGTGGACGTCTATGAGCTATGACTGTAAAATATCATGATACCTGATGGTTTTCACATTTGAATTTACCATTTTTCATATACTACTCGCCATGTACATGAACCTGGATGTCTGTCTCCCAATTGTGATCATGGCAAATGATATGTGTCAATAATACCTCGAACTCTGGTATAAAACAGTTACTAAGGTTCCAAAAGATCCACGACCGTTGATTCATTAATCTTCGATGCGCTCTCGGCGTCTTGAAGCACCTGCAGCAACATAGTCTTCCAGCAGCCGTTCCGCACGCAAAACTAGACAAATACCCTTCCCCCCCGTAGGCTGTAGCCGGACGCCTCGTCCTGGGACCATCATACCATACTTCCTCCAGAGGCCGCTTCCGTCTCCGATCTCCAGTCTCGGCGAGGCCATCTGAGCATCGGGTTGGGGGGGAGATCAATGAAGACAATCCAGGCATACTATGCTTTACCGCGGCGTGCCGCGTTGTATCTAAGGGAGTCTCTGCGCAATCGTCTACGGCAGCCCCATTAACATTCCGTCTTCTTCCGCAAACCGAATCTCCCTTTGACGAACGATGGACGTTCTCTCCCCCTTTTCGTACCTGTTCCAATGGTCCCGCCGGCGAGTTTCATCGACGGCGAGGTTGGAAGAAGGGAGTGAAACCTCACGAATTGGTGTCCAGTATCCGTCCGGTCCTTTGGATCGTCAGCTTCGCCGCGGACGTCGGGTCTTTCGAGGGGGTTGGGGGGAGGGGGGGGCCTTCAGGCTGGCTTCCGTAGACCAGTCGGTGTCTCCTATTCGCCTGTAGATTATCGCTTTGTGACAACGCCGGTCCCTGTTATTTATAAAAGCTCGGTGTCTCGGGGAGGAGGCCAAAGACACTTGTATCCGAAAAAGCGAGCTTGTTCGGTCGTTTGCGGGGGGGGGGGGGGGGGGGGATGGATTTTCGTCGGGTTGGATCCGTCAACTCCTGCTCATGGCATGAGACAATGCCGAAAACTTTTGACTCTCGGGAGCGTATACGCCACAGGGTCGAAGTGGCCTGGCGAATCGATGGGGGCATCAGTGCAAGCTACAGCGTCCAAGGCCGGCTTTAGGCACGATGAGTTAGCATCGAGGAACAACCCGGGTGAAATTGTTGACAACTCGCCATCAGGGCGGGCTCTTGCAATGCGAGTTGCAGTCTCCGGCGGCTGGATGGATCGTACTTGGTGTCTAGTCGTGCTGGCTGACGTGGTGGAGTGCCCGGCAGGATGCCGGCTGCCTCCGTATCGACAAAAGTGATTCCGGAAGGACGGCGTGAAGGTCCCGTTGGTGGGGGCTCGATTTGCGGATGCAGCCATGGCTGAAGCGAAGTCTGCTTCGGCAGTTACTCTGCGTCACCGGAGACGTGGCACTGGCCAGAGGTGCTGCGTATCGGGCTATACGTCTCGAGATGTTCGTGTACCGGACGAGCTGGGCTGCCGCTTATGGGGTCTAGAACGGATGGATATATTCAGTTGATACGTGTACACAGTCAGATAGACGTGTTCAGTTTTGTGCTTGTGCCCGAGCACCCCCCGTCCCCCGGGCAGCGAGGCGTCTCGAAGCGTCGCTCCGAATGTGGCGAGAGCAAGTCTGACGCCGACCATCGGCAGGTCTGCGCTTTGCCGCTCCTTGCAGGACGTCAAACACTGACCGAAGTGCTTATCCATGGCGGGCTGGCAAGACCACGGCCAGTGTTGATGTCACCTGTGCAACCTTAAGAAGGGGCCAGGCCTAGGGACTTGATCCTCCCTCCCATCGGCCCCCAGAATCCCCTGCCGCGGTACTTTCCGTTCCAACTGGAGCCTCTGGGAACCCGGGGGGGGGGAGACGTTACGCCACCCAGACGTCCATCAACGCTACCAAAGCTCCACTGGCGTCTCCTCTGTCGATCGGGGATCTCCTGGATCGTCTTGCGGGTGGGGGGCCCCACGTCCTTCTACTTGTTTTGTCAATATGGTACCCGTGTCGACGGGAAGTCGTCTCTAGCTGGACTCTTGAGCAATCCCAGAATCACGTCCGGCTCTCAGAATAGCTTGCTGCCGCTCGGACAGCATCTGCTGCTGTAAGGGAAGGAATCTCTACGGGGCGAAGTTGCCCATGTCGCGGAGCAACGGCTACGAGCAGGTCAAATTCTTGCTTGCGGCCGCAGTCTTTTGCAGGCAGTGGCGCTGGCGGACCGGTGTTCCCTGAGAATCTTATGCGGTCATGCGACTGACTGGGCGCGGCGTCAGGAAAAAGACTGCTGTTTGGGTGTTGAGATCGGGTACCGTGGCCTTTGTGACATGAGTCCGGCCTTGCAGAGAAACAAAACCTAGCAAGTTTCTCTCTTCCACACTGAATAATATTGTCTCGTTTTTTTCTTTTTTCTTTTTTCCTTTTCTCTCTCTCTCTCTCTCTCTCTCTCTCTCTATGGCAGCACGTGTGGCATCTCGGTGCTTGGAGAAGACTTGGGGACTCGGGAGCTGCAAACAGAGTCTCGGCTGGTGAGAGAACAAGGGGCGCGGCGGGAAACGCGGGCATCCGCCGCCAAGGACGGCTGCCTGTACTCTTTGATATTTTTAAGAGAAGTTTGATACACGGGGCGGTCGCATTTTCCATTGTGGCCAAGCTTGATCTCTACCTCTGCTTGTAGCCCGCTTACAAGATGCTACCAAGGGTTTTAGATACTCTTGGACAAAGTGCACCAAGATCCAGGAGCAGGGCAGATAGATCTAGGGTCCAAGGTCTCGATTTATGCCAAAATAAAACCAGCCGTCCTCGAGTGCTCGTCGCAGCCCATGCAGCAGTGCGTATGCCATTCGACTGAGGAGCTGACAATTCCTCGAGCAGGCCAGTAATTACCTAGTAGAGATTTGTATTGGCTGCTGACTCCTGTGTGTCTGCCTTCGTGGAATCCAGCTTCTGGGCCATGCATGTGATTGGTTCCTGGCTTTCTGTGTCCGGTTGGCAAACGCTACTAGACCCGTGCAACCAGGAAACTTTGTCCATCTTTCTGGAACCCTTTTTTTCTCTTTTTTCCTTCTTTTTTTTTTTTCTTTCTTTACTCTCTACCTCTACCCAGGCAACCCGGAAGCCTTTTCTGAGTTTTCTCTTTGGTGCCTGTTTGGTATTCTTCTTCTTTCTCTGACCAGGCTTTCCCTCTCTGCTTCACACCACTCAGTGGCCTACCTCACCTCACTTCTCTGATTCACATCACTGTCTACCTCACCTCACCTTTTTACTTCACATCACTGCCTAGCTCACTTCGCCATTCACTTTTACATCGATGCTAGCCTTATCTTGCATCATCACTGCCTGCCTCACTTCGCCTCTCTACTTTACATCACTGCCCGCCTCGCCTCGCTTCGCGGCCTCTCCACGATCCCCATCGCTCCTTTTCGAGCTCATCTACTTGTACGATATCTCCCTGCCGAAAGGTTTTCGTACACGGTACTTACTCTCAACAGCTTGCAGTCACATTGCTGAACCGAACACAAGACTCGTCATCGTTACCATACCCGAATTCTCTCATCAACGCTTCCTTCATCCAGCCACTCAGGCGACATGCCTATGGACGAGAATCAAGCACCGGCGACAGCCCCGCACTCCGAAGCCGAGCCCGGAAAAATGTCTCGCACTCAGACGCCCTCTTCGTCCAGCTCCACAGACATCAGGGTGGTGAAATATGATGGAATCTCGACGCCAGTTGGGTACCCCAAAAACGTCTCTGTCGCTCCGTCTTCTTCATTCAACCACGCCAGCATCATCCCCAAGCACACCGGTGACGTCGCGGCGACAGCCCCGTCCTCCAAAAAAGATCCTCTCCCTCCCAGCATTGCCCGAATCCCCCTATCGACGATTCCCCCGCCCAACCACTCAAACACCCGGCGTGTGTACAAGGATGGACCCGCGCTGGATGCCGCGCCCTACAACGGCCACACCATCACATCCAAGAAGGGGATCAACAAGGAGAAAGCCGACCTGCCCTTACTGAATCGAGAGTCTCGGCGGTACACCCCGGGTCAGATGTTGACGCTCTTGCCCCTCGTCCCGGCCCCGCCCCACGGGCTTCCGCATCTTCCTTCGCTTGAAAAAAAGCTTCCCAAGGGACAAGTTCGCAATTTCGATTCGACAACGACGTTCTCGCTACGAGACGTTGCCAGAGTCGAGGTTCTCGAGCTCATCAAAGGCGGCGTCGGCCGCGGAATACAGTTGGTGCTCTGCAAGGTTGTGAAAGCGCCAACGAACACGCAGTCGGGGGGCGTTCGGAACAGCTACAAGTCGTTCGATAAAGAAATGAAGGTGGTGCTGAAAGTCTTCGATCCAGTGCTCTTCCCGCAAGCCGAAGACTGGGATGTAAGACATGGCAAAATGTCCGAGGACGACTGGGCCGATGAACTGCTCAGTCGCGAGGCCAACGCCTTGCAGCACTTGTACAACAAAGGGATCACCGGCCATCCCCATCCCGCCCCGCAGTATCATGGCACTTGGGCCATGGAGTTCGAGTTCAAGGACCTGCACGACGTTCGGAAGCGACACGTCGGTGCAGTTCTCATGGAATACATCGAGGGTGCCTCCATGGAGAGCATGTGCGACCGCAAGATCGTGTACGATGACGACGGCGACGACGACGACTGGCGTGTTCTCATGGTTCCCAACAATGCATTCTTGAGTCCTCCCAGCTCTCAAGACGGCAAATCCGGGGTGTCTTTCAGCGACCTGTCCGCCAGACTGAAGGTTTTCCGAACGCTGCTTGACGGCTGTGTATCTTTCTTGCACGCAGGCATCGACCGTAACACCTTTCTGGCCCGGGACATTTTCCTTACGCTGGGAAACAACGGCGTCGACTTGGAGGAGCCCCGAGTGGTTTTCCTTGACTACAGCTACTCTGTTGTGTGGTCGGATACCACAACAAGCAAGCAGGGCCGAGCGGACGAGTATGACGGCATGTTTCCAAAAGTGCCAAGCCACTATCTGCTCAACGAGCACCCGCTCCAGCAATTGCCTCGACCTCCGCATCCTGCCTGGAAGTACAACGCCCGCAACCTCTCCCAATTCGCCGGCTGGTTTCCGCCCGAGTGGATGGACCGCCCGGGCGATCTCAAGGACTGGCTCGAGAAAGAGTTTGGAGAGCTCGTCGAGGGGAAGTACTCGACGTACAAGACGCTGGTCAGGGTCCTGGAACAGGCATCGGAGGCCGCAAAGCGTCGGTACTTTGCCGAGTACCCGGGAAAAGCGGCCGCCGATCTGGAAACGGGCGATCGGACATTGATGCTGCACCCGGAGCGGGAGGAGAAAAGACTACGAGAAGAGGCCAAGCACAAAGAGGAGACGGAGGAATTTCGCGAGACGATGCGCCGTATCAAGCAGTTTGAGGAGGAGGAGAAATCCCGAGTCGACCAACCCAAGGATGTCGACAAGAAATCCGGAACTTGGGGCAAATTCCGTCTTCCTTTCAGATCAGGCAAGGATAAAGGAGTCAAGCAAGCCAAAGATGGAGGACACGGAGGTGATGCGGAGGGCGGAGCGTCCGCGTCAGTTGGAGGAGGACCCGCCGGAACCTCAACGAAGCGTCAGGGGGGCCAAATCGACGACGATGGAAAACACGGGGCCGGTGAGGGCGGCGGAGAATCCCTCATAATCGACAAGAAGCGTCGCAAGGGTAAGAAACCCGAGGAAGGAGAACATGGGGGCGACGAAGGCGGTGGAGCGTTCGCCAAACCGAAGCGCCTGGTGAGCGACTTCTTGCGTTTGGGTGGTGAGTCGAAGGAGCCGAGCCGTGCTACCCCGCCCGAGCAACAATGAAGGCAAAGCAACACGGTAGCGAGCGCGTATCATGGATTTCTTGATCTCTTCCAAAAAAGAATTGACGGCCGGAGGGGGGGGATGTTTGATGGATGATGATTTGGGCGACTATCAAGCGCAGGGACTGGCTACCGCAGCGCCAGCTGCCTAGCAATGACACGTTGTTGGCTTTCAAGATAGCGGGATAGAGTAGTTTGCAACATGCACATGTTTTTTAATAGAGTTGTCGACAAGAGACACAAATACAGGAAGTGAGGTTGGGCTCTCGATACGTTTGCAAGCTCCCAGCGATTGTAACCAACGTGGCAGACGTGATCCATGTTGCGCGAATGACGGCTATCATGAAGCATAACTCAGAGGTCAATGCCCAGAGAGAGTTTAAAGGGGTTTGTTTCTTAGACGCCGCACCATGCCGTTCGTGCAGTCTTTTGCGACGTCCAGAAACCCATCTTGTCTATCCGTGTGATGGAAACACCGACAGAATGTTATCCCAACCACCACGAGACAGAGGGCACGCTTCGGCTATCCGCGACGGGAAATAGCAACTCCAGCCCTTCCGGGTCCAGACTGATTCGATCACGATGACGAACGGCGACGCAAGCCTGGCCAGCCTTGCCGGGCCCATCGCTGGATGACGGCGATGCCCGACTCAGCCGGGAGGGGGGGGGGGGACGAGAGAAGGGGACGAGAGATACAGCCAGAGAACAACGCGGTGTTTCAATAAGAGACATTCCCTGCGGTTCTTGTACACTATGAGTCTCTATTCAAATGCCAAAAGCCAATAGCCACATGGACATGCCGCGAAGTGAATGGTTTTTTTATTCCCGCTTGCGTCCTGCTCGTTCCCCGCCCGTACCTGGTGGTCGCGCCTGCTCGAGCATCCGGACCGCTTCATCACAGGTACAAAAGCACGCGACGATTTGTGGCCAATAGAGTTGCGTCGGGATAGCATCGCAGCCGCTTGGAAATTATGGTCTGCTGCGGTCTTTGGCTGGCTGGCAGGCAGGCAGGAGCAAGTTCCCGTTCCTGCCTTGGGTACGAAGAGAGACATACTGGCTCCTTCCTGATCAACCGTTTGTGGGTTCTGTTTGTTATGGGTTTTGACAGACAGGAGCGACCTTCCGTTCCTTCCTTTGGCACGAAGAAAGACAAACTGACTCCTTCCTGACCTCTCTCTCTCTCTCTCTCTCTCTCTCTCTCTCTCTCTCCCCTTCCCCATGGCACTCACTTCCTCATTCCATCTTCTCATCCATCGGCGTTCCCTTCCATCTTTGCCTTGATCCGAACACCCATCACTTTTTTACTTCGGACTTCGCCCTCAACATCTCATCGCCTTGGGATTCTTATCCGAAGAATTCTCAGCTGTTTGGTCCCAAAGACTGTCCAGACGCACACGCACACGCCAGCACAACACAGCACGACCACCATCCCTCAGACCAACCATGGATCACCCAACTATAGCACGAGCACGAGAAACCATCGCCTACAAGCTCCTGTTCGCGCCTGAAGACCTTCCCAGCGGCTTCATTCCATCATTCGACCTCGTGGCCGGCAATAAACCGTACCGGTCACAGAGCATGGAGGAGTTAAGAGAAGAGATTGAGACGTTTACGGATTGTGAAGACATGGGCTTAGACTGCTTACGAGGTTGGGGTGTCAAGGCGTTCGCCAGGGAAACCTTTCCCGGTTTCGATGTGGACTTGATCCTGAACCTCGAAAGGCACCTGAACTTCAACAGGGACGGAAACAACGAAAAGGACCCTCTTCATGAAGTCCTATCGGAACAGGACACCGCCGTTGCGATACTGACGCATTACATCCAACCCGCACATAAGATGCTGAACTACTTCAACCCGCCTGGACCTCTCACACAGTGTAGAGCCACCTGGGAGGCAGGCATCAGCCCAGAAGGCCGAAGCTACTTCAATACAAAGCGGCAACAGCGGGTGCAGCTTTCCCTCCGGGCCGACATCGCATATGGCCTGAAGCACCACCAGGTTAATCTCGACTTTGGTGCTGGGGAGCCGGGTCTCCAAAGTCGCCCCATCGCCTCGATCGAGTTCAAAAGGACGGGGCTTCTCAAGAAATTTGCCCAAGATCTCAAGAATCCGGATGCTCCGCGCGATGATGGACAAAGATTCGAGCCTAATTCCATCCAGTTATTGAAGCAGGTTGTCGGCTACTGCTTCGCATTTCGGACAAAGTTCGCCGCAACAAGCGATCTCGACTATCTCGTCTTTTTCAGTTTCGATAGAATGACCATCGACGAGATGTCCACCCCCGTCGATGTATGGGAAAAGGGCCACGGAGGCACCTTCCAATTCGCCATCCTTGGACCCACAGAGGCGACTTACAAGATCGCCTGCTACGCCGGATTTTTGAGAATGGCTGCCGAGAAGACACCCAAAGATCTTTCGTCTTCTTGAAGTGCTTATCCCATGTAAGGGCCCAGGGGGCGGGAAAGGGGTTTGGTATGCTGAGTGTTGGGACGGAAGCTCGGTCGCTAGACGGATATTGGGATGGAGGTTCGGCTTGTTCACGAGGTTCTGTTTTGATAGACTAGACGACTTGAGAAATCAGATAATGCTTGATCGACTTGATCCCTTCCTCGCAGAAACAGCCGTCTATAACTGTCATTCCCGGTCTTATTGACGTTTGGATGCATCGGGCCAAGATCCGCAAGAATACGAACAACGAATGTTGCCAGTTTGGGTCGAACCTGGGCCGACAACACATCCCCTGGACTGTTTGGTTTGGCAACAGTCTGTTGCGACGGCACCGCGGTCGTCCATTCCGATCAATCCCGGCTGGGCACGGCCAGGCTGGCGTCGACACCGTCGCCAATCGCGACAGGAACCCCCCTCCCCTATTTCAAGATCTGTGGGGTCGGGAAAGAAAAGAAAAAAAGGAAGAAAAAAAAGGAAAATAGTCTAGATATCAGATGCCGGGTTCCGCAGTGTCTTGACGCAAGTCACGGCGGCGGGGTGTGAGTACCTAAGCCTCTGCACGATACGTTGTTCCCTCCTGTCCTCCGCGTCGCATTGCCAGGCCCACGGCGGAGCGGCAGCACGCACACACACATCTGTTTGCGACGGAAAAAAAAAACCCCGCGTCATCAGCCTGCCTCTCTCCGTCGGACCGCGCACCCCCTGCCTCCCCGGTCTGAGCTCCTCCTCCCCCCCCATCTCGCTTGCCCTCCTGCTGTCGTCACCATCTCGCCGTCTTAGGAGGAAACGGCTCCCTTGACGTCCTCCTTGACCTCGCTGGCCAGCTCGCCGGCGCTCTTCTTCTGGGAGGATTGCCACATGAGGATACGGGTGCACTGGACGACACCGACGGCACCGAGGAAGAAGTTGACGGCGGCGAGGCTACGTTGCGTCAGTCGGTCAGTCAGTCACGGTGTTCCGAGGAGCGCATGCTCCTGGGGGAAGGGGGCGACGTACAGGTAGTTCTTGGGCTTGATGATCAAGCACCAGCGGGTCCAGATGATACCGGTGGCCGTCAGGGCGCCGTTCTGCGTCAGGGACAGCTTCTCGGCGGGACGGGCAAAGTCGGCAACACCGGCGAGGACAAGAGCCCACTGTACATCATGTCGCCGGTCAGCAATCGCTCTCTCTGATTGTATCCTCCCCGATCATCCGTGTCTCCCGTCCTCGCGGGATGGTCATGCGGGAACTCCGACATCGTAGCCGCACCATCTACAAGGGATGGTCCCTCTCGTTTGGGGGCGGGGGGGAGAGATGCCGCGGCTTCAGCGCGCGAGAAATCGTACCTTCATAACAGGAGCCCTGGAACCACCACAGTCAGCGCCGTGTTCGTTTGCATCGGTTCGCGGGGGTAAGAGCAAAGAAAACTCACCAGAAGTGCACCGTCTTGATGCCGACGGGGCTGTCCCACATGCGCTTGAACCAGCTAACCTGGGCGTCGGGGGCGGCGGCCGAGCTCTGCCATCTCTTGGAGCTCTCGCGGAACCGGGTGCGGAACTGGGAGGTGCGGAAGGCGTTGCGGATCTGGGCGCCGGCGAACATCTGCTGGCGGAAGGCCGGGCGCGCGGCGTTGAAGAAGTTGTTGGCGGGGGCCATTGTGACTTTCGAAAAAAGGGAAGGGTAGATTGCAAAGGAGGATGCGTTTGAAGAACAATCAGCACTCGGTCGGGCAGGAGGAATTAGGGAGGGGGGCGGTCGGGTTGGGTTGGAGCGGAGAGGTTTCGTTGTCGAACGGCGAACTCGGAGGTTGAGTCTAAGGTTGGGAAAGAGAGTGCAGGCGTTGAGGATTTGAGATAGTCCGAGAGAGCGGGCGGCTTTTTTTTTTTTTTTTTTTTCCCCCTATGGGTTGGGGTTCCCGGGACCGGGGGAACGGTTGCACAGAGCGCTGAACCCGCAGCCCGCCCAGCGAGACCGCACGCCGCAGAGGTACCCGCCCGCCTAGCTGCGCAGGGAGAGGTACATGCGATGCACTACAAGCGCCGCCGATCGGAATTAAGCGGGAACAACGTCAGGCTGAGCTGCCAGGGAGCACTGGCCAAGCGTCAGCTACGGCGAATACCGGCGGGTACCTAGGTACTTTACCAATAGCAAATAATGGCCGTCGAGAGCAAACTACCTACCTACCTATGCGGGCGCTGGCGGGGGTGATAACAGAGCTTGGCCACTCTGTACCAATAAGGTTGATCAATTGTCAATCGAACACCCAGGTATTGTTGGCATTTCACTATTGAACTTTTGGCTGTGCCGGGCTGCCCTCCCTGTCTGATGCATTCAAGTGGCTGCTGCTCCATTGTCCACAGTCAACACGTGAGGTTCCAAGTGGAGTCAGGCCTATCAGGAAGACATGTAGAAGCATGCAGGCGCAATGTCAAGGAGAGAGTAATCTGTTAACAGAATAGCCAGCAAGGTATTTCCAGCATGTCTCTAGCAACAAGTGCGTTGATGACTAGACGTAAAGTCAGGTGAATCCGATGCTTCCATCAACGTTGGATGATGCCGGCCAGTGGAGCGAGGTGCTAACGCGTCCCCACTCGGGAGACGTTTGCTCAAGACGCTGCCCACGTGGTAAGCTTGTAACCAGCGAGATGCAGTGCGTTGCGTTAGCAAGAAACCAAAAAAGACTTGGCGAGAAGGCGGGAAAAGAAGTCAAGCAAGGAAAGTTTCAATGGATATTTCCCATTGCGTATGAAGTGCGTTATTGACAAGGTACGATCACCATCCTGGCCGCCAGACCCACTCCTCTGACTTTCACCAGCCACTACCTACTCGTAAGTGTGTTAGCCACTTCTCTCGAGTGTGCTAGCCACAATGCCGTCTAAGACAATCCCCCCTCCAGTAGCCAACTTTAATGATTTGTATCCCTCGTCCTAATTGTGAACTTTGACACTTGGAATTTTTAGAGATTGAAAGTATACCCTAGTATGATCATGCTCTACGTACGCTTATCGAGTATTGAGGACTGGTGGCGTTGCTGTGATTCAATACTGGGGTTCTTCGTCGCCATGTATTCTCTGCGGGGGAAGGTCCATATCCAGCTCTACCAGGCAGACAAAACTTTCGAATACATTCCGGAGTAGTCGAGTCTTGGACATGGGGAGTAGGCAGTTGGGGCAAGAACTGGTCATCGCTCGTGAACTCGTCTGGTGGGAACTTGGGGCTTCTGTTGCAAGATCTCTCGGTCAATCCATCCCAAATGCCGTTGGATGGTGTCCAGCGCAGAGTCGCCCTCTTCACCAGCACGGGTGGCGTCATGCCCCGTGTCCTCGTGCTTTCACTGACAAAACCTGCTTCTGTACTGCTCCTGATAAAACTCAAGCGGTGAAAATTCACTTGTGTGTCGAGTCAAAAGAGTCAACCTTAGAAAGACCGAAGTGTCTGTATAGGCCTGCTGCGAGTAAATGGCGTGGATAAAGGGCAGATCAAGTGCTAACTAGCTTAATTGTTTGGTTGGCGACCATGACGGCCATGCCCATGTTGCGACCCTTCCAATTGCATATTATAGCAACAGATTATGCGCACCACATAGGTATGTAGTTGAACCATAGTGCAAACATTAGGCTAACGGGGTACATTGTACCACTGCCAAGCTCTGTTGACCCCAGTGTATTACTCCGTACCTTTGTACCTTATGCACATGCACAAGCAACAGCTCCAAAGGATCCAGCCAATCACTCCCGACCAATTATGCACAACCTAATTCCCACGGGCGTTATGTAGAGTGGATACCGCCTTCCAACGTCGGCATCTCGTCCAACTTCAATTCCTCGTCCTTTGCCCAGAGCCTCTCACTCTCTCCCCAATTGAATCGACCCCCGACCCCGACCCCGATCGACCTCAACCTCCGCCCGTCCGCCCCCTCCTCCGCGCAACATGTCGGGCAAGTACGCATTCACAAAGGCCCTCAAGGAGGTGCGCTTCCTCTTCTGCCAGACGGGCGAGCACAGCGCCGCGACCCGGTGCGTTTCTTGATTCCTCACCACAGCACACACACCCACACACACACCCACACGCACGCACACACGCAGCGGCAATGCTATCGCGGCAGGCCGCCGGACTTTCACTTACCCTCTCCCGCCGACCCGTCCTAGTGCCTCCGAGCCGCACCCGCCCTCTCCGTGGCCAACCATCATCACCCGCTGACCTTTTTCCCGCAGCTCCTTCGTCGCCAGAGCCTACCCCACGATGAAGAAGAACAACCCCCAGACCCCCATCCTCCTGCGCGAGGCCGCCGGCACGCTACCCAAGGTCTACGCGAGATACGGTCAGGACGCACTCCCCCACCCTCCCCGACGGAGGAACCCGCGCGCGACGGAATGGATGAGGAAGAAAATGCTGACTGAGATATCGTTGCAAACAGAGTTCGGTGTTGAGAAGAGCCAATCGCTCGAGGGTGAGCATTTAACCCCCCCCACCTCCCCCGCCTCCCCTTCTGGCTGGGAGCAATCTCCCTCATGCTGACGGACGATAATGCTAACTCGGACATCAGGCCTGTCGGACAAGCAGATCGAGGACACAGTCACCACCTTGGTCAAGAACGGCGCATGAAGGACCGAATTTGGGGGGGGCATTTTTCAAACGAATAGACAAAAAAAAGACCTTGTACCATCACCCTTTTGAGAATTCCACACCCGATTCGGCGTGGAACAAGCAACATGCGCTCCGATTGAGTGAGCGAGCATGTGGCCATAGCTGCAAAGGGGTCGAATTAGCTTCTGATCCGATCAACTGTTCCGCCTGGCTGCCATGACCCGCCTCAAGTGTGACGGCCGCCATGTGCATCAATGCTTTATCCTGCGGACATTCACTGACAGAGAAGCGAAATCTCGAACGCACTCTCATTCTGGTTCTGTCACGTAACTCCTGGATCTGGAGCCGTCATCTTCACTCAAACATAGGACCCCCTCGAAACACCTCTCCAAATCTTCCCCATTATCTGCCGTCGGATTACCTGTCCAACAAACTCTCCAAGTTGCAACAAAGCTTCCGGCCGTTCCTATTTTCTGATATCATGCCCCATCTGTCTGTATCTGCCCTTGCGTCCAGATCGTCCTCCACCACGCACGATGCATCTCCCTACTGCTTACTGCTGTCCTTCTTGGGGCTCGGGTTTGCTGAAGTCTTGACGCTCCCACTCGGAGTGGAGACGCTGGTGGCAGTCGATGCCGACCGCGCCTTGCCCCAAACGCTGCTCGCCGGCAGGCCCGACACAGGCTTGGGGGCAGGCGGCAGCGTGGGAAACTCGGTCTTGCTGCCAACGGGAACCGGGTTGGTATTGGAGCTAGAAGCGTAGCGCTGCTGTTGGATGTGACTGTCTTCCTGAATCTTCTGCTTCTTAGGCGAAGGGCGGTTCTTCTTGTTGGGGCCCTGCTGGCCCTGCTTGCCCTGTTGTTGCTGATGGTCCTTGTTGCCCTTGGGCTGCTTGATGCTGAAGTCCCTCTTGGGACCCTGTACTTGCCAGTCGTCATCGTCGTCATCATTCGGCGTCATTTGCGTGGCAGGCATCTTATCGCTGGCAAGAGAACGGCCCTTGTTCTTCTCCACGACGTTCTTGGCCGGGGTCTGCTGAGATGCAGAGCTCTTCTCCTTGCCTTTGGAGGTTTCGGCGGCGCTCCCATCAGACTGGCTGTCTTCCTCCTTGGTAGATGGGGTACCAATCGTAAGGGTGCGCGACGTCTTGGACGAAGTCTGGGACACGCTGCGATCGTGTTTGGTGGGCCTCAACGGAACCGGCGCAAGCTCAATTTTCTTTGGGGCAGCCGCAGTCGAGGACGTGGTCGGCGAGACAAACACCTTTGCCTCAGGATTGAGCGAGGTATTGGACTTTGGAGTCGTTTCGGCACCTGCTGCAGACTCCTCCGAGGGAGTGTTCCGTGCGTCGCTGACTCCCATTGCAGACGGGGGAGTTGCGGGGGTTGACATCCGGCCAGACGACCCGTCGGGAGAGCCAGTCTCCTGGGCCGAGGAGCTGAAACGTGCGGTGCTCGCAGCGGAAGGAAGACCGGTATTGAAGGTCTGGGGCGCTTCAAAGCTGCTAGTACCTGCTGCGCTTCCAGAAGCGAACGAGTCACGGTTGGCGATCATTAGCTGAGCTGGCAGCTGCTTCTTCCGGTTTTTGGGCAACCGCAAGGAGCCTCCGCCATCCGCGCGAAAAGTCTTGTTGATAGACTCCGAAAGTTCTGTCTTCTCAGGTGATTCCTTTGGCTCATACTCCTCTGGCCAAAGGACCTCCTTGCCCTCGGCAGTCTCGCTTATTCCCGGCTCCTTACTCTGTGCTGTTGCATCGACAGGTGATGCCAAAGTTTGTGGGACAGTATCAGCGGTAGTTTTGTTGGCAAGCCGTTTTGCGCTGATTGACTCAACCTCCTTTGCTCCAATAATCTGCTTCGCCTTTTCAATGACTCCCCCGAGACCTGCAGGCTCAGTATCCTCCACCGTCTCAGTGGTGATTGTCATCGAGACTTCAGGGGCTTGCTCCTCTGTAACCTGTATGGGTGGGTCTTTGGTAGGTTGCTGTGCACTGCTCGATTCGCCCTGGCCCGTAGAGGTAGGCTTCTTCTTCTTCTTGGACTTCTTACTGCTCTTTTTCTTCGTGGCAATCTCGGTGGCAGCAATGGTAGGAACATCCTCTTGGTTTCGGCTCGAATCAATCAGATTGTCAAGTACATGGCCAGCCTGAGTGGGGGGGTCGTCCTCTTGTTCGGCAGAGTGCTCTTTCGCACTGGAGCCAACGATAGGCGGTTGATCGCACCGTGTGCCAATCTTGGTCTCTGGCGCATTACAAATCTCGACATTGAGATCATTCTTCTCTGAGAAGATCTTCCTATATTTCCCCCTATCATGAGAAGTGCGCTCTACTTGGGGCTGCGCAGGAACTGCAGAAACCGTAGAAACCGCAGGAACTGTAGGAACCACAGGAACCAAAGGAACCACAGGAACAAGAGGGACCGCAGGAACTACAGGAACTCTGGGAACCGCAGGAGCCACAGAAACCGGATCGCTCTTCTTGACCAGGGTCGAGGCTTCGGGAACAGTTTTTATAGCCGTTTGAGCCTCCCTCTGTCCATCTGAGAACGATTCCTCATGGTCGGTGGCACCAGGTGCTGCAGGAGAAATATGCTTGGTCGGCGTTACAATTCCTCCACCGTTCTGAGGTGTGGTGGCCCTCCTAGGTGTTTGCGTGTTCGTGTCAGCTTCTTCAGGCTTCTGCGGTGTGGCCGGCAAATTGACGACAATGGCTTTGTTACTGCCTTTGCACGGGCTGTTCTCAGGGTCACGGGGAGGAGAGGTCTTGCTTGTCTGCCCTTCGTCCGGGATCACCTCTTCAGAAGGCGGTTTTGACTGAGACTCAGCTTCTGCAGAAGTTCGGAGCTTCTCAGTGACAGCAAGCTTAGTCTGTAAGTTAGGGGTGTTACAAGTCGACTTGATGTCTCCAGCCGGCCCGCGTGTATCTTTCTTGGCTTCTGTTTGGGCGTTCGTGGCGAGCCGGGTTGCTGGATCATGGATCAAAGAAGGTTGTGGAGGTTGTGCAGCAAGAGCCTGCGGCGGCTGAGAGCGAGGTACCATGTACTGCTCCAAGGAGACCAGCGTCCTCGGGTCAGGGCGACTCAACGAAGACTGGCCATGGCCGAACGCGTTGGAGTTGCCCCTCCACGAAGATTGCTGTTGGCTGTTGGATCTGCTTGCCGAGTCGTGCTGACTGTTGCCTTGGCCGTAGTTGCTATACATGGCGTTGCCATAGCCCGAATGATGCATCGCGCCAATCTTGATCGTACAATCAAGATCGCGACTACCGAAGGCATCCGTGGCTGAGGCTTCTCTCACGCGCGAGCCATCCTTGAATCTGAGTGAGGCTAGCGTCAGCAATGTCAGAGATAGAAAGAAACTGAAATTCACTTACCTCACAAAGAAGCAGGCGAAATCCCCTGGATTCTCATTTACCGGCAATTTTTGGACGTGATCAACCTCCCCCCATCGTGACATGATATCATGAATTTTCCCAATAAGGAGTTTTTGAGACATCTGCGGAGCTGGGTTCAATTGGATGTACACAGAGCGTTCGCGTTCCTCGCACTTGGGGCAGGTGCAAGGTGTGTAAGCGTATTTGTGAGCGGACCTGAGGTGCATATTGGAGCAATGAGATTCCGCCCTGTTTGAGAATGAGCGAGGTCGGTTTTCCTTTGTCGGAGATCGACGGAAAACAGGGCCGTGGATTGAGTGATCTGCATGCGGAACCTTCTCCCAGCCCTTGGACTCGCGCCGAGGCCTAGAATGATCGTAGCTTGCGTTGCCAGGGGCATTTGGTATCTTCATCTGCTCTTGCCGTGTATCCTGGTTCGGGTTGAAGCGCGGAGGGCCCATCGGCAGGCCTTGTCCGGATCCTTGATCAGCAGCAGAACTAACGGTTGCGTTTCGCTTGCCGTTATGTTTGTGGGAAGGAGTGACGTCAAAAGGCATCCTCTGGTGGACGGCCGACTGCATGCGCGTGCCACCTGTTGGGACCATGGAGATCTGACCGGGCGAGGTTTGCACATTGTTCGGCACTCTGCTGTCTTCAGACTTTCGAGGAGGGACGTTGACTGGAGGGCGAAGTCCATAATGCTGATATTCAAGTGTGGGTAGCGCAGGAGGTGGAGGAGGCGCAGATGGGCCAACCGGCCCGTGGTAGGGTTTCGGCTCACCGTTGGGACCTGTCATGAATGGGGTATTGAAGGCATGGCCATACGGCCTCATGGACTGATGGTAGAAGCCTGGCTGAGCAGCGCCTGTCTTGGCCGGGTGAGACTCAGGGACTCCAGTAGCCGGGTTTCCGGTGCTAGAGCCAGAAGTCGAAGATACCGGCTGATTGTCCGACAAGGACTCTCCGGACCGGCCGATAGGTTCTGGTCCTGCCGTAACACCGTAGTTTTGGGTGCCTACTTTTTGTCTGTTGCTCGTTCCACTGACAACAAGAGGCTTTTGGAGAGTGGTGTTGGTATTGGCCGTCATGTGACTGGAAACGGTAGCAACGTGTGACTGAGGCACTGGAGAAGCAGCGCCACCAACGATGATAGTAGCCGGAGAGACTGCTAGGGGGATGCCACTTGGCGTGTCGTGAACGGATTGACCAGCTGCCATACTGTTAGCCGAGCTGTGTGAGGCTGACAGAAAGGTATTGACTTACCAAGCCAGCATTGCAGAGTGCCGTTGTGCCAGTTGGCCCCAAGACTGTTGGCCGGGTAGGCGGTCGGTCGGGCCCAAGGCTTGCCTAACAGTTGGTTCTGTCTATGACACAGAGCATTTCGAAGAAGCATTATATCGACCGGCAGCTTCTGAAGCTCGGCCCAGGTGCCCGGAGTGACGAGGCCGATAACGTCACCCTCCCAACAGTTGAATCCCATGAGCTTTGCTTTGTTCTCGGCCTGGGCGACCCACTCGTCGCACCAGACTCCGAGTTCGACTGCGGCAGCACAGACTCTATTGCGAGAGAGACTGTCGTTCTCGTCGAAAAGGAGGTGCATGAGATTCCATAGGTTCAGCGCACCCTGGAAGTAGATTTCGAAGCAGTCGAAGTAATCATACAGGTCCTCCCAGCGTTGCGGTCGAGCCAAGGATCCCAGAGATTTCCAGTGCTTCTTTCGAATGGCATTAGCTCTATCCTGAAGCTCTTCAGCGTTCCACAGATCAAGTTCGCGGGTGTCATGGACATGGTTCAAGCTGAGGCCGCGGGTAGGAACTTCGCCGTTGTTGGTACTGAAAACGGCCTTGATCTCCTTGCGGCTGTAGAAGGAGATAGACAGATAGGCTTCCACATAGCGCCTGGGGGTTTCTCCATCCTTGGCAGGAGCCATGTTGTAGTTGTGAATGCCACTGGGATAGTGGTAGGTGTGGCTTGGAGGTAGATGCCGAGGATTGGTCGTCGGAGGGTCCGGATTCGCTCCTTGAGTATCGCGATCGATATTCCCCACGAGGAAGTCGCGACCCTGAAACGGGCCTCGATCACCTGGGTTGTACGAAGCCATGTTGCAGAACTGAAGTATCCAACGTGGCCGTATCAGGGGTATGGAGAAAGAGTCGGTTTGGAGGACTGGAGCTTTCGCGTTTGGAGAGAGACTGATGATATTTTGTAGTGATGGGGAGGGTTTTTGAGGGGTGGGTTGGCACAGTGAAGAGCTGTAAAGCTGCAACGGAAGGATGAATGATGAAAGGACAGATACTTATTGTGAAGTAAAAACAAAGAGGCAATGGGGCAAGGAGTAGTGAAGGGGGGCAGGAGGTAGGCAGGAATGAGGAAGGTGCCTACTCTACTGTCTGAGGAAGGAGCCAAAGCAAACCGCCTGCCTTGTAGGGGAAACTCTTCAGCACAAAGCATTCACTCCATTACGAGTGACAAGTGACAAGCGGGATGAAACACGGCAGAGATGATAATAATGCCAGGGACAGCACAGCAGACCAACGGGACCCGAGTTGGGGATCAATAGTGACAGCATCATTGACACGCGGACTACAATAGTTTGGATGGCAGTTCGAAAGACATTGAAGCCCTGGACAGACTGGACCAGCAGCACCAAGTAGTTTCTTAGCAACCATAAGCCTCAGGTTTGTTGAAGTATACGTTATGACAGTGAATGCTTCGGCTTTGGTAATGAATATAATGACAACCCTCATCTGAGTCACAGCTACAACAGCAGTCGAAGAGGGGTTCGCGAGAACATTTCTAGTTACTAGGCGGCCGCCAGGCTATGATGAAACATGAGCTGGTCCATTGTATGGTCACCAAGTTCAGTGAGCTGGTGACATATGATAGTCGACCTTTCCCTGGAGGTATTCTATGCATGTCATGTCATCGCCTGGACCATCGCTGACGCCCCGCTAGGCGGATCTGAGTCGCAAAGCGGTTGGAGTGAGATGTCAAAGGAGACAGGCAGCATAATTTTGGAGGAGGGATATATTCATCATTCAACTAATGTAACAGTTGCCTTCGCAGGTTGCAGGTATCTTGTTATACAAAGGTAGGAAAGAGGCTGCAGTTGCCATCAAGAAAGACTTCGTGTTTCTCAGCTCTTCTCGCCGTTCAAAGCGTTGAGCATCTTAAGGATCTCGGATTCGTTGTCGCCAGAAACAGCCTTTCCATTGTTCCAGTCCACAGTCTGTATGTCTCGGTCAGCATGGGTCACTCTTGAGTGGAAAGTGGGTAGGCTCCATCGACGGAGAGATGCCTGGGGAGCAGAAACATACCACTGGTCTTTGGAAAGACTCGGAGTTCTGCTGGAACTTCCTCAAGGCCTCCTGCTCGGTCGAGGCGCCTTTGATGATCGACGAGATTCTGTTCTGTCCGACGTATTCCAAGATGGTCTTGACCTGGTCGGCAGTGGGGGGGTCCTCGGTGATGTTAAGCTCGAACTCGGCGCGCGACTTCTTGGGGTTCGTCTGGACGCTGTGGTCGCTGGCTTGATCTTCAGTCGCGCCGGCCGAAGCATTCGCCGACACCTGTTTGAGGATGTTGGCGACCCTCACGGAAGCGGGGGAGCTCGCCTTGTGGAAGAGAGTGACGATGTCGAGGGTCTTGTGCTAAAGCGGGTGTTAGCCATCACTCGCAGGAATCCGAGCGGGAACGGACTGCCTTACGAAGCGGAACATTGTGGCGGGTTGTGGGGGGCTGTTTCAATGGTGTGGTTTGTTGAGAGTGAGCTTTGCTTCGTGAATCTTGCAGGTGTGTGATACGATGAAGTCGGCAGTGGAGCTTGGAGCTCCCAGTAAATTTACGTCATCCTTCCCGGCCGCTTAGTTTTAGACGCCAATGCCGGATTAGCGCACAGGCGGGGCCTGCCGCGCTTGGCCCCTGGCCGATGCACCTGGAACCGGCCAAGGGACAGGAACATGGAGCTTCACTTTGTTGACCCCTCACTCCCGTCATTTGAATGGGGCTCGGACAAGACATCCGGGCATTCTGACTTGATTGCACTTGCCAGGCGGAGGGGTCGGTCATCAGGGTCCAGCTGAGCCACGACGTGTTGCTTTTGTAAAGCACCGAATCTGGCCCCGACTCTGATGTTGAAGCCAGGTGATCTAGTCTGTACCCTCCAGGTTGTCACTTGCGGGTGTCGGTTGTCAACGAATAGCGGCACGCGATAACACCTCCATTCAGCGCCTCAATTCGCTGGGAGAGTGTCAGGATGAACACCTGCTAGGAACAGCGCAAGGCCTCATCCTCATTCGTCGCCGGATGGGTTTTCGCAGGGGTGTGGTCATGTTCGAGGCACACGACGGTCAGCGCCGCCCAGCTTTAACCAGCACCCAAGATAGGGCTGAATATCAAGCACCAAGGATCGCAACAGAAAATTCAACCACTATCCCACCGCTCTTGCCTGAGTGCAAATCGCCGATCAACCATGTGGCTTTGGGCAGATCTGTCCAGGCGTTTTTGCGGAGAAATGACAGCTGGATGACGTAGGAGGGACCTTTGCACCCGTCTGAGCTGAGATTGCCGCGAAGACGTCATGACATGCAGTGAAGTGAACGGTGGGGTGGTCGTTGCGCAGTGCCAGAGAGCTCTCTACCACCACATATAGAAAGCTCATCTGCTGAACGATCGAATGTTCGTTTTGTTCTTCATCCCATCAATTCAATCGATACCCATCAATTACTCTCAAAGACCAATCTTCTCCATTTTACACCGAACCACCTACCAACCCTTCCACCACACACACCATCATCATGTCCGGAAATTCTAGTGTTGGTACCAGCGGCATCTACGAGGCCGGCGACCAGCGGAACGTCAAGAATTCGGAGCAGAACACCGGTGACCGTTTCCACGAGGGCAAGGAGCACTCCCACCTCGCCAACGACTCCAGTAAGTTCTCGTCGATATCCTGTGGCCGACCTTGTTCGCCATACTGACTACCACCAAGAGGACGAGAGAACCATTGCCAACAGGCTCGCTGCCGAGGAGAAGAAGCACCGCGAAGGTGTGGAGGAAGATGACGCAGAGACTCGTATGTCTAAGAAGGACCCCACGTTGCCTGTAAGTTGGGCTTTGCCGCTATGGTTCTTGCAAGTCGAACAATACTAACCCTCATTAGGCCAAGATGCACGGCAACGAGCCCTCCAAGGGCGCCAAGATCGATCAGGAACTCCAGGAGGAGGATGAACTCCGCCTGAAGCAGAAGCAGGGCAAATAAGTGCACGATTAAGAGGTTTGCATTTCAAATTAGCGTTGGTATGGAAGCATGATTATAGACGTGGTTCATAGCCTGAATATCACGACTTTACTGATACAAATCATGTTGGGATGACTGTGATGTTTAGTAAAAGAAAACTTTGACACTATAGTCGTGGGTTTACAATGGCGAAAAATGAGGTTGTTATATTTCGTTGCATGGCATGGTTGTGGGACGACAACTCACGATATAGACCGATGGAATCGAACCACTTCTCCCTGCTCCAAGCCTTCGGAGTACCGTCTTTCATCCATTCACAGAAAATATATGAGAAGTTTGCCAGCCAGTAGTAAGGAATTACGAGGCAGGCGAAAGATGGTGGGTAAACAAGGTGAAAACCAATCACAGTTCACGTAGACCCAGTTCATTCAGCAAGCGTAGATGTTGTAGATAGAATAACATGATATTAAGAAGTAGCTATACTAGTACCTAAATGCAAAGTCAGCTACGTGCATCCCAACTGAGATCAACAAGAAGGGTAATTGCAAGGTTGGAAGTCAGAATATGTAAGAAATTGAATATCATGTATTCAGACGGTATAGCCGCTCCGGCGAAAGAGGGCCACCGACTGAAATCAATCGCAAATTGTTCTCATCATTCCAAGGGAAGGCGGGTAGGAGGAAATTGGCATTGTAAACGTACCTTTGTTGAAAACGCAGGCTCTTCGATGAGGGCCATGTTTCTGCACCTCTGAGACTGGTGAAGAAGTAAGAGCAAGCACAAGAAAGGAAACAATCAAGCTGCATCTTTAAGGTGACGGGAAAAAAAGTTCTGCTGTTGGTGGGGCACTGCCCATGCAGCAGGCACGCCGCTGACCGCCCGACTAGGCCCTTTCGGGTAAGCAGCGCTCGGCTCGGCAAATCCCACCATCCGACGGAAAGGAAAAAACGGTCTTGCCCTAAGGTCCCCAAGCTTGTGCGTCTGGAAATCGACGCACCTCGACAAAAAACCGCTGTGCCGAAACGTGACTTAGAACTCCATCACCACTAACCAGCAGCAAATCTTCGACGTCTGGTAAGTCGACGCGCCCCTCCCACAACCAAACAAAAACACCACTTCGAGTCCGCATCCCCGATATCTAACTCTGCGATCCAACTATCAGACCGACCAGCAAAATGGGTGACGCTACCATCGAGGGTTCTAAGTGGCGAATGGTCGAGGTCGGCCGTGTCGTCCTGATCCAGGGCAACAGCCCCTACGCCGGCCGCCTGGCGACTATTGTCGAGATCATCGACCACAAGCGCGTACGTTGCGACAGCTCCTGACTTGCCTCTGCTCCCCCCGCCCGATACGATTCGTTTTTGAGCGAGTGCACGCAGATGCACTGGAAAAGAAGGAAGATTGCGATTCTAACATCAAGTTCGAATTATAGGCTCTGGTCGACGGTCCCTCCTCAGACGCTCAGCTCGCCGTTCCCCGCCAGCCCATCTCCCTCTCCAACGTCCTCCTCTCCTCCCTCAAGGTCGAGGGCCTGCCCCGCGGCGCCCGCACCGCCACCGTCAAGAAGTTCTGGGCCAAGTCCGAGATCGACGCCAAGTGGAAGGAGACCACCTGGTTCAAGCGCAGCCTCCAGATTGAGCGGAGAAAGAACCTCACCGACTTCGACCGCTTCAAGGTTCTCCGCCTCAAGAAGCAGCGCCGTTTCGAGCAGCGCAAGGAGCTGGCCAAGGTCAAGGCCTCGGCGTAATGGACTTGCGATTGGGACGTCTATGGGGTTGACTTTGAAGACTACGGGGCTGGCTTAGAGCGTGACAGCATGGGATCCGGTTTGGTCTGCATCACCGCAGCATTGGGTTGCTGCACATCTCTTTTGCTCCGTAACTGGAAGGGCTGTATGTCACATTCATCATCAATCATATGATGACCGGCGTCAAATACGGAAATTCAGAGACAAAAAATGAAGTTCATGGCACAATCAGAAAAATAGATTGGTTGGCTCGTGACGGGGACACGGAGTAAAGATTTTTTTCGGTTTTTGAGACCCTGTTGAAATTCTGACCATCATGAGGCTCTCTTACGTGTATGTTTTGAATTCGTCCCGGAAACTGCCTACGAACTCTAGCGTTCCTCCGCCCAGCTCGTGTACGGTACTTGTGACCAATGCCAGGCTCTCCCTCAGCCTTGTAAAACCAACGGCCAGCATGTCATCCATCTAATCTGTTCGTGCATCTGGGCATCTTAGCTGCGGGCCAGGCTGGATGTCTGCTTACCTAATACAATCCAGTCGCCAGAGGTTTGCCCGCAGTCAGTGTTCTGCAAACCCTATCAATTTTCTACGATCTCTCCTTCAAACCACAAGCACTAAACAATCCCCCACGTCGAGTTGAGATACCCCTCGTTCTAAACTTTGGTAAGTTCTGCTGTGTCCCTGTTGGAATTTTTGACCCCGTCTTCCAAACGACGAAGCCGCGCCAGCCCGAACGATTTTTGTGCGAGTTTTGCAATTCCCTATTTTTTCCCACAGACACACCAAACCAGAAGCTCGCCAAATCAGCTCCTTTGCGCGATCCTAGCTCCCACCACCACCACCACCACCACCTCCACCAGCGGGAAAAAAAAAAGGAGAGAACCCCGCAACTAACTTTTTCTATTCGTGGTTCACAGTCGACAAAATGGCCAACCCCCGCGTTGAAGAGCTTCCCGATGACGAGACCAAGAAGGTCTCCGTCGAGGAGCACGAGGACGAGAGCTCCGACTCCGAGATTGAGGGCGAGGAGGCTGAGGGCCTTCCCTCCGGCTCCACTGCCATCATCCACTCCCGCAACGAGAAGAAGGCCCGCAAGGCCCTCGAGAAGCTGCACCTGACGAGAGTGCAGGGCATCACCCGTGTCACTCTCCGTCGCCCCAAGAACGTGAGTGCAAGAGAAGGAAGAGGGAGTTGTTTTGGTGGCACGGTGGTGCGATGCGCGGGGTTCAACAAGGCTGACCCACGTTCCAGATTCTGTTCGTCATCAACAACCCCGAGGTCTACAAGTCCCCCAACAGCAACACCTACATGTAAGTAAAAGGCGCAAAGGACCTCAAGGTGTACGAAAATTGACGTTGCGATGCAGCGTTTTCGGTGAGGCTAAGATTGAGGACCTCAACGCCACTGCTCAGCAGGCTGCCGCCCAGCAGCTCGCCGCTGCCGGTGGTGAGCACGACCACGCCGGCCACAGCCACGCTGAGCCCAGCAAGGCCGCCGACGCCGAGACCAAGAAGGACGAGGAGGAGGACGACGGCGAGGAGGTCGATGCTGAGGGCATCGAGGACAAGGACATTGAGCTGGTCATGACCCAGGCCAACGTCAGCCGGAAGAAGGCCATCAAGGCCCTGAAGGAGAACGACAACGATATCGTTAACTCCATTATGGCATTGAGTATTTAGCGACGGCTACAGCCAAAGATAGTTTCTCAAAATCTCGACAACGGCAAAAAGGATGGAATGGGTTGGCATGTACAATTCCCAGGGAGTTGACTCCGAAAAGTCTCTTTCGCAATAAGATGATAATCGGCGTTTTCATCTCCCCCGTAACTTTCCCTCGTAAGACGCGTAGACATCATCCTTGGCCTGTTCATTTGCAATCTTGGGATATGTTCAATGGCGGCTTGGGAGATGGAATTCAGCTACCCCTCGATCGTGGGAATTGGCTCAAACCGAATTCCTGAGAGCGAGCTCTGCCCCACCATGCAACCAGTCGCTCGCGCCAACCAGCTGCTGCGGCCGTGTATCGATCACGTGACCTTTCATGTGACCTAGTTCATCCCGGCTCTTTCTCTGCTCTCCGTTCGGCAAAGTCAATCAACAACCTCACGTCGACGCAACTCTCTCTCCACTCCCCCGAACCCTCAACATATCCTACAAAATGGCCGCAGTACGTATTCCCCATCGAATCTCACCAGTAGCCTCCCGTCGATTGATGCAGCCCCGGACAATGACGCCAATTGGGTTGCGCGCCCGCCGTACCGCTCCCTTGAAGCCGGGCCTGAGCTAATTTCTTCATTCCCTGCAACAGCGAAGCGCAGCTCTCAAGCTCGACTGGGCCAAGGTCACCACCTCGCTCGGCCTGCGCGGCCAGACCGCCGCCTCTCTCCAGGCCTTCAAGCAGCGCAATGAGTCCGCCCGCCGCCGCGTCCAGCAGCTCTCGGAGCTCCCCACCACTGTTGACTTCGCCTACTACCGCTCCACCCTCAAGAACCAGGCTGTCGTCGACGAGATCGAGAAGCGCTTCACCGCCTTCAAGCCCGCCACCTACGACGTCAACCGCCAGATCAAGGCCATCGAGGCCTTTGAGGTCGAGGCCGTCAAGAACGCCGAGGCTACCAAGCAGAAGGTCGACCTCGAGCTCAAGGACCTCGAGAAGACCCTGACCAACATCGAGTCCGCTCGCCCCTTCGAGGATCTCACTGTCGTACGTGCCGATCAGAGAGATGGGGATTGCACTCGTGTGGACGCTTACGATGACCGCAGGACGACGTTGCCGCCGCCGAGCCCTCGATCGACGAGAAGACCTCCCAGCTTGTCTCCAAGGGCCGCTGGTCCGTTCCGGGATACAAGGTACGGTCAACCTGCAACGCAGATGCGCTTCGGCATGCTAATACCCTCTATAGGAGAAGTTCGGCGACCTTTCGGTGCTATAGACGCTTTCACTCTTCGATCCCCTTTGTGTACTCTAGCATTGTAGATAGGCGATCGGTCCAAGGGGAGGGAACCAGCCCAGTGGACATTAATATCGACCTGCTGTACCAAGCGCGTTGTTTGAACACTTGACGGTCGTTGGCGCTGCTCGACGGAGTTGGCAACGCATATCTGACAGGCGCTAATTGTTCGGTTGAATTTTTCCGTTCGGAGTTTACGTCCTCGGTTGTAACCCCCGGCGTCCTTTACCCGAGCCAAAAGACCAAATTCTCCCCGAAATGGCAACTTCTAACCCGTAGTACCCGAATTCCATCACAATTGACCTTCCGACGTCTAGAAAGCAGCCCATCGAACTTTTGCCTCGAAGTGGCATCCGGGGGTGGCGGTTACGCGCACCCCGGCATCCCGGCAATACTGCCGGATAAACGGGATCGCGCCGCGACAACAACAACCCGGAATCACCGACTTCCCCGCCCGCGACATTAGTTTCAAGATGGCTCAAAAGCATCTTGTCTGCCCTACTGCCTTTCCGCGACAAGCGTTTGAGGTTGTGCGTACTGCCATTCTCACACCCGCTTCACCTGATTCGCCTCGCCCATTGTGCTTGCTACTAATCTCAGTTACTGAAATTGGACATGGACTCATTGGACCATCTCATCCTCAGAGAGGCACCCCCTTTAGATGCCGCCTGGCTCGCCTACGAAGAGGAAGTATCTCTCCAGGCCCCGAAGAAAGCGTATGCCTCACCACTCGATCGCCAGCCCGTCTACGCAGAGGAATGCAGGCAGCTGAACGCCCGCATGCTCGCGCCCGGCGCGCCATGCCACCATCTCTCACACGTCTCGACGCAGCAACTGACCACTGCGTCGAGCCTCGACGGCTTCGCCATCCCGCTACTTTGTTTTTTCAACGAAAGCGTCGAACCGGCGTCCGAAGACGAGGGCGTCGTGGTGATCTATTACCACGGCGGTGGGCTTTACGTCGGCGAGTCGGACAGCGAGGAGCTCTCCTGCAGGCGGATCGTCAACGACTTTGCGAGCGCAACGGTGTACTCGGTGGGGCACAGGCTGATGCCGGGCTTCCCGGCCTCGACTTGCGTATCCGACTCGCTGGACGCCTTCGCCCACGTCCGCGCCCTTCACCCATCGGCGAAGAAGCTCATTCTCATCGGCTCATCGAGCGGCGGACAGCTCGCGGCCACTGTTTCGCAACTCGTGCCGCGCGGCAGCTTCCACGGTGTCGTGCTCCGGTGCCCCGTGACCAGCGACGGCGGCAGCTCTCTGGACTTCGTCCCGGAACGTCTCCGGCACGCGTACACCTCCACCTCGCCGTCCTTCGTCACGAGCCTGCTGGGCGTGCTCGGGCGGGCGGTGCCGAGGGACGGGTTAGGGAGGATGCCGCTAGAGGCTGGGGTAGAGGAGCTGAAGGGGATGCCGAGGACGTGGGTGCAGGTGTGCAGCAACGACACGCTGTACTCGGACGGGGTTTGTTACGCGATGGCGCTGAGGGAGGCCGGGGCCGAGGTTCGGGTCGAGGTCGTGAGGGGGTGGCCGCATACGTTTTGGCTGAAGGCGCCCGGGCTGACGAGGGCGGTTGAGGCGGAGAGGGAGATGGTGGAGGGGCTAAGGTGGGTTTTGGAGAGCTGAGGGGACGGTTTGTTAGAGAGTGAGCGGGGTGCGGAATGAGACAGGCTTTGGACAAGAGGTGTTCTTCGATGAAATCGCCATGCTGCAGAACGGTTCAGCTTGAGGTGTCGGAAAGTCAAGGGGTCTTTCAAGGCCACGATTCTACGACAGCCGAGACGTAGCATGAAGGGTGGCAGAACTATGGTGAGAAGCATTCTACGAACGCTCTGCGAATCGTGAAAGCGTCAACGTGAAACTGAGTTGAGTTAGGTCTTGTCGAGTACCAATGTCTTTCTTCAGGCGAACATGCGGTCAGGCTGAAAGCAGCGCCGACGACCAACATGATGCTATACCGTCGTTCAGCTCCCACACAGCCGACCCCGATGCCCAGGGCATCGTAACAAAGATACACAGTTCCATAAGTCTGTCCGAGGCTGAAGAACAATGCAGCTGTAATTCGGGTGAGAATTATACTGACGGCTAAAGCGGGGAACATGGTATTGACCTGTCATCCCGGCCATGACAAGAATACGGGATATGCAGGTCGATATTACAGCAAGCGTAAGTAGAAACCAACCTTTCTCAGCGAGGTCCTTATGTGCATGCCGGATTGGTTCTCCTCTGAACTGGTATCTGAGAGTATATCTTGGGATCCCGTCACTCCTACCTCCATCGCCACACGGCCTTCCTGTACCATGGTGAGATAGCATGTATAGAGTGAATGTTTCCTTTCTCAATGGAGTCAACAACCAGATTTTCTGCTACTTGATACTGTCGCCAGGGCTCGTCTATGTAGCGTGGCAGAAGTCCCTCGGCATTTGACATAAGTCAATACTGGATACCGAATGCTATAAGACAAGGCACATTATAACGGCCCTATAAGGATAGATGCTGAATAGATTTCAATATCAACATAAGGCTATCCCCTATTCTTGAAAAAGGTGACAGCGCAAACCTCTCACATACACTTACTGCCCATTCACAACTCAAAGCGGCAAAATCCACCTCAGATCGTTCTTGCCTTTTTGACTGCCCTGATCTCTTTCTACTTTTCCTTCTCAATTGCTTCTCTTTTCTTTTCTTCCGAGGTAGCTAACAGATTAAAAGCTCTGCCACCCAAAGAATATTTGATCCTCCTCTCTCACCCTTTAATCCGCATTCTTTCTTCCACCCATCCACACCAAAACAACCCAACCTACCTAAAGGGAACGGGTAGAAGGCCGCAAAGCAAATCAACTGAACACGCGCTTTATACTCACGCACGCTCACCAGAGGAACATCATTACGACGGAGCTCAACAGCAAAGAAACCCCATAGCAGCAATGGCAGGTGACGCGCGCAAGAAAGGAGGCGTCTATAGCGACAACCCGAAGACACGGAGAACAGTAGAGTATCTCCAAAACCTCCCTACCGAGAAGAGGAATGAGAAGCGAAAGAACTTCCTTGAGTACCGCTCTTTGAGAACCACATGCATTACCCGTGCCAAGAAAGCAGACTACCAGCAGAGCCGCTCGCGGGACGACAAACTCACCATGCTGCGTGAGGCCTGTCATAATGCCATTGCTAACAGGTATGCATTTGATTGCCTCTTATCCTTCTTCAGTTCTTCTGATCATCACTGTCTTTCGAACGTTCATCATAGAATATGGGTGTATACATACCATATACTAACTGGACATCAAGGCTGAAAAAGGGCATCGACTATGAGGGCACTGACATTGAGACCCATGTCGCTCGCTTCCATGATCGCGCCTTTTTTGACGGCAACAAGAAGAACGCTAGCGCCTCCAACATTGCCAGCACCCCCAGTCCTGCCAGTGAGGCCGCCGACCCCGACTCTGACACCGAGCAGTCTGCCAACGCCCACAACGGCAGCCAGACTACAGCGCCTGCAAGCACTCCCAGCACAACCAACATAGCTGACTCCATCGGGGACCATAGCACCATCACCGATGGTATTGGCGAGGAGTTTCAGCTACTTGAAGAAGAGTATGAGATGATACTCCAAGAGATGAGCGTCCGCGCGTACATCCAGCTCCAGACCGCCCACAAGCTGCGTCTCCTAGTGGAGGCTGCTGGCTTCTGAGCACACGGCTTCCGACACCCCCGTCCCCGGCCAATCACCTTCTCACGTCTGTTTTCTGCAATCTGGCTCTTACCTGGTGCAGTGTCGGCCTGAAGATGCCGTCTTCGACTCGGCAAGATGCTGTCCAGGCTTGGTGGATAGATGCGCAAAGCACGGCTCGATCGGCAGCAGCCCTAACAGATAGAGGAAGACTTTTTTTTCTTTCTTGGTATGTCGAGGAACAGGATATTAATTACAGATGCGAATTGAGAGAGAGTTTGGCCCGGCGGTTTGTGAGTGTACGTGAGAATGGACGGTGATGCTGAGTCACGATAATGGTGTGGTGATAACGCTAACAGAGGTCACGAACCCGTCGACCGAAAGACCCTGGACCCCGGCGTCCTTGGCCGGTTCGTTGGATCCGGCTTGGGGCCGTGGCTAGGTGCCCGAAATGCCGGTTCGTGAGTCAGCAACTTGAACGACTGGGGCCTCGGCGTCGACCGTCAGATGAACCTAGACGACGCGCGACCAACCAGCCACCCCGGGGCATGGCGAGCACCAAGCCAGATGCGCCGCCAGCGAGCCGCCCAATCCAGCGTTCCCCTCCAAAAGGCTGAAAAAGTTTATCACGTAACTAACGAAAACGAACGAGTGGGTTCGCCCTCACCGGGTAAGCGCTCGCGAACGCCGGGAGATGCAGGACGAGCAAGAAATCCGGCGCGGGTCTTCCGAGTGGCTGCTGTGCTACGTGTACCATGCGTCGGGCCGGGAACAAGACAAACGTCCCAGGGCTGTTGTTCTTCGGCGGGCAAGAGACGAAATCACGGACTGTTACAGCATAAGGTGTATGAGAGATGTTGGATTAAGCTAAACCGCGGACGGATAGAACGGGGGGGGTTGGTTTCAACTGCATGGTCGGGTGGACGACCCATGTCAAGTCCACTCCCCCCCCTCTTCTCATCAGGGTCCGTACATACTTTTCTCTCACACAAGTGCTACCCCGTTCGCGAACCCCCGCGCACTCAGATAATCCCAACCCACCCACCCCAAGGGTAGACAGTTGGTAGGGGGGTATTGCAGCTTCGGGGGGGGTGTCCGGCCAGTGGGGCAGAAGTTCAGGGGGGGTAAAGCCCTAAGCACCGTGTGGATTAAAAAAAACTAACTAAAGCATACTTAGCATATGCTAAGCATATGCTAAGTATATACTAATAATATAGTGTCTACCTTCTATAAATATAGAGGACTTAGTTAGAAGACTTAGGTCTAAGTCTACTATAGTTATAGAGGCTAGTCACTATATTAAAGAGGATATACTGAGCATATACTAAGTATATACTAATAAATATAGTACTTACCTTCTATAACTATAGAGGACTTAGACCTAAGTCTTCTAACTAAGTCCTCTATATTTATAGAAGGTAAACACTATATTTATTAGTATATACTTAGTATATGCTCAGCATATGCTCAAGCTCTCGCACTTCTCACACTCTAAGCTAAGCCTAAATAAGCCTGATAACCCTAACCCTAGCTACTTTACCCCCCCCGAACTTTTCGGCCCCACAACGGATACCCCCCCCCCGAAGCTGGAATACCCCCCTACCAACTGTTCTCCCCCACCCCAATCGATACTCTCCCGAGGAGGAACCTTCTCTTCCCCCCCCCCTCCCACCAAGAAGAGTCCGGACTGGGCCAGCACGAGCCATCGAACAAGCGAGAACCACCGACTCTCGACCCGCGCCGATGGTTTAGTGGTAAAATTCTCCGTTGCCATCCGAGCAGCGTCGGGGAGCCGGGGGTTCGATTCCCCCTCGGCGCACAAATCATTCATTTTTCCTTTCTTTCATTTTTTATATTTCTTCTTATTTTCTTTTTTTTCTTATTAACTGCCAGTCGAGGCAAGGTGAGGATGGTTTCTGCGTCTTTCCGTCTCGTCTGTTCGCCATCATTGTGCGTACGTACGTACCTGCGCGACACCTCGAGAGGGACAACCCGCGCTTGGCAACGTAGCCAACCAAGCTTCTTTCGTCTGTTCGTCTTTGCAGGAGGAAAGTGGCGTGTGTGTGTGGCGTGTATATGCGCAATTCTTTTTTCATGTTTTGATGTCGGCGGGGTACAGATACGCGCCCCCCCCCCTATGACATTGAGGGGCCCTGACGAGGACCGTCCATAGAGAGAGGGAGGACCGGGCCGAACAATCGATTATGCGTAGGCAAAGAAAGACACGACGTACCTGCGACCCCTCTCCACCTCCTCCAAGGTGAAGGAAGGGGTGTGGATTAGGCATATCCGAGGATGAAAGCCTCTCTCACTCTCTCTCTCTCTCTCTCCCACGCCGCTCGGATGCTAGAACTTTTCCCTCTTGAATCGTCTTGAGACGCCGAGAGAGAGAAAAAAGAAGAAATCTTCGAGCTGTCCGGGAACTCTCCCAACCCCAAAACCCCACCAATCAACCAATCAATCAGTCAGTCAGTCAGGTCAGGTTCACTTTGCTTGAGCTCGCGAAAGTTGGAAACGAAGCAGAGGAAATAAGCTTAAGCTTAGTATTCATTGGGGTGGGATCCGGTAAACTCGTTCCGGTGCTTCCTCTCTAAGTGTGTGTGTGTGTGGAACATATGATGAAAAAAGCAAAAAAAAACAAAATCTCTAAGAGGTATCGTGAAAGAGCGAAGCCAACACCCCCTCCAGGAAAAAAGGAAAAAGAAGACATGAAACGCTACCCAAGTGCCGGATCCGTAAAACGCCAAAGCAAAGCAATCCAGTGTCAAGAAAGCAGACCCGGGAAATGTAACCGACGGGAGAGGGAGGGAGGGGTCGTCCGATCGCCGGTAAAACAACGTGCACGGCGACCGCCGCGGCCGCCGCCCCCTCCCTCCCGCATACAGCAAATACATCAAACGCCGAAACCAGCCCGAGAATGCATTGACCAAACAATCCCCTCCCTCACAGCTTCTCCATAAGGTTCTTCCTCGCGGTCCACATGCGGGCCCGCTTGCCGTACAGGTACATGGGGATGGTGAGGAAGAGGAAGATGAGCTGGATGACGCCGAGCCAGATGAAGACCATCTTGGGCCCGTCGTCGGTGAGCCAGTGGGTGACGAAGAGGCTGAAGACGAGGCCGTGGAAGATGTTCTTGCTGAAGTTGAGCGTGACGAGCGCCTCGCCGGCGTACTGCCGGTAGCTGTCGACGCAGAAGGTGATGGCGGTCGTGGACCCGAGGGTGCAGCCGAAGGAGATGATGCCGAAGAAGATGGTGGGCACGATCCAGTGGTCCCGCTCCTGGGCCGACCAGCCGAAGCCCATGAGGCCGATGACGGTGGTGACGGCGACGGGGGCGGCCATGACGAGGCGGAACTCGGGCTCGTAGAGGCCGCCGTTGCGGCGCGCCATGGACTTGACGATGATGTCGCTGACCTTGCCGGCGACGGCGGTGCCGAGGACGCCGCCGATGAAGGGGGACAGGTAGACGAGGCCGGTCTGGAGGGCGTCGAAGTTGTACGACTTGCGGTCGCGGTAGATGAGGGCGACGGACTCGGACACGACGATCAGCCAGCCGACCGACAGGGAGTAGACGACGGCGGACCAGAACACGGCCGGGTAGGCGAAGAGGACAAACGGCCGCAGCATGACCTTGAACCAGCGGTCCTGGTTGAGGCGGCCGTTCCAGGGCTTCAGCTGCTCGGTGAAGGACTTTGCGGGCTGGTTGCGCAGCGTCTCGGTGTAGGCCAGCGACATGGACGGGGAGGTCTCGCCCGACGTCCGCGTGGGGACCTTCTGGGCCTCGATGTCGGTCTCCTTGGCGTAGTAGTCGCCCGAGGTGTCCGAGGTGCGGGGGGCGGGGGTGGGATTGGACGACTCGGAGGCGCTGCGCGGGTCTTTCTCGGCGTCCTTGACGCCTTGACCGTCTTGGTTGGTGGCGATGGCCAGTCGGACGATCTTGTCCGTCTGTTGACGCGAAGGGCTGTGCGGGGGTTCGAGCGTAGGGCTGGCGGAGGTCGGCTCTACGTTCGCAGCTACATCCATCTTTTGCGTGCTCGACCTTCGAGGCTGGGCGGCGTTCCTCGTGGGCGCGGGCATCCGGTCCCAGAACGTCTCGGGCACGAAGAAGAAGAGAAGCACGCCGGAGAACGCGACGACCATTGTGACGACCCTGAAGATTATCGTGTGAGTGATGTGTTTCAGAAATGGTAAAAAAAAAAAAAAAAAAAAAAGACTTGAGCAAACTCACCAGAAAACCCAACGCCATCCCAAGGCCTGGATGACAACGGCGCTGACGAGCGGCACCAGGTTCTTGCCGCCGAGCAGCAGCAGGGTGTAGATGCCGATGCGGAAGGCGCGCTCGTGGAGGAAGAAGATCTCGGCGATGGTGGCGGAAGGGAGGCACTCTACCGGGCTCACGGCGATGCCCTGGAAGATCCTGGCCAGGATGAGCGAGATAAAGTTGGGCGACAGGGCGGCCCAGACGGAGCTGGCGATGAAGATGATGGCGCTGAACAGGTAGACGGGCCGCTTCCCGTACAGGATGGCCGTCGGCGAGAAGATGACGGAGCCGAGACCCAGGCCCATCATGTACAGGCCGGTGGTCAGGGAGACGGTCTCGGTCTCGACGTGGAAGTCCTGGGCCACGTTGGTGAAGCCGGCGGCGAGCAGGGGGGTCATGCCGCCGCCGACCATGCAGTAGAAGCCGAGGGCCAGCAGGGCGCAGTCGCGCCGCCACTCGGGCCAGTTGAGGGGGTCGTTGGCCGACTCTTCAGGCTGGGGGTTCAGAACGGTGCCGTCCTTGGTCGTCTTGGCGTCTCTGGTCGGGTCAGGCATGGAGGAGTGAGCCGTCCTGGCGGGCGTGTTGCTCACGCCCATGGGCGCGTTGTGCCTGCCGAGAAGAAAAACGGATCCTGCAGGGCTTGTCAGCGCCTAGGTTCTTGGGGGACAAAAGCGTGTACGAACCGCGGGGATATGCTTACCTGGTACTTCGAGCGTTTGAGGATCATTGAGGACGCCCAAGCTCCATTTCGGGATGCTGGAATGTCTCTCTTCTTCCGTCGCGTCGTCCTTTCCGTTCTTGTTACCGAAGACACCGCCGAAGCGGCTCTTCCACGTCGGAACACCTGCCATGGCTGGCGGTTCTGAGAGAGAGAGGGAGGGAGAGAGAGAGGGAGAGTTCCTAGGTGAAAACTAGGACTGCGAGTGTGCGAGTGCCGCGTCTGTTTGGCAGTTGACGACAAGAAGGTCTTGTGCAAAAGCTTGGAAAAGAGGAGTAAGGCAAATCTGCTCGAGAGACGTGCTGGACGAGACTAGATAAGACAAATGGCGGGTTGGCATTCAGAGCGGTCGAGCATTTGTCGTCTTGAGGTCAACCGTGCATGCGAGAAGATGAGATGGAGATAAGGTTGTCGATGTCCAAGAGCCGGATGGGAAATGCCGTGAGAAGAGCAAGGCTAAGCAGTAATGTCGCTCGGCGTGGGAATAACGGAAAAACAAACTTTTTCAGAACAGATGCAAGAGTCAAAAAGTCAAGTTGATACTTTTCAAGTAAGTTGCAGAGAAGGAGGAATGTGGATGGATGCAGAAAAAAGACAAAGGACGGCGCGAGCTGATGATGATGGGACGGACTCTCTCTCTATAAGGAGCAGCGCCGTACGACTGGTGGGGGGGGGAGGTTTTTGTTGTTGATGGGAGATGGCGGTGTTGTTGGTTGTAGGTAGGCGGAAACCAAAAACAGCATGCGGCTGGCCCGTGCAGTGCGATGGCGTCAGAGGGTATAATGCACGCTGTTTGATTAATATTGAATGATGGCGGTATCGTCTCACGAGTTGGCAGAAGACCAAGAGGCCAAGGATGAACCTCGACGCCGGTTGTAGGGTGAGATGCAGGGCGGCGGCCTGTATGATTACGGCGGTGTTGTTGCTTCGCGCAGTTGCTACCAGCAACTTGGGACGAAATAAGATAAGCCGCAGTGCAGTCCACAGTGCAGTGCAGGCAGTCCGCAGGGGGGGGGCGATATCAGGAAGTGGACGACGGGCGAGTCAAGCGTCAAGGAACGACGATATGCGGGGGGGGGGTTCATGCCTGCGGTCAAGGATGTCGTCGCTTCAGGCGGGTGGCCGTGGAGTAATTATTGGGAGGGGGGGTGCTGAGCACCAAAGAGACATATGTTCGTCCCATTGGGTCGACCCAGGGCCATCTTCTCAGGCAGATGATGGATGATGGATGATGGATGGGCATGTGACTCAAAGTTGTCGTTGGTATGGATCGGCTGGCCATGGGTGCAAGTCGACGACGCGTTCCAAGGATGTGAGCCAAATGAGGCCACATGCCCCTCCCTAGGTTGCATGTTTGATGGGCGCGTGCATCTTGGTTCAGTAACGCGGGGTTTCCGGAGACGCCTCTTACCCTCCAAAAGCAAGCAAGCAAGCAAGCGAGGCTACCATGGTTGCTGTTGCTGACAGTCGACTGGGTTGTGCGCCAAGACGCACCGGCGCTCGGAGGATTCGAGAGTGCACAAGAACGAGAGAGAGAGAGAGAGAGAGAGAGAGAGGCAAGGAACGGAACGGAGTGGAAGAGAGGGGATGGGAGGAGAGAGGAGACGAGGCGAGGCGAGACGAGGCGAGGCGGTGGAAGGAGGGGGAAACGGACGGTGTGAAATCCATCACCGGCCGGGGGGCATGGATGGAAGGGTGGCGAAGCGAAGCGGTGACCAGATGAGCATGGACGGACGGACGGGTAACGCCGAGCCTCAACTCAAGAGACCGGGGCTGATTAGGCGCCAAGCCCGTCGCACGTGTCTTGACGGCCGTCCGTGGAATGACTACGCTGACGGTGGGATTGGTCCCTGATACTACATGGTACGCCTATGCTCGTGTTGAACCCCGTGGGAAAATGGGGGCCAGGGTGGCCATTTTGCGTGAAACGATCGAACATTCGAGTATACGAGGTACAGTACGGAATGCTTGCTAGTGCTACTATCCGTATATGCACAGATATGGCGAGGGGGGCTGGGGTAACTGGGGATGAATGCGGCTGAAGGGGACGGAAATGGAACGAAACCAATGTATATCGTACATTGTGCTATTTGCCTACTACTTGCTGTACCTATTCGAGGCGCCGTCCAGAAACCGCCAGAAACAGAAACGGTAGGCAAGATTACCGTAGATGCATCTGAGATGGGTGTGACGTGGCGCGCTGGCCAACCTTCTAGACGGTACACTAGATGGTACATTGGATGGTAGACTACCAGTAGATGAATACCTACCTACCTACCTACAGTAGCTAAGTTCCACGTCAGCTGCCAAAGTCAATCAGTCGACTGATGGCGATGCCTCGATGCAAGTGCGTCTTTTCCCTTGTATTTTGCTTCCCTTGGCACTTGGCACTTAGTGTGTGCTTCGCACGTGTGTGTTTTGCATGGTTGTGGACAGGTACCTAGGTATTCGATGCCTGTGCGACATTTACAGGGTCCTCCTTGGCTGCCCATCTTTGGGGTAGATACCAGGTACGTCGTGTGATGTCCATCGCCCACTACTACGGTACACTACCAATCTACCTACCTACCTACAGGTACCTATCAGTTTACCGACTTACCTGTCTACCGCCTAAAGCCTAAACTTAAACTACCTCACCAACCGCTTCAGCACCTGCCAGCGCTGCAGAAATGCATGCTTATGTCATCTACCGCGACCATACGTCATTCCGCGCATAGGGTCGCAGAGCTCGCCCCACTCGTGGCTTTACGCGGCTTTCTTTCTTCCTTGCAAAGGGTGACTGCCGAGGATTAAGCGCGTCGGACACAGCAGCAAAACCGGCCTTACGGAACAACGCGAGATCGCCGCCGGATAAACAGCTTTTGACAGCCAACGGCGGCAGTTAGAGTTACCTTTACCTACCTAGGCAGGAAACACGATTTGCTACCGTTAGCCCCCGTCAACCGCGCATATCTTTTCGTTGGCAGACACATCTCGCAACTCAATCCCCCGTAATCCGTATCTTGCCTTCCTTCCTCTCGCAAGGTTCTGTCGCAAATCACCTCGTCGAGTCGCATCACGACGCATCACATCACGAGGCCGCCTTCAACGACGTCATCCGGCAGCGTGCACTGCGTTGCATACCGATACATACCAGCAGGTCAGGATCCCTCGAGCCAAGCGCGAGCGAGTGCCATAATGCACCTCCTGCGGCACGCGGCCCACACCGCCCTGCGGCGCTGCTCCGACGCTTCCCTGGCCAAGGGTCTTCGCACGCCATCCTTCAAACGACCCGTCGTGGTCCCCGCGATTGCCTACTTCTCCACATCTCGCAGCACGCCTGCCAAGAACCAGATCTTCGCATCGTAAGTGGGGGGCACTGCACGCTCCTCCGTACTGCACTGCACACCCATACGTGTGCAGCCCTTTTTCCTGTCCATGTCAAACGCCCGGCTAACCCGCTGCTGCCGCTGCCTCCAGTGTCCGACATCCCAACGACTTCCATACCTACCAGCTCATGTCCTCTTCGTCCCGCACACCTCTGATAACGCTGTGGACCACTTCGTGGTGCGGGACCTGTCGCGTCGTCGCTCCTCTGGTCCGGTCCCTCGTGGAAGCCGGCGTGGGCGAGGCCGAGGGCGGTGTCGCATACTGCACGGTCGAGTTCGACTCTCCCGACGTCATGAGCGAGGGACTGGGCATGACCTACATGATCACCTCGATCCCCACCCTGCTCAGCTTCGACAACCAAGAAGCCCAGATCCAGACAAAGGTCCACGACGCGAAAAAGCTGACTGACCGTGCCTTCCTCGAAGAATGGATCAGGACCGAGGCTCGGCGTCACGGGCAGCGCGGAGCCGGCGGGGGGCCCGGCGGCGTCTTTGGCGGGCTGTTTGGCGGCTTCAAATGATGCGAATGGACAAGTCACCAAGTACACACGGCGCCGCGCCCTCGAGCCGAGTCAATGGGCTTGATGTGTCAGCCTGTAGACGGCGCACAATAGGCTGCCCGACGTGATCAAGACGCAAACGCTGATAACTCTGTCGGTCGTTGACTATAAAAACAAGAATTGCAACACACTCGATACCCCCCCCTCACCTGTCCTCAAGGCGTGAAAAACACCTCCTCGATGGGCTTCCACCACGAGGGCTCGCCGGCCTCGCTGCTCACGGCGCCGGGGACCACCGACTCCTGCCAGCCGTCGGTCATGGCCCACCACTCGCGCACCTTTGGGTTTTCCTTCATCTTCTCCATGTCGCCGGCCCAGTCGTAGCCGACGTACTTGAAAGTGGCGAACAGGATGCGCGAGTCGGGCTCGTGCCAGATGCTGTCTGTTTTGTTTGGTAAGGGTTCAGCTTCTGCGTGACTTTTTTTTTCTTTTTCTTTCTTTTCCTTCTTGTTTACTCCCGGGTCGGGGGCGGGTCGGGTTTGTTACCTACAGTCGACAATGTTGCATTCTTTGATCTGCTTGAGCACCTCGGGCCAGACGTTGGCATGGACCTCCTTGTACTTGTCGATGAATTCGGGCTTGAGCTTCACAATCTGGGCAATGCGGCGACCGGGGTTCCTTTGTCTGGCGGTGACGGGCGCAGCAGGCTCCACTTCGGTTGGGCTACCGGCCGCGGCGGGGGAGGAAGCGCGCTTGCTGGACCACATGATGCCTGCTGGATTCGTTGGAAGAGGCTCGTCGTGGATGGCGAAGGTGACGAAGATGCGGGAAGTTTGTTTGCTGGCAAGGTGTGCCCGGCCGAGGGTTGGGCCAAGTGTGTGTATGCCGAGGACTCAGACACAGGTCTGGAGAAGCGTAAGCATCTACTGAGAGCCGATCGGATCAGCGGAGGGGGAGGGGGGAAGCGGTTGATAACACGACTGGATAAAGCGACGGGCGGATGGGGTCTCGGACACGTCGGGCGAAGAATGTCGCGAGGCGGGGCGCGAGGTGTGGGGTACGGGTGCGGGGGAGGTTTGGGAGACTCTTCAGTGGCATTCACCAATACGTACATGCGGCGCTGCAGGCACGCGAGACAGAGGAGTACAGAGGGACACCTTTCGAACGCGATCGACGGCCGTCTTCCCTCCAACTTTATTTATCGTTTCGACGCAGTTTGACAGGCTGGGGTATGAGATTATAATATCGGCGCGGAGAGAGAGAAGAGAGGGAGAGGTAGAGAGAGAAGATGCACAACAACGATTAACTAATGAATATTCATTAATCAATCAATCGGCAGCCCGCGCCAGACTTTGGCGTGCGTGTGCTTCTTATACCTTTTTCCTCGGTGCAGAGTTGACTCCTCATCCCATCTTTTTCTTTTCACCCGCCGCTTCTAGGCCCTAGTCTGCCTGCATCAAACAGCACATGTCCGCGTCTTCCGAACTCGAGCATCTGAGCGTCTCCGGGCGGGTGTCTCACCCACGCACACGCTCCATTCACCTCTGCTTGCGAGGGAGACAGCGAGCAACAGGAATTGTGTTCCCTGGGCCTCGGTATTTGTTCCGCTAACCAGGGGGGTTCTCCCGGGGGTTCTCCCTCCCCTTCTGCAGCATATGTCATCACCGGCAAAAGGGCCTGGGTCTGACGGCCTCGCGACGGCTGAGGTTAGGAAGGGGAAGGGGGAAATGACAGCCCCCCCCCCGCCCCCCGGAAGGACGGGACACAGACAGGTGCGCTTGTCGGTCAGAGCGAGTCGGGTATCTATCCCGCGTCTGCGGGTTCCTTGAGCGGGGATGGAGGCGGCGAATCATGGACGAGCCGCCCGACGAACGGACCGGGGGGGAGGTTCGGTACCGAAGTTTCGCGTATGGGCTTTGTTTGTGACCGTGGCATCCTGACATGCCAAACTCCCCGGCCAATCTCACAACGAGCCGCTGAATGACTACTCCAATGAAGACCGGCCATCCGTCATACGAAGACCCCGTTGGGCATACGAGTCTTCACGTGTGAATGTCCCCCCCCCCCCCCCCCCCCCACGAGCGGTTTCAACGGTCCTGTCCCGGTTAACCTTTTGTTTTCTTTTCTTTTCCCCTGTTTCCACGACCACGCGTGCCCGTGTCTCACGAGCATGCCATCCTCCCCTCGCCCTCGTGAGCGATAGATGCCATTGGGTGGTTTCACGTTCTCGTCTGGTCCGACTGGACCCGGCCCGGCGGCACCTCCCGCTCCCGCCTTGTCTGTCTCTCGGACGCCGGTACCCATGTGAGCTGCTTTGTATAGTTTTAGAACGGGGTGATGTGACCTGGGGGCAGTAGCACCCTTTTTTTCCCCTTTGGGTTCTGGGGCCGTGGGGCTTCGATTCGTTGGCTTCCCACCTTTTTGTCGCTTTACCGTGAGACGGTGGTGTTCGCACGTCATGACTCTTGGCATGCCAGTCGTGTGCGGCCATGATGCGTTTCGTTTTTGACGACCGGCGTGCCGGATGTTGCGAGGCCGTTCGTCGACGCATCCCTCGCACCGTCAACCTTGACACGTCGTTGACGGACTGTATCGGGTGTACGCTATGCGGTTACCAACTTTGAGGCAAGAGAGGTGCTGAATGCGCGTCGTGTTTTGGGTGCTTTGCTCGTCTTATTTCTGCCCTGCCACGCTGCCTCGGAGAGACTGGGGTAGGCCTATATGCTTTGCTTTCATTTCTCTCCCTTCTGTTCACGAGGGCCTCATGTTGTAGCAGGTCCAGAGACGGGTGGCGGCGCCCAGGGGATCCTTGGTGGGCAATGCGGTTCCATCCGCGGTCAGCGTCTCCAGCAAAGAGGAATCGCGGCAGGGGCCGGGACCTCACGGGGGGGGGGGGGGGGGGGGGGGGGGGGCTTTCGTCTAGCTCGTAAACAGGGTCCATGAGGCACGGGTGATGTTGATCGGTTCCGGGGACGAGGACCGCGCGGGCGTGCGTTTTTACTCGGGTCCTCTCGGCATGCCGTCCGAGTTTCTTGTCCGCCGTGAGACCCCCACCCACGAGGGCTTCCGTGAGAGAGATACGGACCGCTCGACTCGGCTCCGGATACGGGCATGTTTGACGCCGTGTTCTTGGGCGCGCGGGTATGGATGCCGCGACTGTGACGTGGCGGAACGACGCCGGGATCCCGTGTGAGTGGGAGGGATGGGCGGGATGGTGATGTGTAAAACCTGAAGTGACGGACAAGATGGAGCTGGAGCTGTATCTCTGGGTAAATCTTGTGAAGGTTTAAAAGGTATCTGAGACGGTATTGCGTGTTAGTTGGTTGTCTCACTTGATATCAATAATTTAATTCAATTTTGTTTCGTCTTTGAATTGTCTCAACACTTCCTTCTACACATCGGCAGTCTCGATAGGATACGACTGAGCATGTCTGGGATCTGGTCCGGTATAAAACTACACACGGAGAATCCCAGTTGAACAATCCCTCAATCGGTTACAATAGGTAGATCACCACGTCCCGGTCTTCCGTCATTGACCCCCCCCCCCCCCCCCGCGCCGTGGTCGCCCACCGCGGAGCGGGCCGGAACCCCCGGGACAGGTCCATGGATCTCCGCATGAAGGGATCTTCAGCTCACAACTGGGCACATCTTGCATCTCACTTCACGAGTCATCTCACATGCGCCGATGGTTTAGTGGTAAAATTCTCCGTTGCCATCCAGCAGCGTCGGGGAGACGGGGGTTCGATTCCCCCTCGGCGCATTTCCTTTTGCTTTTGCGTCAATTTCAACTGAACCGACCTGCTTTAATTGCAATTGGCTTCCGTGTGTGTGTGTGCTTTCTGGCTGGTTTAGGAGCGGTTTTGAGATAAAGGTTGTGTGCGCCGGCACGGCGGACCTATTGGCTCTGGGTTCATCGCCGAGGGATAGTGAGATGACAAGCGAGTATTAAGGAAGCCCTTCACTTCACTTGAATTCGGTAGCTGGTTAATATGTGTATCAGATAGGGCTGTGAACCTGCTGATTGACCTCGTGCATGTGTTGCTCCTCCGTTTACGGAACTTGAGGTTGTTGCGCCCGGCGTTCATGTCAACACGAAAGCCGTGGGGTGAATGAAATACACGAGACAAGACAGGCAAGCAGCAGAGAGAGCACAGGTTAATCATACTATTGAATCGTATCCCAATGCAATTAGCAGCCTAAACGTCACCAGCAGACACACGACAGACAGGCAAAAAGTGAGGACTGTCCCTGGCAAGGCTCGAACTTGCGACCTTTGGATATCCCGACCTGGAGGCAGGGTCATATTGACAGAATATGAGACCAACGCTCTACCGACTGAGCCACAGAGACCGTGTGCGTGCTGAACGGGGCTGGTGGGAGGCGAGAAGAAGGGCCACATCGTGGGCGGAAAGAGAGGGGCAAAGGAAAGGCGACGATGGGGCGGTGGGGAAGTAATGATGCTTTGTGGCCCAGTCATGGGTTGAGACGGAGCCTTTGGGAGAACACCTTATCCCGGACAACGATATCCTCGGAGGGGGGGGGGGGGGGGGGGTGTTGGCTCTTCACGACTGCTCGCTCTCGCTGGCGACGACCGGCGCCTTGATCCGGAGGAGCTTCTCGGCGTTGCGGTAGGCGATCTTGTCGAGCTCCTCGGGCGTGACCATGCCGCTGTCCCGCAGCTCCCTCACCCACGCCAGCCCGTTCTCGTTCTTCTCGAACGGGTAGTCGACGCTGTACAGGACGTGGTCGACGGGCGTGTTCTTCAGCACGCAGGCCAGCGGCGCCAGCCCCCACACGCCGCTCGTCGTCACCCAGATGTTCTCCTCCCACACCCGGCGCCAGCCCCGGCCGCGCGCGCCCCACCGCGGCGAGAGCTTCTCGACGCGCTCCATCACGAACGGCAGCATCTCGCCAAAGTGCCCGACGATGATCTTGACCCCCGGCACGGCGTCGAACAGCCCGGCCGCGAAGAGCCGGAGCACCGCGAGCCCCGTCTCCTGGTGCCACCCGAACCCGCTGGTCCCGAGGCTGAGCGCGGCGCCGGGCCCGTAGCCCCCCTCGTAGGCCGGCCGCTGGCCCGCCGACGGGAACGTGGGGTGCAGGTAGACGGGCACGTCGAGGTCGGCCGCCGCCGCGAAGACGGGCCAGAACCGCGCGTCGTCGTAGTGCGCCCCGTCGGCGTGCGCGTCCACGAGGGCGCCGACGAACCCGAGCTCGCGGACGCACCGTCGGAGCTCCGCCGCCGCCTCCTCGGGGTGCGCCATCGGCAGCACCGCGAACCCGGCCAGCCGACCGGCCGGGGCCTCCCGCACCGAGGCCGCGAGCGCGTCGTTGGCGAGGCGGCTGAGGGCCGGCGGGCGCGGGCCGAGCCCCGGCGCGTGCGAGACGACCTGGAGGGAGACGCGGTTCGCGTCCATGTCGGCCAGCCGCAGGGGCCCGACGTCCCGGAGGCGGTCGCCGACGGCCGGCACGTTCTTGAGCTGCTCCCCGTAGAGGTCCGACAGCTCGGCGAAGAGGTCGGGCGCGACGAAGTGCTCTTCGAGCGTGATGAGGGGCGGGATCCGGTCCGACATGTCTGCGGATGTGTGTGTGTCTCTCTCTTTGTGTGTGTGTGTGTGTGTGTGGTTCTGGCCGGATGCTTTCTCTAGCGGGCAATGTGAGTTGTGAGGAGCATACCTGTAGGATGCTTTGTCTCTTTATCTTGGGGAGCTTAAGCCGCAGCGCCTCTTGGATACCATCCGTGACCCCGCATGGCCAAATTTTGAAGGTCCCGTCCTGAGACATGCAGCAGAAGCACTGGATTGGATCGTAGATCTGATGGGCGATCAATGGGCCTCGGTACTTTCCCGGTCAAGCCCGGCTTGAAATCTATCATGGTATGAGTGTTTCAAGCCATTCGGCGCATCGAGCATGGTACAAAGACAAGAGTGACGAGACCGACGGCGGACTTGATTGATCTCGGCTTTTGATCACAAATGATACGCGCCGGAGAGTAATGAGCATGTAATGTAGGATTACCAACTTAGACCTTGAGGAGTTATGGCTTTTGTCGAATTGTTTCTTTCTCTGTTGAAAGACTAGAATTCCATTGAAATATGCTATGAGGCAATCGATACAGATAATAAACTCTGCGGGGTATACATGCTCGGTTCATTTCGTCGACCAACGCAACAAGAACAAACACGGCACAGCAGAGCTTCATGACCATGATTCTACTCCATACTTTGTATTCCCACTCGTAGACTGCATCCTTTAGCTATATACTGCCTTGCTCTCTGCCAGCTCCTAACAGTAGGAATGTTAGAGTAAAGCAGGGTGTTGAGGATGACGGAAAGGCATCATGGATCCGTTTCACCCGCAAAGTAACCACAGCCTTGTGATTGTTTTGGAAATTATTACACATATATCCAAACCAACGGGCCAAAGTTCTGAATTGCAACACAATGAAGCCACGGTGATTGGATCGAATAGCGTCAGCCTGCAAAACATGGCCGAGAGGCCGCGGCCCATCATGACAACTTCGCCGGTGATCTCAATAAAGCTGTCGGGGCTGGGCCAACGACTTGGCTGACAAGCCGGCTATGTCGTACTTTTGATAATGTAGAGTGTATATTATATCGTCCAGAGTGATGGAGCAGTCGAGGAGTTAAACATGGGCTTACCAGAGATGTGCTGACGCCAATGCAACCGGATCTCAGTCAAATTCCCCACGGCACGAGTGAAGCACAAGAATGCAGAGAGCACAGTGTCGGCACGCAAGGTCACTGTGAGCCGTGCCGCCCCCACCATCCACATCAAGCGCAAAATGCTGCCGCGACCCCAAAGTCTCGAGGCCTCACTTACATGGCAAGCCTCACAAACGTCCCTCCTGCCTCACGACGAGGTCTCATTCCCAGAAAAACCTGCACAATATAAACATGGCCACGAGGATACCCCACGCGCTGGAGGGCTACCTCGCCCTCCCGCCCGAATGCGCCCAGATTCTCCTCACCGGCGTCCTGGGCGCCAGCACCAACTGGCTCGTCCTGCGCCACCTGTACTCGTACCTCAGGAAGCCGGCCGCGGACGGGGAGGAGGCGACGGCGGCGGCGGATGTCCGCGTCGTGCTTGTGAGCTTCATGCGAGATTTTGCGTTCTGGAAGGAGGGCGCCGGCAGATTGGTATGTTCACATGTTCACCCCTCATGCGTGTGCCTCGTCTGCCCCTCACTCGGTGTTTTCTCTCTCTCTCTCTCTCTCTCTCTCTCTCTCTCTCTCTCTCTTTGACCCCCTCTACCCCTCCATCCGATGAGATTTTCCAAATGGCCGACGGAATGGAGACGAGGCAGGAGCTTTTTCTAAAAAAAAGATTAAATTTTTTTTTTTGCAAAGAACTGACGAAACCATTGCAGGGCCTCGACCTCGAAGGTCTGGGGCGGAGCGGCAGGTTCGTCTTCGTCGACGGGCTGAGCGGGCTGTTCTGGCAGGAGGGTTTCGCCGCGAAGCCGGCGGCCAAGGGACAGAGGGTCCTCCGCGGGGCGAGGCTGCCGGACATACAGCGCGAGCTCGAGGGGGCGGTCGCCGACGTGTCCGCCGAGGGCGCGAAGACGGTGCTGGTCCTGGACCAGCCGGACCTCCTCCTCGCCGCGTCCGGCGAGGGTCTCACCGGCCTGGCGCTGCGGAACATGCTTCTCGACGTGCAAGAGGTAAGCGGCGCGCTTTCACTTGGGTCGCCTGCCCTCCCCCTCTCCGTGTCTTTTCATGTCATCGTTTCTCGTGTGTGTTCGATCACAAACACCTGGCCATGTGCCTCGTCCTACACCACTTCCCGCCCTTGCTAAGTGAAGGGGAAAAAAGAAAAAGAAAAAACAAGTTCGAAACTGACACGGAGAAAAAAAAAAACACAGAAAGTCCACGCCACCGTCTTCACCGTCGCGGCGGACGAGCCCCTCGTCGCGTCGCAGACGACGACGCTCGAGAAGGAGCACGCGGCGTTCGTCCTCGGGCTGGCGCACGCCGCGGAGACGGTCATCAGCCTCCGGCTCCTGGACACGGGCAACGCGAGCGACGTCAGCGGAGTGCTGAGGATCACGGCCGGCGGAGACGCGCACTGCGAGAGGGAGGCCGTCGAGGAGACGGAGCTGCTGTACTTCGTCGGCGGGGACGGGAGCGTCAAGGTGTTTGGGAGGGGGCAGTGAGGGGAGGGGGAGGTCCGAGGTTGTGGGACGCACGTCACGAACGATATATTTCGGGACATGTTTGAGTGGGAATTTCATGCCATGAACCGCCGGGCTGGTGTGGTGGCAGGCTCGACACAATCACTACGCTTAGGAATGCTCCCGTCAAGGACGAGTCAGCTGTTAGTAGAGCTTCAACCACACTATAACGACTCCGGCCGGCCCAGTCTCGCCACATATCCCACAAACCGAGCATGTCAGAATGCCATTCGGGGCGGGCCCGTTCATCACTCATATTTCTAGGCGCGAGGGATCACAGAGGGTGACAGGACAAGCAAAGCCGTTTCTCTTTCGTTTTTGAGGATCCCCGTTTTCCCAATGTCCCTTTTTTTTAAAAAAAAGTGATTTCCCCTTTCTTTGCCCGCGCGCGAAGAGATGTATGAAACACAAAAAACACCCGTTGTTTGGTTTTTGTTTGACTCCTTTTTTGATATTGGCTTTGCTGTTCAAGTCAAACGGGGGGTTTTAGTGAGGAGGAAAAAAAAAAGAAGCGTTTCGTGATATCGTTTCTTCCGAAAAGAGTTTCCCCCGCGGGGGGCAACACACACCTCCTCCGCCCTCCCCCAAGTCTTCCCTAACCCGTCGCCCGAATGCCTCGATTGCACAGATACCTCCCCATGTCGACCCGATTCACATTCCAATCATCGCTTGGTTCTCGCTCACGACTGCTGGACGGTGGGGCCGGCGGAGCCCTTGGGGACACCAGTCTGGAAGCCGTTCTTGAAGCGGCGGGAGACGTCCTTGAGGTAGCGCATGCGGCCGGTACCGACGGTCTTTCTCCGCTTGGCCTTCTCGGACCAGTTGTCTGCATCGCGTCCTGCGTCAGTATTTCCGGTCTCACACACGAGTGGGATGGAGGGGGGAGAATGGCGTAAGCAGAGAGAGTGTCTCGAGTTGTGACTGTGCTGGATCGGGTTGGGTTCGTCGTCGGGAGTAAAACGTACACTTGCGGGTCTTGGCCGCAGGGTAACCGCAGGAGGCGCAGGTGTGCTTCTGGATGTGAAGCGATCGGCGACCTGTCAAACATCGGAACCATCAGCGTCTGTGGCGTCCCTTGAGCATTGAGAGGGGGGGGAGTCCGCAGTCCGTCGCGTCCTAGCATGAAATGCAGAGCAGAGACTCGATCCCCCCCCCCATGGGGCGGGTAAGACTTACCGCAACGACGGCACAAGGTGTGCGTCTTGTTGTGTCTCTTACCAAACGAGGAGGTACCCTTCGCTGCAGAAAAAAACAATCGTCAGTCCATCGAAACGGCGAACATGCCCTCGTCGCGACGAGGACAACAGTGGCGGCGGCGTAACGTACTCATCTTGGCGGTGTTCGGTGGTCGACGATGGTGTTCTGTGGTTGCTGGTCGGTTAGTTGGTTTGCGGAGGAATCGGACAAGAAGCTCGCGGGTGGTCAAAATTTCACTCTAAGCGAGCGAGTTTTCGGGCACACAAATTGTGGCAGGCGCCCTTCGGGTGATCCTCGGGGGGTGCGGCGACGTCACATGACCCGGGCTTTTGTGGGATCCAAAGGTCGAATTTGTCGGCCAATCAGCGCTGTGTGTGCCCCCGGGTACTCGAGGTACGTATCCAAGGAGGGGCGCCCGGGCCACCCACCCCAATGCACCTTCGTCCAAGGATTTCGATGGGCATGTCACTTGCTATGTATGTATGAGTCTGCTTCAACAGCTAAAAACAGGTACGCGAGAATGACTGAAGCTCAAACAAAGCAGATGGCGGCGTCAAGTTGCCCTCACAAATGTTGGTTGCCCACGGAAATGTTGTGCATTCGTTCGATTCGATCACCTAAGCACCAAACGCCAATCGAACGCCTTTCCCCCCTTCCCACTGTGCCTCCTCCTGGTCTTTTTTTCCTTTGCCTCGTGTCGTGCGGGTATACAAATCCATACATTGTCCACCTCCAAACCAGAGCCCCAAGCCATGATAGATAGGCATTTACCTGTGCAACCCTACCCCTTATTCATCACGCTTGAATGTCGAGCATCTTTTTGAGCGCCGCCTCGCTCGCCCTCAACCACCGGCCCCGCTCCTCGAGATCATCCGCGTCGCCGCCGGCGCCCTCCTTCCGCCGTTGCGCTTCCTTGGCGGCCATCTTGCTGTTCTGCCTCTTGGCCTCCAGCGGCTGCAGCTCGGCCTGCAACCTCTCGGCTTCCTTTCTCTTCCGCGGTGCCTTGGCTTGTAGCTGCTCCAGCTCGCGGTCTAGCTGCTGCTGCTGCCTCTTCTTCTCGTCCACCAGCTCGAGCGTTTTGGCGAGCGGCAGGTTCATGTACGGCTTCTGCCCCGGCTCCTGCGCCTCCTTGAGCTCGGCCACGCGCTCCTCCAGCTCAGCAATCTTGTCGGGGAGTTCCCTCAGCTTGGCCGTGTCCAGCCGCACGCTCTCGTACCGCTTCGCCAGCTCCTTGCCCTTCCTCTCCAGCTCCGTCACCAGGTCCGCCACCTCGACCTTGAGCGCCTTGAGCTGCGACTTGGCCGCCAGATTCGCCTTCTCCAGCTCGATGTTCTCCTGGGGCGAGACGATGACGGGTGGGTCGCCGACGATGGCGCGGATGAACTTCTCCTTGGTGACCTGCTCGACATAGGAGAACCGCAGCTTCGCAAAGAGCTCCTTGTAGTGCTCGAGGTCGGCGTCCAGGCTAGCGGGCGTCGCCGCATCCTGCGAGGCGTTGGACGCGTCCGAGGTCCGCTGCTGCCGCGACTCCTGCGCGACGGCGCTCGATATGGGCTCGCTCAGCCTGATGATGGAGATCTCATGGTTCTCATTGAGGTCCTCGATCTTGCGCAGCACCGAGGCCGCCTCGTTCGCGTCCATGTTTGAAAAAGAACAAGAAAAAAAAACCAATTGCTCGTGAAATATACCTGTGGATATGCGTCGATTGTGGAATCTGTTGCAGTCGCGTCGAATAGTTGTGGTCGGCCGCTCGGAGTCGGCTCAAATCTTCTTTGCGCCGCCCAGTGTCGGGTGTTTGGTGACGTTTGTTTACTTGTGTCCCAAAGGAGCCAAGTGCGGGTGGCCCTTTATCGATAACGGCAAATCTTTATCTTATCGCAGCAGACAACCGGGCGGCTGACGGAGATGCATCGGTCCATCCCACTTTGCCAAAAGGCCGTCGTCCCAAGGTGCCTGATTTCCGCCTGTTGTCGATCAATCCATCAGCCGCCACAATTTGCGACAATAATGCCTTTCCACTAACCGCAACCCTGCGACTCCTCTTCGTGATATCACTCGGCAGTCTACTCGAAAGGCCTTCCTATTATTTCTTCCGTTTCGATCAACGTCCATAGATGATTGGTTATCACCCTGGTAAAGTAATCGGGTTTATCAGATACCGGCAATCATCCCGCCGCCCAGTCAACGAATGCTCTCACCCTTCCCTTGGGTCGCGCCTCATTCTTAGAAACGGCGCGATACTCAAATCTCTTCTGGCTCGAAACCAGGCCCCATTCTCGAGATGCCCAACGACAACCTCCTCACCGACGAATATGTCGCCGAGCTGCTGGCTAAAGAGGCAGACGACTGCTCGCTAAAGTACTCCAGCATGGGCATGGATGCGTTCCGCACCGACAAGAAGTACGTCCTGTGATCCCGGGCTCCCGGACCCTCCAAACAAAATCTAATCGGACTCTTTCCCCCCCTCCCTCCCAGACCGGCAAACATGCCCAAGCCAAACACGCGTTTCCTGCGTCACATCATCAAGGACACCAACACGCACAACAAGAACCTCCTCGCCAGGGAGGCGACCGAGTCCCGCGCGCGGCTGAAGGACCTCGAACACGCCGAAGAGAAGGAGAGGCGGAGGAAGGCCGGGCCCCAGGACATCCGCAGGCGGCAGATGGGCGACATCAAGGCCATCCTGGGAGACCGCAAGGGCACGCCCGGCCGCGCAGGGCGAGCCGACAAAGAGAAACCGCAGACCAAGGACGAGGCGTCGCCGCGCAGGAGGCACCATCACAGGGAGCGGAGGAGCGCATCGCCGGAGCGCGGCGGTGGAGCGCGGCACCGCCGGAGCCGTAGGGACGGGTCCGATTCGGAGCGCGACGACCGACGACGGCATAAGGGCGAGCGGCGGCGGTCCCGCTCGCCAGACGAGGTTCCGCGGAGGCACCGCCACCGATCGCCGCTTGGAGGCAGAGACTCGACATCCAAGTCGCACCGGGGCGACAAGCAGCGCAGCCGGGGCGAAACGGCGCACGAGCTGATCGCGAGGAGCCTGCGCACCCGTAGGGAGAGGAGTCGCGAGAGGCCGCAGGGAGGAGGGTTCTCGATCAAGGGCAGCAGCGGTCGGCGGGCGACGCACGAGCGGGAGCGCGGGTCTGCCGGCGACGGCGACGGCGGCGGCGGTGACGTGTCCGACTCGGACCCGCTGGACGACTTCATCGGGCCGGCGCCGCCGCAGCAGGTCCGATCGCGGGGCCGCGGCGCGGCGGCGGGGACGTCGGGGATCGACAAGCGCTTCGAGGCGGACTACGACCCCAAGGCGGACGTGGAGATGGCGGAGGCCGGGGCGGGGGCGGGGGACTGGGACGACGCCGTGGAGGCGTTCCGGGACCGGCGGAAGTGGCGGCAGAACCAGGAGCAGCGGATGCGGGCGGCGGGGTACAGCGACGAGATGATCAAGAAGTGGAGGGAGGGCGGCGGCGGCGGCGCGGGCGGCGAGCAGAGGGACGAGCGGGACGTGCGGTGGGCCAAGGCCGGGGAGAAGCGGGAGTGGGATCGCGGCAAGGAGGAGGAGGAGGGGGTCAGCGGGCTGTTTTCCGAGTTCAACTGACTCCCTGCGAGGCTCGGTGAGGGTGGTGGTGGTGGGCGATCACGGCTTTTGGTGTTTCGGGAAGGGGCGTTTTTTTTTTCTGGTCATTGCAGACGAGGGGAAGGAAATTGCATATTGCCTGGCATGGCTCTGATGGTTTCTTGTTTTCCATTTTTTTCATCTTTTTCGAATACCGCATAAGACCAAAGCGGGGGTGTCTTCTACGATGGCTACGGACTTGGCCTGTCATTCAACGTCACGGCTATCATGGCAAGGTTTGCACAGAGGGGACTTGGGAGACGTTCGTGGACGTGGACGTGTATATATGGCCATCTTGGGGGCTTTCACGAGCGCCGCTGTAGACCGTTTTAGATATGATGGTAGATGGGGGAATGGGCAGATTCGTGCTCCCTAAAGCTCTAAGTGAGAGAGAGAGAGAGACAGAGAGAGTGTGTGTGTCATTTGTCCTGGGCTGGGGTTTTCGTCTGGTTTTCTTTTACTGCCCGTTGTGTGAGTAATGGACGTTGATAGATGAGACGATGAGGCTGACTGGCGGGCCAGGGCCTGGCTCTCCGCCCCCACTCGCGCATCAGAGTTGAGTTCAGCCTGACTGAACTTGCAGGCCCTTTCTGTCTCTCTCCTTTTCATCTGATCAGAGGTTTCACTTTCCTTATGCCCCCCTACCAAATGCCGGCCATACTTGACTCGACGGGCGGGCGCTACGCAGTATGATGAATTTGAGAGGGGCAGTTGCCATAGCTCAACAATAACAACAAAAACAATCTGTGCAATACGAATCAAATCTCACCTTCTCTATTTGTGGACGGGAATTCGGCTTTACGGCGTCACCTAGAGGCAGATGCACTTTTGCCATCGTACACAAGAAAAAGGCAGCGGCGCTCCAAGAAATGCGTGGGTACCGCGGCGGCCTTGGGCCACGCTAGGACAGGCAGAGAGGCAGACAGGCAGAGAGAGAGAGAGACAGAGAGTGATCGGCAGGGTTGTTCTTGTGTGTTTGTAAAGTGCCGTTTCACAACCGGACACGTCAAAGACGCATGTTCCCCCTGGTTGTGAAACAAATATGGGTTTACATGCTGGAGAAGAATGAAGGGCAAGGGGGGGGGGGGGGGGGGGGCGACGGGGAGACGGCGCGCTATGCCGGATTGGGTAGAGCTGGAAGGGTGGGGAAAGATGTACGGGTAGCTACCTCCTATTACAGTGAGTATGTACCTGCCCTGCCTAGGTAGGTAAGGAGCAAAGACTAGACTGACTGCCTGCTTTCCTGAACGAGATGGGTTTTCAAGAGAGGGCTTCGGGCACGTCAGGAACGCCCCAGGTACGTCCCAGGTGCGCGGGTCGACGGGGTTCCCGATGCGGCAGGTGGGAGTGTTCGCTCTCGCGGGGGATGTTGGAAAGAGGAAGAGAAAACGAAGGGGAGACCGGGAAGGGGGAGGCTGAACAAAAGAGGCTGGAACGGGGGCAGCTACTGTCGCCGATTGAGTGCGAGTGCCGGGGCGCTGGGAAAGACGATGGACAAGGAGCTCGTTCGTACTGAAGGGTTTGGAAGATGTACTCTGTACAGCGGACTCTGTAACGCGTCTCGGGACGGGGGACGACCTTGAGTGCACATCCGTAGTATATAACGAACCATCTTATCAACCTAAACTAATAAGGGGGTGGGTAGGGGATACGAATCGTGCGATGCGATGCAGTCCGACGGGTTCGTTGCCTGGGCGCGCTCGCTTTGCTTGTTCGGCTGGCTGGTTGCTAGACTCGGGATGAATTGAGTTTTTTTTTTCTCCTGCGGCCGAGCAGGGAGCTTTTGCAAGTGTTGGACGGCGAAGAGAGAGAGAGAGTGAGAGAGAGGAAGTGCGAGATGAGACGCCCTGACGGGGTGCGCGCCTGTGTGTCTATTCGCTCGTCCGTTCGTCATGCGAGTCGCGGGAGAGAAGGGGGCCCCGGGGAGAACTGGGGCGGGCGCATTGAACACTACGACGCTGGGGAATGTACTGTACATGATAAGAGACCGCGGCTGAGGGTTGCGCTGGAATGCAGGACACGTGAAGTCCCGAAGGAGACTGACGATATACTTACTGCGGGCAGGGGGGTCAAGGAAGGTCTTGATTCACATCACTCAGGGTCTTCTTCTTCTTCTTCTTCTTCTTCTTCTTCTTTTCTCCCTTTCCTCTTCTCTCTCAAAAAGCTGCTCGCGCGCTTCGGGAAGGGGAGGAGAGAAACCTCAGTAAGGTTTCGCGTTTCTGGCGAAGTTGCCCATCTCGACCCCGAAGGTTTCGTTTTTGTTTTTGTTTTGTGGAGAGTCGCATACGGCATTAGGTTATAGGTAGCAGTGAAGAACAATAAGCTTCTCTCCCGGTCAGCTTGGAGGGAGATGGGTTTTGGGTTAGGTTTCTTTGAGTGTTTCTCCAACCCTCGCCCACCCCCTCTCTCCTTGACTCCTCCTCTTCCCCTCATTTTCCCTCTGATTCAGTTTCTTTGCCCTGCCGCGCCTCCTCCCCCCTTCCACCGCTAGGCCGAGCCGGGACGAGACCTTTCAACCACCGCCCTCCCCCCCCCCTCCTTCTTTGTTCAAGACGTCCCCCTTGATCTTTGATCGGAAGACTACTTACGTACACTACGACCACGACCCTTACCTAGTTTCAATAACGGATGGCGGCCAAAGGGGAGCGTGGATTTGGAATGAAACAGAATGTTGGCCGCTGCTCATGAGGCCGGACTTATCAATGATTCGAGCGCTGTGTGAGGCCTCTGAAATGCCCCGCCTCTCCCCCCTCTCCCGACTCGACTGTCGGACAAGGGCTACGTTTTGGTACTTGGTCCTCATTTCCCGTCGTCGTATCCGGTGATGCTTCGTGAACTCTGCCAAAGTAAAAAAAAAAAAAAAAGAAAAAAAAAAGAAAAGAAAAAGGGAGTGTTTAATGAAGGTGCGCGTCGATTGAAGATGATCGTCAGGACGGAATCTAGGTACGAGGGAAGCATAGCAGCAGGGTCTAGCTACCTACCTATAGTACCTACCTACCTAGGCGTGGGCTTCATCCACCTACGCAAGGTACGGAGTACATTGTTACAATTCGTACAAGTACGGTAGCACGCGAAGAAGATCGTCGGGCCTGGCCTGGTGCCTGTCATTGTCAGGCGACACGACATCCAGTTGATCCACCTATGGCGCGACAGACGTCAACTGCACCTATCCCATACTTTACTGTCTTACTACTGCCATACTGCCTCATCTGGGCGACCTGAAGCATCATGTGTGGAACTGGAGGGGGGGGGGGCCGAGATAATGGGACACCAAAAGTATGGAGGCTCTTCCTTTCTCTCAGGCAAAGGCCATGGAAGAGTTCGAGACATCCGCCACCAGATGCCAAGACGAAGCAAAAAAAACGAGGGGTTCCAAGGCCGAAGAAAAAAGAAGAAGATGCAGATGGAAAAGAAGGAAAGAGAAGAAACCGCCAGGACTGGCCACCCTAAAAAAAACCTTGGCGAGCATGACCATGTGGTGTTGTCACCTTGTGCCGCCAAACCCGGCGCGGCCATACCAGCGTCTCCCCTCCCCCTGGCCACACACACACCTCGACCATGTCGTCCTGTTTCGGTTGCCGCGTATGGCGTGCTTCTCAGCCCCCTCATCCACTCGGCGTATGGTAGAGTAGAGCAGAGCAGAGCAGAGTAAAGCAGTACAGCACGTTACCAAGGCACCTGGGTGGTTCACGTCACACCGAGAACAGCTGAGAATATCATCCCGGGATGTTGTCGTTGACGCTGCCGCTGCCGCCATCGGTACCGCAACCGCTGGAATCCTCTCGAGCGGTGTCGAACGGTGTCGAACCGAGTGCCATGCATGTACAGTACACGCCACTCATCCCGGATGGATGGATGGTGACCTGTGTTTGTACACCGTACAATCGAACCCCCCCAACCCCAGTCAGTCAGGCAGAGTTAGGTACTCCCCCCTTCAGTCGGTCGCTTCACTTCCACGGGCATGAGGAGATGATGGGACGCCCGAGAGCTCGCGTGTCGGTCGCTGCACCACTACGCTACCAAGTTCAATGACGCTACAGCCCTTTACGTATGTGTGCTTCTTGGCCTAGGCAGGCACCTACCTATTTTAAGGTACGTACAGGTATTACACTGCAGCCACGAGGTACGTACCTAGTCTGGTAAAGGTAAAGTTGGAAGGCACGGTAATACTACGGTATGTGCGCAGGTAGTAACAAGAAAGAAAGAAGGAAAGAAGGAAAGAAAGAAACAAAGAAAGAACGAGAGGCCCCGGGCCCCGAGCATCAACACCCGCCCCGCCACCAGACGCGCCGCCCGAGTCGATATCCAGGCGCTACGTACCTTGGTAGGTATAGGTATTCTTTCTACCTAGGTGGGCACGTAGGTAGGCACGCAGCGGGCTCCGTACGCTAGTAATTATTGTGTACGGAGTACCTGTAATCGGCTGTTGGTTGGCCTCCCACCCACATCCCCAATCCATCCCATTCAACCATCCAACCATCGTCTTCCATCCATCCATCCACCACCGGCCTCTCTCTCTCTCTCTCTCTCTCTCTCTCGCCCTCTCTCACCCTCCCTATCCTTCGCTGTTATACGTATGTATGGCGCTGCCCTGCTCTGCGCTGCGTGCACACCTTCACTTCCATCCACCTGCTGCACCAACTCGCCTCGACTCCAACTCGACGAAAGAATCGGCCACTTCTCCCATAGCCAGTCTCCTCCAGCCGGTCCTCTTTAAAACAACCTGATCGACACACCAAGCCTGCCACTCGCTCCCTTGGTCCCCCCAAAGAAAAATCCAAGAGCCCCCCCCCAATTCTTCGTCTATTCTCTTGGCCCGACGCTTCCCGCCGCACATCACAAGACCGAGACAGAGAGCGAGACACCGACAGACGCTGCTGCCCGACCTCCTTCCGCCTTTCTGCCGCACTCGTCTCTCACTTCAGCCTCGACACACAACCCCAGACGGCCTCTCATTCTTCTTCTTCTTCTTCTTCCTCCTGTCCCCGCCTCATGACTCTGCGCATGTTCCGACTTTGCGCAGATTGCCGCTGAGCCACTGACAGCAGCTGGTCGGTCCGTTACCTTGACTCGACTCTCGTGCTCTCTCGCTGCCGTTATCGCCAGACTCGACTGCCCGGCCGCCGCGCCGACCGCCCGGATACCCCCCGCCCGTCATCTCTACATACAAACACTCACCACACCGGGAGCATTCGACTTCGCGTCCTTGTTTATATTCCCTTCCTCCCGTATTCTTACCGACCCGACACGATCCCAACCATGCGTACTCCTAGAATAGCCATCATCGTCCTCTTCTTCGTCGCCTCCCTCTTCCTCTTCTGCCGCTCCGTCGTCTCCTTGGCTCGCTCCAACACCGTCGTCGCCCCGGCCTCTGCCTCGCCATCGCGCTTCCAGAGTCTTTTCTCCTTCACCGCGCCCTTCTCCATCTTCACCCCGAATGCTGCCATTAGCCTGACCGACGACAACAGCACCTCCTTCGTCGCTCGCCCCGCCGCCTTCGGCCCTAGCCTGCCCAACAAGGGCCTCAGCGGCCAGCTATGGATCGGCAGCGGCTTCTCCGACGATAACCTGCAGGACGGCGAGGGCGAGGGCGAGCTGGGCTGCACCGATATCCCGGGCTGGGAAGACGGTAAGGCCAACGCCATTCTCAAGTCCGCCTCCAAGGCTGTTTCCAAGTCGAACGCCAAGGCTGCCACTGCTGCTGGCAAGTCCGGCCACCACAAGCGAGACAAGGCCGCCGCCGCCGCCGACGACGACGACAAGGACGCCGTCCCCGGCGTCGTCGGCCTCCCCACCACCCGCCTCAAGTCCAAGATCCGCCCCCTCGACGACGGCACCGACGACTACCTCCACCAGAGCCTCGCCCGGAAGCACCAACCGAACCACCACGACAGCGCCGTCTCCGCCGAGTCGACCCACGCCGATATCCAGTCGATACAAGAGGCCGCGGAGATCGCCGGCAAGATCGTGCTGCTTAGTCGCGGCGGTTGCGGCTTCCTCGAGAAGGCCAAGTGGGCCCAGCGCCGCGGCGCCATCGCCCTCATCGTCGGCGACAACACCAAGGGCGGGCCTCTGATCCAGATGTTCGCCAGGGGCGACACCTCCAACATCTCCATCCCCTCCGTCTTCACCACTCGCACCACGGCGCACCTGCTTTCGTCTTTGACCCAGCCGGGCAGCTATATCGAGGACACAATCGACGAGCACGGCCGCCCCGCCCTCAAGGTTCTGCACTCCGACGCCGCGAACCGGAAGAACAGGAAGAATAAGCAAAAGGCCGCCGCCGCCGCCCCGGTGTCCACACCGACCCCCAAGACCAAGTCCACGGCCCCGCCCAAGACCAAGGCCAAGGCTGCCTCGGACACCAAGGCCACCAAGACCAAGGAGATGAGCAGCTCCCGCGGCGGCTTCTTCCGCTGGCTGTTCAGCTGGGGTCGCAGTTCGCGGCCCGGCAAGGGCAGCATCCAGCCCCCCAGAAGCGGGCGCCATAACTGGGTCCTCGTCGACGACTGGAGCGAGGAGAAGGACAGGGCCATCCGCGACAGCCTCGGCAAGGCTGCCAAGAGGGGCAAGGACAAGGTCCCCGAGCCCCGCAAGAACGAGGACAGTTTCCAGATTGGCGTCCAGGACTGGCGTGACCCCGACCTGGTGGATGCGCCGACCTCCAAGGACAGCGTCGACAAAACCGAGCAGACCGGCAAGCCGGGAAGCAACGCAAGGGAGGGCAAGGACGTCAGCGGCCCCAAGGGTGGAAGCATCACCCCGGGAAGCGGCGAGTATAACCCTGATATGCCTCCTGCTGAGGCCAAGGGCTCCTCCGCCTCTTCCGGCAAGGGCTCTTCCGCCCACAGCGGCATCATGTCAAAGATCTTTGGCGACGATGACGGCGCCGACTTCTCCAAGGCAGACAAAACCGTGGACGAGCATCCCGTGCCGAGGAAGCCGACTCTCGACGACGGCGACGATAACGAGCCAGTTGGACATGACGGTCTGTGGGTCACCATTACGCCTTCGACCAGCTCCAGCCCCTTCTTCGACACCCTGCTGGTCCTCGTGGTCAGCCCCTTGATCACCTTGAGCGTCGTCTACGCTCTGCTTATCTTGCGTGCGCGTATTCGCAGGAGACGCTGGAGGGCGCCTAAGTCGGTCGTCGAGCGCCTGCCTGTTCGCACCTACCACACCGTCGCGGCCTCGCCTCTACCCTCACCGAGGCTGCCATCGCCCACGACCCCGACCCCCACCACGCCCCTGCTGCAGCAGACCCCTGCACGGTCAAGGCCTCGTTCTAGGACGACGACGGGCATCCCCGAGTCGGAGAGTCTGCTGTCCGTCAATTCGGCCCTGCAGATGCCCAGGTCGCCCCTGCGGCCCGAGCACGAGAAGCCGAACGGCAGCTATTCGAGCGAGTGGAAGAAGTACATGGGCCGGCAAGTCGAGTGCGTCGTGTGCTTGGAGGAGTACGTCGACGGCGTCAGCCGCGTCATGAGCTTGCCTTGCGGTCACGAGTTCCACGTCGAGTGCATGTAAGTGACATCTATCTTGAAAAACTTTTGCAACATTCTTTTGCTAACGAACTCCTAGCACACCTTGGTTGACGACACGCCGTCGCACATGCCCTATTTGCAAGGGCGATGTCGTGCGATCTCTGGCACGCGGCTCTCCGTCCAGCCCTCGGTACGAGCCGTACCACGACGACTCTGACGATGAGGTAGAAGCCGAGGCATCCGGTTCAAGGGACCGGGGCGATGACATGGAACAGGGCATCCTCTCACCTGCGCCTAGAGGACGCCAGACCCGGCCCGAGGGATGGCTAGGCTTGCTATCGGGTAGCTTCGGGACATCCTCTCGAACCAGCCGATCGTCGCAGGAGGACCGTAACAGGTGATCCGGCCCACGCGCACGGTTTTATCTTGCAATTTTACTTTCTGGGTTTATGGCGGCAATTCTGAGCTTTCGCCCCGTGCACGACCGAAACAGGTCGCATGGGGAGGATGGGACGTACATAAATGGCGTAATATGGGGTTTCTTGGGCAAACACTTTGGGATGGTGTTACTGGGCAGCATGGCCGGAATATTCACATACGGCCCGGCGGAGAACTGGGGAACCTCTACACACTCGCTCCGATCAGTTTTCTTTCTTTTTCAGATTTGAAATGTTTGCTCGTTGGCCGACTTGGCCTATCCCGAGAGAAGGGGGTCAAATGTCGAGAAAGGCGAGGGGGGATAGGTAGATAAGGTGGTAGAGAGCCGACGGTACAGAGGAAGTGGGTGACTATTATACCCGTCGTCTTGTTTCCCCATAGAGGGGGGAGGGGGGGGAGCGGACGCCTTTTGGAATACGAATTCCATTGCCAATGCCTTTGCGGAGTGGGTGCATACGTGCGTGACGCGAGGTGAAGGTTCCATTGACTTTTGAAAGTTCAACCCTCGGTGCCCGTCCGAGGCGGGCGTGTCTTGTCATGGGGCGTATATCCTGTGATGCTAGTACGACTGTGTCTTGCGGGGATGTCGGAGGAGGAAGGGGTTTCTTGCTGCCCCCCCCCCCCCCCCCCCCCTATGTGCTGATGAACGCGCTTCCGCGGCTAGCCGTCCCTGTCCACGTCTAAGGAAGCTGCCGTAAGTGAAAGTGAGTGTCGTATGCTGCGTCTGCCTCATCATCTCGCCGAGGCGAAAAGACGGGAGGGGAACACCTGAACACGGAGTGGAGGTTCTGAAAGGGGGGAGAGGGTCGATTACGATTAGGTACGGTTGGATGCCTGCTTTGTCTTGTGGAGGTTCGTGGAATTAGGAGGAGGGGGGTGGAAGGGGGGTTTTTAGATGTCGTTGTAGAAGATCATCCGCGGCGCCTCCCTCTCGCGGACGGAGTAGGCCCACGCGGCGCCCGGGGGGGTGGATGTCATCAGGGCGCCGGGCGTCGTGGTCGTCGCTGTCGGTGGTGTGGTGGCGGTGGTGGTGGTGCTGCTGCTGCTGATGCTAGCTGCGGCGAACGACTTGCGTTCCGGCGGAGGGGCGGAGGGGAGGGGGAGGAGGTGGGTTCGTTGGGGACCTTTGGGGAGGGCTCTGCTGGTGTGTTAGTCTGAGGGGGGGTGTGGTTTTGTAGTGAAGGTGGGCAGGTTGTTGACGAGATGGATGGCGCGGTGGGGAGAGGAGAAGGGGGAGGAACTTACAACGCGGTGCCCAGCACCCCGTAAAAGAGGCTCTGGTCCGTCGCAGGCGCCCGCGTCCGCGCCCGCGCCCGCGCCCAGAGCAGGTGCCGCGCGCCGGCGACGGCCCCGTCGATGCGGGCCTGTAGCGTCGGGAAGAAGGGGCGGAGGGAGAGGAGGGAGATGACTAGCCCTTGCGGGCCGGAGGCGAAGCCGATGCCGCCCCCCGCCGCCGGGTGGTGGGCGTCACCGTCAACGACTTCGTCGTCGTTGTTGAGGGGGGGACCCGGGGCGGGCCAGTCGCCGTCGGGGAGCTGGAGGTCGAGCAGGGCGGCGAGGCGGGGCGTCAGGGCCGGGGCGAGGGGCGGCGAGGTCAGGACGATCTGGGTGACGGTGCCGAGGGCGCCGTGGGCCGCGCCGTGGCGGTCGGCGGGCGAGACGTGCTCTGAAAGGGGCGAGGGCGAGGGCGATAGCGTAAGAGCGCTGTGGGGAGGAAAAGAAGAGGAGGAAGAGGAGGAGGAGGAGGATGAGAAAGAAGGATGATGATGGGACGGGCACGTCCAGGGCGTGGACGGGGAGAGCAGGTAGTCCGACACGAGGACGATGGCGCGCGAGACGAGGGGCGCGGAGGAGGGGACCCAGTGTCGGATCAGGCGGAGGAGGTAGAGGGTGCCCGCGAGGCCGTGGAGGAGGCAGGTCGGTAGCGGCGGCGGCGGCGACTCTGTTGACGGCGAGGGAAGGGGCCGCGCGTCGAGGATGTGCGCCAGCACCGGGGCGAGGAGGGAGAGGAAGAAGCGCACGTGGGCGAGGTCCTGCGTGACGCAGGCGCGGACGGCGGGGCCGGCGAGGGCGTCGGAGAGGAGGCCGAGGACGACGGGGTGGTGCTGGTGGTGGTGGTGGTGGTGGTGGTCAGAGTCTTTCGCGTCGGGGCGTGTTCTGTCAGATGTCTGCGGGGGCGGCCGGCGGCCGGCGGCGGCGGCGTCGCGGAACGGGACAAGCGGGGCAGAGGGCGTTGGGATGTTGGAGATGTAGGCGCGGGCCCAATGGGTGGCCGGGTAAGAGTGGACATGCAGGCGGGGGTGGGCGGCCGAGACGGCGAGGAAGAGGTACGCGAGGCCGGTGTGGGAGGTCAGGGGTCCCGTGAGGGTGGAGGGCGGGTGCGTCGACTGGGGAGGGGAGAGGGAGAGGATCTTGGACAGGTGGGCTGGGAGGGGGTCGGGGTCCATGGCGGGAAGGACTCGAGAGGATGTAAGATGTGTGGGAGGAGGCGGTTTATGATGGAGTGGGATGCGAGGACGTGAGAGGATGTGAGATATATGAGATGGAGAAGAAAGGAGGGTGAAGCGAAGGGAGGCCGAGATGAGTTGCGTGTAAAGTAAGGTAGGGTAGGTAAGTGAGTGAGTGTAAGCAGGCGGTCAGCATTCTGGCGTGGGCATGTTCCCCTCCGCACCGCCAGGATACAACATGATCTTCCCCGGCGTCGTGGGAGTTCCTGGCGAGTTGCCCTCTTGGCGGGGAATGCATGTGGGGTCGGAGCTTTTTTGCCCCCCGGGGCACCCGGGATGTCGAAGCGGGTCCTCTGCTTGGGGGGGGGGAGGGGAAGTTGGAATGCAGATGCCGGGTGCTTAAAGTGGTAAGGTGAGGTTTCTTACCCAGACACCTGACCGCATGCCAGAAGATCCCGATCCGCAGCTCTGGAGACAAACGAAGAGAGTGTCTCTGATCAATAGGATGCGTTACCGATTGGCGTGCTCCAGCCGTCTTTCGTCAAAGAAGTGACCGTCGTCGGCCCGTGCGATACCGAGCCCGGCCCGGTAGTTGCTCCCCGAACCCCTTTGCTCCACTCGGATCCGGCACCGCCGGGTTTCCTATTCAGGCAACACATTTCAAAGCCCGCCTCGCCAAGTGTTGCCGGGACACACGATGACCTTCTGGTCAAAACTAAAATCTTACGAATCTGCATACTAAATCTCCAGGTCCATTCGTCTCATGATGCCTTCTGCTGGTTGGTATCCTGCAGGTTGGTTCGTCAAGACCGGGGCGGCCGTGGCGTCCCCGCTCAAAGTCTCTTACGTGTCCGTCTCCAATGACATATCCTTTTGGGTTTCCGACATTCTCCGAACCATCCGTGCAAGAAGGCGCTCCGCATTTATTCGCCCAGCATGGCCTTCGGGCAGTGTCTTCTTGCGAACTGCTACAACGCCATTGAGCAGCTGGATCGCCTCCTCGACTCGTCCGGCAGCCTCGTACATGATAGCGAGGGAGTATTGCAAGTACTGTTGGCGATCACTGTAGAGCTCCCCTGGTGCCTCGCCTTGTAATTTTACGGCATGCTCAATTATTTCCGTGGCCTTTCCGTGCCGTCCGGCTTCGAAATACGCTTTTCCAAGTGATACCTGTAGCGATAAGAGAAAACTGCGATTTTCCGCTTGCGTGTCCTGACACACTGGTATCGCGTGTTCCAGCAACTCTACAGCTTCTGTTAGCTGTCCTGTCATGCAATAGAATTGCGCGACGTTGAAATGTGCCGACAGTCGATTCTTGTCGCTCTCCGGGTTTGCTCGTCCGGATAAGCGATATGTGCCCGCAAGCCGGTACTGATGTACGCGTCGTCTCGGGTCGTTCTTCGGACGCGTCTCTACCAACGCCTTTACGACGTGCTCCAAAAGCTTGACTGGCTTTTTGACTTGACCTTCAAATCCGTAGGCCATCCCAAGTTCGCTCTGTAGTTCAAGCAAGATGGTCGCGTCTGGTTGCAATGTCCTACGGCAGGCTGCCACAGTATCTTCCAAGAGCGCGGTCGATTCTCGGAGTCGATAATCCCTCGTCAAGAACGTCGCCGTCAATCTTGCTAACCGCGCTTCGTTCAATCCCCAACTTCGATCGGTGCCCCTGGACTCGAGGAGTTTCAGTGCGTGGGGTAGACATGCTCGCGAAAATTCGCTATCCTCCCGCACGCGGGAGGCAAGTATTCTCCGAATATAAATTAGTGCAAATTCACGGATATCACCCGCTAATCCTTTCTTTTCGAACCAGATTCGGCTGGCGAGATGAACCAAAGGGTGCATGTAGAGTAAGTTGGTTCCAGGTCGTCTTTCGAGGAATGCAAAACTGGCCAAGATTCCAATAGCACAGTGAAGGTCTTCTGTGTTCCGTCGGGGTAGAAGATCCATTGGAATAGATGCAGGCCCAATTTGTGAGATGAACTTTAGCAGAGCCATGGCCGCTTCCGAGTCTGTCATCTGCTCCATGTGCCTAAAGGAAACGAGCCACGTGGTCGCCACGGCGTGACCGATGTCTTCGTCATCGTATCGCGTGTGGTCTCGGTATTCACGGCTCAGCAGGCCAGCTGCTTCCTTCTCCGTGCCCCTGAGGGTTGACAGATAGTCCTCGATGGACGTTGAGATGCAGTTGTTACGGAGATGTGCTGCTGCTTGGGAGATGGCAAGAGGAAGGTGTTCCAATTGGGCGAGGAGGTCCTCGACCAACCCGATAGGCCGAGCTGATTCCTCCGGCATGAGCTGTTCGAAGAATTTCCTGGCTTCGGACGTGGTCATCTTTTCCAATTCGAGAATCTCCTTGCCGGCAAGCTCAAATGCAAGCCTTTTAAACCTCGATGTGAACAGAATGCGCCCATCTTCGTTTGCCGGAAGGAAGTTGTTGATCCCGGGAGAGGCGCCTGACCGGAACATCGTCTGGCCATCGTCGGCGTTGTCCACAATGAGCAGCCAGTTTCCCGCATCCCGCGAGTTAAGAAACCGCTGCACGGCCTCCTTTGGATCCTCGTCCTTGGCCACTTGGATGCCCGCCCTGTCGATAATGCCGTTGCATGCCTTCTCAAAGGCGCTCATGCTGTAGGCCTGAGCCCAGAATATGGACCACGTCGGCCGGTTCTCCTTGAGCCAGAAGGCCGTCTGCAGGGCGACCTGCGTCTTACCAATACCGCCAAGGCCAGTGATAGCAAGGCGTCGTGGCCCGTCGTCCACACAGAGCTTCACGCGAAGCTCCTCGAGGAAGATCTCTCGCCCTACAAAGTTGCGGTTTTGCGTAAATGGTACGATGAAGTGACGAGGCCGAACACTATGTCGGGGTAGACTTTAGCAAATTTGGAGTCTATACCGGATTCATGTATTGGGTCATACTTTTCCTCCATCGCAACCGGTAGGTGAAAAAAGAGCTCCCTTGCATAGGCCGCCGCTGCCGCTGAGGCGTAGCCTTGCCAGTCGTCATTCTTGAGCGCGTCGCAGTAGTTGGAGATGCCCCGGATGACAAGGCATCGGAAATCCGTGAGGGCGCCCGCCGCCTCCATCTCGAAACAGAGCACGCCGTGCTCTTTGGCTAGCTTGTCCCTCAGACCGGCGTCTCTGAGCAGAAGCTCGCCCGATGCAATGGTACCCCGATGAACGATGATTCCATCCGTCTCTTCGTCTTCGGGTCCGCGCATGTGATCCTTGGACACACCCGGGTGTTTGTATTTGGATCGCAGCTTGTGTTTCGAGAGGATCCGCTCGATGTTACTCGAGATGGGGCAGTCTTCTGCCGCTTCCAGATCGATTTCCAGGCTCTGCGCGGCGTGGAGAAGGGCAACAGGCGGGCTGTTGATGTATCCGGTCCGCTCAAAGACGCCATCCTTTGACTTGCCGTGACTGTAGTAGACTGCGCCGGATTGGGCATTCTTGGGCTTGCTGACAACCACGTGGCCGAGGCGTATCATGCCGGCCTCTGATCTGGTAGGCACACCACCGCCGATACCTACCAGCAAGCCGAATTCTAGATTACGAAAAGTTGACTGCATGAAAGTAGCTACCATGGCAGCCGTGCAGTTTCCCGGCTGATGCAAACCGGCGATGACAATGTTGTGGCCATTGATACTTCCCAGCCAGTAGACGGTGGGATCGGTGCGCGGTTGTGGCAGCTTCTCATGGACCTCATCAAGCATAGCCAGCGCGGCTTGCAGCTCTACATGGAGTGGGCAGATCCAACCGATGCGATAGTTATCGAGGGCGAGTTTCTTTCGAGCTGTGGCAGGTACAGTAGACTATTATCCAGTAAAGATCAGATGCTGTGCTGGAAGAGACAGTAAGTAAAGTCAAACGACTTACCATTTCGAACTATATATCATTTGCATCACCAGTGAATTCTCGAAGGAGAGTGAATTGTTAAGTCGTAGAATCTCAGGTGGTCGGCGCGGGGTTCGTCGTTGACTTCGCGCTGTCCAGGACTCTGCAGCCTGATGCGGTGCCCATCTCATACCGGGATCCTGGTGACCAATGACATTGCAGTCTTTGCCGCCGTCAGCCAGTACCATCAAACATATTACATGGGTACCATTGCTGATGGAACTATTCGAGTTAACCCTTGCTAATCATTGCTCTTCCATGCAGGTAGGTGGTAGTGACCCTGGCGGGGTCGGCCATTCTCCCGGGTCTCCGCAGTAACTGGTCCCACGCCGGCTTGAGCATCGACTGATATTGCGAGAGACGCAACACAAGAAAGTAAGGACAACAACAGTGCGTATATGGGGGACGAATGTGAAGGTGAAGAAGCTAGAGAGTCTGCTAGCAAATATCGCTGGCAGAGGTGAAGTGGCTGGCCCGAGGCTGGCCAATGCAGGGGCAAGGTGGGTTACGTGACCACATGACCTCAACAGGTATCCCGGCGCAATGCAATAAGATGAAGGCGCCGTTGAAGGCGACACTACCCGGACACAGAAATCAATAGCTCAAGTATGTTCGCCGAGATTCCGTATCTACGGAGCCCCAGCTGAACAGCATGAAACTACACACTGATATACAGTGTGGAAAGGCGGCTGCTGTACCGAAGATTAAACTTCTTTTGAGTGTTGATTAAGAGCCTAGTATAGTTGTAAACGCAGTGAATTAGCACGTACAGGGGTTATAGTTAATGAAGTTTAACGAGTTTGTCTTTTGAGACTATTTAGACTAGAGACATATCAAGATGTCTAGCGTGATCATTATTGCCAGGTTTATGTGTAAAACTTGCCAAGCCATATAGTTTATACTAGTGGAGATGTACACAAGTAGAAACAGAAGCTATAGGGTAGAATTATAAGAGGCTAGGATTATATAAAGTAAAGGAGTCTAGTAATAGTATAGTTAGGGGTTAGTTAATTATAATATTTATTCTAATTTACCTTTTCCTAAACTTTAATTCCTACTAGATCCCTCTTTCATATCCTAGGTAATAGTTTATCTATCTATAGGCCCACTACTAGTCCCCCCTGGGTGCCCGCTCTGTAGCACCTGACAACAACAATGGCCTAATTTACCTACGCCACTGTAAGTTATCTATCTAGAAAAAATAATAAACAAGCTGGTGATGTCTTGGAGCTTGTTGAGATGATAATTCACACTGCGACATATCATGATACCGAACTCACATATTATCTCTTTCAGTAACGCACCCGAATCCCCTGGAGGGCTCAATTCTAGAGTCAGCACATGAGAGGCCACAGACGACCACAGGAACGTGACCATTAAAACTGTCATTGTTTACTGCTAGACTTTACCATAATACTATGACCGCACCCCAAGTAGCCGCGGAAACCTCTAATGTGAGCATAGGTAGCCTGTACAATCCCCCGGCTGCAGCAGAAGTAGACCCTCCAGTTGTTGGTCTCCGCGTCTCGGACTGCTCGCTTGACCGCATACTGGGGGTCGAGGTTGAGCCAGAGTCAAAGTCGCGATCGATCCTTGTTGATGAGGTCGAAGATGCCCGCGCAGGCCGATCCAGATCCCGCGATGTCGTCGTCTTGACAACAGATGTCGTCGTCGTCTTGACAGCAGATGTCGTCCCCGTCAGCTGAACTGACGTCGTGCTGCGTTCGGCTCCACCACCGCCGCCGCCGTTACCAGCTCCGCTCCTCCGTCGACACCTCCCGTTCTCTATACATATGTCCCCGGCGTCGCAGTAGCTACCGTCCGAGCAGCATACAGTGCCCGTGGGTATACACTTGAATGGACCGCAGCCGACAGTGTCGGATGGGCAGCACCCGCCCTCCGAGAGACAGGTCTCCCCCGAGTCGCAGTACTTGCCACTGGAGCAGCAAGTTGCCCCCAACGGCATACAGTGAGACCCGCAGCTTGTCTGTCCGGTGCCACACGGCCCCGTGCTGCCTCCACCGCCGCCGCCGGGCTTTCTGCATTTCCTGTCTTCCGTACATGTTTCTCCGGCATCGCAGTATCCTCCGCCAGGGCAGCATACCGCACCCGAGGGGCAACACCCGTCCGTCTGGCATGTTTCCCCGGCGTCGCAGTGACCGCCGCTAGGGCAACATACATTGCCGGCGGGCATGCATTTGCCGTTGCAGTTGTCTCTCCCAGCTCCGCAGCCCTCAAGTGGGCCAGAGCAGGTTTTGCCGACTGGGCAACACCCAAGGGCGGTACAGTACTTGCCATCCTCGCAGTACCCTCCCCCTGAGCAGCAGGTGGCATCATAAGGGATACACTTGCCGTTGCCGCACGGCTTCATTGAGCGCGTTTCACAAGAGCTAACGGCGGCGATGTTGATGTCGGCCCCAAACGATCCGATGCCGAGGAAGAGGGAGTCGAGCTGGGCGGCTTCGTTGGGAAGGGTCAAGCTTTCATAAGCTAGTACGGAGTGGATAAAAACGCCAGTAACGGCTAGAAAGACAGGGTCAAATAGCATTGTGATATAATTTGCGGCTCAGATCAGACGGCTCTGTGCTGTGGGTCTTAGGAGTGAAGAAAGGAAGCAAAACTTATATAGTAAAGCGGCTATACCAGTGCTAGGTTATATAACAGAAACGTCTCTAGGGGGTGAAAGAAGGGCCGAGAGTCGAAGCCGTCGATTTACATTAGTTCTCAAAATTTTTTATACAATGCTACCGGGCCAAGAAAGGAATATCATCTGCTGTCGTCGGTGGTGTTGTGTGGCGCAACTCGTCCTCTCTCTACAATACCACCCTCGCCGTGAAAGTGAGACAGGGAGGCAACGAACGTCTCACGGCGAAACCAGACAGGAAAATCCTGCGTGTTTCCAGAAACTTCGGGGTTATGAAGGCATAATTGCAAGAAATTTGGATTATGAGGCTGAGGATGAAGCCGGATCTGAGGCGTCCGCTAGTACTTTGAGCACCGCCAAGGCTCAGAGCTGAGCTTTTCGTCTTACGATCACCGGATGCGTCCTCAATTCGAACATGAGCGTTCGGGAAGATCAGCATGTGTGTCAACCTGATCATGGCTACGAACTTTGCCCACCTCAATAAAACTGCCTTGCAACTCGCCCTGCCAGCCACCCTACGGAATGCCTTCCCAGCCGCTGTGAATAGAGAAGAAAGTCCCAAGTCGAATAACTCTCCGCGAATGAAGCCGTGCAACTGAAAACAGCCACAAAACAAAACAGTGGAGACACTTGGCATCCTTGATACCTTCTAAAAGCCTCTGAAGGGGTAAATCGTTCATCCATATCAGTTTGCATATGCAACCACCTGGATCAGTATCTTTCAGCCGAGGTGACTGGGTAGGCAAGACTTCACCAACAGCTTAAGGCATCAACAAATACAAAAAAAAAAAAAATAGGAACTCGTGTTATCAGGTTGTATTGCACGAAAGATGGTGTAGGGCAAGTTTCCGTGGTGCAGGAAGCTGGATCTCTGGACGGCTCGGGCAGCGGCCAGGCGTTCTGTTGCAACGCGGATCACGCAAAGCTCGGCATCTATGGGCCATTGGGACTGCACAGGTTAGACAGCTAGACAGTCCTCAGAGAAAGTAAACATCAAACGGGCTTCAGTCCCGGGCTTCGTCTTTCGCGACTTCATGTAGAAGAACCAACCGATTATTACCTTGGCGCTCTCTGCGTACCTCGGTGGGGTTGATACCTGTTTGTGTCTGCCCACTCACGTCTAATACTCAACCAACTGCAGTCCTAACCAGAAACAGTAAGCAACGTAGTTGGAAACTCATACACTTTCGAGAGATCAGCCAAGAGTCCTTATGCAGGCTCGCCACCTAACCGCCCGCCTTCAGAACCAACAAGTGTTTGTTGGTGTAACACTAATCAAGCAGAGCGGGCATCACTCCGAAGCCCCCGATCTGACGTGGCATACGGGCGTGAGAAACGCTCAGAAGTCGACGCAATAGCTGATTTTTCTTGTGGCTGCAAGATACGGTGATGCTCAATTTACTTTGCAGTTACCTTAGGCCGTCACTATCAGAGCTGGATCTGTTTACAATAGTGGTATTACGATACGAAGAACTAACGTCCACCCCCCTTACCCATAATCACGCAACGCTTAACGAACAACATAATCGATCATATCTCACCAAACACACGCACAGTCACAACGACGGCATCAGTTGCCTCCTGATGACCCGCCAGCTCCTGCGGATAAAAAATCCTTCTTCGTTGCCGCATCGGTCCCGTTTTGGATGCTTTGCCTCCGCGAATCTTGCCTCGTCATCCGTCTGTGCCCGGCCCTGAACCCCAATTTCTCCTCTTCCTGGGCGTCTTTGACCTGTAACTTATTCAGCGCTAGACCTTCGTGTAGAGTCTCTTGAGCGTCGTTCTCGTCGAACAAGACGAAGGTGGGCCACACAACGGCCTCAAAGTTTTCGACTGCCCCCGAACTGGATCCGGACGCCTCCGTTTTGGGCTTTGCGCCGTTTTTCTTGCCGCCAGGCGGAGGGGCTCCTTGGGCCTTCGACGGCTGGCCGTCCATTCCCGGAAACTCCATCAGCTTCCAGGTGTCCTTGTCGGGAACAATGTCGTAGCTCATAATCAGCTCCACTCGGTCGGCCAACCGTTGTACGCGCCCCCAACAATGGCTCGCGTCCTGACAGATTTTCTCAAGGGCCGAGGCGAACCCATTCTGCTTGCTCGCCGGCAGCAAGGGGCTCATGTAGCTGAGCAGACAATTGCTGGCTTTCTTTGCTCGTTCCGAAGCATGGGCCTTATGCTTGGAAGGGGACAGCGTCAAGAGGACCGAACGAAGGTGCGCCTCCTTTTCAAAGTCTGAAGTTGATAGCTCGTACAGCAGTTTTGGCAGTTCGTTATCGCCCAACAAGTAGGTCGGCTGGAAGACGTGTTCCTCCAACGCAAAAGCGAGAATAGCCAAGGAGGCAGCAACTCGCATCTTTTTGGCATCAGACGAGTTCGTCGAAGGGACAGGAATGGCTCGCTTGACCGCCATGTTGTTGCGTATCTTGTCCCACATAGAGGAATCGCTCAACACATCGTTTGCCAGGTCGACTCCCAGGTAGTTGCGCATTAATGAGAACGAATCTTTGAATATCGCACCCAATTGATTCAGACTGCTTCGCATGTTAGAATGACGGTACTAAGTCTGGTAAGGCAAACGTACGTGGCAACAGAGGGCTCTGGTTCGAGCTTTACTGCGAAACTGTCCAGTTTTCTCAACCGGGCCTCCCTCTTATCTAGCTCCGCTTGCGCCGCATTCAGCTGTTGTCGAGCCTCGCGCTCGTCTTGCTTCGCTTTCTCAATTTCCGACTGAACGTCTTTGAGAGTCTTTTTCAACTGTTGGGTTTCACGTTCATTTTTCTTGAAATCCCCTTGCATTTTCGTCATCAATTCCGCACTTACGTTAAGCCGTTTCTCTTTATCTTTCAACGTAGCCTCGATCTCTTCAATGTTCTTCTTCAATTCGGCCACAGTGTTGTTGGTGGCTGCGAGCTGGGAAGCCTTCGCTGTTGTCCGTCCGCGTTCCACCGCCACTTCACTCTGGAGGCCCGTCAGGGTCTGAAGATTCACGTCGTACGCGGTCTGGAGGCCGGATGTCTTGGTTCTGAGGCGTTCGTTTTCCACGACAAGCGTTTGGAGCTGGCCGAAGGAAGAGTCGGCAGAAAGTGCCTGGAAAAGCTTGACGCAGCTCTCTACAAGCTGAGCCGACTCCGTTTGAGAGGCCATGATGTACTAACTAGGTCTCCAATTAAATGTAGAAGGATGTTCTCTCAGGATGAAATTATGGGAAGGATTACAGATATAGAAAGACAATACAGGAGTTAGCATGAGCAGAAAATGTCGAAGTTTTCAAGGTTTGAGTGCGGCCGTAGAATGATTTATATAACCGACAGAGCCCTCGCGACTGGGCGTTTTTACAATTAAGTCAAAGCACCCACATATGAAACACCCCCACATATAGAACACCTAAAACATCGCCATCATGTCAACCACCACCCTTTTCAATTAACTATCAACATTTTCTAGATGCAACAATAATGCAGCTTTTAGCCTCACTAGGTAATTCTAATGCGCTGGATTCATCTGGCTCACTTTTAGCATCGCCAGCCTCACGCTAGGCTTACTGTACCTCTTTAATTATTGCAAACTTCGTGTTTAGATCCAGGGTAATAGCCTTCCTCTTCCTGCTAACAGCATTATTAACCCTAGCCTAGAGAAGCTCTATTTAGTGCTAGGCAGTAGCTAACTTAAAGGACTACTGTTAGAAGCCTTTTTTAACCTTTCTAAAGAGCTAGCGTTATATAGTAATATTTTACTTTAGTTAGTCTAGTTAGCTAAATAAATACAGTTAATCCTTAAGGTCTTATACCTTCTTTAGCGTAGACTACCTAACTACTAATAAGGCAGATGCCTATTCCTCTATATCCTAGGCCTTATAGGCCACTTTTGCCCTCTTGTTAACTAGTGTTAATAGTGCTAATAGTGCTAATATATCTAGTAATAAATAGGAGCTTATTAGAGGCTTTATAACACTAATAGGCTATAACCTAGTGTATTTCTAGCTACTCTTAATATTACTAACAGTTAGACTAGCTAAGTAAGCCTTTTAATAGTAAAAAAAGAAGTTCCTTTTACTTATAATAGTAAAGTTAATCTACTAACTAAAATATCTAAGCTTCTTCTAATATACTACCTTAATAAGGCTAAAGACTAACTAGTTAAGTAGCTAGAGGATATAAGAGGTATATAGTAGCAAGAATAAAAAATAGACGTTATTAGTATAGTATAACTATATAAAATCTATTATTATATAGCTCCTATACCTATCTAGGATAAGAAGTCTAGCCTAATTAGGCTAAAAAGGCTTAGTCTAAGGAAAAAAAACTCTTTATAGCTATTTAATAGTAGTAATATTAGTAGTCTATCTATTCTCTATTACTATAAACTCTTATCTATTATATAGGCCTAGATCTAAAGAGAACTACTACTACTAGACTATTTTACCTTTATATATAACTAAGGGATAAATAAGAATACCTTTAGTAAATATACACTTAATAATAAATACCTAGGCTTATAATCTAGGCTACTTTTTTCTTACTACCTTTATTATAGCCTTGCCTAGCACTAGCCTATTATTACCTTTACTCTTAAGGATACTAGTCTTATCTATATTATATCTATTAGCTAGTTTAATAGCCTAGATATAAGGTACAGTAAGATATTTAAACTAGTCCCTAATAACCTTAGTAAATGCCCTATTAATATACCTTAAATTAATAGATTAACTTCTCTAGACCTTAATAGATAGGTTCCTTTAAATAAAGCTATCTATTTACCTTTTACCTAGAGGTTAAGTATCCCTTATAGTATAAAGGATACAATAGGCAAAGTCCTTTAGTTATTAATAAGTTAAAGGCAGCCTAAGGTCTACCTATTTAGTTACCTAAGCAGCTAGGCTAGTCTCCTAGGCAGTTAATAGTTACTAGAGGTCTTTAAATACAATTTTTCTAGGCTAAATACTATACATCCAGTTACAAAGGGTTAAAAGGGGGATACTATATTAAATAGTAGACCTTCTTAGTCCCTAGCTATTAGTAATAGCTTAGATTACCTAATTAATCTTATATTTAGTATACTAGACTATTAGGGTATAAGGAAGGGATTCTAAAAAAATAAGGCAATTTAATAAAGGTTAGAAAAAGTGATAATAGTTTGAAGTTGGTGGTGGTAAAGGAGGTGGTGGGGGATAAGGCATTTATGGGTGTTCCATATGTGGGGGTGTTTCATATGTGGGTGCTTTGACTTACACGTTTCCCACTGATGTATTACTGATTAATACATCGAGACAGCACTGTCCCTACAAGTATTAACCCGTTGCAGGAAGTTCGTCCGATGCAGAATCATAGGCAGATATCAATCCACGTCTTCTTAAGCCCTACAATTCGAGTCAATACGAGGCTTGCTGTCCACCATCGGGCAATCAGATTGAAGCCCGCACAACCATCGCCGAGCAGTCTGTCCGTTGGCCCGCGGAACCAATGCAGTTCTCAACATCTAGGAAGCCATGCCGATTGGTTAAGGTAAAGAACCCAGAAGATAAAACCACTACAAAGGTGTGTGGGGGTGGCGTAATACGCGGTGCGATCTGTTGGTCGCACACATGCTGCATGCTGGAGGCCGGCTGCCAGGCGAATGCTACCAATGGAACGCTCTTCGGGCTCGAGGACGGGAAAACGTGGCAGGCCAGGTAACCAACCGTAAACAACCCATGCGCCAACAGTCAAAGTCTTTGCTTCGTAGAGCATGCACCAACGACAAGTAGCCCGCCCGCCAGCCTGGTCTGCGACTGTTCAAGGACCGAAAACTTTCCGTAATCAAGGAAAGATCGCAGAATAAGGGTAAGAATTCCTGTATCGCCATGAACGATCGCGGCCTGAAGAGCTTGCTCCAAGATTTCGGCACGGTTTTAGCGTAGGTAGCCCTCGATTTTTTCATCGTTGTTGCCCAAGATAGCAGCTGCGAATGCTTTCTCCTCCGGCCTATAGTGGCGAATGGCTCGGATTAGCCGATCTACTATCTTGTGATGTCTGCTGGCGATTTGAAGCGGCACCGCTAATAATCTGATATCTGTATCAGAATACCTGTCCAATATCTGGTCCGCTATCGAGGCTTTTCCTTGTCAAGTCGCCGATCTTAATGCATCATGCAAAATGTTATCTCGGCCGAGTCCGTTTGGGAACCTTAACAAGACGTTGTCAAGTGAATCGTCAGCAACACGATTCTCTTCGCACTTTATAACAAATGCGAGAGCCTTCGCAAACTTTCATTTAAGAGTCCTTCTTGTGGCAAAGGGCTTGTGTTTTGAGTGCTCTGTTGCGTTGTAACATAACAAGCTAAATCTTATACTTCTTAAGCCTGTACTAGTCTGTAAATCTTAAGCATGCTCCTTTTTATAGGACACTTAAAGGAAATACTTACCTACTCTTTATTATTATTTAATTAAGAAGTTAAGGAGTCCCTAACTTATGGAGGTCTGTACTGCTCTTTTCTTATGGAATAGGTTGATTTCATTACCAACTTTTGACACTCTCTAGTGAATTATATGCCATATTGCTACATTGGGAAAGAACCTTACCTCTGTGAGGATTCTCCATCCTTTTTAGCCACTCTAATCATCCTCCTCTCTTTTTTCAAAAATCCTAATGCGCCCACAGTCGCCCCAAACATTAGAACACTCAAAGTAATAACTAACGGGCGCCATTTACCAGCACCAAAGCCGGGTTGTATTCCCAAGTGTTCGCCACTGGCAGTAACTGCAGCCCCAATGTAACCGGATGTTACAGCCGCTACACCACGTATAGAAAGCAAGGCGCCCGATACCACGAGCTCGTCGTTTGGGTGGTCTAGATCTCCAACAACAGCTGCCGCCATGTGGCTCCTTAACACAACGAAACTGAATGCAAAGGCCCCGAAGATAATAGAAAGAAGCACCATGGTCCAGTAAGCCTGGCCCAGACCCCACAGTATAACGAGTGCAAATGTGCTCATAAGTGTGCTCAGGAGAAGGGGCACCAAAGCACCTATAGCGTCTCTATCTTTCCGTCAGAGGTATTACTATGTTTATAAGAGAGATGTTTGCTCACGTAAGAGCCCCGAGAAGAGACTGGCCAACCATGCCGGACAGGCTGAGGTAGCTGATGAGAAGGGCGGCTTGAGTAGTAGACATTCCAACATCAGTGGCATAGCTTGGTAAATATGCTGCTGGCATGTGGCTGGCTAGGCCTTGGAGGGCCATAGAAAGGGCAAAGATCCCGAACAGTGGTTTTTTGAACGGCCCCCAGGAAACCTTCGCTCTAGTCTCGTCGTATTTCGTGAGCCGGGGCCTCACAAGTAAGATACAAAGAGATACAACAGATGCGGCAAGAATCGCCCACGCAGTAAGTACCGTACGGGGGCCGAATCGTTCCAGCAATAGGGAGAAGATAGGCGAGAAGCCAGCAGCTGCAATGTTGTTAGAACCAAAGCTATGAGCGAGCAGTTGTTAGTTTAATCCTCTCGTGCGCATTACATATTCAGGTGCGAGGGAGGGGCAAGGGGAGTCGTTTTTCGTACAAAAGGCCGTTCGCTAGTCCTCGGCGCTCAAGGAACCATTCGTCTAGAAAGCTTATAGAGGGCGCAAACAGCAAGCCGCCCCCTATGCCATAGAGAAGGCCTTGCATCATGATGAGTTGCAAGGGCTGTCGAGCGTCAGCACATTAAATGACTATTCATAAACTCTCGTGGCTCTTCGTACCGTCTTTGAAAAGGCGGCACCAACCGAGGCTGCCGAAACCAACGCCATTCCAACCCACATCATCGGTTTCCTCTGGTGTGGACGGCCACCCAGAAACCAAAGCAGGAGAGGAGATATAATTTGGACAGTGCCCTAGTCATACGAATTAGAGTCAGAAGTTCCGTGCTTATGTATGTATACCTTAGAGAGGGCGAGGTATAGACCTACCAGATTCATGACACCTATCGAGGCAACGGTCTGATTCCCTGCCATGGGCTTGTGTTTGAAGTAGTATTCCCTAAAAACGCCAAAGGCGCTTCCAAAGCCTGAGAAAGCACTAGTCAGTACGGCGACGGCTTCGCAAGATTTATATCAAAGTCGTACCCCACGTTATCGTGTTGATCAAGGAAAGAGAAGCAAGAAGAGACCAAGCTGCTATTCCAGAATCACAGGGCGGGTCCGGCGGGAGATCTTCTGAGGCAGAATTTTCCCGGGCCAAGGTCAGCACAGAGAGAGTCAATGTAGCTTCCTTTTTTTGGTCGCCCTCCCTACCGTCTATGAGATTCATGTTAGTGGAAATCATTGCTGTTGGTGAATGAGTAGAAGTCTATAGAGCGGTGTGAAAAGCACCAAGGTAACTTGCTGATGCTTAACCTGAATATGTAAGAAAGAATTGCTTGGAGAGCTTAAACTAATGAAAATATGAGAGAAAAGACCGATAAACTTGAATGCGTCACGTGTGTGTTTGTCGCTTCATTAGTAGGTACAACATACGAGGTAGAGAATACAACAAGGGTCATAGGAAAAACCTAGTTGGAATGCCCCAGACTGACCATACTAGATCAGGTCTGCCTCTAGCTGCCGTATAGGCTTACTAGAGTCGCATTGTACCCCCGCCTGTGGTGATTCTTGCCAGTCTTTAGTCTGGATAGACAATTAAAGTTTTTTGGCCTGTATTTTACTAGCTACTCTGACTCGTCACCGGCCTATTCAGCGGGATTTACTCCGTTCTTAGGACTCCAGGTCTTCTGCAGGTCCAACATATCTCATTCTCAGACAAAAGCTTTTAGCAAGGGTCTGCAGAGCTGCAGCCAAACCAGGCAATCATTAACGTGAGATTCGCTCCGCTTCCCATCAGCCAGGAGGCTGCAACCAGCACTTCATCGTGCCCTGTCGCTTGATCGGGGCAAAAGATTGACAATTTTGGTGCTGTTTTATTCCCTTGTATCAAAACATGTCTCAATAACTTGTACTTCAACATATCACACTCCTACGTCAAATGGGAGAAAAGATCGCCGTTTGGGGTCACAACAAGTGTCACATAACAAAACAACACCTTTAGTTACGTGGTCAGTAATAGTAGCTTATATATCGTAATATACCCCCTAGATTTGACCTACACTGTAGAAAGTCAGATCTGAACACATTTTTGATGAAAACCTAGTTGGGTACATCTCGCCAATCATAGGTGGTGAAGATCTATATAGACTTTAGTAGGATTTTTGACCAAGGGACCCTAATAGGAATTGAACCCACGGGGCTTAAGATCTATAGCTAGTTACTGCACTTAAATTGACACATATGCCATTATAGCATATAGCAGGTAGGAGCTGGTTCCATAACTGTCACGTAACAAAACAATACTGTTAGTTACATAGGCAGTAATAGTAGCTTATATATCGTGACAACAAGGCAGTAGGAGGCATACAACTTTGTAGTAAAGGCAGCTAATAAGGCTAGGGAGGAACTTGCCAAGGCCCAAGGCAACACAGAAGGGGTTGCAGCCAAAGCTACTATAGACAGACAGGTTAGAAGAGGGGGTCACAAGCATGTTCATGTCAGTACTCAATCACCAGACTAAGGGGACTAAGTACAACAGCATTCTCATCAGCTTCTTCATAATGCTCAGCATCAGGGCAGACTACAGGTGGGAGGACTTCAGCAGCTTCACGCCTAAGCTATCAGCCATCACAATATGTTGTGACCTATAGGTCCTATAGAAGGCGTTAGTTGCTGCTCTGCGACTAACGGCGTCGTTCTTAGCACAACACAATAATAGCTCAACTCTTTGTTATAAAGTGCGCAGTAGACCAGCAGATTAATGCAGTCACGCAGCCCGTGCAAGCAGGCTAGAGCCAGAAGAAGGCAGAGGACCAGGCGCCAAGCTATTTCAATCTTGTAGCCAACATAACACAGCAGTTCATAGTAATAGCAGACAAGGGGCCATAGACAACACTAATACGGTTCATCTTCTAACTACAGAGCTTTATCATAGGGGCGTATAACAGAACAGCAGCACAAGGTTCTGTCAACTAAGACAAGGACAAGATCATATATAAAGGAAGCTAACTTAGCACTATTAACATCTAGGGCATGATACAGACCACAGTAGCATAAGCAGAAGAGATCTTGTTTCAGAAGCTACTATTCTACTAAGACTTTATCAAGCAGTCTAGCGCCAAGCTTAACATACTAAGGTCCTATAGAGTACAACTAATAACAACATATTAGACACTACTATCAGTCTATTAATTATAGATATAATCCTACAAGCTAATAAAGACAAGAGCCAGGACTACCAGGTCAGGCCTATCTTACGAAACATGAAAAGCTATATTATAGCTAGTTGGAAGGCCCTACTGTAGTATACCGACACGGAATGCGTCGAAAAACGGCAGCCTTATACGACCATTGGTCGGATTTCTTTATGAGTCTACTTTTTGCACTTGGACTTTCTCGACGCGATTCCTGCCCTGGTATTGGCTGACATTGTTCACGGGGTCCCGCCTATGCTGCTCCGCTAAGAAATCTCGACGCGTTCCTACTGGTCGTACCGCTAACCTCCTTAGTAGACAGTTAACGACAAGGTGTAGACAAAATCACTTTACCTACCTACTTCTTTACCTCTTACTAAATAAAGCAACTTGAATAAAGCCATTGTTTTGTAGTACACCACAGATAGAAAACGTTCACTAGGCTTATTTTTACAGAGTTACGCCGTCCAGCGACTAGAATCCTTACTGCATGGAGCCGCGCATCCTGACGGCTGCAGAACGGCAGCGCCTTGACGTCCTCCGCCTGTTTCTAGATGCGCCGCAATCAGCTCTTATCTGCCAACGATTTAAGATTTTGATATAATAGTAAAGTAGTAATTAGAGACTAGAGACTAGTACTATTCCTATGTTTCTCTTACTATACTAGTACCCTACCTCTCTCTCTACCACTAAGGACTCTTGAATATAAGGATAGAGAGGTGTTAGGTCTAGTTTCTATTATAAACTAGTAAACTATTATTAGCACAATAGGTAGGCTTAGTGTCACGAGCAGGTCAGGGCAACCAACTCTGGCACAAAACAAAAACTTCGGTAATGATTGTCAGAGAGGTTACCGTACCGAGTAGAGGAGTCCACGAATAGCGTAGTTAGGGGTCAATTGTGACTATTTTCCAATCTGCCTTCTCCTAATTCTCCAGTTCCTGAAAACTCTGCTTTTGTGTAACCTTCGGATGATAGTTTTCCCGGTCGCGGCCCCATAGCTGGTGGTCCCCTGGTGCCCCCCACCTCTGGCACCTGACAATGATGCACATGCCTCATTATCTCCTGCACTAGCCAGCACCCCAAATGGTTGGGTCGTAACACTTAGGTCTCTTGGTGAGAGAATAATAGCTTAAGAAGATATTGTCGAAGTGTGTGGACCACTGGTCAGAGAGAATGAAAGTAGGAGTGAAAACCGACCCAACCTCCAACCTCTTCTGATCCTAATGATATGTACACGAGTAAATAGGTCCGGTGATTCTCAGACCCAATCCAAGATGGAAACTGAAAAAGGGCAAAAGTTCGTTAAGAAATCGCAAGATTACAAGTTTGTAGAGAAGTATTAAGAATAAGGCAGCAGCATTGCGGTAAGGACTGTATGTTATGTGTTGTTCTATCTATTGATTACTGTAGCGACAGTGGTTTCTCTTTTTATCTATTGCCTAGATTAGCTATCCCTGGCTTGGATCGTAGGCTGCTAAACCAAGCCACCCTATCACAGTATAAGAGAGTATATCTCTTATATAAAGATATATCATATAGAAGCAAGATTATGGGATAACAATGGTAGAAATATAGAGGAATATAAGGATAATAAAGATATAGATATAAAGAGAGTATTGGAAAGGTGCAGGGTAGGAGGGACCTATGCGGTGCAGTGATCTGAGGAGAAACACCAACAACCCCTAAGGTAACACAAGATGCTTCCTCAATCGGTCGAAGGCTTGCTTCGATCAGAGCATCGAATCCCTCAGATCGATGACACTTGATGTTTCGATCATGAGAAGAGAGCTTCCGATCAGGCAAAGTCTAGACGCGATCTGAGGAGTGAAACTCCCAATCGTCTTGTGTTATCACGCTCGATTAGCTCACGGAAGAAAGGTTTATGGTCTGATCTGGCCAAAAGGTAGGTCTAAAAAGGAAAGGAAAAGGTTTATTGATGTTCTATCTATGCGATCGGTCTCCCTTATATGGGCTCTTTACTCGATCGGAATAACTACCTCTTCCTTTAACGCGTCTTCATATCTCTGATCCGCTCGAGTCAATCTCCTAATCGCCCCGCCCTATTCCAGTATTATAGTTAGTCTTATTTTATACTAGTTTGCTTGCCTAGAGAAAAAGAGAAGAAGACTAGACATTCTAGATACTTCTCCTAGATTCTATCTGAATAGGGTTACTTCTCTCTTTATATACTAGCTTTTAGTAAATAGTAGCTAGTAGGCTAAGATGATAGTAAGTTAATATTATATTAAGGCCCTAGATGACACAGTCCTCCTGGCAGCTATTCTGGATTTGACATGACTAGCTGGACTGTAATAGGCAGAGTGTATTGCGCCAGCTTGATGTGAAGTGACGCAGTGCGAAGGTGAAGCGTAACAGCAAAGCAGTAAGCAAGGCAAGCACTCACAAGGAGCTGAACGAAGTCAAGGATAACGTAGAGGTAGATGGGTCAGTGTCTTCATTGTTGACCTCCTCTGTGGAGGTCAACAACAGCATGGCGATATATACCTATAGGCACGTGGAGATTCACGTGCCGGATGGGGATTCATCCAGTGGCTGTTCCTATCTGCCTATCTATCTCTGTGTTGTCCTGTGACACCAACCCTAATAGTGTATTCGTTGATATTAAGGCTATTTATTCAGAAGTCACGTGAGGTAGAAAAACAGAATACTTTTGAGGCCGCAAAGACTGCCCGGGCGCAAGAAACTGAGTTTTAATCTTTTCAGCATGAATTTTGGTTGGCAAAGTAGGGTAGCGGTTAACAGGCAGACAGATTGCGGGGCAGCACTTGAGTCATCAAAGTACCTCTTGAAGTCTCTCGCTTAATCCTGCACAGACCTACGCACAGACCTATGCATAGACTAGCTTACCCTTTTCCTACAGAAAAAAGAAGAAAACAGAGATATCTCTATAAGCTTAAGGTGCATCTAGAATATAATAGCACAAATCAACTTTTTAGAGAAATTTACCCCTTGAAACTTACCCTTTGAACTAGAGTATATATACTATAGACTATACTAATAAAAAAGCTTTTTTTTCTTTTTGTTGACTTAGGAGTTAAAGATTTGAAGTTAGTAGGTGAAGTTAGTGGTGTGGAGAATTTGAAGTTGGTGGTGTGGAGAATTTGTGACTTAAGAGGAGGTGGGTCAGTACTTTGAGATAGTCTGAGATGCTAAGGTTTGACCCGCAATCTGTCTGCCTGTTAACCGCTACCCAAAGTAGTACTAATTGACATATTGTCTCGTTTATGCTGGAATCGGCGAAGTCCGTAAAGTGCAGCGGATGTGGGAGTGCGGCGCTAGGGGGTGCGTTGACTTATGGGTACAGGTAGAATGCCAGAGCGATTTGTTCGGCGACCAGTGGGTTAAGCCTATTTCGGAATGCATTATGTCAGCGCCAGCAAAAAATAGCCTACAACAGCATTCTGACTTAACTAATAGGAAGGCTAAGATTTAGAAAGTTATATAAAGTTAAAAACTCCTTAGATTTATTTAATTAATTTCAAGTCAAGGCAAAATAAAGACAATAGCTATAATTAATTTAAAACTTATCATATTATATAGTTGATTTTAATGAAAAGACAATGCCTTTATTATAATAGTAAATTTATACACGTCGCTAGCACTCTTTAAAGGTTAAATATAAGGGCTTAATCTTAGGCATTGTAGGCGTCTGTTAGTAATAGTGGATTTGCAGCAAAAAGGGTGTTTTTTGCATAGGTTATGGACATAGGCTGTGGCTGCAGTGGCGGTGGCAGTGGCGGTGGTGGCAGTGCCTTCTAAATAGGGTTAGTCACTGGCCGCTGAGCAAATCGCTCTGGCATTCGACCTGTACCCTTGACTTATGGGTGTATTAGATGTAGAATTTAACTTGACCTCCTCAACTGGTTGGCCCAGCTGAGGGGTAATCTATGTGGCCGGCCGGGCCGACGGCCGGGCCGACGCATCGCCAAGGGTCTGCCGATTCAACCATCTATAGATCCATGGGCATCTCTCCCCTTCGCCCAGGGATATTGTTAGAAAAATATCATTATCCTAATCTACTTATAGTGATCAAGTATTAATAAAGTTTAAAAGTGTAGAATCTTTTGGTTATTATCTAAAATTATCAATTCTTTACTCTTAACGTACTCTGTACACGATAAGCGAGCTGGCCACCTTAAGAAAGTGGGGTTATTCAGGCTAGGCTGCACGCAAAAATGCTGTTAGGAAACTGTCAAGGCCTCTTACTAATTACATAACAGCATTTTTGTGTGCAGCCCAGCCTAATTAACCCCACCTTTCTTAAGGTAACTAGCTTACTTATTATGTACATTATACAGATATAATTAAGATATATTAATTAAATCTGCTAGTAACACTAAGGGATAAGTTAATATAGTTAACTATATATATTAGTAGTAATTAATAAATAATAGGGGTAACTATAGTTCTCTATTATATGTAAAGAAAAGAAGGATAATTATTGTGGGTTAGTTGGTTAAATAACCAACTTATTGCCCACAAATCCTCAGAGAATCTATGGCCAAATATCCAAGGATTTGCCGGCAATAAGTCATTGGGGTTAACCCGATAACTCCGATATTTATCTGCAATGGTCAACATCGCAACAGAATCAATTCTCTAGAGTTACAACAGCAATGTTATCAATCTCAATTTCTTTTTTACTAAGAATAGCCTATAATAGCTATATAGCTAATAAAAAGTGTATAATTTACTCTTTGTTCTCTACATAGGTTTTTTCTATATATTCTCTATCCTTCTTCTTGTTATTTACTCCTTCTATTCAACAGCCTCAAACAAGTTGAACATTTACATCAACTCAAGCTTTTTATCAACTCTACTTCTCTATTCAACGTATCCTCATCTAACCAACACAATGAACCCTAAATCAATCATCACTCTCTTCTTTATTGGCACTACCCTTGGTGCTACTATTCCTCCAACAGAACCGAGTACCTCTCATTTGGTGCAACGTAACGACAAATACGAACGATGCATGGCGACCTGTTATCAGTCTATGGCCGGGAAGTACGACAATGACAAGTTGCCTGCATATTGCACCAGCTTGTGCACCCGACTTCACGGCTCGCCTTGGTAGGCATAACTGGGCTGCTAAGGGGAAAATTATTTAATAGCAAATACTGCTACTATCTCAGGTGCCTAGGGGGGCACCAACGGGAGGGCTGCAGACGGATAAACTATAACCCAAAGGACACGTACAAGGGGAATTTGCCGGAATTAAGAAGTTAGGAGGAAGGTAGATTGGAATAATTATCACAATTAAACCCTAACCAAGCTATTCGTGAAGGCCTTTACTTAATACAATCACAGCTTCTGACATCTTAGAGCTACAGCCTCTTAATCACTAGACCAACTACTTAGGCCTCTTCAGGGGTCTTTGTCTAAACTGTTTCTATTTCAACACTCTACTTGTCTTACTAGAACTAGTTTCCTCTAAATGTATTACATGTTACAACCTATATATCTTTTTGATACATACTATTCTCTTATTTTCTAAATATACCCTGGCCCAAACCGCCGTTTAGACTTCGGGTTACGGGTAAAAGTTTTGAGCTTTAGGCTTTCTTACCCCGGCTAGGGAGCTTTTAGAAGAATCCCCCAAGACGGGTTGCCCTATTCCATATTCAATCTACGGAATCTACCCCATGTCGGAGTCTACCCCCTGTTTTCCCTCCCGTTTCCCCACCCGACACACGACGCTCACTACCGAGGAGGGAGTCCATACCACAGCACAGAGAATTGAGAAAACGTCTGTTTGCGATGAAAGATTCCGTGAGAACGTTGTTGTTCTGATTCCCGGTCCTGGCCTACACCCGGCCCGACAACTTGTCACGAAAACCTAAACAAGTACCTTCGTTGAGAAAACAGGGCGTGGTTTTCACGAGCTTCTATCTTGGAATCAACTTCAGCTCACGAAACGTGTCAATGGTTCAACGCTTTCTTGGGATCAGCGGGGCGTGTTGTCAAGGGGTCGCAGGTGAGGCGTCCACATTACATGTCAGGTGGCAGCATGCGAAGGAGATACCGCGGCACTATACCCAGTTCAACATAACAAGCGGGCCGGGCTATCGATGGAGAGCCCACAGTCTTGAGTACATCTTGTGGAAAGCCAAAAATGCTAATGACTGACTTGATGTACATCTGGGGACGGCGGTGGTGCTGGGTTTATGAAAACACGTGGACGAAGGTGTCAATGACGGCTGAGTACTCCAGGGGAGAGGAGGAGCAGAGGCAGCATGCGATATACCGGCACCGATTGCTGTCATGGAGTTGACCGTCTGTAGCCTCTGCGGGATGTTGATGATTGCAGTCATGAAGGGGAATCCCGTAAGGAATCCGTTTCTGTACCAGACGGTTAGCAAGACATCATCCATTGCACTTTTCCGGGGTGCACTCACAAGAGCAGACCCAAGACGAACCTATTCGAGGTAAGTCGCCACGGGGCTCGCAGACGCCGTCCTTTGCCGATATCCATCTCTCCCATGCCACGAAAGCCAGCCACATGGCCCCGGACGAGACGAAGGCAGTGATAATGGCGACGCCGTTCCAAGGGTACTCGGTAACGACTTGTTCAAGAGCAAAGATGACGAGGATGGATGCGGCCGAGGACAAGAACGCGCCAACAAAGTCGACACGTTCCCACGTCTGCCTCGACACCAGAGTGCGGAATGACATGGTGGATCTCCCATAGGGAAAGCCGAAAGGCACCGAGAAGGCCACCAGTGAGGCTGCAAGGACTCCTCCGGGTCCGCTATAGTATTGGGGGCCACTCAATAAGCCGATGCAAAAGTCTCGGTGGAGTGGGGGTCAGGCCTCGGGAAACTTACTTGAAGACGAAAACCCATCGCCAAGTGGTGTTGTCTGCTATGTGGCCGCCGAGTATAGGGCCAAGAACACTGGAGATGGCAAAGACGGACGAGAAGATGGCGATGTAGGCTGCATACTTGGGGGGCGGAACCATCAAAGGTACCATGACAGTAGATAGAGAGTATATACCCGAGCCTCCCATGCCCTGGAGAGCCCGAAAAATGATACTGATTGCAAACATGTCAGTTAGTGTCATGCATAACGATTTGACCGATGATCGTTGAAGGGGGGCCTGTCAAGCAGGAGGATATCCAGCAGGCATGACTCACAGCGGCAGGAAGCCTTAAACCCGGTTAGCAAGGATGGCATGACATGGCGCACCTCAACTGAAAGACGGAGCGTTTACCGGTATAGGTCAGCAAGTACGACGTGACAATCCAGCTGGACCTATCAAAACCGTGAAGGTCATCGACAATGGACACCAGAGAGGTGCTCACAATGGTTGTCTCCAAGCGTCAACAGCAACAAGCCAACACAGAGGCTATAGCACAATAAACCAGTCAACAAAACTCGGATGGGATTGGCGCGACAGGCAACGATGGTCACAGGGAGATAGTCACCCTGCAGTTAAAGCATGCAGCCTTCATCCGGTATGGTATACTTTTGGCTTCGACACGTCCGTCAGCTCGTTCAGTCTGTTATCGGAAGGGGTTAAGGCAGCCGCTGAGATATCGGCTGCGCCAACGGTATCGAAGTTGACCTCTTCAAGCCTATCGCCGGGGCTCTCTGTGGTCTGTATTGGTGGTCTGTCAGAGGACGAAGGGATGCGTATTTGCGCCATCTGCACCAGCCAACCATGTACTGCCGGACCGAGGTTACAATGCGTGAGGATCAGATGCGCCCAGGAAGGGGGGGGGGGGGGGGGGGGGGGTCAAAGACTCGGGAAGAGAAAGGGAATAATAGTTGGTTTGGCGTTCGTTGCGTGCAGAATGACGGTAACTACTGGTCCTTGGCCGTCGTTGTTCAGCTGCTGGGATCAACGAAGCCCCCCTTAAGCAGTGTCTGACTCATCAAAGCTAATATGGACAAGTAACTGCTCCTAGGTAGGTATCAACTGATGGCACGAATACGAGGAGAAAACCGCAGGCACAAAACCCCCCCACGCACAGATACCAAACTAAGGGGGGCGACACGTCAGCTTTGAATTCTAAGCACTTTTCTCCCATGGGATCTGTCCAGTTGGCGTTGACAAGAGTCGTACAGTCCGCCAGGATTCTGAGTATTAGCTTGTTACAGGCCCTGCTTACACGTACAGTATAACAAGCACACTCTGTTCCTACAAAGCATCTAGCAAGAGTAAGTATTTTTACATCTCAATCAAGTCGATCTAGTGATGTACCTTAGAGATAAAGTAACTCTGTAGAGGTACCCTTCCAATAGATCTAGAGGAAAGCAACCTTTTTGTGGTTTCCTGGGTCATTTCACCACGCTAAGATTTATAATCCCGGTGGACTGTACATGGTTGGCGCATCTTCACATCAAAAGCATTACAGATGCTGCCATCAGCCTGCAACGTTTGTTGGTCGTACATTTTGCATTTTGCCAGCGTTTAGACTTTCCGTGTGTATGTATGTGGGTCACTTGCGGGTACCGGTGCGCTATTCCGTTCCCCGCCCCGGCGGGTGGATACACAAGGCACAGTATACAGGTAGGGCTTAGGCTGCACGATGGCGGGGTGGACACACGCACATACATGCATTAATGCATACATATATAGGCAGGTATACGTGCATACTGCAATATCTATGTACAGTAAGTAGCTGCCTACCTAATGTAGGTAGGTAGGTAAATACCTAGTGCGCAACCCACATAGGTATAGTCGGACAGGAAGGCGGGCCCGTGTCCGTCCGAACTCATCGGGCGGCCCGGCCCATGAAGGCAGGCACATGGAACGGACAGGCCAGAGTGGGGGTCGAAGGGTCGAGGGCATTGTTCCAGAAACACACATCAAATCCGTCCAGAGTGGCGCATCCGCCTGCGCCTCCACAGTCGCAGACCGGTGAGAGCGTCTTCATACACTGAGGCGCCAGCGGGGTCGGGCAGGCGGCGATTCAACTGGGCAAGGTCATAGGAGCCGACATCTTCTCCAAGAACGGCCTCCCCATGGCCCCTTCAGGAAGAGCGATACTTCTTCGACGTCAGTCTCCAGCCCCTTGAGCAAGGGGCTCTCTTGACCCGGGCGCTCAAGGACGTCGTAGATCTGCTGATGGATGGACCCATTGCACCACCACAGCCGCTGTACCGGTATTCCTACTCAGGTATCACAAAGGCTTCAAGATCATGCAGGCGGGCACGCATACCGGAAAGCTTGTGCTTGAGTCTTGTGACGACGACGTTGTAACGGTACGTATCTCCGGAGCCATCACCTCATCGTAGATCTGGACTATGGCTGGGAGGAACGAACTAACAAAATGACAGGTCGAACCGAGCCGCAAAGCCTCATACCCGTTTGCGCCAGATGTTACCTGCGTCCTGTCCTGTCGGGCGGAGCGGGCAGTCCAACCACTGCGTTATCAACACATACCAGGACGCCCTCACGCGGGCCTCCCGGCGTCGCCGTCGACCTCGGCATGATCCTCCCCGTGGGCTTCGCCGCCGAGAACAAGAAGAGCATGGCCAACCTGGGGGAAGGTTCGAGCCTGAAAGGGCTGACCGAGCTAGAGGCCACGAGAAGCTCCTTTGTGGACTTTACGCAAGATAAGGAAGTGACTGGAAGGTTGAGAAACAGCGTGCCCAAAATTGGAGATCAAGAAGTATAGCAACCGATGTAATTGAGAATGTTCCTGCACAACCCAATGCTGGTGGCGGAAAGCCTCTTGTCACTTCAAACAGTAGCGGATGTATGGATAAATAATTATGTATGTTGAACGCCAAAATGGACTGTATAAGCATACCACATCGCCCGCGGGCGCGAAACATGAATGGCAGCATGTACCTCCGCCTCTTCCCCATCCAGCCATCTTCATGTTCATGGTTTGTGGGGGTGGGCGAAGGATATGTAGGCCTCCCAATCCAACAAGCAGGAAATTAAGACTGCCCCATTTCCAGAACGCCAGTGCAATCTCTTCTCCCCAACGCGCAAGCCTTTTCTTTGCTGTTTCCGAGTCGATCGTACATCTGGTGTCGTCTGATGCCATACAAGTAACATCGGAAGGGTCACACCCTCGTCTCTTCATCCTCTGTTCGTGGTCGTCGTCGCGGTCGACACAGGAGCCCAGCCCGGACCGCTCGTGTTAAAAGTGGGAAGTTGGTGGTGCGTATGGCGCAAGCCGCCGTCTACATGACGGAGCACTCGCCCTCCTGCTGCTTGCCAATCTTGCTGCGAGAGATGCGCTCCCGCTGACGGGGGCCATTCTTGCCAGCGCGCTTCAGGTCCTCGAGACGCTCACGGGCCTTGGGGAAGTTTTGGGCTGCAAAAATGTGTCAACAAAGGCATTTCTTCAACAGGTGCCGTCAGACTTACCAGCCGCTCTCCAGTACCACCGCTTCGCGTCCTCCATGTTAGCCGGCACACCAATGCCCACCTCAGTAAAGTAACCCATCGCATACTCGGCCTTTGCCAGGCCGGCCGTGGCAGCCTTGCGGGCCCATAGATACGCCTCTGTGTCGCTCTGCTGGAGGACATTGTCGCTACCTGTAAGATACCAACCACTGAGCGCCAACTCGGCTTGATGTTCGCCCTGCTGTGCAGCGCGGGAGTACCACATGATGGACTGCCGGGGGTCGACGGGGCAGCCCATCAGACCATATTCGAACGCGCAACCCAGGCGGTACTGTGAGAACTTGTAGCCGAGGTCGGCCGCCTGCTTGAAGAGCGAAAACGCGTACGCTTCGTCCTTGATTATTGCGTCGTTGGGCGCAGCCGATTCATAAAGGAGACCCAACTCATGCAATGCGTGGGGGTTTTCGGCGTCGGCCCGTTCCGCAGCTCTCTTGAGCCAGCCAACAGCCTCGCGGGGGTTCTTCGGCTGACCGAGGAGTCCCTTCAACAGGATCATGCCGACCTTGTACATGGCCGGCGTGTCCCCTAGAGTAGCAGCTCTCTTATACCACTGAATGGCCTTCAGGGGATCCTTCCTGGTACCGCCGCCCTCTTCGTGGCCGATCTCGCAGCATACTGCCGTTCGGTAGGCCGCGGCGGCGTGGCCAAGCTTCGCAGCGGACTGGTACAGCGTGAAAGCCTCCTTGTTGTCGGGCTCGGGTCCAAACAAGCCCCGGCCAAGGCAATCGGCGTAGAAGAACATGGCTTCGGGGTTCTGCGCGCTCGACGATAGCTTTTTGAGAATTTTGTTGGCGTCGGCGAGGAATCTCTCGCGGGTGCGAGTCCTCATCTTGGGATCCGCGAGCGCGGGGGCAAGAACATCGGCAGCCTCGACAAGTCTCTTTGCCAGCCTCAAGGCGGACTCTTGGTCGTTGGGGTTCGTCTTGACGATCTGACGCAACCGCTCCAGTTCGTCTTGGGTGACCGGCGTGGTGATCTCTTGCATCGAGGACTTGCTCGGTTGCTGAGACACCATCTGCTGCTGCGGTGGAGGTGCGCCGCCGGGACCGGCTGGAGGCGTCGGTCCGTTGGAGGCGCCGCTGTAGTTGCGGATCGGCGCAGGCTTGTCGCCCATGTTCACCATGGAATTGGGCATGTGACCGGGTCTTACGGGGGCTGGGTGGGATGGCAAATTATCGGGGCCGCGAGCTGGAGGAGGGCCCTGAGGGAAGCCCGGACGTCCCATTTGCGGGTTTTGCGGCTGGCCCCATCCGTTAGGTACGTTGTAAGCATCTTGGTAACCGTGGCCCATCGGCGGCATCGGCGGAGCATCGTTAGCCATCTCAAAGACGGCCTGCTGCGATTGCCTCAGATCCGGCTGCGACTTGGTTCGGCTCATCTCCGGCACGCGTTTAGCGCCCGGCTGGGTGTGCTCGGCGACGATACCCGGTCTGATGTGCTGGTCAAAGGAGCCGCGGGGGCCATTGGGCGGCGGCGCATTGAAGTCGGGGACGTCAGGCTGGGCGTAGCTGGCATTGCTCTGGTTGCTCATGCGTGTAGAATGGTAGTAGGCATCATAGACATCACCGAAAGATGCTCTGGCATCTCGGTATCCGTCTTGGTCCCCTTCATATTCTCCACCATATCCGCCATATTGAGGAGCCATCTGTTGGGGTTGGGGCTGCTGCTGCTGCGGCAGCGGCGGCATCTGGTTCGGATGCATACGCTGCGGTGGCGGGCGGTTGCCTTGGGCAGTTGACGGTCGAGGGGGGATTCCATTGCGCGGTGGCGGTCCCCCGGGACCACCATAGGGGTCCATGCGTGGCGGAGGCGGGCGTCGCTGAGACCCGTCGTTCATAGGCATCGTCATGCTCCTTTGAGGGGGGCCGAAGTCGTCTCTCGGGGGTCCTGGTGGGCCATAGCCGTCGCCTCGGAAGTCGGGTCCGTATCCTGGGTCCGGGCCGCGACGAGGTTCTGGGTTACCTCGCGGTGGCGGCGCCCTGCCGTCAGGGGGACCAGGAGGCCGAGGGGCTCCCCCGGAGATATCCATTCCGGCCATCTTGTTCAATATCGCATTTTCTTCATCAAGATCCGTCTTGCGACCGTGCCCTGGAAAGGCCGGGAAGGCGCCGCCGAAACCTTGGGGACCAGCCGGGCTCAATGGTCCGGGGTCTTGTGGTCGAGGGCGGTTGGCTAGCTATTCATCAGCATACGAGAGGGGCAAGCGGCAGCACACACACACTCACGTGCAGGATCAGAGTTTGCAGATCGTTCGTACTGAGCAGGGCGACCTCCTCGACCCATGGGAAAGCCTCCTCGGCCTCCAGACCCGCCGCGGGACGGGGGCGTGCCGCGAGCTCCATCAGCCGTTGGTGGGCGTGGTATAGGACCGCCGCCTCTTCCCATTTGAGGCGGCCGTCCTCCTCTCGGCGGGCCATTGGGACCAGGACCGCTACCGTAGTAGTCCTGGGGCGGGTAGCCTTGGTTCAGCGGGGGCGGCGGGCCTCTGCCGTAGTTGGGATCCTGCTGGTACTGACCGCCGTATTCTGGGCCGTAGCCTCCGTCGTCATAGTAATCGTAGCCGTACCCATCTTGCTGGTAGTTGTCGTACTGCTGGGGAGGAGGGCCCCGCGGTGCAGGGCCGGGACCGGGACCGGGACCAGGACGAGGCGCGGGCGGACCACCGCCGTATGGGCGCTGTCCAGGATATCCTACCATCGTCTGCTGTGCCGCGGCTACTCGTGTCGAAGCCGTGTCGGCCGGCTTGTCGATGATGACGGGGGCACGAGGTGCAGAACTCGTAGGGGCGTCGGTTATGGTGGTTTGTGGTGTCGTGTAGGTGCGGTGGTGGTTCGAGGTCGGAAATGGGTAGGTTTAGGGAGCTCTTAGGCGGCTCTGTGTCGCATAAGGGCACTGAAAAGAAGGAAATCAGGTGTAGCTCCACAGCTTGCCGGAATGGACGGTCTACAATCTACAACAGGCGCAGGCGCATAGCTGACACTGTCGAGAGCCCCAGGGTCGGCGAGGGGTTGGTAGTCTTGTATGCTGGGATTCAGCGCGTTTCGTGTCAATGCTGATCGACAGTTTCGGCGGGCCAGGCTATGCGCGAGGGCAGACGATTCAGGTTGTTTTTCTCCCCCCTCCTTTGACGAGGAGAACAGGAACCAATCCGCAGAGTTTGGTTGTGGAAGACCAAAATCAGGCGACGACGGAAAAAAGGAGAAAATAGAAAAGGAAGCTGGGCCTCGTGGTGGGCAGTGCCGGAAGGGGGGGCAAAAGACTAGGTAATCAATAGAGCGGCCGTTAAGGGGAGATCGCAGGTGTTTCCAGAACACGGCGTCTATTGGCGGCAGTGACGGTTGTCGTGTGGTAATAGTGGTGTGGATGAAGGCGATGGAGGGGGGGCTGGGCCGAGCTCGTCGGGGGCAAGTCGTCGTATGAATGGAATGGCCGAGGTTCCTGGGGTGGCCGTTGTTTGTTTGGTGCGGTGCCAAGGAAGAAGAAGTATGGCCGTTAGTCTTCAAGGAGTGAGTGAATAGAGAGAGAGAGAAAGAGAAAGAGAGAGATAATGAAGGGCGAGGATGAGGTCTGGCTCATGCACGCATCCACATGCAAAGGGGTGAATGGGGCAGACGAAGAGGAGTGCGTCTGCTGCTGCTGCTGCTGCTGCTGTGTAGTGTCGTGTTGTGTTATGTTGTGTTGATGTGTGTATGTGTGTGTGGACAGAGTATGAGTTTGATGTACGTGGATGAGCGAGTGAATGAGTGGTGAGTGTGAGTTGTGTGCGTGTGGGAATGGAAAGAGCAGGCCGGGGCAACGGGAAGGAGGCGGAGGACGGGTGCACCTGCAGGTTTGAGTTGAATTGAATACCGGTACGTAGTATAAGGTAGGGGATGGATGGCCAGGGCTTGTGTGGGAGTGTGTCGTACAGCAGTTGGACAAGACAGTCAGTAGGGGACTTGGGCTGACTGGGCGGGCTCTCTCTGTACCTGTACCTTTAGCCGGGGGGGTGCCCATGTACCTTATGTACCTTTTTACGCTCTGCAAGGTACATCAGATACAGGTTCTTGGAGAGCAAGGCACTGTGCCTCGAAGCGAATATACCTCTGCTGCCCCCTGGATATAGAGGGATTCAGGACGAGGACGATGAAGGGAGAACCACAATGGGCCTGGCGGTGTGTGTCTCGGTCTTCCAGACCCGCCCCGTTGCAAAATAGCAACTGCTGTGGTGGGCGATGCTGCACGTAGTGCACGCATGTATGGGTACTTTGACCGAGTACGGATATGTCTCTTGGTTTGCATCTATGAAGAACTGCACACCGTCAACGACTGACTGTAATTTCTATCGACTGTATGTGACGTGTCCGTGAGTTGCCGGTGATGATCGAGGCGCTTGGTGAGCCGCAACTTAAAGGCGTCAAAGCCAGAGCTAGACGAAACAAGCCAGCATATATATATATATGTAAAAACATGGAAAGATTAAAAATAAATCAAGATAGCCATGTAACCGCCGTTCAAAGTATCGTACACTACTTATCCGACCAGTGGACGACAGTCCCGTGTTTGAAGCCGCCGGCGAGGGCCGTGTCCCCTTACCGTCCTGGATATTGTTGCTGTTCCCGAGCCACGGGTTGTCCCACTGTCCTCCTCGTCGTCGTTGTTGTGCTAGCTACTATGTATGTTATGCATGTCCTCGTCGATATGGTAGTGCTATTATTACCCGGGAGCCTCTTTGGTTCTTCTCGCACGCACGTACGGGTATGTTCATGCCGGATTGCCCAGCTGGATACATCCCACGCGGCTGACCAGGCGGCATTTGTATTTCCTTTCCCTCTTATTCGCTGTTTAGTTTTTCCTTCCCTCTCCCGTCTGATGTTACTCCTGATACTGTCTCAGCTCTCTTATCTTGTCTCTCTGTTCTGACTCACCGTTCTCTCGCAGTCGCTCTGCGTTGTCGACGACCTCAGGGGATCCCGTCGATCATGTCATTGACGACCTGAGATTACCTTCATCCCGCAGCGCCGCTAGAAACCTACGCGATCCAATGCTACTCCGTCACTTTGCACTGCCGTCAGCCCAAACCACGCGATAGGGTACCTCACTAAGGCAAGGTACGCGCACTGCCGCCTCTAGCACGAGAGTTACTTCGGTAGTGTCCTGCGGAGGGCCCCCGCCTCCATCCATCGACGCTACCGCTGTACATCTGTGCTTCGGACGCAGTAGGCTTCGGCCGCATTGAGGTAAACACCGCCGCCTCCGCCCCTGCCCGTAGCAATGTCCAACTATCCTATACTATATAAGCGCGGCTGAATAGAACTGCTTCCTGGCAAGCCAATGCTGGGTTTGCTAGGCCAAGCCTTGCCTGCGCTCTGGGGCGAGCCATAACACTTCAACGTGTGCTAGGTATACGTCCCAACATAAATTAGTTGAACAGCTTCGACAAAGTCCGACGAGAGTGCTCTCCGAAAAAGGCAAAGGTTCGTCCGAGAGCTGGAACGAGGGTCCTCCCAGTGCCGCAACTTGGAACTGAGGTCATGGCTGCGTGTACATTGGTTCCACGCTCCCCGCAGCGCGTCCGTCTCCACCGCGAAGAGGAGCCGCTCTCCTCTGTGTGTGTGTCTCTCTCTCTCTTTCTCTCTCTCTCTCTCTCTCCCCCTTTATGCCAGAAAGAGAAGAGACAGCGAGAATCGGGGCCAATCGATCACGACCACCGCTTTGCGGGGTTCCAACTGTCCCAGATTGGCTATCTTCAGCTGGACTAGGTAATGGACCCCAACTTTCCTCATCCGTTCAGCCCAGAGACATCTGAGCCTCGATTGGGGGACGCTCCGACCGATGTTCGCCGCCCTTCTTTGGCTTTGCTTCCCACACAGACGAAAAAAACGTAATCCCGTGCCCTGTAGGCAAGGAGTGAGCAAGGGTCCCGCCTGTAATGGCCCTGACTCCTGCCCCCCCCGAACCGGTCGTAAATGCGACCTGTTAAGACACAAGGATCGACCCCAGGGACCACGCCCAACGAGCGGTGCTGCAATGCGCTCTCTCTCCTCCTTCCCTTCTACGTACTACGTAGTACCTAGAGCGCCGTGTCAGGGTTCCCTCCCCCTGGTGGCAACCTCGATTGGACCCGTCAGCTCCCCCTTTCGAATGTCTGGTACCCTAGGCTCTGGCCTCGAGAGGAGGGGGCTTCCAGTGTGGATGACACATGCCGAAGTTATAAGGGTCTGGAAAGGTTTACCAGTAGCCATGAGACTCATCCTGATCCTTAGAGCAGAATGTGCATGGGAGTACCATCGGATGTCAGACCAGATGTAAGAGTCAATGAGTGTTAATTTTAAGCCTTGGAGAGAAGGGCCAAGACTTCTTGGAGGTGCGACTCCCTACTACCGTACTAAGGTAGTGTACACGTCCCCATCGGCCACGCGCTATCAGGTTTCATAGCGGCCTCTGTGCACATTTCGTCTCATCTTCCCGGCTTCCCGTCGTCTTCCACCCTGCTGCTCGGAGTTGCTGCTGCTTGAACTGGTTGCGGAATTCCCCCCTCCATGGGCACCAAATGCCTGTTCACGCAGCCACCCCGAAGCACAGCCGCTAGCCCTATTCCTCTCTCCTCCTCCTCGCGGGCGGGCCTGGTGGTGATGACTCGTCGAAACGCACTCTCATCACGAAGGCAAGTCACGAGTGTATTGTGGAAAGATGTTTTCTTTTTCCTCTACAAGGGGGAAGGAGAGATGGATATCCGGTAGCCGGATGCCTTCGCAGCCGCGTCATTCGTCAACCAGCCCTTGAACCATCCCAGGAGGCCTCGACACGAGTACCCTATTGCATCGCTTAACGATGGTGTCATGAGGGCTCGTCTCCTGCTTGCCTCCTGCTCGCCTCACTCCACTCCTCGGCCGATGCCCGGGGTGGGAACCCCCAGTGTCGAATGGGTGAGCCCTTCGGCCCGGTCGACGTACGGCCAAGGAAATAGCAGTGGATGCTCCAGTCGTCAGCCGCAAACTATCCTGCTCGCGGGGGTCAGTCCCAGGGCTTCAGACACTTTAGTTCGGTTCATGAAGCCACCCGCCGACTGGACAGGCAATCAAGCGCTGTACTACGTAAGTTGTAACGGGCCCCCCAAGGCCAAGAAGGCGGTGTTGCCACGGTAGCAGACGTCAGGCACCCACCAGACATCAGACAACGGCCCTAGGTGGGGGGCAAAAAGAAATAAACGGACAAAACGAAATGGCCGACAATGCTGGGCCAAGTAAAGTTGAGTGACAAGAAACCAATGGCACATGCGTTGGGCTTGGCGGCAGGCTGACCGCTTTCGTGTCCTTGTTCCCAACGACGTCGTGTCGTGCCGCAAATCGCGGGGGCCGGCGCTCGACTTCGACTCGCCATTGGGGGCGGCACTTCCGATAGCGTTTTGCGTTCCTGCAGCTCTGGACGCTGGCGTGTCGGGTTGTTTCTTCATCTTGTCGATCCGGAGCGCCGCCTGCCGGCGAGTGATTCGACACGACGCCAGCCACCAAACGTTTATTGTTGGTCCGGACCATAGCCCCAGACTGGCTGAGCACACACAGGTTGCCCTACTGCGCCACGAACCTGCTCTTTCTCGCATGTGCTACTGCTAGGGTCGTAGATTATGAACTGGGAGAGCATGGTGTACCACACTGGCAGCAGGCTCTGGTATCGTTGCTGCATGGAGAGGCAAGGCGTTGCTTATGTGGCTCAACATATAGATGCACTGAACTCATTTGGGTAATTACTGGTATGCCTTGTGTGTGTGTACCAGCCGAGACATCTCAGTGCAAAGGCACAAGCCACAATTCTCGGCATGCACTGTCCAGCCACACTTTTTGCTTAGGTAAGTGAGGCAGCTATCCACCGCTTACCCAAACGGGATAGAGCTGGTAGGTCTCCAATCAAGCGCGTCAGGTTCGTCATCGACTGGGAGAGGATTGCCTCTTCGTCGCAAAAGCCCAAAGTCCAGACGCCAACGCCGGAGCTTTGTCGAACCACCGCACCCCGACCGCTGCTCCATACCACGAACATCAGGCGCAATGGCCAAGAAGGCTACGAACTGGAAGCTGTGGGGGAAGATGATGCTCGGGTACGTCGAGAAACCTCCCCCGGAAGAAAGCCATTGCGAATAGCGGGACTGACGAAGTCTTTTAGCGGAGGAGCCATTTGTGTTGGCGGCCCGGCCTTCACCATGTGGGTGTCGCCGACGGAGGAGGAGCTGTTCAAGAGATACAACCCCGAGCTACAGGCGAGGAGCTTGGCCAACCGCGAGAAGACGCAGGCCGAGTTTGACCAATTTGTCACGAAGTTGAAGGAGTACTCGAAGTCGGACAGGCCGAGTGCGTATCTCCTTTCCTGTTCAGAGATTGGCTCCAGCTAACGGATCACAGTTTGGGTTGTACGGGACGAGGATATCGAGAGACAAAGGGTGGCGCGGGCGGAAGAGCAAAAGAGAAGGGAAGCCGAGCTGAAGGCTCAGCAAGAGACGATGAGAAGAGAGTCGGGGCTTTCGAACGATCTGGACTGAAGCGCTGCCTCTCGTCCACAGACTGTACTATACGAAATGGGCTTGGGATCGGGGATATGCCGCGGAAGGCTGTACAACAACAAGAGATACCATGACAACCTCTGAGGGTTGGCTCTGTGGCGTTCAAAGGCTTACGAATGACGTCTTGGCGGGTCAGTCGGGCTGCATCATGGAAGATACCATGTGCTGGGAACAGGAGATCAAATCCCAACTTGACTCTCGCCAATCAACTAGCACTGTATCTCGTCCGTGGCGGGATACGTTTGTTGAACCCCTCCACAGATGGAAAGCCAAAAAGTTCGCTGCCACGGTCCCACTTATTCGGTGTGGCTTCGGTGAAGCCCCCTTCCCCCCAATAAAACAAGAAGATACGTACCTCACCCGGCACATACTATTTCCGCAAGCGAGGAAAGTCTTGGCACGCACAAAACCTCCATCATCAGGTTGCTCGCCCAAAGCTTAGGAAGCGGCTCAGCCTTACGATATTGAGAGTAATACGGGACGTGACGAGACGAACGAATTACGGTAAGCTGCTTCTTCTGCTCCGCCGCACCGGGGCGCCGGACGGGAAACCCTTTGTCGGTTCGCCAGAGAAGGGGGGGTGGTTGGTGGCTGCCCGCCCGGGTTTTTCCCACCTCCAACAATTTTTGCTAATTGCCCTGGCCTCGCACAGCACAAGCTCCTTCTTACTCTTCCCCCACCCGCAAAACCAACATCCTCCCCTCCCCCTCAAACCGTCAAAAGTTCGAGCATCTGCCCATCATGTCGGACGTTCAGGAACGCCTTAAGAAGCTCGGCGCCTCGGCGCGTATCGGTATGTTTTTTTCCCCCAATCTGCTTTGCGGCAATTGATTTTATTGTTTTTGGTTGGTCGATTGAAAATGAGGTTGACTGACTTATTTGCCGCGCAGGGTATGTGTGACCTCCGAAGAAATGACCCCTCACCTACCCTCCATCCCATTTCCCTCCCTCGCCGAACCATCGAAAAAGAAGGAGAAAATAGAATCCACAAGCCACCCGTCGCGCAATCGCTGGTGCAGTTTACAATGACTAACGTTTCGATTCTTCGCCCGACAATAGCGGAAAGGGCACTCCCCGCAGAAAGATGAAGCGTGCGCCCGCGCGCTCCGCCGCCGACGACAAGAAGCTCCAGGCCGCCCTGAAGAAGCTCAACGTCCAGCCCATCCAGGCCATCGAGGAGGTCAACATGTTCAAGTCTGACGGCAACGTCATCCACTTCGCCGCTCCCAAGGGTAATGATCTCCCTTTTCTCTTTGGGCTTGCCTCGCCGAGGAAGCTCTGCTGTCCCAAACACCCCAGACGGGCCTTTGCTAAGATGACAAACCCAACGTAGTCCACGCCGCCGTCCCCGCCAACACCTTCGCCATCTACGGCCACGGTGAGGACAAGGAGCTCACCGAGCTTGTCCCCGGCATCCTCAACCAGCTCGGCCCCGACTCCCTCGCCTCTCTCCGCAAGCTCGCCGAGAGCTACCAGAACATGCAGAAGGAGGGCAAGGACGGCGAGGAGGACGACATCCCCGACCTCGTCGAGGGTGAGAACTTCGAGAGCAAGGTCGAGTAGAGCGAATCCAATATGAAAGAGGTCAATTAAGGGAAAGCCGCACCCCAAACGGTTCTTTCTTCCATTTTTGCTTTGGTTGGGAGTTTGATCGCGATGTGCCGGGTCCCCGTGGATATATCATCTGAAGCGTCTGGATTAAGGAATGGGAAGGGAAAAAAAGAGTAAACTTTCATTTCCAAAACGCAATGATCGACACGAACGGCCCTTTTGCCTGGTTCTTTTTTTTTATCCCCCGCCGGACACACGCGAAAAACGGATCTCATAAAGGTTTACAGACTACGTGCTCTGGGAAAACAACGACGTTCACGTTCATTTTCCCCAATGCGATGCCGAGTCTCTGCATAATGAACAATGCAAAAAACGTGGAACAACGTTGACAGTGAGAGCCCATGGCATGTGATGGCGTGACGATGGTGTGATAATATGACTGTCGGAACGTGAGCTGTTCTAGACGAGTCTCGTCGGCAAGACACGAGAAAACCTGGGCGTGTGTTATGGACGTGAAAAGTTGTCGTCGCCCACGTTCACAACCCATCCCGCCAAACCCTCTTTCCTGGCGCTCTCCTTGACCTCACGCCTGTCGGCCAGGAGGTCTCCTCCTTTCACTTGGGCATACGTATCCACCTCGACGGCGCGTCGCAACGCCTCGCCGTCGGGCCCCAAGCTCCCAGCAAGCGCGGCCGCCAGCTCCCACATCCTCCTCCTGGAGACGGCGCTCGCCCCCTTGGCATCAAAGGCCTTCCGCCCCTGCAAGACGCCCCCCATCATCCCCTCGTCTACGCCGCTGGCGGTCCACGCCGCTGCCAGGTTGCTCGCCGCCACTCTCTCGGTTCGCGCCCCGACGCTCCTCCGGGAGAACCCAAACTCACGCGCCGTCGTCGCCACCTCGAAGGGTGAAAACCGGTAGCCGCCCCGCCAACGCCGGCCCGCCAGCGCCCTCATACGCCCCCGCGCCGAGAAGGCCCTCTCGCACCCCTCGGCGGAGCGCTGCGAGTCCGGCAGCACCAGGGCCGAGATGTAGGCGTTGCCCGGGTGGACGAGCAGCGCCGCCAGCGAGGAGAGCAGCGAGGTGCACTGCTTGAGAGCGAGCTTATCAGAGCAGGACTTGGACATGGTCGGGGGCGCGTCGCCGCGGGCCGGCTTGCGGCGGACGACGCCGAGCTGGGAGAAGTAGGCGCGTCCGGGGAGGGACCCGATGTCGGATGCCGTAACGGCGGTCCCGGGGACGGGGATGGCGTTCGGCGTCGGCGTTGGCGCGGGAGGCACTTCCCAGGGGGAGGCGTCGTCTTGTGCCGCCATGGTGAGCTCCATGCTCGCATCACCGCAGGGAGCTTCGGAGCAGTACATGTGCAGCTTGACGCCGTCCTTGACAGCGAACGGCTGGGGCGAGTCGTTGGATACCTCCGAGGCCTCACGCCTCCTGATGAAGTCCGAGGCGGTGCCTTTCAGGTGGCTGCTGCACTCGTCTAGTAGCCAGCGGTTGAAGGCGCGGATAGCAAGGACCTCGGCGTGCCAGTCATGGAGTGCGTTGCCTTTGGCTAAGGAAAGCTTGTTGGCGGGAAGGCATTTCATGCCCGTCCTGTAAGACTATTAGCTTGCGTTTCATGAGCAGGTGGTGGGATGTAAGTGTGGTGTAATTGTATGTTGCTATATATCTTGCTACATATTTATGATGCAAATGCGTATCATTTAAATACGATCAGAAACTTGTGCATAAGAGCATCTCGACAAGTCTGACAACTCAAAACAGAAAGCACGGGAATTTGTATTATAAACCACCACCATATGCAAAAACTTACGCAAGTGAAAGACATGTCAAGACGCCGTCCTTCTCAGCAACAATGCCGCTCAGGGGAACCCATTCGTGCAGCCCGTTGTCCCTGACTTGGGGCTTGCGCTTGGCCGGTAGCTTCTGGAACTGCCGCAGAACCAAGTCGGCAATCTGATCGGGGTCGGCCGTCATTTGCAGCCTCAGTCTGTCTCTCAAAGGCCTCGTTGCCCTCAGCCAGCTGGTCATCCCGAGTTTAGCGTTGGCATTTCCCACACCCGGAGTCCACGTCCCGGAGCATTCAGCCAGACCGAGATAGTGGGGCCAAATGGAGTTCCTCCGTCATTGCGCTGAAGGGCTGAGGGCGGCTGCGCCACAGGGCATCATCGCCCAGGGCAAGAGGCACGAGCCACACTTCGCGACACACACAAACACTGCGCCGTCGCCGTCCACGTGACGCTCTCGGTTAAGCGAAGGCGCTACTGTGGGGCCAGGGCACACTTTCCCTCTCGGAGCCACACCTTCCTGCGCCCGCCCTCCAGTGTCGAAAATTGAGAATCTCGCGAAAGTGCGCCGTCGTTCACCCTCCCCCCTTCCCCCCCGAACCCTTCGACCACATCACCGACAAGTCAGCAAACGTTCGCATTCAACACCGCCAATGTACGTGCAATAGCTTCCCTGCCCTCGTTTTCTTCGAGTCTCGTTGGAGCCCACCCCCGGTCCGCTCGTCTAGCCATTTCGCCAATTACTCCCGATCGACATTCGCGACTTTTGCTTCTCGACGTTTCTACCGCTTTGGCTAGACGGGTGCACCGGATCGAGGGGGCGAACAACTGATTGCAATTTTTGGGACCGGTTCTGACAGCTTTCTTCAAGATGCGCACGTACGACGACACGTTCTCGGGCCAGAGAATCTACCCTGGCAAGGTACGATGAACAGATCTCCTCCCCAACCTCTCCGGTGTCATCTCTCCCGTCGATCGAAGGAGCTGCTTTGGAGCTGCTGGGGCAAGCGAGAGACCGGGTCTCCCAGATGGACAGAAGGGGTGCATGTGGGCAAACCGACTCGGTGATGGAACGAAAGAGCATGGATGGTTGGCTACACGATCGATGGGAAGGGAATGACCTGCACGGAGAGAGCACGACGAGGCAACGGACGTGAGAAAAAGGACATGCGCTGACGAGACTCTGAACTACAGGGTAAGCTCTACGTCCGTGGTGACAGCAAGATCTTCCGCTTCCAGAACGGAAAGTCCGAGTCCCTCTTCCTCCAGCGCAAGAACCCTCGCCGCATTGCCTGGACCGTTCTGTACCGTCGCCAGCACCGCAAGGGTATCTCTGAGGTGCGTTTTTCAATCACCCCACCCCCCCATTCCGCGCGAGCCGGACAGTGAGGCTTGGCTACAAATCCGGGTTGCTTTTCAAGCTCTCGTCCCGGCCTCGCACGCAGACGCTCGTCACGAAAACAGATGACTGACCCCCACTGCAGGAGGTCGCCAAGAAGCGCACTCGCCGCACCGTCAAGTCCCAGCGTGCCATCGTTGGTGCCTCGCTCGATGTGATCAAGGAGAAGCGCAACCTCCGCCCCGAGGCCCGCTCCGCCGCCCGCGCCGCCGCCATCAAGGAGTCCAAGGAGAAGAAGACCGCCGCCGCGGCCGCCAAGAAGGCCGAGAAGGCCAAGGCCGCGGCCGCCGGTGGCAAGAAGGCCCCCATCACCAGCAAGCAGGGCTCCAAGGGCGCCGCCCCCAAGGTCCAGGCCCGGACCCGTTAAGAGCACTCTTCGGCCCCTTTTGATGGGAGGGAATTCCTTTTGAAAGTGACTGGAGCAGGAAAAAAGACGTTAAAAAATTTCGGCATGGGCATCTTGGGCGTGGCGAAAGTGCAGCAATGGCCTCGGGCCACACGGGTCCGCGGCTGGCTGGTGGGGAGGACCGCAAGGTGAACCTTTTGATCAAGATGGGACAATACGACCAGGTTCAACTATTTGGAGTCGAGGGTTCTTTGTGCTTTGACGGCTGGTTCTATAACTACACAATCACGGTAGCACGGAATGCATGGATTGTCCCACGGGATTACCAAGTTAACTGTCTGGGGTGTGTCGACGAAACGTGACTGGGGTCAGTATGGACGATGGACGTTGATGAAGATGATGACTATGAGTAATTGCCGGTTGTCTCTCCAAGCCTGCGAGGGCCGAGGTTTCGAGTTCGAGGCGGCTGTGACTGCGATTGTGCTTGAGCTAAGACCACACAAAACAGCCCCCCTCCATCCCCGGCATCCCCACGCCCGTCGGAATGATGTTTCCCTCGATCCCAACCTCTCACCCACTCCCCCGCGTGACCCGTGTCCTTCTAGCCGCGAGGAGGGCGAGACTCGGAAGTCGCCGGCATCCCTCTCTCCGACACTCCTGACGGGACCCCCCTCCGCCCAGTCGGCAGCGGTACGTTGCGGGCTTGGAGGATTCCTCATCCCGGGCCACTCTTCACTCATTGACCCAGTCAACATCACAAGTCTCATCTCACAATCCATATAAACTTTGACACAAGACACAACGTAGAACGCAAGAGAACAGGAACCTCGAGGCTTCAGCAGCATGGGTTTCATAACGGAAAAACCATTTCGTTTGCTCTAAAATTTCTATGTAGCAAGCAGAGTTGGACGAATCCATCTAAGGTGTATGTGTATAGGGGGGAGGAATTGAAGGGTACTTTTGTCTAAAGGCGCACTCTATCCCCTTTGCTTCTTCATCTTCTCTAATGTGTCGTATATATGTATGTTGTTTATGGCATCTCTCATAACTGCATTTCCCGACGGTGTTTACTTTAAAAAAAAAGAAAAAGAGCAAGGGGGTGTCTCTCCCTGAGGGAAAGCTCCCCTTCTTTTTCTTTTTTATTTCTTTTTTACAGAGCCTTGAGGACGGGCTCGGCACCGGAGACCTCGAGGCCCTGGAGCTCGGACTCCTTCTGGGCGTAGATGACCTTGCCGTGGTCGACGACGACGGCGTAGCGGGCGGTGCGCTCGCCGTGGTTCCAGCCGATGGAGGTGGAGAACTCGGCGTTGGGGTCGGAGGCGAAGATCTAGAGGGAGCGTACGTTAGGCACCATTCATCCGGGGGTTTTTTTTTGTCTCTTTTCTTTTTTCTTTTGTTTTCTTGACGTGATGAGAAGACACCGTTGCAATTGTGATATTGCGTGACAAGAGGGGGGGAAATGGGGTTGGTGCAGGACATTGTGGTATCATGCTTCAAAGCTGAGTGGAAGGAGGGGCAGAGTGGGGGTGGTGTGGTGGGGGAGCGTGGTTATCGGGAGTCGGTGAGAGGTGGAGGGGCAGAGCTGAGGGACAAAAACCATCTGAGAGCTCCACGGGATAGAGGAGGGGGGCCAGATGTGCGAACACGTATGACGGGAAGAGAGGGGTTAGGAAGAGGAGGGAAAAAAAAAAAAAAACAGAGAAACAACGTACAATGAAGTCGTCCTTGATGTTGTTGGCCTTGCCCCAGCCGGACATGACGAAGGGGTCGTTGTAGGCGAGGAAGATGACCTGGTCGACGCCCTTGGCCTTGAGCTCGTCCTTGTGCTCAATGTAGCCGGGCAGGTGGGAGGCGGAGCAGGTGGGAGTGAAGGCGCCGGGGATGGAGACGATGACGACCTTCTTGTCCTTGAACTCTGCGCGGGGGGGAAGAAAAAAAAAACACGTTAGCACGAGCTGCTCGATCGCGATGATAACCTGAGAGGCGACGACGACGACGACGACGACTTACCCTTGGCGGTGTCGTACTTGACGGGGATACCGCAGACCTTGAAGTCGGCAGTGTCCTCCTGGTAGGGGATGTACTGGAAAGAGACGTTCTCGGGGAACGGCTCGCCGACCTTGAGACCAGACATTTTCGATGGTGTGGTTGGGTTTGGGTAGGTAGGGAAGTCGAGTGCTTGAGAAAGCGTTAGTTAGGTTGAACAGCTCGTTGGTTGTTCTTCTTTGTTTGTTGGATTAATGGGAAAGGAGGTTACCGGAACCAGGCCAGAGAGAGGGACGGGCGCTCGAGTTATAGTAGCTGCGCGCGGGATGGCGTCGCGCAATCGCCGAGTCAGGGTCCGGGCGGATTCTGCGAGCTTCCAGGGAAGTGGATCTTTTTTTTTTTTGGTGATGATTTGTATAACTTGAGAGGAGCTTTGGGGAGATACGGATAATAGAAACGGATACCCTCCCCTCGCGGGACAGGCGGCGAAGCTCCAGCTCCGGGGATGCTATTTCCTTTGTCCCCTTCCCCCTTTGCCTCTTTTTTTCCCTTCCTCGCCTCTCTCCCCATCGTCTCCCGCCTCGCCTCGCCTCGCCTCGCATCTTCACGTCAAAGTCTGTGACTAAAGAAAGAAGAAGTGGGCGGCGGAAAGCGGGGCACTCGGCTCGTATCTGATGGGAGGGGGGAATCGTCTTGGAATTCTGGAGAGTTCTGCTCCTGGTTTCCATATCTCCTCATCCTGGTTTTTTTTTTTCTAAATTCTTAAAGCTCGTGCAATTGATGAGATGGGATTTTTTTTTTTTTTTTTTTTTTTTTTTTTACCACACTACAGAGTGAGCCACAGAGTCACAGACACCGGGAATCGAGCAAAGTGTGCAAAAAGCTTCCATTCGGCGCTTGAGAAACTCTGATAGCAGCAGCAGTAGTAGCTAGCGGCGGCGGCGGCGAGCGCAACCCTTGCGGCCCACCGCTCGTCCCTCTCCATGACGCAAGACCGGCAGTTTATGCCGCGCCCGGTTGCGCCCTCCGATCCCCGGCCCTTCCAGTGCCTCCTCGCCCCTTCCCTTTCCTCGCCTCGCCTCCCTCCTCTCTCCTCTCCTTGGTGGGGCGGACGTGGAGCCCTACTCGGCCGTCCGAGCATCCAGCCCGTCGGCCATCAGCCAGCGTCCTTCGGAGATATCTTCACTGCTGGTGCCAAGGCGCGTGCGCCTTGCTTCGAGTACGTAATCGGAAAGGAAGGGAGGGTTTGTCATCGTGGCGGGGGGCATGGTTCGGGGTGGTCGGCCGGCCCGGCAGGAGGCGTACGGATGCAAATTCGGCTTAAGACATCGGCCGAAGCATGCATCATACTGTCATCGTGTGTTAAGCGCTCGTGATGCTCGCGTCAATGTTCTCTTTTGTTTAGAGACCCCGGGCTCCGAAAAGCCTGCTCTCCAGCTGACGGTGCACGAGGCCTTTCATCAAAAGCCGAATGTTGTTGCTCAGTCATGCCCATCTCGAGGTCGCCGCTAACAGACCCCGAATCATCGTGTGTTGAGGGTTGCGATTACCAGGCGGACAGATTACGGGACCATCGCTCAGTCAGCAAAGTACTGACTGACCTAGCTACCGGTACCTACTACTCCTTGAGTCTCTCGCTTAGATCCTGCACAGGCCACCGGCTAGTCTACTTTGTAGAAATATAGAAAAAAGGAAAGAAGAAAGCAACTGTATCTCTATCAGATTTTAGTGCATCTAGAATTTAACAAGAAAGGCTAACTTTTTAGAGAATTTCTACTACAGTAGGCGTATTTTTGTTATATCCATGCAGGGGTGTTAGATAGTGCTAGAGTGATACTATCCTCCCTACCTGCTCAGTCTGTTGACTCAGTCAGTACTTTGAAGTTTGGTCAGCAGCTCCGCCATCTGTATGCCGCGTGGTAGCTGCAACCGTGTTAAGCGCTCGTGATGCTTACATCAAGACAACGATCCTGTTTTGTTTCAGAGCCCCCGGGCTCCCAGAGTCTGCTTTCCAGTTGACGGTGCACGAAGTCATGCATTAAAACCCGAACGGTGTTTGTCAATCCTTTCAATCTCAACGCCGCCGCTGACAGACCCCGAAACCCCGGGGGGGAGGGGGATATGTCATGCTGCCCTGTGATTGGCTGCAGCATCTTTCCTCCCTTCTGACGGTCCCGCTGCGTCGTCGTTTATAACTGCGCCCATCGCCATCGTGACAATATGATTCCCCAGAGACCAATGTCCCTTGCATCGTTGTATCCCCAACCATGAGTAGTCAAGAAGAGCCCAGACCACCCTTCCCGCCCTTCACCGGAGAAACGGCGCAGGTCAAGGTGAAGGCGGCGCAAGACGCCTGGAACACCAAGTCGGCTGCCCCCCCTCCTCCTCTGTGTGAATCGGACACGCTAGACTGACCCCCGCCCCACAGGAACCCCGCTAAAGTGAAGATGGCATACACTGCCGACTCCATCTGGCGGAACAGGGACACGTTCCTCCAAGGCCGTGACGAGATCGAGCAGTGGCTGACCAAGAAGTGGGAGAAGGAGGACGGCTATCGACTCCGCAAGGAGCTGTTCGCCTTCACCGACAACAAGGTGAATAACGCATCGCCCCCTTTCTCCTTTCCTCTCCCAGACAAGTATACATGGCTGCGCGTCTGAGAGCACGGCTGAACCGTCAGTTAGATTGCCGTCCAGTTCTGGTACGAGTGGCACGACGAGTCGGGCCAGTGGTGGCGGACGTACGGCCTCGAGGACTGGACCTTTGCCGAGAACGGCCTGATGCGTAAGAGGCAGATGAGCGGAAACGACGTCAAGATCGAGGAGACGCAGAGGTGGTTCCGCGACGGCGTGGACGTCAACACGGTTGCCATCACCGAGCAGCACTGGTAGTGTGGTGGGCATGAATAGTAGCCGCTCGTCAGCGGATGTGATGATCGAATTTCTTGCTACCGACCAGCATACTGTGGCAGCGTTGGGTGCTCATTTCGTCGTACGGATGCAAGGGGTTGATGTCTCGAAACTATCACTTTGAAGAAAGATAGCTCGCCCGTTGGCTTCTGGAAAGACTGTCACATGGGGATTTTGGTCAAAAGGAAGTGTGTCTCGCAAGCGAGTGTGAGACTGCTGAGGAATCGCCCTTGTGTAATCAACCATGTGCCAGGCGTCTGGTCTTTGCAACCAGCCGTCTCAGACGGGCAAAACAAATCACTGGCTGCAGTCTTTCCACGATTTCGACTCCCATCACGCCCACATGGACGGCCCAGGCTTCCGCGAGGCAGTAAGCTTGCAAAGAGGCCGGCGATCCAGCTTGCCTCATTAAGAGAAGCCATGTGGCCTGCGACAGCGCTTTGACGAAACCGATCTCGGAAAGAAAGTGACGAGAGTAAATGCTAGCAATTAACTTTAACCGAGGCGGCGGTTGATGGGAATGTTCACCCAAGCTTGACAGCAGCCGGTCGCCGCCGCTACTGAGAAATGGCGGCCCTGGTCGGGGCAGGCCAGCAGTCCCCTGCGTAAGACTGAGATAACCAGACGGGAACCAACGGTTCGAGTGGTGGCTGTCGCTGAACTCTGGGCATCTGAGACTAGCTTGCCATGCGTCGAGGTCATTGTTGCCAGCAAGCGGGTGCTCATTTGTACTTTGTACACCCCTAGACGGGGAATCCAGTCATGGTTCGGCCTAGTAACTAACCCCTGGATCGACCCGGGTTAAGACTTGCTGTCTTACAGCCCGCGTTCAGAACAGCCGCTGGGATCCATGACCTTCAGTTGTGGTGACGGGCGAGTCAATGCAGGACGTTGTGAGAATGGAATGCTCCCGGCGATCTCTGCTCTCTCGGGTCGTGAGCAGGGTCACAATCGGCGATATATTAGGGAAAGCGACCCAGTGAAAACAATGATTTGCGCTAGGGTCATTTCAGCTCCTTGGCCCGTGGAGGGTGCCGAGCAGCTGGAAAATTATCGAGATTTAACCCGCTTGGCGCAGGATGTGGTCTTCGTTGAGCTATCTAACGTGGCCTGCATCGGATCCCTAGCTCACCCGAGTGCGCACGGACTGACGTGCCATCGAGAGCAAGATGGACTCAAGATCTTGCATCCACGGATTAAAGGCTGGCTTGAACGAGCATAGCCAGCCATGCCAGCGAGCCCAAAGGCGGATGAATCCAGTTCGCTGATTCGGTAGCCGACCTACCTACCTGATCTAGGCCAAATCTGGGCGGTGGCTTCGATGGCGGAGTTGATTGGCCGCAGTGGCGGGCATGAATTGGTCTATCGATTGGCAAGGAGACATGATAGATGACGGCGACGCAACCTTGACAGGGATGAAATGGGGATGGGTGGGTGGGAAAGGCTAGTGGTGATTGCTTCATCGGCCGGTGTGGTTCAGTCGAGTATAGCTTGCGATGATATTTATTCTCAAAGGGGCGGTGGTGGATCTCAGAACCTCTGTGTTGTTGTACAAGAAAAGAAAAAGGAAGTGCTCGTAAGCTTTCGCTCTGTACGTGAGACCAAGCACGAGGTGCGGTCCAGCAAAGCCTCGATTGATTGGGTGGCGGAAGACGGTTGTCGACAGCATTCATTGTCAGCACTTACCCTGGAAAGCGTCAATGAGGGGGGCTCCGGTCAGTGGGATTCGAAATGCAGAGCTGCCTCGACGTTCTGTATAGTACAAGTATTATCGACGAGGAGAAGATGTGTAAAAAAAGAAGAAGAAGAAGAAGAAGAAAGGAAAAAAGAAGGAACACAAAAGATCCAAGTCTACCCACCTAGGTAAGAAGAGTGAGTGAGTGCAACAACCATCATGAGAGGAAGCCTTGGGACGACACGAACGGGAAAGCGCCATGGATGACGAGACGAGATCTCAGTGCAGGAAGCACGGACCATGCCTGCAGGGGAAGGCAGATCTGATCTGTGCCTGCCGCTGAATGGGCGGTACGGTAGGTGGGTGGCCCTTGCCGAAGTCCCCTGGTATCTACTTCGACGTACCTGCTCCGAGTTATTTGCTTTGTAGGTAGGTATGTATGCATGTACCTTTGGGTACTTTCATCACCCGACCGGCTGGGACCGTCCTAGTCTTTCATGAACGTCGTCGTGTCGTCGGCTGTCTGTTCGCAGCCTGTTCTCGGCTGCTCCTGCGTCTGCGCTAGTCACTGGCAGGGGTGCTGTTTTGACGAGTGGCTTCCTCCTGGTCCAAACTTGGATTGGACGAGCCCAGAGCGGAGTTGCCTAGCAGGAGACGGTGCATATTTCTCTCACTTGCCGTTTCTTTTCTTTGCATACAGTCCAAGTTGAACTATCTGTACCTCCTACTTCCTGGAGTCGGCAACAACCTAACCCACAACCGCTGGGCGAGCTGGCGGAAGAGGCTGAGGCGTGCCGTCTCCATCAAGTCTATCGTCGACGGATTCGGAGCGAGGCGCAACAAAGAGAGGCCTGCATTCGATCGTCAGAGCCGTGCCTTGGTCCAAACAGCAAAGCAAGCAGGCAGGGCAGGAAAAGGGAAGTGGATGACGAACACGGCCTTAATTAAACAGGCGGACCGAGTGCTCGTGGCCGCAGCTGTGGGGTTGTGTTGCCTTGACGACTTCACTCCCAAGACACGGCGATGGCAGTCGGGGGTAGACCAAGCAGCTGTTTTCCCCCCCATACAGTTCTGGCCGATCTTCTGCGATGCCGAATGGGACTCTCGTGGGCGGGGGAGTTTGCGTGCAAAACTCGTCTTGCAAGACACAGGTCGCAATCACACACACGCAATCGCCAAGAAACCCAAGTGCAGCAGCACGTACATAGTACCGTAGCTGCGAAATGTCTCAACCGCGAGAGACGACCCTTGCCCCTTAAGGAAAGCTCGAGATGCTAGTGCCGAGCCACCCTGTGCAGTCGCCACGATCTTGCCGCTGCGGGGGCGTTGGTCTTTTTTTTTTTTTTTCTTTATTTCTTTCGTTCGTTCGTTCCTTCCTTCCCTCCTTCCTTCCTTGCGTTCTACTATGCGGATAGTCACTTGGCCTGTGAGGCAGTAACGATGGAGAGGGAAAGGACGCGACCTACGCTCGGAGCCGGTTGCCGTATACAGACACACCAGGCAAGGTGGGCAGGTACCCGATGAATCTTATCAATCGTCTCTTTCAGAGTCTCTTCGTGTAAGGCAGGTAGTCCGGCCACATTCTTCCCTCCATTGTCACCTTACCGCAACGGCGATGGGAGTCATAGCAGGTACGATGTGATGTTCTTGTCTTGCACGGCGCACTATCTCTGAAGCAACTAGCTAGCGCGCCATGTCTTTGCTTCTTCTTCTTCTTCTTCTTCTTCTTCTTGTCCGGCGCTCTAGACCAGCATTGCACACACCCGAATGCATCCCGCAGATGTCTCGTACTCTAATATCTACCACCCACCTACTGGATGCCTACTCCGTCCGTATCGCCTCCACACTTTCAATGTCCGCGCTAGCACTTCTCCGTCGTTGCCCACCCTCGCCAAGTCTCTCGATACCACCATCACACCCACAAGACCGGGAAGCAACCACAACGACACCTCGCTAGCTCTTCCTCCTCCTCGTCCTTCCTCATTCCGCTAGAGAAGCAATCCGTGCTTGGACGCCTCGTCCTCTCCAGGCCCCACCCGGCGCCCTGACTTGGCCCAGCTACAGTCAGTCAGTCGAGAGCCCTCTCCGTCGGTGGGAGGCCGGTCAAAGTCCAACAATGCAGCCTCGTCTCGCCAGCGAGATGTGTGTGGACCCTCGTTGTCTAGCCCGATACTCAAGTACCATTCTATCTGATGGTGGACTGTCAAAGTACCTAGGCACTCGGGTACAGAAATCTGCCTTCCGCTCGGCTGGTATAACAGCCTTCAGTTCCCTCCTCCCCCGACCCCGGCCCGATGCGTTATCCCAGGCTTGACTGTCATTTACCTCCTTCTGCTCCCAGTTCTCAGTCCTTCTGCCCTTCGTACCGACCGAGCACCAGTCTCGTCAGTGCAGTAGCTCGTGTATTTCCTTCCAACTCTACTTCAAGCCCGACAAACCCATCCTCTGATTACCCGTCTCTTTCAGTTTCCCCTCGGGCCCTCCTTGCCGAACGTCATTGCTCGGCCCTGACACCGAAACTACCTACCACTAAGAACAGCCTACGCTTCCGTCTATTCGTTCTCAACCCTTAACCAAACCCCTAGAACCTAGAGCTACCCCTTTGCTTCCACCCTCCCGATTCTCTCTCTCATCTTGTCCGAGTCTGTGAATTTATTGGCCTTGTAACACTCGTCCAACCATTCTTCACCATGGGTCTTCTACCTCTCACCTACCGCCGCCCGGTATACGTCAACGACTCTGCCAGCGAGAGCTCCTCCGACGTATCCGACAGTGGCGATGAGAAACATAACGGAAATTCACTTTCTTTGCGCTCCGGGAATGCTGGTACGATGCCGGGCATCCCCGAGTCGCTGACATTCGACAAAATCATCAACGGCGGCACCTGCCCTGTAAGTATCAGACACTTCCCGTCTTCCGTTCCCGTCGCTGACTCGTCAGCCATGCACTGTACGCGATTTCATGAACTACCTCATCTACGTTGAGTACTCTGCGGAAAACCTGCAGTTCTTCCTCTGGCACCGCGAGTATCAGAACCGCTTCGGTGAGGCCAAGACTTCGGACTTGGCCCTTGCTCCGGAATGGACCGAGGCTATGGAGACCGAAGCTCTCCAGCGCCTATCCAAGGAGAAGTCGCAGAGAGTGCACAAGAAGCCCGGCCACGAGATCTTCAAAGGAACAGATTTCGAGAAGAAGAGTCCCACCGCTGCCATCATTGAAGAGTCCAGTGCCGCCAACCCTTTTTCAACCCCACCCCGAACTCCCAATGATCAGGAATCCGTCTATACCGGCTCTCACGGCGCCTCCACCACAGCCTCGTACCGCTCCCAGGCCAGTGATGCTTTTGCTGCCGCAGGCGCCAAGCAACCCTGTACGTCCCATCCCCGCTATCGCTTTCTGTCGTTGGCAGGACACTAACTGTCAATAGTTTCGATTCAACCCTTCCGCGAAGAAATTGATCGCGTCATTGCCACATACATCATGGAGGGAGCGCCGCGACAGCTCAACCTCTCGGCCAAGGACCGTGATGCTACTCTTCACGCACTGGCCTTTACCACACACCCCAGCGCTTGTCGTCTCGCAGTCAAGGTCATTGAGAACTCGCTTCGCCAGCAAGCACACCCCAACTTTATCCGATGGTCGATCTGCAACGGCAATCCCGCCCGTGTCTTCTTTGCCCGCGGTCTGGGTGTCGGTCTCATCATCGCTGCCTTCCTCGTCGCCATCCTCGTCACCATCAGCCGTGCCGGCCGCGGCTGGAGAGCGCTGGCCGCGATCGGGTGGGTATTGGGCATCTCCACGTTGGTTGCAGCCTACAAGGGCATGTGTGTTGTTCTGCACGGCATGCACCACCGCCACGTCCGCCCTTGGGAGCTGTTTGTCGACGAGGAGAACGAGAACGACCGCAGCAAGGCCTCGTTCGAGTCGTTCGGATCGGCCAACAGTTTCGAATCGGAACCTTGGGTCATCAAGTACAAGAAGCGCAACGTCATCCGCAAGGTCTTTGACCGCGAGGTCTGGATCGAGGAGCCTGCTCTGCGCACCATCCAGGATACCATCTTCGTGCAGGCCATGCTGTGTGCCCTGCTTGTCGGTGGCATCTTTGCCGCCATATTTGTCGCGATTCCCAGCAACGGCTACTTCTAAGCTTGTCGCTCCTCTAAGCAGGTTATTGTAAGTCTTTGAGATTTTTGTTGGAGTCTTCCATAAGGGGTCGTTTGACTGGTTTGCATGGATGTGCCAAGTACCATGAATCCTATCAAACTCTGCTGTCCCCAGAGGACTTGTATTTATGGCGAGGTTTAATTGGTATAGGGTTTTGCTTCGTCTCGAAAAGATTTGTGATGGTCACATGGTATAATCTAGTTTCCATCATATATTTGTTATTTCAACATGTCTCGCTATTACGTTGTGGACATCAGCTCTGAATATCAAGTCAACCTACTAGAGATATTCCGCGACATTCTGGCACCAGTCAAGTCTGCAACATCAACGTCTCGCACCCACAAGCTTTGCCACAAAGACATAACTCCAATGTTTTTTTTTTTTTTTCGTGAACGGGTGCTTCTATATTCCTGCTATGTCATCGACAAAAGGCGGAGGCACTGCGCTCGTGCCAGCTCTGGTTTGGGCGACGAGAGTGAAATATTGGGCAAGGCACGGTCCCGCTTCGTAGGAACAAGAAGCGTCGGCCGGGTGAGGCCGTGCGCCATGTTCCGGAGGGTGTGGGGCAACCGACTCGCCTTCCGGGCGAGGGAACGAATGGATGCGACGGTTCTGCGCGTGGATGTGGATTTGGGCCTGTGGCGTGGGTCTTAGGGCTGGCGGCGCCGAGTGGAGCGCATTCCTGAGGGCGCGCGCATGGGGGAGTTTGTCGGCCTGCTGGGCGGGCCGTGCGTGGGCGAGAGGGAAGGTATTTTTGAGAACCCTCGGGAGTATCATCTGCTGCACGAGAGCTGGGAAGACCCGTGTCGTTTTGGCTGCTGCTCCCATGTATACGGATGTCGCGTGCCGGACCCGTTCCGTCGGTAAAGGTGGAGATCGGCGCCGGGTCTATAAATCGACGGACCGGACCGGCCGAGAGGAAAACGGGAAGGCAACGGCGCGTGTTGTTGAGTCGTAGTATCGAACCATTCAATTCCCTGCACTTTTTGTTTTCTTTCTTTCTTTCTTTCTTCTTTCCCCCCTCTTTTCCTTCTCCCCCTTTTCCTTTTTCTTTTTGACTGACACGATGTAAGTGAGAAAATTTCGCATACTCGCAGCACAGCGTTACGCAAAAGCTTTGATCAGGTTTTCCATTATATCTCTTTGAGACATGGAACGATGCTTCCCATTCATTTGCATCCTACATGCCTAAGTTGAAACAAAATTTATGCACACACGCTTCGCTTCCATGAACCCCTCCTACTCGGTTGAAAAGAAAACATTGACTGCTAGCCCCAAAACGCAAGGTTGAAGTCGACACGCCCAAGGCATCATATCTCTTAATGTCCGGTCACGGGAGGGGCACTCAGTCGCAGCAGCAGACCTAGAAGAAAATGTGTTAGTCATGGCCGCCTTCGTCCAGCATCCACCCGCTCTCAAGGAAGAACTTACGGCGCCACCCCTGCCCGACTTGGAGCCGCTGCAGCAATTGAGCTGGGAGCAGAACGTGCCGTCGTCACCGCCCTTGGAGCAGACACCCGGCTGCGAGCACTGGCGGGTTTCGAGGAGGGAGCCGACTTCGACGGCAGCGGACTGGGCCGGGGCCGCCGCCGCGAGGGTGGCGAAGAGGGTGAAGAGGACGGCGGAGGCGCGCATATTGGGCGTGTGGGTGTGATTTGGGATCGAAGGGGGACTGGAAGGGACCTGGGAGATTGTACTCTTGCTTATAGTTGCGGTTGTGGAAGCTGTTTCGGGTTTTCTTTTTCTTTTTCTTGCTTGTTCTTTTTTTTTTTTCCTTTCCGGGCGAGAGTGTTTCTGGATACCAAAGAAAAGCGTCGGGGAGCCGACGTGATTTTTATGAAAGAGACGGGAAGACGACACGGCAGCGAGAGGTCGATCCAGGCTGCTGGGACTCTGCCCTGCTCGTCAGGTAAGGCTTGCCGATCCAGTCTCAGCCTCGTCGATCATATCCCCCCCTGTCGGATGAGCATGACTGGCGTGAGTCAAGACGAGCGTGCCGACTAGCCGTTTCATAAAAGTCGATATGTGTATTTCGCTAAGTGAAGCGATGAGGAGTGGGAATGACCCCGTGCATGAAGGTCGATCGCAGGACCCAGGACGGATGCCAGCCGAAACGGCATTCGCGGGGGAGGGGCGGAAAGACGGCTCCGCGGCCGAAATTGGAAATCATTTCAAACAAGCCCATGTAAAGTTGCGATACCCGAGGGTTCCGATGAGACCCCTGATTTATCCCCATCCTGCAATACTCTTCACATTGCTTTCGTCCCGTGGTACGCTAAAGCACGTGCGGCCGGGAGACGGACGAGACTCCGTGATGCTTGAAGCCTGCCTGTACTCTCCCACCCACGCGCGCACGCGCGCGCCACCGGGATCCATCCCTGACCACATGTCTTTGCAGGGTGGGCTTGGCCTCGAACCCCACTGCACCGGTCGAGGTCTGCAATCGTGTTTGGGTTTCGGGTGCGTCGTTCGTCTTGCCTCGTCTGCCTGGCTCGGACCAGCATATGTTCTGATGGGCTTGAGTCCCGTATGTTGTTGAGGCCGGGCGGGAACCAGACGGCAATATGCACAATCAGAGGTTTATTCAAGGGAAGCTAGTTTGAGCACCGGCTTCCCTCCTTTGACTTCAAAGTCAAGTTGGGGCCTACAGCAGTTTGAATGGAATGAACGTATAGCACTTTACTTAATAAAAGACTCCACCGCACATGTAGCCCCTCATACGACTTCTACGAGAAATGATACGATCACTAGACTGAATTCAAGGGTACAGGTAGAATGCCAGAGCAATTTGGTCGGCGGCCAGAGACTAACCCTATTTAGAAGGCACTGCCACCACCGCCACTTCCACCGCCACTACAACCACCACCCTTTTTGCCGTAAATCCACTATCGCTAACAGACGCCTACGTTGCCTAAGATTAAGCCCTTATATCTAACCTTTAAAAAGTACTAGCAACACGTATAAACTTACTATTATTTAAGGGTATTACTCTTTATTTTTCATTAAACAGGTCATATAATATAGTAGATTTTTAAATTAATTGCAGCTGGTGCCTCTATTTTGCCTTGACTTTAAATCGCTTAAATCTGAGGAGTTTTTAACTTTATGTAACTTTCTAATTCCTAGCCTTGTCATTGGTCAGTCAAGTCGGAATATCGTTTTTGCTGGCGCTGACATAATATACTCCGAAATAGGCTTAACCCACTGGCCGCCGACCAAATTGCTCTGGCATTCTACCTGTACCCCTACCTGTACCCGAATTCAAGATTCGGGGTGACGGCCTTTGAACGACAATGACTCGCGGCTGTCGCAGAGCCAATGGTGGCCTACGCGTACAAACCCTTGCTCGAACGCGCGCGAGTCTGGACCTGACTAGTGCTCGAACATTAGTGCTACGTGGGCGACGCAACACACTCAGAACAGCTGCTCATGGCAGGCTGCCTTATCATGCTGGAAACGAATTTGGGATCGACGGCCACCGGGATCGCCCGTATGCCTCCCCACCTCCCCCTCCACCCCGGAAGGTAGACTGTAGACAGAACAGCCGGCAGCCATGGCCTAGCCTCGATTCGGCCACGTTTGTAGTCCCAAATTACGGCCTTGTCGAGTTCCCAGGGCTTCGAAACGCGGTAGCATGTAGATTAACAGGGGTCATTTACTAGGCTGATAGTCTCTTGCCTAGTTGAGAAAGTGGGTAGAACTAGCCTTTTGAGTATAGCTCGAAATACTCTACTCTATCACCCTAACCCCAACCGCGAACCCCACTATGCCAACATCCTTCCGGCAACGACATCGTTTAACAGAAGACTCAGCGTTCCGTACCTTCTTCCACATCTTACCGCACGATAACGTCTATTCTTTTACGATAGATTTCGCTTCTATAGTGTGGGGACTATGATCATCATACGTCGAGACATTATTTACTGGTCGCTCAGTCATCCCGCCGACATAGAGCACCCTTCGCGTCTACTTTCCACTCATCACTGCCAACACAGGTCTGGCAGTAGAAGACCCCGTCAGGATCATACTTTGTCTTGATGTTCGACAATGGGCCCCAGTTTGTGGCGTAGAAGTTCTCTCGATAGTCAATGTCTCCCCAGTCCGCTTCGTTCATGTAGGTGCCCGTGTTCGGCGATAACTTTTGATAGACCGGAGCAATGTTCTGGCGCATGTCGGCGAACAGTTCGACCTCGGTGGCCTCTGCGAAAATTGGCCTCTCGGATATGTCGAGTATGATGGAGTCGTACCAGCCAGGCTGCACAGCCGTCGTCTCGTCACGCATCACCGGAGACACCTCGAGACCGTGGTGAACAAGGGTATGGTATACTGCCTTCCCGTCCGCCCCGGCCACCGTCTCCATCACTTGCCGAAGTTCGGCCCAGGGGGTCTCGAGAGCGGATTTTCCGAGCAGACGCGAGGAAAGCGTAGAGACACCACCCGCAGAGCCGAGTTCTCCCGAATTCTTGGTATAGTAGGAGCCGAAGTCTGGGAATGCCTCCTGGGTGATGGAAACGGCAAACCCCGCGTCCGAAAGCGGTTTGATTTTCGCTGCAAAGGGCGCGAACAACTGCGTCGTCTCGGATGGGTCCTTGCCCAGGTTGACGAACGACTGGGTGTAAAAGGTTGTGAAGTTGCCGCTGCCTAGTGCGGTCGAGGCGTTCAACGCCCAGGAACCATATCCGCCGAACCCAACTTGGGAAAGATACGGGAAGGAAGAGTAGATGTCTGTCATGGCGTCGAGGAACCGAGCCGAGCTGTCTGCGTTGACTGATGCTGCGCCAACGGTAACGGTAATGACGTTGGTGTTCTTGGTGGGGTAGGTCTTGATTGTCAACTGTGTGACGACGCCGTAAGTACCGCCGCCGCCGCCACGGATGGCATAGAGGAGATCGGTGTTGTTGCAAAGGTTCGCCACCACGACGTCCCCAGAAGCCAGGATGACCCTCGCCGACAAAACCTGCTGAGCACCGAGTCCGTAGTAGCGGGTCACTCGGCTGTGCCCTCCTCCCTGGGTCCAGCCGCCGGTACTGCTGGGCCCCTGTGGTCATGTCAGCCCTGGTGTCTCAGACGGTACGATATGATTTGGCCGACGTACCTCATTGTTCCCGCTCACGACTATGAGGTTTTTCTCAAACGCGGCTGGGTTGACCTCTGCCCAAGAGTAGGCCCCGGTGATGGTCAAGGCACTGCCTGTCCAATCCGACTTTGGACACTCGTTCACGGCCTGGAAATCATCATGAAAGTTGAGGCCTTGGCGGAAGTGCTGCAACCAGATGGAGAGACTGCCGTAGCCGGTAGATCTAGTTGCACCAGGAAGTCAGCGTGGATGCGTCGTCGAAGCGGCAGGGCAGTAAGCTGCTAGCCTTTGCAGAAAGTCATGGCCCGTGGCCTTAATCGCAAGGCGGATGTTGTGGTCTCTGGCAAACTCAACCGCCTTTGCAATGTCCTCCTCGCTAGTGGCATTGACGACATATACCGGAGAGTTTCCAATGGTACAGGTGGCCGAAGAGGCATTGGCAGTGAACGGTACCAGTGGACAAGAGAGGTTTAAAGGATAGACGTAGCCAATGGGCTGCGCTGCCTGGAAGAGCGTACTCTGCCAACCTTGGGTCACGGCTTCACAGACGGCAGCATCCCGGGCTGGCCCGGTGTAGCACGGAGCTGCGGGTGGGACCGCCCGTATGAGCCGTCCCGAGACGGAGCTGTTAAGTCGGCCCCACTCTTTGTCCGAGGGCCAGAATAGATCACCCGGGGTCTGCTCATTCGTACTCGTATCAGAATTGATATGGGTCCGGTTTTCGTCCCTCGGGCAGATGTACACCACTTACACACTTGCACTGGCAGGACGCAAAAGGGAGCAGCGCGAATAATGCAATGTATGCAGTAAATGCAACTTCCATGACTGCAGGTCAAGACGAAGAGGCTGATGGTCTCAAGTCACACGCGGCGACGTCAGGGACAAGGCACGTTACAGCTGTCCGAGCCTCACCATCTGCATCTTAAGGGGGCGTTGAACCCTAACTTTTGGATGGAAAGGCCACATATACCTATTTAATCCGGCTACTTGGCTCATGACATGAGATATACCTATTCAATCCGTCTACTTGGCTCATGACATGAGAGCTGACGTGATGGTTTTACAGGGTCTATCCCAGTAGGCTGAGATAGTACGACGTACTATTAGAGTTTCCTACCCGGGTCCCCAAGAACCACAGAGTTTCGTTACGATCTAGCGTGGAAACGTAGCCACGGGCCTACCTTTGCGGACGTAACGTGATCCCACATTTGGAACTCATTCGCGTTACCAGTCGATCCGCCAGTAGACTTTTGGTCCTTCGGATCTGCTGAGAAATCGAACCTGTAGAGGATATGCGCCAAGGTCAACATAATCTCGTGATACGCGAATCCTTTCCCGACGCAGCTGCGAGGACCGCTGGAGAAGGGTTTAAATGCTGTCCGCGCCAGCTCCACCGACTCCTTGGTCGACCCGCCTTCTCCAACAAGCCATCTTTCAGGCCTGTATTCGAACGGAGAATCGAAGTACGCATCATGGTGGTGAAGGCTGTAGATACTGGTGCCAACGTCGATGCCCTCTGGGAGGAAGACTGAATCAACGGTCATTCCTCCCGGCTGGACCTCTCTCCAAAGCGCGCCCCCTACCGGCGGTGACATCCGCAGCGCCTCGTCGATGCAAGCCTTCAAATAGTGGCAGGAGCTGAGCTCACCCCCGAGGCGGATGTCTTCTACACTGCCAAAGGTCGATCTGATCTCATGATTCAGCCTGGCATACGCCTTGGGGTTGCCGCCGAGGTAGAACATAGTTGCCGCCAAAGTCGTGGACGAGGTATCCGATCCTAAAAAACGCATGTAAACACGTGATTGTCATATTGCCAGTTGAGGGGGAGTATATGTACCGGCAACCACGAGTGTGGCCGATTCTGCTCGGATCTCAGCCTGGTTGAGCGTCGACTCGCCATCAGGGTCCTTGGCGGTTTCAAGGTACGAGAAGACATTCCCATTGTCGGAGAAGGACGCTTTGGACCGGCTCTTTAGTAGAGAGGCAAGAAACCCCAGGAACCTGTTTCTAGCCTCGATCGATCTCGCGAAAAGGTACTTGTCCAGTCTCCCGACTGCGAGGCTCGACGCCTGGACCAGAGCGCTGATGCGGACGTTGGAATCCTCCAGCGCCTTCATGACGAAGCGATATTTCGGCTCTCTCAAGGCGTTGTATCTCATGCCGAAGATCACCTCCGACATGACGTCGAAAGTGAAATAGTCGCCTGGGAACCTTAGCATCACATCAAGCTGGTCCGACTAAGAGGCATCGTACATTGATGAGACATGTCCAGGGCCTCGGATCCCGAGCTAAGCGGCTGTGGTTTTGCATTTTCGTACAAGTTGAGACACAACGTCTCTATGTGACGAAGTATGATGGCTTCATAGGCGCGCAGTTGCGCGTCAGAGAAAGCAAGGCCCAAGATTCGACGTCGCCTGGCGTGGTCCTCTCGGCTGCGAAGTGTGAGGGTGTTGGGGGCACTGTGGACGAGTGCACGATAGGCCTTGGACTTGATGACGTTTGCTCCATTGGAACTGACTTCTGTGGACCGAGTCAGTCGATGCGGCACGACACTGGGATTGTGGGTTGTTCGGGCTCGCTCACCTTGGAAGGCCGTGGCGCTATTGATCAGCAGACGGGACGGTGAGTATCTGACGATCGGACCTAGATTCCTGGGTCAATGTGCCGTCGATAGATATCGCGGATTCCGGAGAGATTTACCGTATCTCTGATGACACCTGTACATATCAACGTGAAGCGTCCCCTTCCACGCGTGATAGGCAGCATAGAGGTTGGTACATCTTCCCAGCAGAGGACCCGGGTAGGCCGACAGCGGATGCCAAACAAGCTGCTTCACCACCAGAAGTACAATCTGCGCCCAGTCTGAGTCTCGAGTTCCGACGGTAACCACCCCAACTGCAGAGATACACTTACGGAGATGGTTATTGAACATGCAGCTAAAGCCAAGTAAACCATGATTGCAGTATTACGAAATCAATTTAATCTTTCCGGTCTTGTGCAGAATCTCTCATGTTTTGATGCGCTGTATCGCAGATGCTCCTTAGAGTGGTTATCTAACTCACAGCGAGTAGCTGTTCGTTAACTGCGCGGCAACCACCAAGCTCCTATTAGCGTGCCGGATGGCGGCCAATCAAGTGCTGCTATGGCGTGTGAGTCAGCCTCACGTCACGCTCCGACGGAACACGAGTTCGCGCAGGCTGCTCTTAGCAGTAAGATGTTATTAGGGGGTTTCCAGCCGAAGTTACGGGAAGCACATGCTGTCACGTAGCAAAACGATACCGTTAGTTACGTGGGCAGCAATAGTAGCTTATATATCGTGACACACCCCCCAGATTTAACCTGGAAAGTCAGATCTGAACACACTTTTGATGAGAACCTAGTTAGGTACATCTCGCTAATCATAGGTGGTGAAGATCCGTATAGACTTTAGTAGGATTTTTGACCAGGGAACCCTAATAGGAATTAAACCTACAGTGCTTAAGATCTATGTAGCTAGTTACTGCACTTATTACATTAACATATATACTGTTATGGCATATAGTAGGTAGGAGCTAGGCTTATAGCTATTATGTAATAAAACGATACTGCTAGTTACGTGGGCAGTAATAGTAGCTTATATATTGTGACACATACGCTGTTGGCAGCGACAGTGCGTGTGCGACCGGTCACATATTCGTCGGGATTATGCGCAACGGCAGAGACCATGTTGAGCGTGATACTTCCATGCCTGGCGCTGCTTGGGCGCTTGACTACCTTGGCTTTTGGATTCGGCTCAGTTGCTGTTGTGAGTGCTGAGATTGAAGCTATAAGTCCAATACTGACAAATATTATCAAGGTTGCACTATGCATCCACAGGCTTTACTTCCACCCGTATGCCAAGTACCCTGGGCCTCTTTTGGCTAAATTGACAAGCTGGTACTCTGTATACCATACTTATGTTGGTGATCTTCACGTTGACATTTGGCGATGTCACGAGAAGTATGGTAGGTCTCGCACATAATATCATTTTGACAAATGACCTCCTGTTGCTGATACGTAAACAGGTGATGTCGTTCGTTATGGCCCCAACAGACTCCTGATAAATACGGAAGCGGGACTAAAAGGTAAGTGGTTGGCCCAGTGGCAAACAACAAATTCGAGAAGCAGGCTAATGTGATTTCTCAGGCATCTACGGGCACGGTAAAAATGTCCGGAAGGCCAAATCTTACCACAGGGTGTCGCTGGTCAAGGGGGTCGAAGCCACTCAGAGTGTTGTGGACAAGACGAAGCATGGGAAACTTCGAAGGATTCTCAATCAAGGACTTTCGGACTCACACATTCGGACCATTGACACACAGATGACCGACATCGCTTGCTTGCTCACTTCCAGCCTAGGTTCCGTGAAAGACCGATTTGGTCCAGATACTGGCGAACCCAGTGGCGGATGGACATGCGCCAAGAATATGGCCCATTGGTGTAAGTTGCAACACAGTCGTCTGGCTGGATGGGCTACGTTGACCCGTGCTAGGCGACTATTTCACATTTGACGTGATGTCCCAACTCGTTTTTGGGAAGTCGTATCATCTCCTGGAGAGTTCCGACAATCATTGGATTACAGACGCCATCTTGGGTCAGATGCGCCGTGTCAGCTTCCTGATGCAGCTGCCAGAGTTGGAAGACATGAAACTGCACAACATCCTGTTTCCAAATGCCCGCAAAAAAGCTCTGAAATTCTCTTTGAAGAGCAGAGAGATGATGGAAAAGCGGGAAGAGGCTTCCGAAGGCGCTGCAAACGATCTATTCGCAAAACTTTTCTCCTCTAAGGACCCAGAGACAGGGGAATCGCTCTCCCGACAGCAACTGTGGGCCGAGAGTAACCTGTTGATTATTGCCGGTAATAAAGCACCAAGATTGGCAAGGAATTCATTTTAGCTTACTCCAAGTTGCAGGGTCCGATACATCATCAACCGCAATGGCCGCTCTTTTCTTCTACCTTACTAGATACCCGGATGCATACGAGAAAGTTGTCAAAGAAGTTAGAAGCACCTTCCGCTCCGCAAAGGAAGTGTCTCAAGGCCCTAAGCTATCTTCTTGCACATACCTCAGAGCATGCATATTCGAGGCTGCCCGCCTGTCACCTCCAGCTGCCGGTGCAATGTGGCGTGAAGTGCAAGAAGGTGGTCTACAAATCGATGATCTCCATATACCAGCTGGCTACGACGTCGGAACCGGCATATACTCTATCAATCATAATAGCGAGTACTATGCTCGCCCTTTCAAGTTCTGGCCCGAGAGATGGATACCACAGGTGGTTGGTGAGGAGGCCGTTTCTAAAGCGAAGTCGGCGTATGGTACATTTTCCTTTGGACCGAGAAACTGCGTCGGCAAGGGCCTTGCAATAATCGAAATCTCTCTCGCGATGGCTGCTATCATCAGCGAGCTTGACTTCCGTAAAGACGAAGGAGGCATGGGAACAATTGGAGAAGGCTGCGGTGCATTGAAAGACGAATACCAGATCTTTTGGGCATTTACTAGTATCAAGGATGGGCCATACATACAATTCCGGAGGGCACAGAGGAACGAATTGGATTGAAAACCCACCAAAACAATATAGGCAAGTGCCTTTAAACAAGAAAAGCCTAGCAATCAGTATGTGACTCGAGGTTAATTCGTTCTTTTTAATGTGAACATGTCATTGCAGTTGGATACTTAATCATGGCGGGTTTCACTTCGAATGCTCAGATCCCCCAGCCCCATATCGGTCCCTGATATTCGGTCCAATACATGGTCTTGCATATTAGCAACTACTCTAGAAGCTTATGGCACCAACCAAAGTTATCAACTGCCATGCCGTTTTGAATGCTCTTCAGCCTGCCCCAAAGTTTCTCATAAGCTGGCCCGCCCGGAAGAAAGTGGAAGGTTTCATTAGTTGACTTTCGGTGAATGCATGATACTGGCGCCAAACCAGACGCAGTTCCTGCGGCAAGAACCTCTGTGAAGGTCGGCAACTCGGCGAGTTTCACCTAGTGCTTGTTAACAGACCCCGGCGAGATATCCGAGTATCATAATCTGTGTTGTGAAAGCTTACAGTCCTCTTTTCCACTCTCCATCCAAGCTCGACAGCAATCTTCGCAGCCGAATCCGCTGTTATACTCTCAATGGCCGCTTTGCTATTTGCGATCACGACTACGGTTTCTCTGTCCCCCTCCTGGATGCCGATGAAACCCGAAGTCGAAAACTCATCAATCTCGGTCTGAGTCTGACTATCTACGTGTAGAAGCACATTGTAGCCTTTTTTCCTTGCTTCAGCGGTCCATCGTATGACTGGAGCGTAGTTTCCACCTACTTTCACCGCACCGGATCCTCTAGTAGCAGCGCGGTCAAAGTCATCAAGCACCAAAGCCTTGATGGAACCTCTGCCATGAAAACCTATATGAGGCTGTACGAAGACACAGAAAAGAAATTCGTCCGGGGGTTCCAGACCGATCTGAGCGCTTGAACCGAACTGGAACGGCCGAATATAGAGAGATCCTTCGACCTCGTGGGGGCAGACATACTCGGCGTTCCTCCTGACGGCCAAATGAACGCTTTCGAGAAATATCTCTTCCGGAACCTCGGGCATAGAAACAAAGGCTGCAGACCTTCTCATTCTGGCCGCGTTTGCGTCGGGTCGAAAAATGAGGATTTCGCCGTTCGGGTCTCTGCGGGCTTCATTCCAGTTGTGAATGTTAGTTTTGACAGTATTGAATTCCAAGCGACCGAGATATCCCTGCCTTGAATGCCTTCAAAGACCTGCTGACCTGTGCAGGAGTGAGCCAGGACTTTTATTGCAGGCTGATACACGCACCATAGTGTAGGCCGGGTGCTAGGCCGTGTACCGAGAGCATAGGGTCCTCGACAAACTTTGGAACGGTCCATCTGCCAGTGGCGACATTATATATCGACTCTACGTGACCAGCAACTACATTTGATCAACTGTGTCAATATGAAGACGTCCAAAGCGGCCATGAAACTTGTTCCAAAGTGATAACTGACCGTTGTTCTGTTTGCTGTCGTAGGTATCCCATTCTGGTTCTTCGTCAGTAATCTAAGGTTCAGGTAACCCCTCGTATCGCTTCATGGAGGTGGAGACTTGCTGTAATCCGACTTTGGCGGGATCATTTTGTCCTTGAGACCATAACAACCCTAGCAAAAAGAACGGTACCATAAACAGCTCAGAGCAGCTCTGCCAATGCAAATGCACGGCCGCTAAGAGCAGACCGAGCCCCCTGAGACACAATGTATCTCGCTATCAACTAGCAGTCGTCCACTACGATAGCGATTTGGGGCCACGCAGTCCGTCTCTGAACACCTACCTCCACTGAAGGAGGCGTTGCACTAGCCACAGCTGACTAGTATGTATCAGCATGACGTGAGATTTTTCACGAACGGACATGAGTAATGTATTCATCCAAGCATGCTGAGCGAATCGATGCGTAATATGCGTGTAGTAGGGATTGGCTTTACGCATGATCAACTAACCGGTATTCGCGGAGAACCTACGGCCTCTAGGTTTGGCATCGCCGCATAGCTGTGTGCTCTGTACTTGGCATTGTATTCCGGCACGCAGCTGGATTGGACGTCTCCATGTAATGTGAATCTAAACTGTGTACTCCTTTCGCCTATCGCGTCTAGAAGCTGGAATATCTTATGGGAAACTCATCGGTGACGTTTCACATATGCCACTGGAAATTGTAGAAATGTAGCGGAAAGAAAAAGACAACCGCAAAAAAGAATGTTAATGTATTCTATTGTTGATGTTTTCTTCTTGGATGGCTCAATCTACGGACTTAGAAGGGCCGGTGCTCAACAATCGAATGAGCTATAATGATACTATCTGTTATGATGCCCTGGGTTTAACTTCGATAAGTGGCCCATTCTTCCAACTGATGAACATGTCCTGTAGTTCGTACTCTTTCGACGGATCTGGCCCCTGTCCACTATACGTGCCATTCACCCATGCATTCTGACACAGCCTTATGTCATATTTGAATGTGAGAGTCGCAAACAGGATAGACATTTGGAGATAGGCGAGCGGCTTTCCGATGCACCCGCGGTTTCCAGAGCTGAATGCCATGAAAGCGCTGGACGAATGCTTCAGAAGCTCGGGGGTTATCAGTGTGCCATCAGATAGCCTCTCGCCCACTATCCATCTCTCCGGTTGGAAAGAAAAAGGCTCCTGAAAGTATTCCTCGTCATGGTGAATGGAGAAGACAGGGACTCCGATATTGATTCCCTCGGGGTAAAAGGCCTCCCCGACTTGAACGCCACCAGCTTCCACTTCACGGTGCAAAACCGAACCAGCCGCTGGGGAGAGTCTCAGACCCTCGTTGATACATGCCCGAAGGTAAGTGCATGCTTGTAACTCCGTGCCAAAATCAATCTGATCAACGCTGGAAAAGGTTTTTCGGACTTCTGTTTGAAGCCTTGCAAGTTTGTCGGGATTGTGCAGCAGATAGTACATGGTGGAACAAACACCAGTTGAGGTCGTGTCGCTCCCTGGTCACTGTTGAGTTATGATCTGGAAAGTAAAGAAAAGAAAAGAACTTAAAGAAACCATCCTTACCTGCCGTAATCAACAAGATTGCTTCTTCGACGAGCTCCTCCATCGTGAAGGTATCTCCGGTAACGGGGTCGACCGCCCCAGTGAGCCAGAACATGAAATCCTTCTTCGTGTCACTAAGCTTGCTCACTCTTTCACTCGCTGCCATTTCGATGAAGGTGTCGAATGTGGCGGTAGACCGTATGGATTGCGGAAAGAGCAGCCACTTCAGTCTCAGTTTCTGAAAAAGCGTGATAGATGACCCTGCCTGTTCGAGAGCATTAGGTCTTTGCTTGAGCTATCCTCAAGAACATCATTCACTCACAATATTGTCTGCCCATAATGTCTCGTGTAGAGTCTTGATGATGTGTCTGTTCCCAGAGTGACGCATCATGTCGAAGGATTTCGAAAATGACAAATCGCTGGAAACATCGAACGTAAAGCGGCTGATCCACTCCGAGAAATTCTTAGGCGTACTCCATTGCCATGGCCTTAAAGTTTCTTGCCCTGACAATATACATGCTTCTTGATCATCGTTGTCGAGAAACTCCAAACATCGACAAAGAGTCGCAGTATGTTTTTTGATGGTGATAGCAGCCATTCTGAGGGCCGAGTCCGAAAAGCCTTGCCGAAGTATTCGCCGTTTCTTGGCATGTACTTGTTTGTTGATACACGAGAATAAAGTAGCCATCTCTGGGTTTCTTGGGAACGCTAGATAATTGTCCGCTTTTCTAACAGAACGACTGCACGTGTACAGCACTCTCACACCCTCTGTGGACCGAATGCTGACATGATTGGGACCGTAGCGAACAATAGGCCCATACTGCTCATGAAGCTGATGCAAGTTGCGGGCTTGATCTTTCTTAAAGGCATGATAGGTGTTGTAAAGACTTGTCAGGCGTCCGATGAGTGGACCTGGGTAGCGGCTGAGAGGATGCGATACGAGGCGCTTGTAAATGAAACCAGAAATAGCAATCTGAAGGATTATTTAATCGATTCTCGATACTTGTTGATAGGAGAACTTACCACCAGAAAAAGAAGACCGGCTGTCACTGTCTGGTTCCATGCTAACATACCAAGAGAATTCATACTCATACTGTCTAGACTGTCCATTAGTGTTCTCGTGTTTCTGCAAAACCAAATCAAAGCTAAGATTAAGTTCTGTGCATTCACCCCTGTTGCGCAAGCACGACTTTTCCTGGAGCACCCCGTATGCTCCAAACGCGGTCTGATACTGATAAGTCATAAAACCTGCGTCTGGTTTTGCGTAAGACATGCTGATGTCACTCTTAAACTTTTGAGCAACAACCCCCCCACCTGCATTGGAATGCGTCTACCGGGGCACGCATATTGGCACAGATTTCAAGTTCGACTACTAACAAGTTACGAGAGTTGGGTGCCTGTTACTCAAGTTCATCCAAAAACTCTATTATGACATCAAAATTCGAAGTCTCTGCCATGCATTTGAAATCCGAACGAGAACAAGAACGAGAGCTGGCGCACATTTTGCTTGTAGAGCTGTTAGCGTAAGAGCGTTGGTCTAACACCACTGACTGCGAGAGTCGGACTAACTTTGCGTTAGGCATCAGTTCACATATCCGGTGAGATGGTAAGATTGCAGATGATAAGAATCAGAGAAAGTTTTGCTGAATCTGTCTACTCTCTAGGATCGAGACACAAAATGTTATCCTCGGGGAGATCGAGGCCGAAAGGATTGTGGAAGTTGGCCCAAAAAACACTCTAACCAACATGATGAAAAAAACTTGGAATCAGCGATACATCGTTTCGGATGAAGTGAAAGGCCTCCGCCGGAAAATTTTGGGTCTCGAAGAAGACCTTCCGGAGATCTACTATCAGTCGGTTGTGGATGAGGAAGAGACACTTGATGAAGATGATAAGAACACGCCCATAGGAAGTGCTGAGAGACCGCCACAGAAATCTCAATATGAGACACCTCCCATCCATCCGCTAAGAGATTCGGATGCAGAAGAAAACAGGCCTATGACACAGGTGCCAAGGCTAGAAGATATACCGTTGCCGGTTTCTGCGGTTGTTCTTGCGATTATAGCTACGAAGCTTAAGAAATCCTCTGACCAGATTGAAACGACAAAATCGATAAACCAGCTTGTAAACGGTAAGTCAAAGACAAACTTTCCGAAACCTTTGACGTCCATTAATCAAGGCAGGGCGTTCGACCCTCTCCAACGAGATTATTGGCGACCTCCATGCAGAGTTTGCAAACCAACTGCCCGACCGTGTCGAGGAACTACAATTAGTCGAACTACTTGAGGCGCTTCGCAATGCTCATACAGGAACACTTGGGAAAAAGACCTCAGCTCTGGTGGCTAGTTTTGTTTCATCAAAGCTGCCAGGAAGTCTCAGCCATTCGAAAATCCGTGACCACTTACAACACCGATGGGGGCTGGGGCCGATGCGTCAAGACGCAGTACTTCTGTTCGCGGTCACAAAACAGCTCGGCTCAAGACTCTCTTCCGAGGCAACTGCAAGAAAGTTCTTTGACGATATTACCGAGGCATATTTCAAACAGGAAGGACTATCAGTTCCTCACCAAACATCATCACCACTTGGCGATCAGAACGTCAAGGTCGACGCGAAGGCTTTGGAGCTTCTTGACAAGAGGGGGAATGCGCTGTTGCGCGATATTAGCGAAGTCTTGATTAGACATATTCCTAAAGGCAAGGATATCGCCAAAGATAGGACAGGAGTCGAGTGTGCAAAAGACCTGGATGAGCTTGACATGTGGCGTAACGAGCATGGAGACGAATATGCTGAAGGTATCAGGCCACTCTTCGATTTGAAGAAGCAGCGACTCTACGACTCTTTTTGGAACTGGTCTTGCCGCGATGTCATGTTATTGTTCAGTCTGGCCAAGGAACCCAGTTCGCAAAACGCAAAGTTGATTGAACAGCTTTCAACTTCCATCATTAACCGATCTTGCGAGCGCTCTATCGCACAGATCCAGTATCTTTACTCGAAAACCCAGGGCGAGAAGACCAACCTGGGTAGAATCATGAGACTCTGTCTTCACGGGAGCGTTTCTTCCAAGAGCCGAGATCCCAAGTTCATCGATGACTCGGTCGATCTGGCCCCCTTCACGACGGTTGACATTGACGGCAACCTTAAGTTCTCTGAGGTACCGCGATCGGCACCCTTTAAGGCTCGCAATTCGTCCGATACGAACGCACCATATCCGATTAGTACATATAATAATGGAACCTCAACCATATCAGAGAAGCTCAGCTCAGCGTATATCGAAGATCTGGATACGGCGCGCCATCGTGGGCTCACTTTCCGAGGCCGGAATGTGTTGTTGACTGGCGCTGGCCGGAATTCGATCGGGTTCAGATTGTTGAGATTATTACTTGAAGGAGGCGCTAGAGTCACCGTCACCACCAGTAGCTTCTCTCCTGAAATCACAAATATGTATCAGGCCCTCTATTCCCGGTGCGGTGCCAAAGGATCAGTTCTAAGGGTTGTGCCATTCAATCAAGGCAGCCGAAGAGATGTTGAAGAGCTTTCAAGGATTATGGTTGATGATTGGGATCTTGACTTCATCATTCCGTTCGCAGCTATATCCGAGAACGGCCGAGAGCTCGAAGAGTTGGATTCGAAGTCAGAATTCGCACATCGACTGATGCTTACCAACCTTTTGAGGCTGATCGGTACTATTGCAAGGAACAAACGGTCTAAAGGAGTCGCTCATAGACCAGCTACAGTTCTTCTCCCATTGTCTCCCAATAATGGTTCTCTGGGAAATGACGGCTTGTATGCGGAGTCAAAAAGGGGCCTGGAGCCCCTGCTCTCTAAATGGAAGTCCGAGACCTGGCACGACTACCTCTCCATCATAGGTGTCGTTATTGGCTGGACCAGAGGAACAGGGCTGATGGATGAAAATGATATGGTTGCCCAAGGTGTTGAGGAGATGGGAGTTCGAACGTTCTCCCGAGACCAAATGGCTGCTTTCCTAGCCACTCTCCTGGGTGGCAGAATAAATATGGCCTGTCAATCTATCCCGCTTATTGTCGACTTGAGCGGTGGAATGAGCGAGGTGATTGGGCTAAAAGACAAGCTTGGGCAAATACGTCGACGCCTTCAGGTTGAAGCAGATTGTCGACGAGCCATCCGAGACGAAGAGCGAAGAGAGGCAATCTTGCTCGGTGACAGGGTTGAGAGCCAAGAACCCAAGGTGTTGTTGCCAAGAGCGAATCTACGCGTACAATTACCCAGGCTTCCGGATTGGGATCAAGAGCTAGCTTCGCTGGCAAATAACTTGGAGGGCATGGTCGATCTGGACCGAGTAGTGGTTATCACAGGGTTCTCGGAACTTGGACCTTACGGCAGCAGCAGGACGCGATGGGACATTGAGGCCAATGGCACTCTGTTCTTGGAAGGTTGCATCGAGATGGCCTGGATGATGGGGCTCATAAAGTACAGCACAAATGCTATGAAAGACGGCGAAACCTGGGCCGGCTGGGTCGATGCGACAACCCTCGCCCCTGTCGAGGAGAGCGAGATCTTGTCTCGATACATGGGCTCCATTCTCGAGCATACGGGTATCCGAAAAATCGAGCCAAAGATTTGCGATAATAACTATGATCCGGAGAGGAAGATGGCCGTGCAAGAGATAGAGCTTACTCAAGATTTACCGCCATTCGAGGCGACTCCTGAAATGGCCCGGCATTTTGAACTGCAGCATGGTGCGAAAGCATCTATCAGTAACATGGAGGAGTCTGGCGTCTGTACAGTTCAACTCAAGGCCGGCGCCAGGATCCTTCTACCCAACGCCAGCCAATTCAATCGTACGGTTGCTGGCCAGATACCCACCGGATGGTCCGCGAAACGGTATGGGATCGATGACGATATCATTGAGCAGGTTGACCCTGTCACGTTGTTCGCCTTAGTCTGCACCGTTGAAGCTCTACTATCGTCCGGCATTACCGACCCCTACGAGCTGTATGAACACATCCACTTTTCCAAGGTTGGCATTTGCATTGGGTCTAGTCTGGGCGGACTTTCTTCCTTGAGGCAAATGCATCGCGATCGATTCCTTGGAAAAACAGTCCAGGGAGACATTCTCCAGGAAACATTCATCAACACAACGGGCGCTTGGGTTAACATGCTCCTCACATCCTCATCCGGACCTATCAAAACCCCCGTAGGCGCCTGCGCTACATCCCTGGAATCCCTCGATACCGCATACGATCTCATCGTTGCTGGCAAGGCCAAAGTCTGCCTTGTTGGCGGCGTTGAGGACTTCGTTGAGGACGTGTCCTACGAGTTTGGAAGTATGAATGCCACCTGCGACACAGAAAAGGAATTCGCGGCTGGGAGAAGTCCTGCCGAGATGTCAAGGCCTATGGCATCATCTCGAAGCGGATTCGTAGAGTCACAAGGATGCGGAATCCAGGTGCTTACGACCGCCCAACTTGCTCTGGAGATGGGTCTCCCAATCTTTGGAGTGGTGGCCTATACAAGCATGGCAGCAGATAAAGTCGGCCGCTCTGTTCCAGCACCTGGCAGAGGCATCCTGACGAATGCCCGAGAGTCAACTCAAGGGCGGACGTATGCCGCACAATCGCCTCTGCTCGACATAGGATATCGACGAAGATTGCTCAAAATGAGAATCCAACAAGTCAACAACAACTTCGAGACCAACGTAGATCTCATGGAGCACGAAATCCGCTACTTGAAAGCAATGGAAACCGAAGGCTTTGATGAGGACCGGTACCGCCGCGACTGCACTAATGTCTTCGAAGAAGACGCAAAGAAGCATGAGGCGAACTTGCGATTCAGCTTGGGTAACGAGTTCTGGAGGAACGAGGATCAAATCTCACCCATCCGAGGCAGTCTGGCTACTTGGGGTTTAGGTATCGACGATCTGAGTGTCGCATCTATGCATGGCACGTCCACAGTGCAGAACGATCTGAACGAGTCATCGGTACTCCATAACCAGATGAAGTTTCTTGGGAGACAAGACGGAAACCTGCTTCCCTGCGTTTGCCAGAAATGGCTGACCGGTCATTCAAAAGGAGCTGCAGGGGCCTGGATGCTGAACAGTGCCCTTCAGATGATGGACTCTGGCATGATACCAGGCAATCGTAATGCGGACAACATCGACCCGGAACTACGCCAGTACAGCACCTTGCACTTCCCAAACATAACAGTAAAGAATGGTGATGTCAACGCTTGCACAGTCACCTCGTTCGGGTTCGGACAAAAAGGGTCTCAAGCCATTCTGGTTCATCCGAAATATCTCTTCGCAACGATCACCAGAGAAACTTATGACAAATACGTTCCAAAGAGGAATAAACGATGGCAAAAGTCAAACAGCTACTTTAGCCATGGAATTTCCCACGAGTGTCTTGTCAAGATCAAGACTTCACCACCATACAATGGTTCCGACGAATCCGCTGCACTGCTTGATCCGACGGCTCGCTTCTCGAAACGTTGACGTTTGGCCCCCGACTCGACACTCCAATTTGGACTCTAGGTGAAATCTGCTCATGAGAGCTACTGGAATGGAATATGGCGAACAAAATGCTGTATGCATGGCGAGTAAGATGCACAGGATGACTGTGTATTTAACTAGAGCACAGTGTTTATCCATCGAATGGTACTCGTAGGCATATTAAGAGTTATACAGAGCTAAAAGATAAAAAATAGACTACCATCTCATATTATTGTCTACATTGCTACCCTCATCAACGGGATAGACTTCTTGTCGGTGGACTACAATTTCTGTTTGACCGAGAAATTCTGGATCCCTTGGTGCGCCGGACCCTCAGGAGTTACGTATGCCTGCAGCACATCAGCCTTCAAACATCCATAACATCAACCTTGGAGAGCTGAGAGCAGACCTTAGTTAGACCGCCGTCTACAACAAGCTCTTGAGCGTTGACCAATGAACTAGCATCGCTGGCCAGAAATAAGGCGGCGGTCGCTTGCTCAATGGGCTCACCAAATCTACCTTGAGGCAAGTGGATTTCTCTTCGTGCTCTCCTCTCGACGTTGGTGCCCAAGTAGTCTTGCATCAGAGGGGTATTCAGCGGACCGGGACACAACGCATTAAACCTGAACCCTTCGCGTGCATGAACAATGGCGAGCTCCCGCGTCATGGCAATGATAGCTCCCTTGGTCGCCGTGTATGCTAGCTGTGCTGTTGCAGAACCAATGAGCCCGACTATCGATGATGTGTTGATCACACTTCCCCTTGTTTTTCCATGCTTCCGCATACTTAGCACCGCATGCTTACACCCATGCCAAGTGCCCTTTACATTGACTTGATAGGTGAGGTCCCATGCCTTCCGCGTAACCTCCACGGCATCGCCGTCTTCGTGAGGGAAGACCCCAGCATTGTTTAGCATCACGTCAACCCCTCCGTACCGATCCAGGTGTTGTATCAACGCCTCAACATCTTCTTCGCTGGACACGTCACACACTTTGCACTCAATTCGTCCAGAATGTGGTCCATGCAGTTCCACATTTTGACGAAGTCTTTCGAGGGCCTCGGTTGATACATCAGAGAGGAGGAGATTGGCTCCGGCTTTAGCGAACAGAATTGCTATTTGGGTACCGATGCTCCTGTGCAATGTCAGAGAAGCAGTCACATACATGAGTCCAAAAGCAGCAGCCTACCCTGCGGCTCCCGTGACGACGACATTCTTGCCGGTTAATTGGAACACCTCCATCATGATTCAGGTATCGAAGAGATCCGGCAAGGTAAGGAGGGAAGGTCCTCGACTCCCGAAATGGATGCTAGCTGCTGGACAATACCGGGGCAGCGGACATATGCGCCAAAAAGGATAATGCAGCACAAGAATTCTGCCTAGTGAGTATGCTGGTGTGTACTGGAACAAACACTCGTGTGTTTGGTATTACGGTTCGTAACGATCAACAGATAATAGAGTTGGAGCAAGCGAACAAGATGACGTGAGATGGAGTAAGCCTGTGTCGGTGCCGACTCACGGCGATATCACAATGGATTTGGGTTCAGTGCTGTGCATGGGCCTCCGGAACATCTTGCTTACTACCGATATTATTTAAGCTGTGCTGATGAAACATAGTTGCTCTAGACCCCCGTAAGCAGCCTGTTTAAGCTGTACCGGCTTTGTGACTAAACAATGCAGAGAGCACGAATGCATATTTGATATGAGGGAATGCAGGTATCGTGATTTTTGGCGAGCTTGATTCGACGAGTATGTGGGACTACATCGTTGATAAAAAATGGACGCGGTGTCCCTGATGAATAAGTTTCCGAAATACAAGGACTTCTACCAAGGAACAACCTGGCCAGTCTGCAACACGAACTTCCCCGATGTAGTCTCTCTGCTCGCTCCGTCAATGACTTGAAGACAACCAGTGACACTGCTCTCAATTGTGTCCGGGGGCCCGGCAGCATAGTTCCAGTCCTTTGCTACCATTTCACCCATGCGGGTCTGGACCCAACCCGGATGAAGGGCTATGGAGACGAGATTTTTATTTTGTACGTGTAGAGACTTGGTGATGTGGTTCAAAGCAGCCTTGCTTGGGCCATAAGCCCCTCCAGGGAAAGGCTCCTGTGTCGAGATCGATCCGACCGCGGATGTAACAGCAATAAACTTGGCGGGAACATCGGTAGAGGAGCGGGGTTTGTCCATCAGTGGCCAGAGACCTTGGAAGACCATCAACGGGGCAATTGTGTTGATTTCGAATGCTTTGCGGAAGTCCTCGGCAGGCGTTGCCGAGATGGGTATCATAGGAAAGGGGGCGCCCGCGTTACAGATCAGGACATCGATCCGGTCGATGGTGCCGGCAGTAGCCGCCATGAAAGCCTCGCGCACGGCGGCGGGAGATGGAGCTGTAGAGAGGTCAAGCAGCATGACATGAAGGTCGCTCTGATCGCCTTTGGTGACATCGGCAGTGCCCGATTTCAGAGATGCAACAGCGGCATCATTTCGCACTGAAGCAACGACGGTGGTGGATGGGCGGGCTAACAAGCCCTTGACGAGGCCCAGGCCAATGCCCCTGTTGGTGCCTGTGATCACGTAGACAGTGTTTACCATGGCGCGTCTAGTCAAGGCTATATCTCTCGGAGATCAAGAAGAATGAGGCAGGGAACCTGGGTACAAGATGATTTGAATGACGTGTAAGGAATGGAGGCAGTCTGAGCTGAATCGAAGCTATCTATCGACACGCGCATTAAAATTGCGGAACTGCAAGAGAGGGGTAAGCGAGTGAAGGGCGATGTTCCGCTGCAGAAGAATTGTTAATATTTGAACCTTCATCTTAAAACTATTGATCACGTCAGCGTCTGATCAGTTCCGTCCCAAGTCACTCGGCGGAACCATGCCAAAGTTTGGATAAACATTTATTGGTATTCAACTATCGTATCTATTTCTTTATAGGGATGCCCTGATTATCTCCTCGCCGGATCTAAAATCTAAAATTCCGCTGGAAAACCAGTCCCCAATCTCTCTAAGGTGCTCATGACTCAACACTGAACGCTTTCTTCTTTTGCCGCTGATTCGGACTAAGTTTATACAATCACTTGCGGTGCAGTACAGACTGCTCAAATTATATACCAGGTGTACTATGCTGGCTGTGACGTGATTGAGTCTTTGTTGCGGCATCCTTCAACGATACCCCTTCAGTCGAACTTGACGCTTGCTTTGATCCCTTCAGAGAAATCCACTTGATAAAAACCCATCCAAAGACACTCAAACAGCCTAAAATGATAGCGGTCATGAAAACCATTTGCATTCCGTTGTTGTATACTCGAAGCGCAATTGCGAGCTGTTCTGGTGTGAGCGATTCTCTGAGAAAGTCGAATCGGGTCAGCAGTGTATGGCGGTCGAGGGATGGAATTAGTTGTGTAAGCCGTTCGATCTTGGTGATCAAAAGATTTTGACCCACGCTGATAAAAATTGAGCCCCCGATGTTGTTTACCAAGATGATCGCCGACGCGCCATATGGTACATCAGAGGGGTCCAAAGCGATCTGCACGCCCATGAGCGACTGCGGCACTCCAGCGCCTGTGCCGAGACCGAATAATATCTGGTAGACGATCCATTTTGCCCTTTCAATGTCTGGATTAAAGGTGTAGAGCATCCCGGCTCCAATGGAAGCAAGGACAGTGCCAACTATCATAAATGGGGGCAAATATCCGACGGAGGATGCCCCTATTCCCGAAAGCCCCCCAGAAAAGATGAGAGCGAGAACCATTGGCAGGATCCGGATACCCGACTCGCGGGCTGAAACGCCCTGGATAACTTGGAACCATACTGGAGTCTATGATAACCGTATCAGAACCCGACGAAAGGGAGGAGATGTCGATATTCCATGACTTACATAGTAAAGAACTATCATCTGAGCGCTCGATAACGTAAATCCGTACCAAAGACAGGATGCGAAAGACCTGTTTCTCAGGAGTCGTGTCGGAAAGGTTGCCTTCTCTTTCAGATAGTGCTGATAAACACCAACCGAAACAAATGAAACTCCAAACACCACGAGCAACCCGATGATCCTCGGGCTGTTCCAATTGTACTGTGACGGTACCCATTGGATGGCGAGGAGTAGACAGGCAATGCTTCCTACCAAGCCCGCGCCGCCGATTACGTCGACCTGCTTGATTCTGTCTTTGAGTGGTGCTTTCTGACCCAAAGCCTGTGGTGGTGGCTTGAAGAAGAAAAAGAGGATGATGAACACTACGCCCCCGATTGGCAGATTGATCCAGAAGCACCATCTCCAACCAATGTGGCTGGCAATCGCACCGCCAAGGATGGGGCCAAGCACAATACCGAAACACTCCAGCGAGCCTACGATGCCTATGAGTGTGGGCCGCTGCCGCAGAGGTGCAATGGTGGCAGTGACTCTTGATTACAGAAGATGGTCAGCCATGGATTTTAGAACAATCCGACCAACACCTGCTACTAACATCAAGCTACCGGAAGTACACCCGGCACAGCCAAGGCCAGCAACGGCTCTTCCAATAATGAAACTGCTGGAATTATGCGCGAGAGCACAGATCAATGAACCTCCTCCCAGAAAAAGGATAGATGAGAGGAATATTGCTTTGTGTGAAAAGGTTGCATAAAGTTTTCCGAACGTGGGCTGGGTCGATCCCGAAGCTAATAAGCTAATATATCAGTTAGCTGAAAGCGAAAAACGACGTGGTTGGAGGGTTCAACTTACTATGCAGATCCATACCATCCTACATCTTTAACGGATTGAAAATCGTTCGAAATGTTAGGGACAATTGTAGAAACCATTGTAACATCCTGGGATCAACCGTGAGTCTATAGTCTTAAGTTACTCATTCCTTTGGTATTGGTACTTACAAGGATAGCTATGAACAGCGACATTCCCATGGCCACGATCATGAGCACTCGGTGTACCATCGGAGGAAACGACTGTTCGTCGTTTCCTTCTTCTTTTGTAACATCTTGAGCGATATAGCCACTCTTTGTTTCCTCAACTAGATCTGGTGCGCCGGAATTCGATTCCATATTGCAGCGACAATTATGCAGCTTCACTTGATCAGAATACTGTATGTCCGCCGATGGAATGCAATAAGGCCCCGCTGAAATGGATTCAAGGTTTTTGGACGTTATATTGACAAAGGAAAAAAAAAACCTGCTACATCAGAACCATAGCCAGGGGTTGTTGTGATCAGACTGCGTTTACCACTCACCAACTCACCAGACGCCGAGACTGCAGAGCATCGCGATTCCCGCGAAGTCTGGATCAGAGGGTCACCCAGTGGACCGTGCTGCCAACCCTCTCCATCCTGGTCATGATTCCGGTAATGCTGAGGTCAGCGCTAAACTAGATATGGTCCCTACATACGCCAAATGGATTACCTCAGTGGCCAACGCATCCGAACCAAAGACCCCAAGGCTTGGTCCGTGGATAACCAAGCGGCCCTACCATAGGAACCAGTAGAGTTGTGTGTAATGTGTAATGTAATAAGCAGTATACGCCGAATGCTCCCGGTTGTAGCAGAGGAAACAAACACATTTTAGCTTTGGTTAATTTCGCTCTATGCGAGCAGTCGAACCAGTTCCCTACCACCAGGGGCTGTCCCGAATTTCAACGAAGATCCGCAACCATGAAACAGACCGAAAGCCCGATATTGTGCCACCTGCCGGCTTTTGCAGGTGGTCAGCAACACTCTCCCGAAATATCGTCCGAGAGGATCCCAATCGACATCCACCGAGTGAAGCAGTCTGATATCCCAGCAGCAACACTCCTGAATGCTGCGTGGTGCTTGGTACTGCATCTATACACCGGCCAGAATGGCATTTCCTTTGGCTCAGTCAACGAACGTGGCCAGACTGTTATGAAAACATACATCCTTGACCGACAGGATACTTTATCGGATATTATTGCTCAATCGGACGTCTCTTCGGTCTACGACAGAGAAAATGGCGGCAGTGGCGCTGGAACCACAGAGACGGATCGAGTCCATTCACTCTACAACACTGTGGTGCGGCTGACCTTGGCACTTTCCAACGGGGACGAACACCCGAAGACCAGTGGATTCCAGACCGTAGGCACCGGTATATCAAACGAAACCCAGCTGGCCGTGCAAGGCTTGGTCAACGGGAATCACTTGTCCGAGTGCCTCGTCTTGTTCCGCCTGTCTTTTATGTCCCAGGCCGAGGCTCAAAACCTGGCTGCCACCCTGAGCCATCTCATGGATGAGCTTACCAGGTCCGACAACAAGCTCATACGTGACGTGCTTCTAAGCAAGAGAGACCAGGATCAAATAAAAAAATGGAACGACATGCGACTTTCTCGGTCGGAATGCCTGCTACATGAAGCATTTACCCAAGTGGCCAGGCAAAGGCCCGAAGCCAAGGCGATAGATGCATGGGACGGGCACCTGAGTTTCAAGGGCTTGGAGGATGCATCCAACTACCTCGGAAAGCAGCTGATTCAGGAAGGCGTCTCTCCTAGATCTTTTGTACTCCTGAGCTTTGGAAAGTCGCTGTGGGCTATTGTGTCGTGGCTAGCAGTCTTGAAAGCCGGAGCTGCATGCGTCTTACTCGACTATAGACTGCCGGCTGAAAGAATAAAACAAATAATCGAAAAAACAGGCGCGAATCATGCGCTCGCCGACTCAGCAACAGCAGCCATACTAGGTGATCTCGGCGTGAACGTTGTGCAAGTTCCCATTCAGGCTGCTGTCTCCAATGGCTTTCATGACAATGGCGGGCAGAATTGGCCGAAGACCCATCCCGACGATGCTGCATGCGTCGTCTTCACGTCGGGCAGCACCGGCACTCCCAAAGGCGTTGTCCTGACCCATTCCAGCATCTACACGACAGCAGAAGACTTGAAGTTTTTGGAGATCAAAAGTAACTCGCGCGTCCTCCATTTCTGTTCCTACGCCTTCGATATGAGTATCACCGAAATGGTCCTAAGTCTCCTCGCAGGGGCTTGCCTCTGCATCCCCTCCGAGTCTGATAGGGTTGATCGCCTCCAAGACTACATGCAAGAGGCACACGTAACCTTTGCAATCTTTACGCCTACTATGGCACGCTTACTGGATCCGACTACGCTGCCTGATATGAAAACTGTCTTGTTAGGCGGCGAGTTAGTGAGGGAGCCAGACACCCGGCCCTGGATCGATGCGGGTGTCCAAGTATACGACGGCTACGGCCCAGCAGAAGCGACGTTTGTTGCGACTGTAACCCGAAGGCTTCTCGTTGGTCATGCGAGATCTATTGGTCGTGGCCTTAACACAAGGACTTGGATTGTTGATACCAGCAGAGGCCAGCTCGTACCAGTGGGCGCTGTCGGCGAACTTGTCATTGAAAGCCCAACACTAGCCCTTGGTTATCTCAATGACCCAGATAAGACAGCTGAGAGCTTCATCGTCAACCCAAGCTGGGCACAACTTGACATTCCCGACGCGACGCTCCACAGGAGGTTTTACAAGACCGGCGACTTGGCTAGATACCTATCTGACGGTTCCTTGGAGTGCGTTGGGCGATTAGATGCCCAAGTCAAGCTTGGAGGTCAACGTGTTGAACTTTTGGATATTGAGCATCATTTACGAAGAAACACTTCAATACTAGACTCGGCGGTTGTTTTACCCAAGTGTGGACCTTTGGCCGGACGTCTTACAGCAGTTGTTGTCACAGGCTACAATTCAACTGTCACCAACGGCGATGGAGATACTTTTCACCCTTGCGACGATGTATTTGTTTCCGAGGCTAAGGCACAACTACTTCAAGCCGTGGCATCTTATATGGTGCCCTCTTTGTGGCTGCAGATCCATTCATTACCTCTTCTTCGTAACGGAAAGCTCGACCGGACCACTCTTTTGAGGAAGATAGAGACACTTGGATCTGAAAGCTCTACTTTTCTCTTCGGTAAAGATGCTGTTCCTGAGGTCGGCGAAGCGAACGAAGTTAGCGAGATGCTGCGGAGGATCTGCAGTGACGTACTCAATATTCCTCTCAATAGAGTGAATGTCGGCAAGTCTTTTGTCGCTCTTGGGGGTGACTCAATCACGGCGATGAAAGTTGTGTCCACCCTCAGGCTTGACGGCAAGTTATTGCGTATCAAGGACCTCCTGTCCTCTTCATCGTTGAGGGAAGCTGCGTCGAGAGTTGGAGATCTTGATGTTCGTCAGTCTCTTCCAACAAGCCGTGCCGGCGAGCGGTTTCCTACATCCCCCATTCAGCAGCTGTTTCTCGAAACCTCCGGAACAGATAGCGCTAAAAACCACTTTCATCAAAGTGTTACGCTGAAATTGGGGGCACAAAAGGATCCGCGAGTGGTCGACAAAGCGATCGCTGACATTGTGGCAAGGCACCCCATGCTTAGAGCCAGATTCGAGCAAGAGGCACACGGCCGATGGGTGCAATACATCACCGAGGATATCGATGCATCGTATGGATTCGAGTATCACATGGATACAAACCCTGATCTCCGGACGGAGTTGATGCGCAAGTCCAGATTATCTTTGTCAATCGAATATGGACCCATGGTCCGTGCCAGGATGTACGAGAACGGCGGGACCCAATACTTGTTTCTCGTCATCCACCATCTTGTGGTAGACCTTGTGTCTTGGAGAATCATATTAGAAGAGCTCGAAACAGCGCTGACAGAGTCTCAACCGACGTTCGTTACCTCGTTCCCGTTTCTTGCCTGGGTCAACCAGCAAAGAGACTTCGCCCACACCATACCTAGGGATCGTTTGCTTCCGCAGCCCGTTCCCGCATCCAACTTTGCCTTCTGGGGCATTGAGAAGAAAAAGAACATCTACGCTGATGTATGCGAGAAGAGTTTCTCTGTCAGCTCGGATATCACCAACGACGTCTTGTACAATTGTCATCACGCTCTTCAGACAGAACCAATCGACATCCTTATAGCGGCTCTGTTTCTTTCGTTTGGCATCGCGTTCCCTGAAACTCAACTACCGGCGATTTTTACCGAGGCCCACGGCAGGGAGCCTTGGAATGATGCGATTGACCTTTCGCGGACAGTCGGCTGGTTCACTACAATGTACCCCATCTGCGTGGCCGACGTTAAAGACATACTAGATCTCGTCATGAAGGTTAAAGACGTTAGAAAGCGGACTCCCAACAATGGGTTTGAATATTTCAGCACTTCCATCCTAACAGGTGAGGGCCGTCAGGCTTTTGAAGAGCAATTCCCGGCCGAAATCGTCTTCAACTACGAGGGTCGATACCAACTATTGGAAAAGGAAGGTTCTTTACTTCAGCGAGAAGCTTGGGCGGCCGGAGAGACATTAGACGACATGAATCCGTCGCTTCAACGGTTCTGTCTCTTCGAGATTGCTGCAAGCATCCTTGATGATTGCTTGCAATTCACTTTTGCGTGGAACTCCAAGCTGCGGCACCAAAGCAGGATTGAGCTCTGGTTAGCCGGCATCCCCCGAGCTATCGAACAGATCACTACCACCTTAAGTTCCTCATCACGACGATTGACTTTGAGCGACCTTGATCAGTTTGAAATTTCTTACTCTGAGCTTGAAACCATGACGGACACGATAAGACGGATTCCGGGCATCCGTAGCTTGGAAGATGTCGAGAGGGTGTGTCCTTGCACTCCCATGCAGGAGTCTCTCGCTATAAGTCAGGCTCGAGACGAAAACTTCTACGAAGTCGATATTTTATGGCAGGTTACCTCCACTAATGGCGCCAAAGTTGATCCGAGCCGTCTTGAAGAAGCGTGGCGCAGCATCGTCTCTCATCATACCGCACTCAGGGCTGTTTTCATCGAGACCCCGGCAACTATTGGCATACTCGATCAGGTTATTCTCAAGAACCACGATCCGCAGTGTGAGCGGATCCACGCGAGGGATGCCAAAGAAGCACTCGAGGTCCTGGCCAACTACCCAGACAAGCCAAAGGGTCTGGGGCGTACAGAGCCTCCCCATAGGTTACTGATCTGCTCCACCGAGGACGATTGCGTATTCATGAGATTTGAGATCAATCATATCGTCTGTGACGGCCTGTCTTTCATTAATATATTACACGACCTGTCGTTGGCTTATGAAGGAAGGCTGGCTACTAAGTGGAATTCGCCGTACGCAGATTTTATCCGCTACATCCGTGACCCAAAGCTCAGAGATGAGAGCACATCCTACTGGAAGCAGTACCTTACGGGAACTGAGCCTTGCATTTTCCCTCCTCTTCTTGACATCACCAACGAAGAACATGAGCGAAAGACAGCCCTGGTTTCACTTGACATCACCCACAAACAGCTTCAAGACAAGGTTGCCGAGCTGGGGGTTACATTTCCTGTCGTCATGCAGCTGGTCTGGCTTATTGTACTTCGTTTTTACACCAACAGCAATCAAACCGTCACCGGCTATCTAGGCACGGGGCGGGGCGTGCCCGTTGCTGGCATTGAGGGGGAAGTTGGTCCATTCATTTCCATGCTCCTTTGCGTTATCGATTTTACGCAGCCTAGGGCTATGACAGAATTGTTGAGGAAGTTGCAGGAAGACTCGATTAATGGTGCAGCGCATCCGGCAAGCTCGTTGGCCGAAATCCAAAAGGCCATTGGTATTACAGGCGGTGCCTTGTTCAACGCGGGCATCTCTTTCATGCCTCTAGTAGACGAACGAGTCCAGCAAGGGGCATGCCTGTTTTTTGAAGAGAAGTCGATAAAGGATCCAACAGAAGTGTGCTATCCATCCTGCATTTATATGAGCCTCCAGCTAACATATAAATAGTTTGAACTCGCTCTTATTGTAGAGAGTGGCGAAGATGCAACCCGGATTTCCATTAACTATCACACATCTTTAATCAGCCACGGTCATGCCACCAATATAGCCGCAACAATCAATCATATTCTCACGGAGGTACTACAAGACCCTTCGCGAACCCCAGATGAGATCTCCACTCTCAGCTCCCATGATCTGCGACAACTGTGGGAATGGAACAAGGTTTGCATTGAGCCGGTTGAGAAGTGCGTCCATCACTTCGTGGAGCAAACTATGAAGGAGCATCCAAACAAGGAAGCCATTTTCAGCTGGGACGGATCCATGTCCTACCGAGAACTGGACGACCTTTCCAGAAATTTGGCTCATCATATCAAGAGTCTCGGCATTGGGCCAGAGAAGATAGTCCCTCTGTGCTTCGAGAAATCGAAGTGGGCCATCGTCTCGATGCTCGCAGTCTTACGAGCTGGCGCGTGTTTCGTAATGCTCGATCCTGCTCATCCGAACGTCCGTGTTATGTCCATTGCCGAAGAAGTTGAGGCCGAGGTTCTTCTCTGTTCACCCCTTACTAGACCCAAGTTCGAGGCGATCAGGGACATGGTCGTCGTAGTCGATTCGGAATTCGCACATGCACTTCCGCCGGCGGATCCAACTCGACCTGTCTGCCCGGAGGTGACCCCCGACAATGCCATGTACGTGGTCTTCACCTCGGGAACAACAGGCGCACCGAAAGGCTCCATCACGTCCCACCGTGCCTACTGTACTGGCTTTAAGGAGCATGCATGGGCAATTGAAGTCGGACCAGAAACAAGATCATTGCAGTTCTGGGCATACAGCTTCGACGCCTGTGTCGGCGATATCATGACTACCTTGCTCGTGGGAGGATGCATCTGTATTCCTTCCGAAGAAGACTTGAATGCGGAGATCTCTAATTTCATCTCCAAGAGCCGAGCAACGTGGGCTGGCTGGACGCCGTCGTTCGCATCTCTTATTGATCCCGACACCGTGCCAACACTGACCGTCCTCCTTATGGCGGGCGAGCCACTACCTGCGTCTCAAGTCGATGCCTGGGTTGATCGGTTGAAACTTCTCAATATCTACGGCCCCAGCGAGTGCAGCGTCGCTTGTGTCGTCAACAAGAATGTTGCTCGGAATACAAACGCCTCCAACATTGGCCGCGGTTATCGCTGTGTCACTTGGGTTGTGGACGAGAATGACCACGAACGGCTTCGCCCCATTGGCTCTGTCGGAGAGCTCTTGATCGAAGGCCCGATCCTCGCTCGAGGATATCTCAAGAGGCCGGAAAAGACAGCGGAAGTATTTATCGATGCTCCCTCTTGGCTCAAGAATGGACCTCATCCTCGCACCAATCGTCTGTACAAAACCGGAGACCTTGTAAGATATAACTCAGACGGAACCATAAACTTCATTGGTCGAAAGGACACCCAGTTGAAGATAAACGGTCAACGGGTTGAGATTGGCGAGATTGAGCATTCGCTTCGCAGCAGTGTACCGCCCACAGCCGGTCCAATTGTTGTCGATCTCCTCAAGCGTTCCAGTGGCGGCGAGCAGGACCTTCTGGCGGCTTTCATCCAAGTCGGAACCGATAATACCTCACCAAAGGATGCAGATGATTTCATCGCAACGGATCCATCTGCCCTGAGGAAGTTTCACAGCCTCGTTAAGCAGATTTTCGAGACAGCATCATCGCTTCCGCGCTACATGAGTCCACACGTCTTCATTCCCGTGAAGAAACTCCCAATAAACACTTCTGGTAAGCTTGATAGACAGGCTCTCCAACGAGTGACAAGGAGGTTGTCTAGAGACGAGCTCGTCTCTTTTACATCTGGCGCCAAGGACGCGGGGAGAACCCATGAAGAGCGCCAACTAGTTGATATTTGGAAGAAGGTCCTCCAAGTGAGCTCCGTTGGAATCCAGGACAACTTCTTCAGGCTTGGAGGCGACTCAATAGTAGCTATAAGCCTGCGCACGGAAGCGAGGCGTAGGGGCTTGATGATTTCAGTCTCCGACGTCTTCTCGAATCCCATTCTAGCTGATATGGCCCAAAAGATGGGCAAGGTTGTCACGGCCAGTGCAGTGGAAGTTGTTGAGCCTTTCTCACTCCTCGAAGGCTACGAGTCAATCCCCGACCTGATCGCCGACGTATCCCAGGAGTGCAATGTCTCAAAGGATGCTATTGAGGACATTCTACCTTCTGTTCCCATACAAGAAGCTCTCATGTCACTCTCCGCCCGCCAATCTTGGGCACAGGCGTACGTGCTACATGCCCCTTACAAACTCCCCGTCGATCTTGATGAGATCCGCTTCCGAAGAGCCTGGGAGAAGACAACCGAGGTCCATGGCATACTTCGCAGTCGTATTGTTTCTAGGCCCAAAGGTGCCTTACTTGTCATCATGCGAGACGCAATCCCAGTCAGCACTCATGTCGGATCATTGCAGGAATACATATTCCAGGAAAAACAGAAAGCCTTTGGGTACGGAATACCTCTGCTCCGCCTTGGACTCGTAAGGGAGGGAAACGACCGTTACTTCGTCTTCAGTGCACACCACGCCATTTACGATGGTTGGTCGGCGAAATTGATGTGGGATACGGTTATCCAGCATTATCGCGGTGAAGCGCTGGACGTTGCCCCCCAGTTCCAAACCCTCGTTCAGAAGCTGCGAGCAACGCCCCGTGGGCCGTCCGAAGACTACTGGAGGCAGACGGCGATTGACAGACAAGGAATCCAGTTTCCCTCGGTTCCGGCGTTGCACAAGCCAGTCACCCGTTCGGTCACAAGCTTCAAATTCCCCCTAGCCACTGCTTCCGCCTCAACTCGCAACGTGACCTCAGCAACTGTGATCAACGCTGCTTGGGCGATCGTCAATGCGCAGTACTCAGCAGACTCAACAGCAACATATGGCTGCGTCCTATCTGGGAGAGACTTTCCTTTACCTGGCATCGAACAGCTTGTTGGACCTACAGTAGTGATTGTACCCAGGCAGTTCAGTGTGCGAGGAGACCAGTCCCTGTCAGACTTCCTCGACTACGTTCAGAGGGTTGCCGTTGACAGCATGCCCCATCAGAATCTAGGCCTTTCAGATATTCAGAACGTCAGCTCAGCTGCTGCAGAAGCCTATAACTTCACCTCTTACATGGTCGTGCAACCTGACGCAGCACTCCGATTGCCTTTCGAGGACATCAAAATCACACCGGTTCCTCTCGAGACAACAGAGGATACATATCCTCTGGTAGTTGAATTCGGCACTGGTGATGGAATGCTCTCAGTTGATGTAAAGTTCGACCCCGAGTGCATTGATTTGGACCTCATTAATAACGTCATGTATCACTTCGACCACGTTCTTCAAAGTATCTGCAACGCCAGCCCCGTAGCTGCCGTTGCCGATGTCATGAATATCTCAAAGAAAGATCTATCCCGTATTGAGAGTTGGAACAGCGGCAATTTGAATGTTGTCGAGTGTTGTGTGCAACATCTCATCGAGAAGAAGGTTCAAGAACAGCCGAACCATCCTGCTTTGGTCTCCCACGATGCATCGCTTTCTTACGCCGAGATGGATCGGTGGACAAACCAAATAGCCAAACAGATTATCGCCACAAACCTTATAAAACCCGGCGAATTTGTCGGGCTTTGCTTCGACAAGTCAGCAAGAGCGATACTCGCGATGATCGCCGTTCTCAAAGCCGGCGGCGCATTCTTGCCTCTCAATCCAAATCACCCTCCAGCACGTCTTCGGGCCCTTCTGAAAGAGGCAGATGTTAAGCTTGTGCTTGCTTCGCTGGACAGAGCCTCATCTTTGACAGAAGACCTGCACGATGAAGTTCTTCATATCTGCGATTTCCGGCCGTCCGAAGAGACCGAAGCCCCGCTGGATGTAGGGGTTACTCCTGCGCACGCGGCATACCTGCTCTTCACATCCGGCAGCACTGGTAAACCCAAGGGTGTCGTGATGGAACACCGCGCTTTCGCTTCTTCAATTGTAGCCCAGTCTAATCATTTCGATTTTGGGCCTAACACCCGGACCTTCCAGTTCTGCAGTTACACTTTCGACCTGATGCTCCTTGAAATCTTTGGCACACTAATATCGGGAGGCTGCGTCTGTACGCCATCGGAGTCAGAAAGAATGAACGATATCAGCGGGTACATCAGAAGAGAAAACGTCAACGCTATCCTTGCTACACCTTCAGTCATCAGACTTATTGATCCAGCCGAGGTCCCGAGACTTAGATTTATCTTGTGGGGAGGTGAGCAGCTAGCTCGGTCGGATGTTGAACCTTGGTTGAGCCGGCCTGGAGTATCTCTCGTCAATGCATACGGGCCGACAGAAACATGCATACTTAACACTGCTCGAAATATCACACCTGCATACAGCAGCTCCAACATTGGAACTTCGATGAATGCAGCTACGTGGGTGATCAGTCCATTTTCGCGTACCCTGGCTCCCATCGGAGCAGTAGGAGAGCTATGCATCGAGGGTCCAACTCTTGCCAGGGGTTACTTAGGAGACCCAGAGAGAACAGAAATGGTTTTTGAAAGAAATCCACCATGCTTCCCCAAAAAGCATGATCGGCGCATATATCACACTGGAGACTTAGCCCGATACAACGAAGACGGCAGCCTTACCCTGCTTGGTAGAACAGATGACCAGGTCAAATTCCAGGGTCACCGAATCGAAACTGGCGAAATTGAAGAGAACGTCAGAGAGATAATGTCAGATAACCCCCTTTTCAAGGACGTCGGGGTTGAGCTGTCTGACTCCCCTGAGCGTCGCAACCAACCATTCATAGCCGCACTTTTGGTCATGGCTATCCCTTATTCAGACCGAATTTCTGGGGTTGGCTGTGCGTCTATGATGAACCCCTCAAAGCCATCTTTGTTGAAAACCGCCAACTATCTGCAACAGCAGCTCCGAAATCGTCTGCCTGAGTACATGGTTCCTTCGGCTTACGTTGCTGTCGAGAATTTACCTATGACCAACTCTGGTAAACGCGATCGCCGCTTCATCAAGGCTTATCTCTCTGAGCTCTCTACCAAGAGTCTTCTGTTCCGCACGAACGCCAAGGATGGCGACAGTTTTAGACTCTCTGGGCGTGAGAAGCTGCTTCGAGATTGGTGGGCCGAGATTCTTAACATCGAAACCGAGAAAATTGCCGCCGATGATCATTTTTTCGCTTTGGGCGGCAACTCCATCAAAGCCATCAGACTCGCCGGCCTCGCCCGATCTTCGAAGCATCGTCTGATGTTCGAAGACATCTTCTCCTTTCCGATTCTTTCTGAAATGGCATCTCGTGTTACCGCAAGTAATGGTCTAGAAAAGCCGGTGCCACAGCCCTTCGGGCTACTATCCACAACGCAACTCGATGCGATTTTCGGGCATATTATCCCTCTTTACGGCATCAGCAAGGAAGAAGTCGAAGATATCTACCCCTGCACACCCCTGCAAGAGGGCCTCATGGCAGCGACAGCGCGGAATCCTGGTGCATACATATCACTAGAGACCACGGAGATCTCGGAAGTAGAGCTACCTCGACTGCAGCAAGCTTGGAGGGCAGCTTTCAAAAAGTTCGAGATACTCCGCACGAGAATTGTTCTTAGCCATGATTATGGTTCTTTGCAAGTTGTTGTTCGGCAAGAGCCGATCTGGCATGAGGCAACCGATGTCCAGGGCTTTCTTCACTTCGTCCAAAAGTCGTATGGTTATGGTAGGCCGATGGTTCATCACGCAGTCATACCGACTTCTAAGCCTGGAATTGTTAAGCTGGCCTTCAGTTCTCATCATTCCGTTTATGATGGCTGGTCCTTGGAGTTGGTTCATGAGTTCGTCGAGAAACAATTTACTCTGGATCCTGCCAGATCTGATACCTTTCAGACGGTACCATTCAAACTCTTCATCAGTCATTTAATTGACATAGATCTTGATGAGGCAAAGTCTTACTGGAGGAAAAAGATGGCTGGACTCGAAGCATCGCCTTTCCCTCGCCCACCACATGGTTCCACGCACAAGCCTCTGGCCACTGCAGTTCTCAGACAAACAATCCCGCTTCCCAGAACTCGGAAGCAAGGCTTCACTGGAACAATGGCCACGACTGTACGAGCTGCTTGGTCACTCACAATTTCTCATTACACCGCAAATTCAGACACGCTGTTTGGATCAGTGCTTACAGGAAGAGAGAACACGGATATCGTCGACATTGAAAAGGTCGCCGGCCCTACCATCGCAACTGTCCCAACACGCACCAACGTGGATTACGAGTCTACTGTCTCCAACTTTCTAGCGGAAATTCAAAGAAATTCTGTTACCGAGTCCCGCTTCTCCCAACTAGGTCTTCAAGGCATTGCCCGAATCAGTCCGGAATGTCATCAGAGTTGCCAGTTTGGCAGTCTGTTGGTCGTACAGCCTCCATCCGCCAGCGGAATTGGAAAGACACCCCATCTGACGCCGGTGTCTGTCGAATTACCACAGTTTTTCCCTCAAGCGTTGGTTCTCGAGTGCACACCGTCGGACAACAACGACAATGTGTCCGTGACGTTGAGTTACGACCCTAAGATGGTTGGAGACACCCATGTGGCATTCATTATCTCCACCTTCTCGACTCTTCTGTGCAACCTGTTTTCAGCTTCTCCTCACACTTTGCTTCGTGACTTGACGGGGCTTTCAAAAGATCACATCTCTGAGATCGGCAGCACAACGGGGAAGAAAAACCCGGAAACTATCGACTCCTGTATTCATGAACTGGTTGAGCGACAAGTGAAGTCCAGCCCGGCCAATATCGCAATCCACTCTTGGGATGGTTCCATGACCTATGCAGAGCTCGACGCTGCTTCTTCACTTTTAGCCCAGAAGCTTCAAAAAATCGATTTCGGACCAGAGAAAACCACACCGTTCATGTTCGATAAGTCCAAATGGGCAATCGTTTCGATGCTGGCAATTTGGAAAGCGGGCGGGTCCTTCGTGCCGCTCGATCCTAAGAGCCCAAATCAGAGACTACAGCACATCATCCAGGCTACTGGTGCGACTATTATCTTGACATCTAGTCCGTACTGCGATCGCTGCCGAGATTTAGAATGCACACCGGTTTTGGTGGATGATGATACGGTGTCAGCACTCTCCGAGGTCGCTGACACCATGCAGCCCACAGTCGGAACGCACAATCTAGCTTATATTCTCTTCACTTCGGGCACTACTGGAACTCCCAAGGGTGTAATGGTAGAGCACGGGTCTCTCTCGTCATCGATCACCGCTCTTGGAAAATGCATGGACTTGGACACTGAAACAAGATTCCTGCAATCTTGCGCCTTCACGTTCGACGTTATGCTGCTTGATACCTTCGCCGCTCTTGTTCATGGGGGCTGCGTATGTGTTCCCTCTGAACACCAAAAGATGAACGACTTGGTTGGGTTTATCCAAAGCTTCCAAGTCAACACAACCTGGTTCACTACTTCACTATCCAGAATCATCGATCCGGATTCCGTGCCCAGTCTCAAGGTGGTCATGATCGGCGGCGAAGCAGTTTTGCAGAGCGATGTGGATCGGTGGGCGCCAAAGGTTCGACTCATCGCCGGCTATGGCCCTACAGAAGCATGCATTGTCACTCTTGCCGGAGAACTGACGCCATCAACGCCTCCCAATACCATCGGTAGGCCAGTGGTATGCCGCGCCTGGGTGGTTAACCCGTTCAAGTCTTCAGAGTTAGCTCCAATTGGGGGTATAGGAGAGCTGTATGTTGACGGCCCTTGCGTGGCTAGGGGTTACCTTGGTAACGAGGAGGCGACTCGAGCAGCATTTCTCGAAGCCCCTTCATGGTTACCCCAAAGCTCTCCCGGTACCAAAGTCTACCGCACAGGAGACTTTGTCTACTACAATACCGATGGTACCCTGAGCTTCTTCGGTCGTAAAGACTCTCAAGTCAAGATTCGTGGACAGAGAGTCGAGCTTGCTGAAATCGAAGAGGCTATCCGACACAACATACCAAACTGGCTTACCGTGGCCGTGGATATCTTCAAGCCTGGAGGCGATGATAAACAGATTCTTGCAGCGGTGTTCGGAGTCGACGATATGTTCAAAGATGCCGCTAGCGATAGGCAACTCAGTTCAAACCTCGCCAACTTCATGAAGGAATTGTCTTACACTCTCCGACGTCGTCTGTCTAAGACTCTTCCGGGCCACATGATCCCCGATGCTTACGTCCCTCTCTCAAAGCTGCCGACACAGAACTCGGGCAAGCTTGATCGCGGGGCATTGCAAGCTGTGATCAGCTCAATGAGTTTCAAGTCAATTGCCACATATTCTGAAGCAGACAGCACTGTGCAGAAGCCACAAACCGAAAACGAAATTGTGCTTGCCCGTCACTGGTGCACCGTCTTGGGTATCTCGGACGAAAATTCTCTTAGCACATCGAACAACTTCTTCAGCCTCGGGGGCGACTCCATCCTGGCCATGCGTGTCGTAGCACTGCTGCGATCAGAGGGCTATTCTCTTGACGTTGGTCAAATGTTTTCTAGTCCCCAGCTCTCCGAAATGGCCTCAAAGATGCAGAAGACTGGAAATGGCAGCCAACAAGCAGTCTCGGAACCGCCGCAGCCAGCCATCTCGGCTGCCGACAGTGCTGTTCTCAGAACCAAGATCGCGAACAATCATAACACTCAGCTTGGCCGTATGGAGGACGCATATCCCTGCACTGATACGCAGGAATCCTTTATGGAAGACTCTATCCAAGTCCCGGGGGCTCATGTGGTGCAATGGATTTTCACCCTCGACGAGAAGATAAATCTGACGCGGTTGCATCATGCTATTGACCGCTGCGTCCTCGCATTCCCTATTCTTCGAACAAGAATTGTGCGAGAATCGACTCAACTCTATCAAGTCGTTTTCTCTGACAAGCTCATTTGGCAAGAGTTCTCAGAAACAAGTTTGGACAGCGTGCTCAAGAGCGACAAACTAATCCCGACCGGCCTTGGAGACGCCCTCACGAGGGTATCCATTGTTCACAAAACTGGGGATTCTGGTATCCATCTCATCTGGACATTACACCATGCCCTCTATGATGCGTGGACGCTGAGACTACTTCTGGACTCCGTGTGCAAGGCATATCGAGATGAGGCCTTGCATATTGTGGATCAGCTGCCCATGAGACGGCTGATTAAAGAAATCCAAAGAAGAGACGTCACTGCCGATCGTTCATTCTGGGCATCATATCTGGCTGGAGCAGGGAACTCTCCTCTATTTGGCTACCTGTTCGTACGCAATCCTATTAAGGACATGCGCGCGGATTACCAGCTTCCGCTGCCGCAAAAGGTCAAAGGGACGACTTTGGCAGCCACGATAGCTTCAGCATGGATCCGGGTGGTCGGCTCCCTGACTCGATCTCAAGATGTTACCATTGGATACGTTGTCAACGGTCGTGCCGCCTCCATCCCGGGTATCCAAAATTGTGTGGGTGCGGTTATCCACAAAGTCCCCATCCGGGTTCGGGTCGAAAGTGGGAACAGCACTGCCGATGTCTCGGAGAAGGTTCAGGACCAGTTTACACGACTCATGCCCTATGAGTTATCTGGGCTGGGGACTGTGAAGTCTGCCAGTCAAGACGCCTGCGACGCCTGCCGCTTCCCGCTCGAATTGACTATTCACCCACGTGGCACTCTTTTCTTCGCAAGCGAGGATATCGGCATGCGCTTTGAGGGGGTCGAGGTGTCTAAGCCCCCTCCCGGCGGCTTCTCTGTCGAGTGCAGTATTAAGGATGATTGCATTGGGATAGCTGCCTTCTGGGACAAGAGGGCTGCTCGGAAGGAGCAGATAGATGCTTTGTTGGAGGGTTTTAAAACGGTACTGATGGTTGCTTAGTCTCGGCGAGACTTTATTATTAGTGGTCCGTTTTCCGAAGTAAAGGGACTGTGATATGTTCGTTCATTGACTTTACATACGTGGACTTATAACTGTAAATTTGTGTTTTGTGAGTTAGCTGCTAAGTCATGATTGAACGTTAGACGCCGCGCATCCGGATACGAATCCGGATACGAAAATGTAACTGTTGCGATATCACCGACCGGCCCGCCCAACCGGTGGTGAAGTGGGGCCGCTCCGAGGGTGTGGCCCACCTCGGTTGCTCACCTTCACCATGGTGAGATCCACGGCAGTGGCCACTTTCTCCTTCTTCTTCTTCTTCAGCTAATCAATCAACAACTTCAGCAACCAATAGTCAATATACGCTATTGCTACTATTCGATCGATCGCCTGTGATACCAACAGTATTAACACACCCCTCTCACTGGCCGTACGAATGGCTTTCTGCCAGTCCTGCACAATGTCTTCTCCACATAACTGTCGACTTATTGTCTCGATTTCATCGTCTTGCTCATGTCTAATTGTACTCGAACTGTCTAACCAAGAATTACATGTTCTAGGTCGGCCGTACATTTGTAATTGAAGTACACAACTAGGGAATGAACTGTGGTGTCAGTGTCGTTGAAATGAACCGGTTATTCTAAGTTACTCGTTTACGTCCGCCCCGTACTGCAGCAACAATTTTAGAATCTCAACATTCTCCATGAAAACGGTCAAATGCACTAGCGTTCTGTTTTGTGTGTCCTTGATGTTCACACAGCGCTCCAAAAGCCCCTCAAAAGGCTGCTGTCGGCTTTTCTCTTCACACCACTTCAATAGGCCCCGTAGTTGTTCAATGTCGTCGCGGATGATTGCTCTGTGGAAAACGCTCATTCCCGACTCATCTAGTATCGTGATGTCGGCGCCGAGGTCCAGCAATGTGCGAGCCGCAGCAGTGTCACCTCTCTCAACAGCCAGATGGAGAGCGGTTTTACCTGATCGGCTTTTGGCGTCCACTTTGCATCCATTGTTGATGAGCATTCGCGCGATCTCAAGGTTGCCGCGCGTCACAGCGCTGAGCAGTGGTGTGCATGCTGGTGTGGCATTGTGTATGGAAACAGAGTCGCGGGCCCCTGCAATGAATGAGGACGGACCAAGCTCTTTTAATCTCGAGCCGCTGGCAACACTGCCAGACTTCGATGCTTCCGTCGACAGGCTAGGAGAATCGACAGAGTCCTGATAATCCAAAGTCAGTCGCTGAAGATCGTAAGGTTGGAAGGTATGTAGACCGCCTACGTTGACATCGTCGAGACATGTGAATACATCGCTCGGGCTGTCATGGCTATGCCTTTGACTGCCGGCGGGTGTCAAGCACTGCTCAATTTGTGACGATTTAGTTTGAGGCGAGGCATCTGCTGTTGGCAGTTGCATTCGTGTCTGATGTTGGGTCTCTGTTGGCGATGCTGCCAACATGGTTGTCTGGGTCGCTGTTGTCGGCGCATCGACCAAGTTTTGCGCGGTAGCAATGCAATCGAAATTTGTGGGAGAACTAGTTGAATCGAAATCCTCTAGACCTGGTACGCCGAATAAACTGGCGGTTGAGTCTGGTTGATACGATGTGTCGAAGAAGTCTGGCTTGCGAGATCGGGAGTTGCTGCCGCTAGCGCTACTCAACTCGTTCCACCTCTGCTGTGTGGCTGCTGACTTCAAGTGTGGAAGATCCAACAAAATCGCTTCCGCAAGCTCAATACGCATACGCTGCCGTGAGCCTATGGTGCTTTCTTATCAGTTCAGTTTGTTTGATTACACATTGATCAATCTTTCCAAGACAAGCCATATTCGACTTTATCTAGGTATAAGTAACTTCAGGCGGCTTTACTGCTGAAGATTAAACTTACGATAGTTCCTCTGCGCGATCCGATTTTGCGCCTTGCGACGTTCGCTTATGTCGGTGATATGCGACCATTCATCATCTTGTATAGCCATCGTTACTGTGTTGTAGACTGCTGGTGATTTGGAGGTGGCCCTGAAGGCGTGATGGGTACACTGATTGTATTATATTGCTACATCCTATAAGGAAGCAACAGGCTGTTTGTGTGCGTTAAGTCGATTCGTGGCCAACCAAGGCCCATTGGCGCGTACGCAATGCTGCTACCTAATGCTGACCATAGCACGTTCAAAAGTATTTTTTGTTTCAGCAGTGTGATGTTGCGTGGGTTCCCTGAACTTAGGGCAACCTTCTTATTTATTCCTAACTACATATCAAGGAACCGGGGTGTTCCAACACCATCAACACATTCTGACCCTTCATCTACTATGACCAAGGAAGAACACTCTGTTCACGCTATTATACTAGAACAAACGGTCTCTAGAGTGGCCTTATACTGCATAGGATTCCTGGGATTATTATGCGTAGAACATATCTTCCAGGTCGCTCTCTGTTCTCCAGGGTAGAGCAATCTAATTTCTTTACTATATGATTATAAAAACCATCTACACTGCCTTATTTCAGGTACTACAGGGTGTTGTAAGTAGTACTATCGTGAACTGAACTTTGTATCCACGAGAGCCCACAGTATAATCGTACCATGTTAGATAAAAATAGGGTGAACTAAAGAATGCAGTTCCACAATTATCCTTTTAGAGACGAAACTTGGCTGTCAATGTCATACAAACAGTTTTATTCTGTATAGTACTTTTGTGTGTCAGTTCGGTCCGAACGTACATTGGCCCCCCCTTGAAATAATCGGCGGTCGAGTATCCAGTCCATACTCAGTATCCCAGGTGTGCTGTATCATTGGGCGTTATATGGTCATGGCACAAGTTGCATTTTCATTATACCAACGTAAAAGTATACAAGAATTCGGAGATAACGTTTGACTGAGACAAATTCTCTCACGTCCACATGGGCTATTTAACTAGAGTTATATGACTGGTAGAAACAAGGGATAACTATTCCACACAGATTTGGTATTAATGCTGCTGAGTAACCCTATGATATCTCTACGAGAAAGTCATGGTGTGGGGTAAAGCCAACAGAGATAATTCATGTCGTCTATCCAATCATTTATATACATAGTATGTGAGCTCCAGTACCTCTAACTCTTATCCTTTTAGTGTTTGAGAAGGTTTAACGGTAAAGTTCAGTGGTACCCAGTCAGCAGTAGCAAGAGAAAAGAGTGGTACAACGTTCATCGATGCATACCTAGGTGCTATACTATACTGAGGTACTGGTACAAGGCGGTCCCTAGAAAGGTTGCACAAGTAAGTTTTACACGTTATCTACGCCATTGAATGCACTATTTTTTTTTATTTTTTTAGATTAAACCCATTAGGAGAAACCGCTCTTACACTGTGACTGCTTTTTGGTGAGACCATGGACGACAGAACGAGGCAGTCAAAGCCAGCCGGCCAGCGTTGGGTTCGTAGCATCTTGGCATCTCAAAAGACGTTCTGAACTTTTGAAGTTGACATCAAACTTTGATTGCCAGCTGCGAACTCAGAACAGGGTAGTTTGATGCCCGGATAGGACCCCCCATGGTGATATCCACTCAAGTATTGGCGTTTACTCTAGGAAGTTAAGGCCCCTCCCGGTCACTCAGTTCGTCGCATTCCCCACACGTGCTTCGGCTCCACTTGGGCCACGACTAATCTCGCTTAATTGCCTCCTCGACATGACTAAGGTAGGTAGTGTACGGATACGGAGTACTCCGTAGGTAGAGTAACCTGGATTAACTTCGGCGCGCTCGCGACTCGAGTCGCCTCGAATTTATTCCAACGGTCAGCATCAAACATCCTTCGTAGCAAATATGGCTGAGCATCCGGCTTTCACGTTGGCAGGCCTGTGTAAGTCTCAATGCCCCGAAACCGCCTATATTCCATCGTGTCCATGCTTACCTTTCGCCCGGTGCTTCGAATACAGTGGCTGGCGGCGGCACCTTCGGCTTCTACCGCACGCGTTCCAAGCCTTCGCTCATTGCGGGACTGACTCTCGGCTCCAGCTTTGCGTGCGCAGGTCCGGCTCTCCCGTCTCACGCTGCCGCGTAGCTCCACGCTGCGCCCGCCCAGAATCTCCCGCTGACTGACTCTTGTAGGATACCTTCTGAAGAAGAACAAGGACTACGGTGCCGAGCTGGCGTTGGGTAGCAGCGTCCTCCTGCTGGGAGCCGGCGCTCAGAGGATGATTGCAACGCAGGCCAAGTCACGCCCGGCCATCGGTCTTAGTGTCGCGGGCGCGCTGTCGACGTTCTATTACCAGAAGAAGTTCAGGGAGTTCCGCTTTGGTGTCTAAACCCCGCTCAACAGTGTTCCCTGCATCCCTATCACGCATGCAGCAATGTCGAACCGAAGAATTCCCCACCCCTCTCAACGATTGTAAACAGCCTCGTAGCAACAATAACACGTTTCCTCTTAAACAATAGCAAAAGTCTTTGATTCCGAACAGGGCCTCAGCAGACTGAGATCTCACGATACCTGTTTTTCTTTTGTTTTCAACCCATAGCAGTTACCATTCTCGTTCGGCTAGAAATGTTATATCACTCGTTTCCGTTTGAAAGAACCTCGTTATACGGCAAAGTGTTTGTACCCGTGGATGCAGCGATGCAAGTGTGGCGCAGAAAAGTTTTCATCGTGATGTGATGCCGATTACTACATGTTGGTTTGGGGTCGTACACTCGACAGGGTATCGAACGGGGGGGGGGCTTTTGGTTGGCCCGCTGCCAAAAAGGTATGTTTGTATGTAGCCCTAAGCCGTAGCTACATAGTTGGCCTGCAAACGGGATCCTCGCCTTGCATTTGAAAAAGACAATTACTTCGACTCTGCATCAAAAGGACGAGTGAGACTTGAACAGAACAGAACAGAATAGAGACTGGACTGGTCCTCAGTATACCTAATCGGCATCAGCAACCAATCTTGGCCTACTGAGCAATGTCAAGTTCCTTTCTCGACAAGCTTGTTGGTCCGAGCTCCTGCCACATCACATGCAGGCGCCAAGGGCCGCCGCCACCGCCCCAGGCTCCAGCCACACTCCTACGTCATACAGCCATCACTAGAGCATGCCAGGGAGCTTTAGCTACCTAGGTACGTACGGTAGCTCGCCTTCAGCAAGTACGGATACGCAAGTGTCAAATCACGATTATTGGCGCCGAATAAATAGGCAAGCGCCAGCCTTGAGCAAGCCACGCCGTAGTCCTCTCCTCAGCTCTTCCCCTCTTCTTCTCCATCATTCCATCTTGCAATTCTGCACGTCGTAAAACTCACATCCGTTTCACCTGGAAGAAGCCTCCACGAGTCACCTCCCACAATGTCTGACGAGCGAACGGTCTCTGAGGGGCAGTCCTCCCGGTCCGGAGCCAGAAATAGGGTCGTCGATTCCGTCCACGCCAAGGCTCAGGAAGTCCTGTACGTGCCCGCCATGCTGCTGCCCTTTTGCGATTTGAGCTGACCGCGGTGCAACAGGGCGGAGGACTACGATAAAGCGAGAGTCCTGGTCACCGATGCTGCAAAGAGCAAGGCCTACCTGTACCCAATCAAGGGTATCGTCTATTTCGCAACCCACCGGACACTCTGGAAGCCCCTTCTTTCGCGCATCGGGTCCTACCTGCTGCTGTCAGCTGGTGTCGTCACCGGCATGTTCGTCTTCACCTACGTCCCACAGCTTGCCATCCTAGTCTTCGTCAATGGCCCGCTAGCCGTCTTCACCACCGTTCTGTTGATTCTGAGCGAGAGTTCCGCCATCATCAACTTCATATCCAGATCCTATTTACTCCAAGAAGCCATTCTGGACACCTTTGACGGCACTCTCCTTCTCAGAGGCGAGGATGGCATTGTCAGGGAAGGTAGGCAGGTTGGCTCAGGATCTGACCCCATGCAGAAGCTAGGCAAGGTCCTCAAGAACCCCTTCGAGAAATACAGCCCCAAGGCTCTGATTCGATACCTTATCTATCTTCCCTTGAACTTTATTCCCGTCGTGGGAACCGTAATCTTCATCGCCCTGCAGGGTAAGTTACGCAAGATGCGCGCGCTATATTAGTCGATACTAATGTTGTAACAGCTCGCAGTCGAGGCCAAGCCGTTCACGGACGCGTATGTTTCCTGTTCTCAAATGACATACTAATATCCGTCTCACCATCAATCTAGTATTTTCAACTGAAGAACTGGTCATCCTCAAGAAGAAAGGACTGGCTCCAGAAGCACTCTGGACCCTACACAGCGTACGTTAAGATCCATCCCTCCGTTTGTTCTAAGCCTGCAACTGACTCTTATCATAGGTTCGGTCTGGTCGCGACTGCTCTCGAGATGGTTCCTTTTGCCAGCGTTATCTTTACCTTCACAAACGCTGGTACGTATGGCATGTTTCAAACTCAAAACAACAACAACTAACGTCTTTCCGCAGTTGGTGCTGCCTTGTGGGCTGCTGACATCGAGGACAAAGACACGTCCATGACTGACGGAACAGCCCCGACGCTACGTGAGACGGCTAAGAAAGCCGAATAAACGACGGCGCACAACAGCGTGGAGCCGAGTCAACCCGCCTCCAGACCGAGCCATTTGGCATTGGGACGTACCGACACCTCTTCTTATCGGAAGCCGGTGGCACTACACCCTGACAGCGGCAATGGGTCTGTGTCATGTTGCCGCGGAATTGAATGAACAAGAGACGAAGGCTGCTCGATAATTGTAGGACCTTGTGAATGGTATGGCCATTCACGATGTGGATCGAAATTTTGTGACTGGATGAGGGTCTTGGGGGGTGGGGGGGAGGGGGGGGGGTTATAGGGGAGGAATTCCTTTTCACAGCAGTTACATGATAATTCCATATTGTAACTCTATCATTACTAGCCAAAGATAATTAGACATTTATTACCTTTGAAGCACTGAGTTTGACCGTCGCGTCTTGCCTCAATGCCGGCGGTGACATCGCCTTGTCTGCTGTGCTTCATGCTGGGCCAGTTAAGCAGTCAACGTTCCGTCGTTGGGAGATGCTTGCTAATCCACGTAGGCACCAGAGCTGACGCGTGCTGTATCAAAGCAGTTAGTGTGGTTATCCGAGCGAGGTTCATTCATCTACACCTGACACGGCTCAGGGCGTGGGACAAGACAAATGGAATCCATCAACGAGCATGTCACAGTACTGTGCGACGTACATTCCAGGAACAGGCAATCTTGTTTCGAGGCACACGGGTATCTGCATGGTGTCCTATTAAGGGTCACTCGACGTCGACATATGATTCCGGGAGGCCCTTCTGGTGACGACGCTCCAAAGGCTCGAGGCAAGCCCTTGATGTATTAGTCGGAAAGTTCAACCGAATCGTTTGGCAGCTGCGCTGGATAGCTCTTCTGTTCACAATGTACTTCCGCAAGTGCTACTCTGTGGAATAACGTCCCGTTCTGTGCCTGTAAGCGTGTTACGTTGTGGATGGTGATTTCTGAGCAAACGTCACGATGCGTCCTACCTGTGACTACTGATGGAAAACCTCGCTCAGGGACATGTTGGGCGAGCACGACGCTGCGATATCTCTGTCGCACAGCAGAACCTGTTGTGACTGATGGCCTACATCGACTTCAAGACGTCCCATAAGTTCATGGCCTTTGATTCCTTTCCGAATCTTTTGGCCTCAGACCCAACATCGTGTTCCGCGCGTCTTGACCACGATCGGCGGGTCTCACAATCCCCAGCGAATAGCAGGGGGATCCTACTACAGGAGAAGAGACGATCCGCGAAAGACGGTTCGACTGTCATGCCCGTTGAAGAGCCGGCTGCTGCCGTAGAGATTTACGACCACCGCCATCGGCATCAAATACTTGGTCCCAAGACGCACACTGACTGGCCCAGCTTGCGTCTGCCTCTCATCTACCTAAGCAAACTCGGTACTTCCTGAACGCTGCGACTTACAGCTGGAAAAATTGGTACTTGGAAAGTCGGGACAGTTGTTCTTGTCAGGGGAGGAGCCACCTCAGATGTGATACCAAACCGGAAATCGGTGGGTAGGAACGAGAGCACGGCGTCTCTTCAGGAAGGAAATGAAGGAAGGAGCCATCAAAGGCACTTTCCTGCATTCCTGCCTTTACACGGATGTCAATTGAGCGAGCGCTACTTTCTATATCTGCTCCTTCCTCTTGCCCCCAACCTTTACGCACAAAATTTTCATTCTCCTCTCCCACTTCCGTCTACCTTTTTTTCCTTCCCCCTTCTCTTCACCATTCTTCTGTTCGTTTTCTCTTTAAACTCCCCTTCGATCATTTGATCTCGCGTGTTCAGGTCCACTTTCGTTTTATCTTTGAAGCAAAGACATCGATTCATTCAATTCGGAGTCCCCGTCATAACCTTTACGACGATCTTCTTCTCCAAACGCAGTAACCATTGAGTCGACAAATAGTCCAAGGCCGCCTGTTCACCGACTTTTCGTGTCACGTAGACTAGTGTTCTTTTATTAGACCTTCCCTGGATCAAGCTTGCGGGGATGCGGATCTCCACTCTCGCCGTCACCGCCGTGTCGGTCGTCGCGCTGTTGTCGACCAACAAGGCTGTTGCAGCTGATGGAAAAGCTGGAAAGCCTGGAAGGCAAGATGGAATTCAGCGCATCTCTGCTTCTATCAAGGTCGGGCATGACGCGAGAAGCCCACAGGACTCTGACGGCTTCGTCAGCTACGACTATGGGTACTCGTATCCTGCCCCACCTCCCCCGACCACCTATGCCAAGTTGTCGTCGTCTTCAACATGGACTTCTCTTGCCTCCAGCAGCAATGGTGAGTCGGTCCGTCCCTTGAGTGATCCGCCTGAACTAATAGCATGCAGTATCTTACACTGAAACCACCTCGGTTACTAGCGTCATCGGCACTTCTAGTGTCTCTGATTCCGCCTCATTCAGTTCAGTCGTCTCTATCAGCGCAACTGCGACTCTTCGTGACAGTGTTTCCACCTCTCTGCCTACCTCAGTCATTGCAACCCTTTCAGCTTCCACTACCATTTCGGAAAGCCTCAGCTACATGACTTCCTTCAAAACAGGCTCGTCTACATCCAGTTTGGATGATGAATCGGGCACCCTTGCTTCCGTGACTGATACGGACGTCCCCTATACCCCATCGACAGGATCATCAGACAGTACCATCTGGTCACATTCAACTACTTCGATTTCTTCTATGCTACCGTCTTTCACACTTTCCGATTCCACTGCTATCTTTTCGTCAGCCATGACCTTCTCGAAACCAGACTCGGCCTCAACCAGTAATCCTGCAACATTGACGCAACCCGTGGAAACCCCATGGCCAACGTGGAACTCAACCATGCTGACCGCGCCAATTCAATCCACCCAGACGACTTCTGGCACGTTGTCGGGCACAACAGAAACATCAGCGACGTTGAGTAGTTTCACCGGATCACTAAATCAATCAACTCGAGTCATCACCGCGTTTAATACCACTTCCACTGTTACGGGAACCGCAACTGTTGCCCCAAGTAGGAATATGACGCTGACTTTGTCCTCAATCGGCCTGTCATTTCCAGCACCGGAACCATCCAGCTCTCCTGAGTCAAGCGACAGTACTGTAACGTTAACCACAAACACAGACTCAGCAACATTTGTGATTACAACAGTCATGTCATCCATATGGATGAGTGTCACGGCAACTGACAGTCGGACGACAACCGCCACTGATGTAACCGTCACTACACTCACAGAATCGCAGGCTACAAACGTTTCAAGCACGCAGCGAGCGTTCACGAACTCATCTACCACGGCGCAGTCTTCACAAAGCGCATCGACATGGAGCAGCATTACAAACGCTACGTCTATACCCTCTGAGGTTTCAGACCATCCAATGCCATCCCCAACTAACGGCACTGTCAATGCAACTGCGCCAAGTAGTCTTCCGACCAGTTTCCCTACCCTCCCCGTGAATTCCACCACAAGTCTAACGGCGACCTGGAATACGTCAGGCGTACCATCTTTCACTTTGACAAGTATTTCAGTGTCTTTCATAACGTCTTTACCAATGGTCTCGTCTTCCCAGACGACTGTGCTGTTTCCGTTGCCCAACGCAACTGTCATTGTTACGCATGAGGGGACAATATTTATATCGACGATATTCGGCACAAGACCTGCCACCTCATCTCTGACCAAAACAGCGAGTTCGCCACGGCCAACGTCAAATACAACTACCAGTGTCACATCGAGCGCATATTTCTCAACCATCTTAGGAACAGGAGGCACAATATCCTGGCCCGCTCCAAATTCAACCAGTTACAACCTGACGGTAACCAGAATCTCAAGCCCCATTACGGTTACTAGTTCTTCCTTGCCAAGTACTTCGTTTCCTACCTTCTTGCTGAGTACTGGAAATACAACCAGTACACTCACTGCCCCCGGGTCACCCGATCCCTCAACGTCGGACTCCATCATCTCAGGTACAGGACCCATCATTCAAACGAGCATTGCCGTTACTTCTGTGCCTCCTTTTCCTGTCAACTTCACCTTGTGGCCCTCCGGAACCGTTGGTTCCGTTAGCGAGGCGCCAACCATGACGGGGCCTTCTTCCTCGGCAGTCAACACCTCTAGCGGCGCAGTCGCTTATCCTACCTCAACCGTCACTTCCTTGATTGGGCGTCCAGCTCCCCCTATCGTCAGCAGCGCGAGTCTCACAGCTCCCTGGAATTCAACTCTGACAAGAATATCTACAAGCAATGTTTCGGGTTCGTTGACAGGGAGCACAGTAGCTGTTACATCAACATGGAACAACACTTTGAGTCCATCTCTCACAAGCACTTTCGTCGCCTGGCCTACTTCTCCACCGACGTCCAACTCAGCATGGACTACAAGTACCAATGCTATTTGGACGGTCACCAGTCACGAAAGTGACCCATCAACTTCGGTAAGGGTGTCCACCGTAACGCGAAGTTTCGCCAGTGTTCCCCCTTGGCTGGTCTTCAACTCCACGACCTTAGTTTGGGCAACAGGCACCATATCAGCTCCCTTTTCGACAGGTACTGTCACCTCAGGTTCTCACTCTTCGATGTCCAGCTCTAATCTACCGCCTTGGGCTACACCTAACTCTACAGTAGCCTCCATTACCGGAACCGTTTCAATTCCTGTGCTCACCTCATCCGCGGTCACTGCCACAGTGTTCAGCAGTTCCCTTATGGCTTCATTCCCCTGGAACAATGCGACCTTCTCCCATCCGCTGACTGGTACGTTGACCGCGTCTCTTATCACCGTGAGTGGAGGTGCAACGATTACCCTGTGGCCACCGAACTCTACCTGGACATCACAGATAAACACCACTGTAAGGCCGCCATCGAGTACCCACAGCCCGGTTCTGCAGACAACTGAAGTTAGTACTTGGTCCCTGACGTCCACCGGACGTTCCGTGACCATGGTGCCACCTTTCCCTACTGGGAATTCGACCCTGATATCTGGTCCTACAGGGGTCGGAACTTCGAGTATACTCCTCTCCACTGGTGTCACGACAGTGAGCACTGATATGACCTTCACATCAACCGACTCGCCTCCTTTAATAACCGCGAACTCAACATCGTCTCCTGTAGCAACTCGTAATGCGACTGTCACCGTCTCCGGTAGCGGCATTACCCTGATCTCGACATTGACGGGTTTGCCCGCCACGTTGACTGGTAGCGTCACTAGTACACCTGTTCCACCTACGTTACCACCGTATCCAACTACGAACTCCACCGTGTTATCTGGTCCAACAGCAGGTGGCACCGAGGTATCAAACACTTCTTCGGGAACCTTGTTCCAAACCAGTGAGCCTGCAGAAACCTCGAGCGGTTCTTTTGTAACACCAGCACCCCCATTTCCAACAGGGAATGGCACTGTGATCCCAGGTCCGACTGGCAATGTTACAATTACTTGGATTTCCGGGACCATATCAGGTCCTCTTATCTCTACTTTGACATCAACCAGAGCTAACGGTAGCGTCACCGAGATCCTGACAAGCGTCTCCTCTTCGGGCATCTCGGGATCGGTGTCGAGCTCTCCCTTCTCATCGGCTCCATTCCTCAATTCGACCCCCATCTCCGGCGCAGTGCCGACAACTCATCTCACCTGGAGCATATCAGGAACCGCATTCTCTTCTTTGTCTATATTGCCTGTACCTACGCCTTTACCTTCCAACTCATCTGTGGCTGCTGAGCCATCTTCTATAACCACACCATTGTCCACTTCCTTGAGAACGTCTATTTCTACATCCGTATTTTCCTCATCCAGCAGCGGATCGCGTACATCGCCATTTCCGTCAATCACCGTCTCAGGCGAACCAGCCATTACCAATTCTACGAGCTTTCCAACTGAAACCTCCACGTCCTGTCACACCGTCACAGTCACCAACGGCACTGTCACTCAAATTGTCACTCAAAGTGTTCTTGTCACTACTGCCAGCGCAAGCGCCAATCCCACAGTGGCTTACCCCCCATTTTCTAAAAACACTACAGTTGCATTGTCCAGAACTTTGTGCACATCAAGGTGGCAGAACCTCACTTCGACTACCTCGGCAGCTGGGCTCACAAGCACGTGGACCTCTCTGGTCTTGACCAACCGTAAGTCAATTGTTCGTCTTTTTTGACCACCATCCTCAGTACTCACAGGAACATCTCCCTCTCTTGACCGTGCCACCACTTTCATCACATCGACGACGAGGTGGTCGGGTGACCCTAGCGGAGGGGACGACGGGTCTACGTCCGAGAGCAACTTTGTCTTCGGCACACCCACCACCACCATCACCGACGCCCCGCTGCCGTCCAACACCGCCTACCCCTGGGGAGGCCTTGGCCCAATATTCCGCCCACACGAGAAGCCTGAGCCAAAGACAGGCGGCGTGAATCTCTCGAAGCTCAAGGACCGGAAGGCCCATGCAGCCTGACCTTCCTGGCGTCCAGAAGGGGAGGAAAACGCAGCGGCAGCGTCCCTGATGACACGTCCGGAGATGCCTTTGCTAATTACAACGCACCTTGCTTTTCTTTTTAGGGAACCACCTATCCCACAACTCAGGAACGGCGATTTCTGAAACTTTCCCTCATGTCTGTTTTCTCACCTGGACCATGTCTGTTTGAGTGGGATGCATTGGCGGACGCGCCTCAATACCATGGCCCACCGCGGTTCGCCGGGGAAAGGTGTGTGAATGTTTTCGCTAGCCATTAAAGTAGCGAACATGGAAGCGGATCTCTTCATGAATTATGGGAGTCATGGTGCGCTGCGTGATTTGCGATAATGATCATACGCCACACACACACACACACACACACACACACACACACACACACACAAACACATACACTGTATGTCTAGCTGTGGTCCCTCCGGCGTGGTGATGATGTTGTTTTGTCATGCATGTAAGTCGTGTCACAGCCTCCCCGCCACGCTGAGCGGGATTTCCTGTGGCAGTCGTCAGTTATGTATCAAAGCCTTTTCTGAACCTGAGTCGAGGTTTCGCGGCTCTTGACGGCGGGTTCTTTCTACATGCATGCAGTGTTGGCGGTGGCCAACGGCCCATCAATGGTCACATGATACATTTTCTTTTATTTTTGTCTAACCCCTTCTACCCTCCACCCGGTCCATAATATAGCCCATGCAGCCCTTGTTTACATGACAAATCAAGCCCCATGGTTGTTGTCTCTGACCGAAACGCCCGGAAGAAGATGTTGTGCCACCAACACATACCTTTTATCCGCCCATGCCCCGACTCATCTAATGGATATCTGGTGGCATATCGACATGGACTTGGCCATCTTGGTCATCTTGGGCCGTCTCTTCCGGCTTCCTCCCATAAATGACGTATCTGTGTGATGGAGTGAGCGTCATGCCACAGCACCTCCTCGCCTTCGAGATCAAACTTACATGGGAGCGTAAGCATGTGCACCGTGGCTTTTCAGCGCCTTCCTCACTTCGGAGCAGAACAGGAGCGTCTCCTGTCTGGTCCACCCCAGGTTTCTCGTAGTCAAACCAAGCGTGAGTCCCTCCAGGCCGTGGTCCAGATTGTGCTGCGTCAGAACCCCTAGGGTCTTATAATGGGGGTCGCGAGGCCAGCCGTTGACGGGCCACTTGTACTGCGTCTCCACCACGTCGACGAAACCAGCATTGCGCATGAGGGTAGCGTAGGTCCAGGCCAGGTCCATGCGGCGTCCCGACACTTTCCCTGCCGTAGTGAAAACGTCGGACAGTCTCTTGATCGGGTTGTCATTAGTCAAAGTGCCATCGTCGCAGCGGTAGGGTAGGCACATGTCCTGCATCTCAAGATAGCCGCCCGGTTCGAGGTTACTGGCAGCACAAGTCAGCCAGGCAGCAAAGGAAGGACGTGGGGAGGAAAGGAGTTTCGTACTCGAAGGCCTTGTTCACAAAGTCTTGATAGTCGCAGAGACTTCCGACTAGCATTCGAGCAAAGATGAAATCGAATCGCTGGGGCCATGTCCATTCCATCTCGAGATCGTCCATTTCCCAGCTCAGGTTTGGGGGTATCCTTTGTAATCCGAGTTAGCAACGGGGCTGGCATCATGCGCTAGGAGGATGCCACCATTTCGGTTGTATGCTGCTCAGGTCAACGCCGGTGACCTGTCCGCAAAGGTGTCAGTGGGTGCTGATGAGCGGAGATGCTGTGACAACCTTGGCTTCGGGGTGTGCGTCCGCTACGACGACTGTCAATCAGTATGCCTCGAGAAGTTGTCGTGACACTCACCATAGTCAATCGCCCAGAGTCCGGTGCCGGTGCCAGCGTCGAGCACGTTCTTGGCCCTACCATAGTTCTTCGGGCACAGGCAGAGCTTGTGATTCAGGGTGACGTCCCAGATCTGGTGCTGAAGCGCTGTTGCCATATGCCAAGACGGTCAGTCCCGGCTCTGCAAGCACCCGCGGTTGGACCACTCACCGAGGCGCTCCTGTTCAATAGTGTCGTTGGGAAATGGGTACTCTGCCCATGCTCGTTAGCTGGGATTTACAGCAAGGGGGTGTGGGGAGGAGTTTTGCGACTCACTCCCGGGGCTCATGGAATGGTAAGTCCTGCCATTTTCCTCCTCAAAGGTCACGACGCTTGGCGTAGGCGAATCGGTGCTAATGTTGGCGACCTGCGAGCCCGAATGGTCAATGTTGGTGTTACACCCGGACGACATGGCCGACATGAAACACTGACGCGCAAGTGCGAGTTGGCCCGTTGGTTGGGAGGCTAACTTACCGCCGAGATTGCAGAGTCGGAATCAAAAGTGTCGGGCTCCTGATGGCCGTCAGCTGAGGGAGAGCAAAAAAGCAGCGCGACGAGAGCTCGGCCAACAGAACATACCAAGGGTGGGGCAGCAGCAGCAGCAGCCATCTCTTCGTGCTGGGTTTGGTTGCAAACGTCGAGATGCAACATGGATGAAGTGGAAGGTGGGAGAAGGTTGCAACAGGTAGTTCGGTAGTTAGGTAGGTAGGCAGGTAGGTAGGTAGGTAAGGTAGCCCAGCCCCACACAGAGGTGGGCAGGTCGAGGGAAACGGAAACAGGCGGCGGGTAGGGCAAGGGATGGGATGCAACGGCAACAAGATGGCAGGAAGGAGGAGAGAGAGCTTAATCAATCCAATGAAGGGTACACTACATGCTTGGACACCTGCGGCAGCATATCAAATCGTCAACTTCGGCATGAAGTAGAAAATCTCCGAAGGCGGGAACTCCCTGCGTGTCTTCCTGGCCGCTGCGGCAGGTGCCCGACGACGAGGAGACTCGGGTCCGCGAACCTTAGCACGCACGCTGGAGGGCAGTCATATGCAGGGTCCCGGTGCCTGGTGTTATCGGTGGTACGAATCATATCATTAGGTTGTCAAAGTCCCGTGCTTTGCCGCGGGTGCCTTTGCAGCCCGTCCGTGCTGTGTGGGAGATCTCCCTCTTGTTGCTTCTCCATGACTCGGATGGTGGACAACTTAGTTAATCTACCTGCCGCGGCAGTCATTCCGACGGAGCATGCTTGTATGATCAGAACGTGCCACACGGTCCACACGGTATTCGTTCGCCGTCTGTCTGTTTGTCTGTCTGTCTGTCTATCCGTCCTGTGAGTCGTTTATGCTGTGCTTCCACCACGATCCAGTCACTCTTGCGAGCCTCGGACTTCCAAGCCGGCTGGCTGTTCACGAGCGGTTCAATGCGGATGCGGCGGATGCGGCGGATCCTCCCGTCGTGCCAAGTGGGCCCTCACCACGGAGACGGGGCCGAATCCAGTTTGGTTATCTTTCCTGTTGATTGACAGATGATGCAGTGATGTATATATGGCTAGAGGGTCAGAAATGAGTCGATCCATCAAGTCCTCGTCATGGGTTCGGAACAACGCACTGGCCGCGATTGCGATCCACGTCCCGGCCTCGTCCCTCGAGGAGGTCCGTGGAACTAGATATAATCTGTCCGGCAGCAAGCCCTGCCCGCGGGGGTGCAAGTGTCGTCCGTTTTGATAGGTCACAGCGCTGACCAGACCGGACCCAACTCCGGAAGACTGCTGACAAGCAGCAGACGACAAACAAGTAAGAAATCAAAAAAGAGAAGAAGAAAAAACGACTCCCTCGTCCTCGCAAGTCCCCAGCAGACGCTCGGACCACGATCTTCACCTCCTCCAACTACCGAGTTACTTGCCTGTGTAGGTAGGGTACCTAGGTAGGCAGGTGCATTACAAGCCTAGGGTATATGTTTCCGCGGGGCTACGCTAAAAACCCCACAGCCCGAGCCCCGCTGTGACACAAGAGGGGAGGGAGGGTTGAGGGGTAGCCAAACGAGGCGGCGTCGGTTCCAATGCCCTGTGGTAACGTGGTGCCCGAACAGAGCTTGCTAGCTTACGTACCACGTCGCCGTTGTAATTCATGGGGATTTAAGAGGCCCGTCCCGTAAGTCCGCAGCTCGCCTGGGACGAGAAGCAGGCACCTCTGCGGCCAGGGTATCTTTTGTTCGGCCGTAGTACGCCCTCCTGGCCCGAGTGACACCAACAAAAACCCACTTGGAGACCGGTGATTACAGAGCATTACATAAGAGGGCCTGGCCCCCTTGGAGAGGAAACGCCTAGCAGTGACACCTCGAGCCCTGTTCACAAAGCAGACGAGTCCGGGACCGTTCTTGTCGAGCGAATCAAACAAGCAAGTCCGACTCGGAATCGGAAACATCAGCAAACATGGCGGCCGCCAACACCCCGGAACTCCTGGATCTCACAATCGACAACATCACGCCCAACACGGTCCGCATCAACTCGCAGAGCGACAATGCGCGCCTCAAGTACCTCATGGAGCGGCTGGTCACGCACCTACACGACTTCGCGAGGGAGACGCGGCTGAGCACCGACGAGTGGATGGCGGCCCTCAACTTCCTCGTCGGCTGCGGGCAGATCAGCAGCGACGTGCGCCATGTAAGTCCCACGACAAAAGGCACAATCCGTCGCCATGTGATCCTCCGACACAGACGTACAAGACGCTGACTTTTGCCCGACCAGGAATTCATCCTCCTCTCCGATATCCTTGGCCTGTCGTTGCTGGTCGACAGCATCAACCACCCGAAGCCGCCCGACTCGACCGAGGGCTCGGTCCTGGGCCCCTTCCACACGCACGACGCGCCGACGCTGCCCAACGGGGCGAACATGTCAGGAGACCCCGAGGGCGAGCCGCTGCTCGTGGTTTGCACCATCAAGGACCGGCAGGGCAACCCCGTCCCCGGCGTCAAGATTGACATCTGGGAGACGGACAGCAGCGGGCACTACGACGTGCAGCACGAGGGGAGGACGGACGCGAGCGAGCGTTGCGTCATGATCTCGGACGACGACGGCCGGTTCTTCTTCCAGGGAATCAAGCCCGTGAGCTACCCAATCCCGCACGACGGGCCGGTCGGGAAGCTCTTGAAGCTGCTGGGCCGTCACTGCTGGCGGCCGGCGCACCTGCACTTCATGTTCGAAAAGGAGGGCTGGGACCACTTGATCACGTATGTTTCCTCGGGTGGAACAGGACAGCGGACCTACGGCTAATGACTTGAATTAGGGCACTCTACATCCGGGGAGACCCGTACGAGAAATCGGATGCTGTGTTCGGTGTCAAGAAGAGCCTCGTGGTGGACCTGGACAAGGTGGACAAGGCGACGGCGGAGGAGTACAAGGTCAAGGAGGGCAGTTGGCTGCTGAAGCAGGACTTTGTGCTGGTATCGCAGAAGGAGACGGAGGAGCTGCGTGACCGGAACGCCGTCGAGGCGCTAAAGAAGCTGGGACTGACGCATCTGAAGCTCGTGGACCACTTGCCCGTGCCTGAGCTGGACTGATGTGTAGTGTATGTCGAGCAACGAAATCAAAGCATCTCATAGACAGCAATGCAAGAAAATTGAGGAATACAGAGCGGGCTACGGGACCTGATCGAGGCGCACGAGCGCCCGCTGTTGGCGGGGAACAAGGACAGGCCAGCCAACTCGGGTGGCGCGTCGTGGAGACGCATCCGGGGAAAGCCGCAGGGCTATCGAAGCCTGGGTAAGGAATCGGGCGGGGCAGCTTCGACCGGCTGGCGACAGGTGGCGACTAGTTGATCGCCCGAGGATGCGGGCGGGAGGGATGTCTTGTGCCGATACTTGATACGATGCGTCAATTTGCCGGGTGTGATTCCTGTCAGATGATGGATTGGTCATGTCTCAGCCCAAAGGTGGCCGGAGGTGATGGGGCGCTCTGATAGAGGCGGTACCTAAGGAGCGGGTAGCGCGGGATGCCGAGATACGAAATAGTTTATGAATCATATTGATTTTTCTGGGTTTGATTTTCTTGTCTTGTGCAACTAGATGCAACCGAACCGCAAGGAGGTAGCCGCAGGTAATGTCCGCCATGGGTTTGTGATGGAATCGACGGCTTGAGGGACAAGTCCAGCCACAAGTAGGGGGGAGCCGTGCTGATGTGACTCCTAGATACCGTAGATAAGGGGCGTGTGCGTCCTTGGGTACAGGTATGTGGTGCATAGGCGAACCGTGACTCCAAATGAGTTGGGTGGCCTGTACGAACTTACGAACTGTACGAAGGCTGCGAAAAGGAAAGGGGAAGACTGAAACTTTCCGAGGCCACGAGTGAAGAGGGAAGGTGGCAGTGGCTAGCGCGGGTTCCCTCTCTCCAATAAACCAGCCATCGATGACAACGAGCAACCGAAACTGAGTTCCTATTGCGTCTCGTCTCGTGCAGCTAATACCTAGTCATGACGGCCAGGCCGGCACTGGCCGCCGTGGTAAGTCGAGTGTGGCAGTGATGGCAGTGGCGGCAGTGGCGGCAGAGAAAGCCGGCCAGCACCTTAGTCAGCATTCGGTCGTTCCATGCCCACTGGCCTTGGAGGTACCTAGGTACATCATGTGCCTAAGTGCCTGCTGGGTAGGTGGATAGCTAGGTAGGTACGGATACTAACTGAGATCTTTTACCCGTATCTTTCCACCCTGTAAGTACCGTGGTACGGATACGGTCAGAGAGGGGCCAGCAAGAGTCCGCGCCCACGCTCGTGCTCTGCCCCTCGTGCCTTTGTCCCCCCCAAGCTGAGCCCGACCGAGTCCATCACCTCTCCCAACCGCAGACCCAACCCACCCCCCATAAATCTTCCGACGTACACTACAAAACCAGTCCGGCAGCCCTTTCGTCAACTTCGACACTTCGCCACCACCCCTTCCTATATCAACACCAGAACCACCCTTCGGCTCTTTCAGCAGACGCATCCGCATTACCCCCTCACCTTCTTCGTACATCCGCTTCAGATCCCAACAAACGCCCGTCACAGCGAGACCGCTCTTGCAAGCCGTCCGTCGCTGACCCTCCGGCCCCCCATCACCAAACCCATTTCCCAACGTCACCCCCGAACAGACGAGTTTATGTCAATTGAAAATCTCAAGTCCTACGGTACGTCCAACTCCGTCTGCCTTCCCCGCTCGTCCTGGGAAGACGCCGACGTCCTGTCCCTTTGATGTTGGGCTATTTATTTGCTTGCTCGGAGACTGGGACACGTCGCCTCCCACCCCTGACCGCCACATCGCGAATATGCTGAATGCTGATCATCCTTGGACCCACAGACCCCTTCGCCGAAGCCGACGAAGATACTGGAGAGACCAAACAGTCTCAAAACTACATCCATATACGGATCCAACGTTCGTCACCGCCTCCCCCCTTTTCCACCACTGCCCCCAAACCAGGCAAATGCCGCACGAGCCGGCTCGAACCGTGCGCCGTGCGCGTAGTCCCAACAACGCATCAGTACAAACGCTAACACCTCTGTTCTTACTTGCAGAGCGCAATGGCCGAAAGACTCTGACTACTGTTCAGGGTCTTCCAAAGAAATTTGACCAGAAGAAAATCCTCAAGGTCATTAAGAAGCAGTTCGGTACGGCCTGAGCCCGCTCCCAACCTTCATGACGGTCTGATGGCTAACATCATCTTCTAGCTTGCAATGGCACCATCGTAGCTGACAGCGAGATGGGCGAGGTCATCCAGCTCCAGGGTGACCAGCGCAAGGTGGTGCAAGAGTTCCTCGTCAATAAGAAGGAGGGTCTCGGGCTGGATACCAAGGGCATCAAGGTCCACGGTTTCTAAGCCCGCCGCAGGTCGCCGCCGTTCCTACCGACCGCAGCCACCCCGGCTGCGGTTGACGTCCGGGCTTAGGATGGAGAGGGCATAAGCAGCCTGCTCCTCCCGCGCCGCTCAGTGCCGGCGCCCGATTAGACGTAGTAGGACGGTATACCTCCTACCGACGGAAGAGATTACCGGTCGGAGGTTTAGGGCGACTTGCGTCAGCTTCGACGCATGATGAGATGAGTAAATATCGAGCCTCTCGGGCTTGCCGTACATTCATTTGACGGCCCAGATAATATAGGGATATTAGTCCGCGTAATCGACGTCTTCGTCACACCCTTTGTTCCTCCATGACCGTCGTGCATCTCTGTAATAATGCGACTGCATGCATGCTGTCGACGCAATTATCTGACGGCCGGGTAGGTCATGTAACCACGCCACAGCTCGTTCTGAGGATGTCTGTCTGTCGGTTGGATGATGTCTCGAAGTCGTGGACGGCCGAAACCCAAACCCCGCCAAGCCAACGGTCCACATCAACGTCTAGTCTACGCACCTGCGCAAATGGGCTGATTGGAACATTATTACGACGCAGTAACTTTTTGGGGGGGCCTTTTCTTATGGGGGGGGGGGGTTTAGCTGACAAAACACTGCATTGACCCTTTGTCGCCATGTCGGCTTCCCGCGGCATCTTCTGCACGTTGGCAAACCTTCTTCTCCGTCCTGTCCTACATTCGGCCTTGGGAGGAGGGGTGGGGAGGGCGCTGCCGGTGGACTAAGAAAAGAAAAGAAAAAAACGTAAGCCCCAAGTGGGAAGGAAGCCTAAACCACTTTGAACGGGCTCCGTGTGTGTCGGCTTTCGTCAGCCACGATGCCGCCGACTTGGCCGCCAGCGCGCGTCACCGAAGGAAGGGGAAGAAAAAAAAGGGGGGGGGAGACATGAAGGCGGAAGGGCTCGATTGTGGGTATCTATGTTTCTCTAAAAAAACAGGGTTTCTATACACGAAAAAAAGAATAACTCAGCCAAGTCCCTCTCCCTCCCCCCTCCTCTCACTCGCTTTTCTCTAGGCCTGGGCCATCTTTCTGTCTTCCCGGCGGACCACGTGAAGGAGCCCGTTCCCTTTCAGTTCGTATGTGTATTAGAAAAACAAAGAAAGAGAAAGAAAAAAAAGGCATGCCAAGAAAAAGACTGAAAAAAAAAAGTGACAAATCGCTATAACTCGCTATGCGAAGGCGGATACAGAGGCAGCACGGCCTCGCCGGTGAGGCGGCGGGCCTGCTCGAACAGCAGGCGGGCGAGCGACTCGAAGGGCTTCTGGGGGTAGTCGGAGCCGTTGTAGTGGAGGTGGGCGAGAAGGGAGACCATGCTGATGAAGCTGGCGATGGAGAAGATGTTGATGGACGTCGACGTCTCCTTTTGGATATTGATGCTCCGCTGGGTGATGTGGTAGGCTATCGTGAGGGTCTGCGAGAGAGAGAGAGAGAGGGAGAGAGAAGTCAGCAAGTGAGCCGAACACGGAAATTGAACAAGGCGGGCGAGAGAGGATACGATAGGGGAGGAGGAGGGTAACTGACCGTGGCTATGGTGACCCAGCCCGGGAGGAGGAGCCTGGGGTCCTCGAAGCCGCCGGAGAAGGTCAGGATACGCTCGGTGAGGAAGGCGTTGGTGGAGTTGATGGTGAGGAGGCGGATGATTGTCGCTTGCGGGGTGTAGTTGATGAGCCTGGCTCGCGTTAGCACCGCCGTCTCTCGTCCTAAGGGGGAGAGTGCCAGCAGGTCCCCCCCCCCCCTCTCGGGAGAACTGACCATCGTGACATCAGGCAGTCTATGAAGAAGAATGACAGGTACGCAGAAGCTCCGCACTAACACCGGCAACCCCGTCAGCAATTATTCTTTTCCTTTTTTTTTTTTCCACGGGGCCGAGTTGGAGGGGGAGGCGAGAGATGCTTACCCACATGAGCCCCAGGGACATCTCGGTCCATGGGAACGGTATCTCGGGGTGGCCCGGCGGCCAGTTGGGCGGCGGACACGTGCTCCCGGCGAACCCGGCCACACCGACCCCGACCCCGACCCCGACACCCGAGGCGGCGGCGGCGGCCTCGACGGCCTTCTTGCCGCCGGGCACGGCGACGGGTATGATCTGGACGAGCAGGGTCACGGCGGGCTGCAGGGCCCAGAAGATGGCCGGGAAGATGGAGAGCAGGCGGCAGGCGAAGAGCCAGGGACGCCACGGCTTGGGCACATTGAGGACGACGGCGATACGGGGTTCGAGGAGGGAGGAGGAGAGGGCAAGGTCCGGCGCGAGGGACAGGTGGGAGGGGGGCCTGCCGTCGGTGTTCGGGGGCGACGGCGGCGGCGGCGGTGGGTAGCCGTTCGGGGAGGTCGGTGTGCCGTTGTGTAGGTGGTTGCGATGGTGGTCGGAGGCGGCGTGCGCCATCTAGGCTGCGAGGTAGGGCAGTGGTTGTGCGGCGGATTGCGCGGCCATTGATGGTGGGGAGGTCGTCGGTGATGCGAGTGAAGGCGGCGGCGGCGGCGGCGGTGGCATCAGGATGCGGGGGGGGAGGAGGAGGGAAAGAAAGGTGTAAGGAAGAGAAAGGCGTGGGAAAGAGAAGGGGAAGGGAAGCTATTTAGAAACGTGCCGGGTTCGAGGACCTTGTCGGAGTTCTGCCAAGGCTCGGGGCCTGGGTAAAGTTGGTAGATCCGGGTGGGAGGTTAGAAAGAAGAAAGAGCGCGAGGAGACTAGTGGTTGACAGAGGAAGGCCAGCTCGAGCGTTTTGGTATCGTGTCTCGGTTTGTGCTCATAGACTTTGGATTGACGGTACTGTATTCTTCCCTACTTGGGTTTTTTCTTCCAACCCTAGTCTTTTCTATTTTTTCTTTTTCGTGATTTTGAATTGGGGGAGCATGACTTGGTTTTTTTTTTTTTTTTCCTCCGATTCTTTTTCCCCCTTTCGTTTCAAAGAATAGCGGTAAACACAGAGTTGGGAGAAGCGGAGAGAGAGGGGGGGGAGGGGAACGAAGGAGGCGGGCAAGAAGAGGCGATCGAGTGAACCCTGAATGGATAGATGGATGATGTATGACCGGGGTGCTGGTCAAGGGGTCCCGTGCTACAATTGATTATCGAATGCGAAATGTGTGCGCTGGACCTACGAACTAATAGAGCGCGCGCTCGAACCCATCGATCAATCCAATGGTCTCGAACTAAGGGGGAAAACAAGGTTCGGTCAAGCTCAAACGAGAGAGAGAGAGAGAGAGAAAGAAAGAGCGAGAGAGCATGAAGCATCTTTTTTCCCCCACGACCTTCCGGGTTCGCTCACTGACGTGATGTTATCTGATTGCCACGTTGCCCACCGGCGAACAACCAACTATTAACCTGCTGCCACCGTTTCTTGTGGATGAGACCTGGGCAGCAGCAGCAGCAGCAGCAGCAGGGTCCTCCTGCCCGATCCGGGTTAGGTACCTTTTTGCTTGCTTTAACAAACGGAGTAGTACGTAGTTGCGGACTAAGCAGCAGCCCGCCAACTCCGTCCGTCTGTCGTCCTGGTGCAACTTGGCTCTGGGTCCAAGGTAACGTTAGGTAGGTACAGATAGATTGGTGTCTGACGAGAGTGGGGGAGTGGAAAGGAGCTATCAGCCACACAGAAATGTGGCTGAGAACTGTCGTGCCGATACCTAGTAGTGGCCTCCCTAGCTACTGGCTGTTCCGCCGCGGAGGATTCCGGCCGAATAAGTGGGGATCGGTGCCAGAAAAAAAGCGTCCCCCCGAAAGCTTGGACCATGTCTTTTTTCCAATTGGAATTTTCGACGAGAGCTTCCTTCGGGACCTGAGTAGGTAGGACCAGGACCGCTCGGCATCAGACCATCCTCCTAACCCCCCCCCCCCCTCTCCCCGCTCTCGACTCCCTTAGCCCCGGAACCGTGGGCGCAGAAGACCTGGTCTCGAACGAAAGCGAAGCACGCAACGCTAAAGGGCCGTATACCCGCGCATCGCACGCGCGCGCGAGAGAGAGAGAGAGAGAGAGAGAGAGAGAGAGAGAGAGAGAGAGAGAGAGAGAGAGAGAGAGAGAGAGAGAGAGAGCGAGAGAGACTCCCGAGCTACAGACGAACCCGCTCGCCATGTACCGAACCGCGAGACCGCTGCTCGCCATGCGGCCCCAGACATTCACCAGAGCGCTTCCCACGGCGAAGAGGATACCCGCCGCGACGAGGGGCTACGCGGGCAAGGCGAACCCGGCGGACCTGCGCCTGAGTACGCGCCTGAACAAGCAGGCCGCCCTAAAGGACGTCGGCTATGCCTCTAGCGAGATGGAAAAGTCCATGGCCATGATACACATTATGCTCCCAGGTTCGTCGTATCCAAAAGGAGGGGGAGAGAGAGAGAGAGAGAGAGAGACCCATGAGAACTTGCCTCCCCCACACCCTCTAGCACAGCAGCCGCGCCGAGACGTGAGAGACCCCCCGCGCTGACGCACCGCCCGCCCGGAAACAGGAACCTTCGTCCCCGCCCCCTTCTCCCAGCTCGACAAGTCGCCCGCCGCGCTCTGGGAGTACGGCGTGTCCCTCGTCAAGCAGCGCGCCAAGGACCTGCTCGCCATCTTCGGGGCCAAGGTCTCGTCGATGCCGACGTGGACCTCCCGCCCGCGCGCCCGGCTCGACCGCGCCAAGCTCGTCCCCGAGGCCAAGGCCCTGCACCTGCGCCTCGGCGAGGCCATGGCCGCCGGCGACAAGAACGCCCTCCGCGAGATCTGCACCCCGCGCCTCTACGAGACCCTCTCGGCCACCGTCTCGCGCCGCCGCCCCGGCGAGCGCCTCACCTGGGAGCTGCTCCGCTACACCGCCCGCCCGCGCGTCGTCAGCCACAAGCTCGCCGTCATGCCGCCCGTCGGCCGCGGCCCCGTCATCCAGCAGGTCGTCGTCGCCATCAGCAGCGCCCAGAGGCTGGGCAAGATCGACCGGGCCACCGGCCAGCCGCTCGCCAAGACCGGCCTGCGCGTGCAGAACCAGACCGAGTACCTCGTCATGACCAGGCAGTTCGACTCCAAGACGTGGGAGCCCAAGAAGTGGGCGGTCTGGGGCAACACCAAGGCCACGACGCTCGAGGACTGGCGCCTGGAGGAGAAGGGCATCCAGCACATGGAGAAGCAGGACTTTGCCAAGAGGCGGGGAGGTCTGTAGGCTATTCTATTTTTATTTTTATTTTTATTTTTATTTTTGCGGCAGGAGACAAAACAACTTTGTGTGTACGAGGCTTTTGCGGAACAAAAAACATGTAATGAGTGTATTATACGTGTTTGATTAACTGGTTATAGAACGGGCCTTGGGGTTGCAAAGGAGCAACAAAAGACCCAGCAACCACGAATACAAAAAAAAAAAAAAAAAAAAAAAAAACTCCCCCTTATTTCGAAGCGAACCTAGACTTCATCTCCTTTTCTATGTAGCGTCTGAGAGACGGAGAGAGAGAGAGAGATGCGGTATACCTCCCGGCTCACATTTAGGTGCCGCCAAACTTCCAGCCACAACACCCTTCCGATCGGCGGTTTTCCGCGCTCGTAAGAGCAAAACACCCGAGCTTGTTTTTTTTTATTTGTTTTTTACTTTTACGCCTTAGAAGAACTTTCCGGCGGGCTTGACGACCTCGACGTCCGAGGTGGCCTCGTACTCGTCCCTCTCGACGAAGCGAGGCGCACCGTCGGCGGAGGCGGCGTCGGGGGCGAGGCCGTCGGCGGGGCGGTCGAGGGCGTCGAAGCGGCGGCCGGTCCGCCTGGCTCGGACGTATTGGAAGGCGAGGCGGCAGCCCAGGGCGGCGAAGCCCCACAGGAAGCTGCCGACGGGGGCTGCGACGAAGGCGCCGAAGGCGCTCCAGTCGTCGGCGTACAGGCCCTCGGAGAGGATGAGCAGGCTGCCGGCGCTGCCGGCGTCGCCGTCGTAGTAGACGAGGCCGAAGAGGAAGACGGTCAGGATGCCGCCGAGGCCGCCGGCGACGACCTCGAAGCCGCGCCACCAGTAGAAGCGGTCGGAGAGGCCGAGGACGAGGACGGGGATGACGGAGGCCGAGACGAGGTCGGAGATGAGGTAGATCTGCAGCACGGACGGGGCCTTGAGGGCGATGACGACGGTCGGGGCGATGACGAGCACGACGGCGGCGCGGATCCACCAGACGTTGAGCCGGTTGCGGAACAGGTCGTTGGAGGCGGACGACACCATGGCCGACTGCAGGCTGTCGAAGGCGGCGGTCGAGAGCGCGCAGACCATGACGAGGACGAGGCCGACGACCCAGGCCGGCATGCGCCCGAGCAGCAGGAAGAAGGCGACGGAGCCGCTCTCGGCGACCTGGTCGAGCGGCAGGGCGCCCGACCAGGCGGCGACGAGGCCCGTGACGCCGACCAGGGTGAGGACGCAGAGGATGACGGCGACGGCGACGGAGACGCCGACGCGCAGGTCCCTGTCCGTCTTGGAGGCGAAGGTGCGCAGCCAGAAGCCCGAGAGGAAGAAGTCGTTGGTGAGGATGCAGACGGGGAGGATGTAGAGGAGCTGCCAGCCGAGCAGCGTAGGCTTCAGCAGGCCGGAGCTCTCGATCAGCGACGTGTCGATGTCCGTCTCGACGCCCATCGCGATGCCGACGATGACGATGAGGCCGATGACCATGGCCCCCTGGAGGTTGTCCGTCAGGAAGGAGATGCGGAAACCGCCGAGGGCTGGGGGGAGGGGGAAAGATTTCAGTTAGTCAAAAAGAGTTGTCTCGTGAAACCAACCCCCCGTATACATGGAAAAAAAATAAAGAGAGAGAGAGAGAGAGAGAGAGAGAGAGAGAGAGAGAGAGAGAGGAGGCGTACAGGTGTAGATGGTGGTGACGACGCATTGCACAATCATGACGGGCAAGCCGTCCAGGCTCGTCAGGGCGTTGACGACCTGGCCGATGGCGGACAGCTCGGCGACCATGTAGAGGAACAGCGTGACGAGCGTCATGAAGCTGAGGTACAGCATGGCGACGGTGCCGTAGCGCTGCCTCGTCCACGCCGTCAGGACGAAGCCCTCGGGCGTCTTGCGGCGGATGATGGGGCCCAGGAAGGCGAAGACGAGGAGCGGGAGCGAGGACGAGAGGGAGTACACCATGACGCCCTGGATCCCCGTGATGGTGGCGAGCTCGGGGTAGGCGAAGAGGATCCCGGATCCGAGTGCTGTAGGCGGGGGGAAGGGAGGGCGAGGTCAGTATTCACGGCAGGATTTCGAGGACAGAGAAGAAAAGAAAAAAAAGGGGGGGAGGGATTCCGGAGCGGCAGCACGTTTCCCACGCAAGCATTAACTTGATCGAGTAATCACGGTACAATCTCAGCTTCATCCCCGCAAGACCGCGCGCGCGAATGTCCCCCTCCTGCTCGCGAGAGACGGGATAGGGGAATTTGCGCGCGACGCCTGCTTCGAATCCGCGCCCGTAGTGAGCCGCATCCTCGGTGGTCCCCCCCCTTCCTTCCCACCCCTCCCGACGTCCAGTTTCCGCGGGGCCGGCCACAGACGGTCCCGGCCGAAGCTGGCCTCGGACGGCATGCATCGGCCCGGCCCGGAAAACAGGGAGAAGAAGGGAGGGGGTGGGGGTGGGGATGAGGGGGGCGAGGAGTCGTTGTTGATCTTTCTTGGGTTACGAACCTGCCTTGTCAGTTTCGACCAGATGTGGTCCAGCCGCGATCTCATCTCATGATACTCGAAGGGGAGGACGGTGTCGTAAAGTCAGTCCCCCCGACATCGTCGAGCGTCCTGCTGTCGCGGGCATGTCTGCCATCGATGCGTCACGCTTCGGGAACGCGCTTCCTTTTCTGTTCGTATGCTTTTGCGCCGTTCTGCCGCTCTCTTTCTTTTCCCATGGGAGGGAACAGTTTGGGATGGGGGAGGGCTGAGAAGGCGCCGGCTTGGGGCCGCGTCTCCTTCACTCACCAGAGGCGATGAAGTTGAGGGCCAGGGGGAAGGCTGCGGGGGGGGAGTTGCGTGTTAGTTGCCGTCGTAGCTTCAACGTGCAGGGGTGAAATGAGTAAAAGGAGTGAGAAGGGGAGTGAGAAGGCGAGGCAGAAGTCTGCGTGTGCGACGCCCGTTGGATGAGGGGATTCCTGACCCGTCTGAGTCCTGTTGCCGGAGAGGAACTCTCCCTTGGACTGATTGCGGAACTTCCACGCAATAGCAGTGCCGGTGATGCTGCAGAGACCCGAACTGTCAGCGTCGTGTATCGCGGAAAGCGGATTGCCAAGGGGGGATTCTGCTCATCGGGGTCGAGGGGGGCGCAATGCCGGTTCATACAGGAAGAGTGCATAAGTGACGTAAATGACGGCGTTGGACGCCGCGGCGGATGGTTGGCCCATTGTTGCGACTTGGCGTCGGGTCTTCGTGTCGGCCTGGGCTTTTACTTCAACAGTAATATGCGATGAGCAGTGCTTCTTCTCTGTGGTGTCGAGAGGAGAGAGAGAGAGAGAGAGAGAGAAAATTGGCGATTATCTTCAGCAGTGGCGTGAGAGGACGAGGTTTGCGCATGTGAACAAACTTCTCAACGCAAAAAAATCCTCATGCGGGTGATTACAAGTGACAGGCCACCCAGCACTAATTAGAGTCGGACAAGCGTGATTCGACATGGGCGGGGGGCTACCCTTCTCCCTCGATGGGATTCGATCAGCCAGTGGTTCGGCTCAAAGAGTGGATATGTCGCGGGCGAATTGAAGCGGCCAACTGGCCGAACCCGGACCATTCAGAGCGAGTCGAGAGGGGCTGATTCGGGTGCCACAATTGTCGAGGTGGACCGACGTGGACGGGAGGGGTCCCTGAGTGAGTGATGATGAGGCCGGACGCAGAACATGTTTTGTCAAGAGAAGGAGTTTGATATCGTATTCCGCAAGACTCGTACCATTCCAGGCCGCTTGCTGTGGTGTTTTGCTCTGTCAGCACCCTTCCTACCTACTGAGGTACCCTGGGGCCACTTAGGTAAGCAGCCTATAATGCCGGGGTACGTTGCCCTCGTACCGTGAACGTGTTGGTCCGCACCCGAGCCGGAACCGGCCGCCGCCCGTGGCCCTACGATGCCGGAGGGTCCGAGTGCCGCCCGTGCACCTTCCGACGTTCGGGAGAGCTTGACCGCCGGCACTTTCGACTCCGGGAATCTCCGCCGCATAGCGTCCTGACCGTGTGATCAGATGCCTTCCTTGTTTTGCCACTGAGTGTACCTGCCGAATAAATGACTCGCGTCGGGTGTAGGGCCCATCCTCTATTAGCAGGTAACAAGCAGGGCAGCGTGGATATTGGATCGCAGCTCATGCCAGCCTGTCTCTCGCCATCAACCATTTAACGGTTAGGATCTGCGACCCCGAATTCTCGTGGTTTCACTTTCAAGGGCTGTAGTAACTTTGCATTTCCGCATAGCAACGGGGTCAAGTGGCAACTCAGCACTTCATTTGCAAAACAAAAAACAAACAAAAATCAAAAAGGAGAAGAAGAAGAAGAAGAGGAAGCCGTATAGAGCATATTCCTTCAGAGGTCATTAGTCTCAGCCACTTCACAGCAACAAGATGAGCATTCAACTAATAGAAGGTCTCACATACAAGCATCCAGGTTGGTTATAGGTTATTCTCACTCCCAATAGGCCATCCTGCCTTTCGATTCGATTCGTCTAGGCACTGAGACTACGTCGTTGTTGTTGGTCTCTTGCTCTAGCTTGTTGCAGTCAGTGTGCCGGCTTTCATGTTACCCGAGAAGTACCGCCCCCGTATTGCCACCTATACGGCTCAATACGACTTCGGGTTGAGGCCCAATGCGATCCGGGACTCATCGTTCCGGGTAGCTGCTGGCAGCTTGAGCGCGGTGGGCACGAGGTAAAACGGGAGAGCAATGTGACAAAGCCCAACGCGGCCATTATTGGTACGAAATCTAACCAAACAGCATTCATATCTGATGCGTAGCATCAACCGCCTTTTTTGTGAGGAGCTAAAACTCCAGGTGTAACATCCGTCCGGGAAACATACGCCGGTTCCAAAATCAAATGGGTATAAAGGAGCGCCACTCCCGTCCATGTGCTCTGATAAGCAAGTCGCCGATACACCAGTCCCAATTACCGCCCACCTGTCCCGTTCATCGCGACACCTTGCGAGAACCGCCGCGCTCCATCGTATCCGCGCCGTCCGGGGAGTATTCAGTTCAGTGAGCCGCGTTCCGTGGCCCCTTTTTTCTTTCTTCGTTTTCGGCATCTGTCTCGTCATCGGTCTTCTGGGTTCGAGTTCGGAGCCGTTGACCATGTGCCCCCAGGGCACCCGCGCCATTCGAAGCGTCTTTTGGTTGTGAATTTTTTTTTTGATCATCATTTTTGTCTTCTTTGGACGTCTCACTCGTCTCGGTTCGGGTCGAATTTGGAGCGGTCAATCATGTGCTCCCAGGGCACTTGTGTTTTGGCGCTCTTCTTCATACAGCTCTTGCACACGGACGAGTCGTAGTCGACCTGGGTCACGACGACCTTGCAGCGTTTCTGCGTCTGGCTGTATCGGTAGCACCACTCGGAGGCGCCCGTGAAGTGGTGCCCGCAGGCATAGTTGCGGCGGTACCACTCGCACATGGCTGTGGGTGACAAGTGATGGAAGCTGTCGTTTATGATGATCTGGGGTTCCCGAGTCAGAAAGGACGCGTCTCTGGCAAAGGGAGATGTCCTACCGTTGAGAAGCTGAGCGAGGCTGAAGAGGGGGGGGGAACTTGGCATGACAGCTCGGTCAAGGCAAGTGCATGGGCCGACGGGTACCGGTGAAGTAAAGTAGCCTCTCAGACGGCGTCCCGAAGTGCTGGTTCAGCGGGTATATGTAAGATCATAAGCACGGTGGCTGCAGCAGCGGGATCGATGGCCAAAGAGGAAAGGGCAGGGTTTCTATAACATCTCAAAAAGCTACCTGTAGGCTGTATCCCTCGAGTATCCTGGGACAACTTTGGCTTGCACTTGCAGGCAGATAGGCCGGCGGGTGTGATGCCGAGGAATGGTTTTCTTTTTCCCGGGGAGGGGGGGGGGGGGGAGAGAGAGGAGTTTGAACTTGAGGGGGAAAAAAATAAAAAAAATAAGAATAAAAAAAAAGCCGACGACTTACTGCGGCTCGCATGTAGATGACCAAATGGTTGCATGGGGGGGGCAGTATCCGTATAGGTTTTCCCTTGTCTCAGACGAAAAGAAAAGAAAATGATATCTACCCATCCATTTCCTCAACCCGTCCGCGGCCGCAAAAGAAATCCCGTCGGCTTTCTCCAGGGCTCGAGATCCATTGTCTCGACCGTATCGTATGTTCCTCCTTTCTTCCTCCAGCCCCGTGCTTGGCCGCGGGCCCAAGATGGTTGTCCGCCAACACGAGCTGGAATGAAGGAACCGAGCCAGCGCAGTAATTCTTTCCCCTAACAAGGCATGGTAGGCTAGGTAGACGGCCACGAAGCCCTATAGCCTCACTAAATGGGCTGGTTGTCCCGGGGGAAAAGCAAGAATACTACAGCCCGCAAGCTTGCGCGGAACGCAAGTGGCCTTGGAGACCGGCCTTTTGTGGCCTGTTCGTCCCAAGACTAATACCAATACCCACCTCCTCCCGGGGAACGCAGCAATCCTAGTGAATTACACTCAGTCACCCCCCCCGGCAGTTTCTCGGAAGACGGGAGAGCTTAAACCAATCACTTCACCAAAGAGGGGGGCTTAGGGGGCCCACGAAAGGAACCCCTGCTTCGCGTTGTACCCGAGAGAGATCTGCATGGTTACGAAAAAGGACCAGACGGCGACACGAAAGGGGGTCGCTGCCAGCTAGGGAGTGAGGGGCTCTCTGTCTCTTCTTCCTTTCCGTTTCGTCCCAATCGACCACCAGGTATCACGCGGCAAAAGAAAAAGTGAGATGTGACAGTGCCCGAGATGTGTTTCGCACGCTTGGGGGGGGGGGGGGGGGGGGGTGGGCCACCAGGCAAGCCCCCTCTCGGTTTTCAGTCTTGGACCAGAATGCCATGTCGAGGTTGTCGACGGAGATAGGGTTGGAAAAGAAAGGGTTCCGTAGCAACGATGGCGTACGGAGTACGGCGAAGGGACACGCACATATTTTGCCCCCCTTGCGTTCGTCACTATTCTCCTCTCTTGCTTTCTTCCGAGCATCGGGCGACGCCTACAAGACTCACCGCCCCCTCTGGCCTTTACCGTTATGACGCCCGTCCCGTGTTATCATGACGAATGCCAGGCATACGAAGCTCGGCGCAGGAATGGGGTGAAGTCGGGCGCCCATGGAAGCCCGACCTTGCGAAGCATAGTGAGACAGGAGGAGCGAGACAGACAGGCATGCAGAGCCAGGACTGGGGTAACGGGAGGGAGAAGGAAACGCTGCTATAAATGAATTGTTGATCCATCCTTGCCGCCGCCGACGACGACGACGACGACGACCTGGGCGTGTCGAGTCGAGTCGAGTCGAGTCGAGTCGAGTCGAGTCGAGTCGAGTCGAGTCCTCCCTTGGGATCGAGACAGATCCAGCCTTGATCTGCCAGGGTCATTCATTCCCTCTTCCGCCGCCTTTTTTTTTTGTTTTTCTGGACCGGGCGAGCCCTTCCACGTCCAATTCTAACGACGCAGCACCCAGGGTCGGGTCTTCCATCACTTCTCTCGCGCGCGCATATCCGGGGATTGGCACAGGGGGGGGGGGGGAGAAAAACAAGTCTCGGAAGCACACAAGACCAAAGGGAGCTTGTGACCTTCCCCGTTCGGCCTTGGGAACCGTTCAAAAGTCTTTTTTCTGATGACGAATTAACAACGGGGCAAAACCTAATACTTGTGAGCTTCTTTGCCATGCATGCATGCACTCACTCCCCTACTCCACGGCCCATCGACGAAAACACGGAGCCATAGCCGCCTGTTCAAGATAACCAGATGATTAACATGTCATCCGCAGCTCCGAGACCTTGACGCCCCCCCGAGTCTTCCTTCCGCAGGGACACGCATCACCCCCCCGTCGTCTTCGCAGCCATGCAGCCCCTCCACCCGCGGACCAGCACGCCCAAGGCCTCGACGGTCCTCCGGGACTTCCTCAACCAGGCAAAGTGCATCTGCTGCACGGTGCGCGTGGTGGAGCTGACCAAGCACCGCGCCGTCGTGGAGTGGGGACCCGTGCCCTACTTCACGGCGCGGGGCCGGCGGGCCGAGTTCGTGTACTACACGGCCGAGCGCGTCGCCGACGTCAAGCCCGAGGTGCTCCGGACCTGGGCCGGCCGCGACGAGCCCGCCGAGTGGGTTCGGGACCGGCTCCGCGACAGCTGGCTCGTCGAGCAGCTCGTCTACTGGGTCGAGTTCCTCGAGGAGTGGAAGTCGTACCGCGAGTGGTACGTCTACAGGCCGGAGCTCTTCGGGGGCAAGCTCCCCGACGTGCTGAGCCCCGGCTGCGAGGGCTGCGTCAAGCCGCACTGGCCGGGCGGCCTGAGGCGACGGGCGTCGTCTTGTGCTTAGGAGGTTTCTGAGGGAAAAGGGGGGTGTGTGCCAAAGTGTCTGGCGGGTTTGGCGGTCCTGGTACGCAGGGGAACTGCATGGAGGGCGATGAAAGCGCTGGGACCGAAGGTTCTTTTTTGGTTGTTGTTGTTGTTGTTTTTTTCGTTATCGCTTTCATTCTTCGCTTCTATGGAAGGGAGTTGCTCCGCTAGCGCGCGAGCTTTCGATTTACAAGTCTTCTAATCATGGTTTTTTTCCTCCCTCTCATCACTTCTCACAGAAGGGGGATTCGAAGAAGATGGTGTGGTGGGGCAGGGTTGTTGTTGGCGTGATAAGAAAAGATGGAGGACGTCGAGTTTGGGTAATCAGATCGTGTCGCTTCTGCAGTAGGTAGCCGCAGCTTAGTTTAGGTAGAGCGAATCCAGTAACACAGCCTGGTGACGACCTCTGGGGTCACAAGGACAAGTACTTCCTCTCTTTCAGGGCGGGTATCGTGAAGAGTAACTCCGCATATGATTGCGTGGGGGGGGAGGGGGGGGGCAAAACACCAATGCTTGCAATATAGCTTTACCGTTTACGTATCTCCAGCCCAGTCTCTGGTTTCTCTCTTAAGGAAGCCCCCCCCCCCCCCCCCCCCCCCCCCACGACTCATAATGGCACATCTGGACATGCCCAGCTGAAAAGGACACATAAGTCATGCCCCCCGCCGGAACGTTTCTGCGTGGCACATAAGGAACGTGGACGCGAGGATGGGCCAAGACACGATAGATCCCGCGCGGAACCGGGATCCTTCATTCCCCGACGGGACCGCGCCCTCTTCCGCTTGGCTGCGGCAGGGCCCTTGTCACCACTTCCCGGGATGCGATGCTATATGTAGGCCCCCGGCGCGCCACGTCGCGGACTCGAGGATCACGATAGCCCTGTCGGGGCCTTGGCTCTTCGATCGCGGGAAAGAAAAGCATGACGGCCTTTCTTCCGCGCGGATTTCCGTGATCCAGAAGCTCTCCCTGGTTTCCCGAATGTTCCCCCCGGTACCCATGCTACGGTCCTGACGGGGCAGCCAACTCCTGAGGGGTCCGGTTCAGCGAGAAACGATTCGATTCCTAGGACGCAAAGCTTTGCGCCTGTTCTTCCTTCACCCCCTGGGTCCAGAGCCGTCTTCTATCTACACGTATACCAAGGCTCATCTCTTGTCTGCCACGTGTCTGTCGTTCGACATAATACCGGCTGGCCATGCATTCAACGGCCCTCACGCCTCCCTCACCCGAGGTGTTTCGACTCACTCGCCGCCGGCATCTTGCCGCGGGGGGAGCCGGTTCGTCGCAGAGTCTTTTCGAGAGCACCTTGCATGATCGAACGCCGTGACGGGTTAATAGGTCTGCCCACCCATCCTAGGTCAGAGGTGTGTGGGAGCATGTCGTAAGTGCGGGCGTATCCGCGCCTCATTCTCCATCGCCTCTTATTACTGGCACGAATATAAGGGTCAGCCTCGAGGCCACGGCCCGGCGATGCATGCCACCTCGCGGGTGCTTCCACCATGCTAATCTCGCCCAAAAACGCCCAAACCCCAAACCTCGAGCGATACGCATTGCTCCCTGGACGCCTCCGAGCGCCTCATCCTGAGCCTCAGGTCATCCCTTGCCTCGGCAACGTCACAGCTCTGGCTCGTTGTCTCAGTCTCATCTAGTCGAGCGATCGATCGAGAAGAGACGGCCGATCTACCTTTCAAGGTCACGAGACGCACACACGTCAGCCGCCGCCGACCTTGCCAACCTTGGCAACACAAACTGGGGGGGGGGGGGGGGGGCACCCGACCTCGCCTTCTCTCCTAACAGCCTTTCCCGTATATTATTATTAGCTGAAGATAATGTTGGAAAAAGCAATTCTCGCACTCAACGATTGGATACACCCTCTGTCATCGCCCACATGCAGAACCCCCATTTGCCTAACACCCCTGCTGAACAACAAGGGTAATGAGCGCCCTCCAATAAGGCTCCTCTTGTCTCGACATCTCTGCGCTGTCGGCGCCCCCCTCCTTGGATTCCACTTGCGTACCGTAGTTGCATATGTCATGATGCCAAGTTACTGATCCACTCATCCATCTCCTGCCGGTTTTCTTGGCCACGTTGCTCCGCCTAGTTGGGCTCGCAGGATTCCTTTGCTTGACGCTTTTCGCTTATGGTACGCGCAATTATGGTGCTGGAACAGGCTGTTGTCCGGTGCGTTTGACCAGAGTCGAACTTGGTTTGAGAGGAGATATCGCATGTCGTCTCATCCGGCGGGTCGAGGAGAGGGGGAGGGGCCCATCCCCACCACGAGAAAATATATCACTCACTTACCTAGGTGGTATTGGAGAGCGCCCTGTCGCGTGTTGGGCGCCTTTGGCGTCTGGGCGTGCATTAGACGTGGCATGGTCGCCCCGGTTCTGCAAGTAACGCATTCCATACAACCCAATCCGGTTGTCATGTTTAACGCTCCACAAGCAGGACAACCGGGCTACAAAATGAAATACAATGAAAAACAGAGCAAAAGAGGTCTGAATGAAGATTGGAGCTCAATATTGTTGTGCGACGCATCGCAGATCAGACATGCACACATTTGCACAGTACGTACGAAGAGCCACCACATCACTACCGTACGGTAATTATCGTTGTGTCCCTGGGCGGGACCGCCTTGCAGATGCGCCTATGTACGAAGAGTCACGTAATGCTACCTTACATGCCCGTCATTCTTCCGCGCATATGCAAAACTGCGGATATTCACGAAAAGAACAAAAATAAGTTGGGCGAGCCGATCATAAGGCAAAGGCAGGCTAGCTAGTAGCGCCACCGGTATTACAGAACGAAAATGCCATCATCATCGTTTTCTCATCCAGCATGTTGCGCGTAAGCCCGGAAGACGAAGTCTGCTGACTCCCCCCCCCCCTGCTTTGAAGGGATTGGAGCGACCAGGGAGGGAGGGAGGGCATGGCACATGGGAAGACGAATAAGCAAGAAGCTTTTGTGTCCCCATGAGTGATGTAACCAATCGCCATCGAGAGAGTTTCCAGAAAAGCAATGTTAACGTCACAAGCGGTGAGCTGATCTAATCCCACATTGCCAACTCGCACCGCCGTACCTACTACCCCCAAGGTGACTGTTGGCATCACCAGAGGACCTAGGCCGGCGAAAGGGGCGATGAATAGTTGGGGCACCGTGGTTATTCTCAATCTTGCGTGCGTAGTAAAGAAGAAAAGAAGCTATCGCGGGTGGCCTGGTTGAAAGGCAAGATACGTGCTGTCCGAGTTGACCACGAGTGGGTGAGTTTAATCGGCGAGAGCTGGCGATGCCCAGCATTGCGACAGTAACATCGACTACACGCCACCATACGACGGTGTATCCAGAACATCCCTACTTTCGAGGACGCATAATACCCAGAGCGTCGACATCTTAATTCCAGGGAGTGTGCTTCCAATGGTGTCGGCACTCAGTTATCTCGTTATCCAGTTATCTCTAGCATTGTCAAAATCCGTAAAAGGTAAGTATAGTAATCATCAATCACATTGGGAGACGATCATAAGAAATTTGCAGATGCTCTTGGGTTTTTTTTTTTTTTTAGCCCCCTTTCTTTAGACCTTGTAAAACACATCAAGATCAGGTCACTCATGCGCCCTAATGCCCCGAAAGACCTTCACCGCTTCACTCTGTCCGGATTGATCCGCCCGTGTTTCCTGTTGTTGTTGTTGTTGTTGTTGTTTTTTTCTCTTCTCCTCACACATGGACAAGTCGTCCCTTAGACCGGTCCATCCGCGTGTTCCCTCCCCTTCAGGCCGCGCCGGAGGTTGATGGCTGAAGATCCACGTCATGACTGCTACGTACCGATGACCTGAGCAAGACTAATCGTGAGGCGAGAAGCTAAAATTTTTGAATACGCAAGAAGAAACTACTTCACTAGAACAAGCGCAGTGAGATCCCTGACACAAGGAGCTAACTTTGCCTCAAACATGATCCTCTCCGGCATCGCTCCTACAATCGTATTTGAGGCGTTCGTGCATTTTTCTCTTCATCCCATGATTGTTATCCTGGGGTCGGAAGCATTGGGTGGTGCATCGTTTTGCAGTTACGACGCAGTATGTCCAAGAGTCTGTGGCCTACCTGTTGGCAAAAGTCCTGCTCGTCAACGACACAAAAATATACGGGTTTCTGAGCCGAGCGACGAAGAAGTTTTCCGTCGAATCTGCCCGTTCTGGTCCAGGTGGACAGACAGTCATCGACGGGGCTCGGTTCCCACTACACTTGGATATTTCATCCTGGAGACGACGACTGATGCCGTCCTAGGTTGTTGCCTTCCACTAAGTCCAAGCTCATGCCAGGCTGGGAACTTTCATAACACCTCTTGTCAGCCCGGAAGCCTCGAACTTGAGTCGGATGAGTACTTTGATCCAGTTACGCATAATCTATGGAAAGACGGACTAGACGTACTAGATGATGGGCTGCTGGGTGTAGAAAGGCTGTTCCGGGGGACCGGCTAGATAGAACTACATAGTATTGCCAAAGGACATTATGGAGAAGAGCGAGGGTAGAGATCTTTCCTCCCCACCGTTAATTGTAACTTGTGGAATGTAGAATGGCGCCATGTACTCACCAAAATATCAAACCAGGATGGTTATCACCGAGGGGCGTTGCTACACCGGGCTCTAATACAGAGTTAAATATTCGTTCAGTGAGCTCCCCTTAACATACCCATCAAGCATGGGATAGACGAGGTACTAAAAGTAAAACGAAACTAACTACGAATCACGAGAAAATCTTGAAGCGGAAGCTCGACGGGCTGCTGCCTGGATTCATCATTCTTGGGACTGCTAGACGAGACGGGTTTCCCGAAATGATCGCTCAGGACGTTTTCTTGATCCAGAGCCAGGCCTCCAGCATCGCCACTATTATATCAAGACGGAACGCACCGTCCTTCCCTCAAATGAGATATGCGTTTATTACCGAAAACAAAATGCCTTCATAGGTTTTCCAGGTTACCACAAAAGAGAAAGTGGACGTAGGGGAGGCTGGAGAACCTGAAAAGGCCTGGCTGTCGAGTGCCCAAGCCCATACTTGCAAAGTACAGCCGAAGTCACAAGCCGTCGTCTTAAAATCCGCAAGTGGTATTTCCCTAGTGGAATGTAGTTGTTAAACCAGCATGTCTTCTCTTGCTACGTAACTGCTACTTCCTCTTTCGTGTGTATCCCAATGCTCGATAAGATTCGAGCAAAGCTTCATGATGCAGGTGAGCTCGTCTTCGCAAGTGCTATCGCCCTCGAGAATTCGGCTTGCTTTGTCGAACGTGTCCCAAAATTTAATGAACTACCCGTTGTCTATTTTACCGATTTTGTTGAATGCCGTCTTGACAACGCTATGCTGAGCGATCCTCTCAACATCCCCTGGCTGCACAAGTTCTGGACCCGCAATGTAGTCTTTTCCCTGCTGCATTTTGGCTGTAACAATGGCCAATTCACTCGTCTTAAAGGAGTACGTGATCATTGCGGCTAGCCCAGCAGCGAGAGCTGTGGCAATGCTGGAACCCGTCGACTCTTTGCTCGACAACACCTTTTCGTCAAGGTATGCCGACAGGCTGGCTCCGCTGCTCGTATTGACATTGACTCCAGGAAAAATGAAATCGTTGTCCTTCCCGGCATGGCCGTAAGCACTTCCGTCATCGTGAGCGGCTCCGATCAAGAAGAACCTTGATCGTCTGAAGCCGGAAGGATAATGCTTGGTTTCAGAAATCTGGTCTGACGACGAGCAGAACATGAGGACTTTCCGACTGCATGCCTTTTCCAGCGCCGAACTCAAAAGTTGTTTCTCTTTGCTTCCCCCCGGTGGCACTAGTATAGTCCACGACATGGAGATGATGGTTGCGTTCTTTTCCAAAGCAGCTTCGATGGCGTGTAGCAAAGTCGATTAATAGTGCATTAAGAAGTGGCCAGGAGCCTGACTGACCCATGATAACACACCGGAGCTGCAGAGACTGCATAAATCGTACACTGCCCCTTGTTTGGACTGATGTGTGTCTTGAGTCGGATCGAGTATATCCTGGCCATGGGGCATACTTTCCAAATCATTCTCGCCATCTCGGTACCATGGCCCCTTGCTGAGCTGTAATATTGCCCAGCACCTGCATCTTGATGGTCGAATGTCTTGTCTCAAGCTTTGAAGGACACTCATATTTTGAGTTGCAGCAGTCAGGAGGCGGAGGTCAGTATTGCAGCCTGCGTTCAACAATCCATAGGAACGCTTGACTGTGTCCTTTCCAAAACAAGGCCATACAACCAGCGAATCGTTCTACGCAGTTGAGCCACTCGTGCTCTGTAACAGGGTTGGTCGTTCCGGCTGTTTTGGATAGACTGCCGGAGGAGACAGGCATTTCGGTTTCCTTTTTATCCTCCTTCGGGAGGACAACGATCTTGCCCTCTTTAGGCAGCTCGTATCTCTTTAAACCTGTTTTCCTCTCTAACAGAGTTTCTGAAGATTGTGAATCGTTTGGGTCGGGTACTTCGGGCAGAATGTCGACATTGCGGCATTCATTGGCGTTTCTATCCAGACGAACTTCGAATTCGCTGATGTTTTCCTGGACCCATTCCCTTGTTTCGTATAATAGCTGGAATACCCAGTCAGCGTCATTTAAAAGAACATCAAATTAAACGGCAGTATTGAAAAGTGAGGGTAACACTTACATCTGAATGCGCAGTAACATTAAGATTGACGACTTCAAGTTTCGGCAGCTGCGGCAACCCTTCAAGCTCGCTCAATGCCCGCAGGATTGCATTGTTGCCGCTCCACTTAAGCGTTACATCGCGAAGGCCGTCATTAGTTCTAGGCAAGACACTCTCGCGAGAAGTGTCAGAATCCACGGCTTCGGCTTTGCTGCTGATCTAGCAAATCACCCGAGGATCCAAATCGGTCTTTTGCCAGTCGAGATGTTCGACCACGATTTTTTCCAGCGAATTCTGGATTGACTCATCGCTGTGTGGAATCTTGCCACTGCCATCTACTTCCACCTTGATAATTCGCCGCAAACCTTTGTTGTACAGCCAGTCAAAGAAAAACTCCATGTCCTGCCGGCCCAGAGCCCGAGGCTTCGAAGCCCTTCTGCTGGTGCGTTCTACAGCTACAATAGGGAACTTCACGTACATCAGTACTTTTTCAAATTGAATGCCACTGCGCGTGTCTTTCCAAAGTGCTCCAGGAAGACATGGTCTTGTATCTCCGATGGAAGCCCCTCGTATTCGAAGCAAATCTGTATGTCTGTTGCCGCATTGTCAACAGGAAGATCCAAGGCATAGATAGAGGCATGCTTACATTACCATTTTGAATATTATTTTCATAGAGAAACGATGTAGCCATCTTTATACTTCTGGTCCGCATGTAGTGCAGCTTCAACACCCTGAGAACCTTTACAGAATTCGTTTCCAAAACTTCTGGCTCGGGCTTCTTGGATGCTCTTCCAGAGGAAGACTTCTTCTTCTTCTCCTTCTTATTCACATCCCCAGTATCAGATCTGTGTGCCCCGACTCTCTTCAATGGCGTGTTTAGCGTAGGGTCAGCCCCACTCAAACTGAATTGAAGCATGTCTGTCTCGTCCAGATGTTCTTTTGGGTCTCTGAACTGTATTGAACGAGAGCCGTCTCGTTCCGGTATCCTCTCTTGCTGCCTTTTCACCTCTCTTGATTTTCGCTCTTGTTGTTCTCGTTCCTCCTTTTCCCTGAGTTCCTGTAGCCCTTTTCAGTCTCGTCCAGCTTCGGGTCGAGATACAAAGTGGACTCATAACGAAAATCAAGAAGATTGCGTGTCAAGTGGAAGACACTAACACTCGGTTTCTGGAAAGCAAGCTTTTGTCGCAATTGGTGCACAGTAGTCTCTTCAAACTTCGGACCCTCCAATATCTCAAAGCCGCCGAGGAGAAGAAGCCAACGGGCGATGCAGCGCTTGAAATTGATAAATCTAAACCGAATGAGAATGGGCTGTGTCGCGATGTCTTCAAGAGATCGCGCAGCCTTCCGCCGCTCCGACCGGGAGCCCACAAACGAATCTATTTAAATTCAGCACCTACTTCCTCTCATAAGAGCCGTGTACTGGTCCATTAAGACCTGGTACGCGGGCAGCTGCCCCGCGGGGAGCGAGCCACCTACGAGGGCGTCAATCGCGGAGCGAATGGCAGCCGCTTGACCCTCGTTCGCAACGGCAACAGACGCCGCTGCGCTGACCGACGTGTTCGCAGCGGATCCACCACCAAACACGCCCTGAGGCGGTGCCTGGGGGTTAAGCGTTACTGACGCCACCTCGTCGCTCCTCTGTGTACCGACTCGAGGATCCCCGTGAGGGAGACTGGCCTCGAAGGCGATACGGCTTCGCAACGCGCTAGTTGCTCGGCTAAGGATCTATATCACGGTATCACCATATTAGAAGCAAACTACTAACAAACCTTGCGCTGGGAACATACACTGGGAGCACTGTTGCCACGCTTCGCGGCCAAGAACTCCCCTGCCAAACGGCGGAGCTCAGATCCCTCCAGTATAGTGACGCAAGGCACCTTGCCAATGGCGCATCGCTTACACTTTCGGGACCGGCTACCAACCGCCGGCTCGCACCACCCTGAAGAGTCACCATGAAGCGCGCTTGCAAGGCACCTCATACACTCGACCCTCTTTAGGGCAGGCTCGGGGGTCCTGTCCTGAGCGACCTTCTTCTTGCCCTTGTCCTCCTCCTTGTCCTCTGACGGGCACTTGGCTGCGATCTTGGCTTGAGCTGACAGCGAAGTTAGCAAAACGTTGTGTAGGAGGGGAGGGGGAGAACGGAAGTAATGTACCCTGAGTATCCCGCCGGAGGGACTCCTCGAAGACTTGTCGGCCGCAGGCCAGGGCACTGGGGGAGGGAGGGGCCACGGGCTGGTCACCAGGGGGATCGGAGGGACCGCCGCCCCCCTGCTTACCCCCGCGCTGTTGCTTGCGCTTTGCAAGCGACGCCGCACGCGCTGCAGCAGTGCGAGCGCGTGTGGCTTCCTCGTTTCTTTTGGGAGGCATCTATTTGAAAGGTCAGCCTGGTGTAAGACTTCAATAATTGAAGCAAGCCACGGCGGATCTCGCGCGCAAAAAGAAGGGGGAAAACGACGGCAGGGCGATACGTACGGTTGTTTTTGCTGTTGTTTTCGTTGTTGTTGTTGTTGATGAAGAAGAAGAAAAAGAAGAGGGAAAAAGTGGCTCTCTTGCTGGCCTAGAAGAAGGAGATAATATCAAAGAAGGCAGGCGCTGGGCTGGCCGGTTAATCGGCTAATCAGAGCCCACCTTTTCGGACGATTATCTCTTTCACAGTTAAATTCAATCGTTTCAAGACGATTTCTTCTGTATATAGCCTTCTCAGGTGTATTACGGCTCAGAATCGCCAAATCCACTTAGCGGAGGGGGGTGTGTCGCGATGCCTTCAAGGCATCGCGCAGCCTTGCGGGGATCCCACCGGAACCGGAACATCCGTTAATCCGATATCCACCGCCCGGATCCACCATAGAGACACGTATACCTGCGAGCCGGACCAGGCAGTCCAGAGCGTAGATAGGCAAGCCGTTTTCCTATGACTTTCCGTGATCGAATAAGTGCAACGTGACAGGATGCAAGATGAAAACATTGCCGTTACCTCGGAAGAGAAATCTTATTTCGTCGCAGCAGACATTTCGCAGCCTGACAAAGACGACTTGGCAGCCCCCAGTGCTGACACTCCATGATGTTGAGCACAATTCGAACCGGAGCACAATGGTATGCTAATCTTTCGACTGTATCCTTTTCGTAGCTAACAAGCCCACAGGTCTGATGGCAAGCCATGACTTCAACGACGGTTAATTTGCCGTGTTATCACTAACGCCACCGACGAGACTACCAAAGAATCACAGGGATCCAGGCGCACCCAAAAACCCCCCGTTCCTAGACTGGATCCTCACTCACGAAAATTTCAGAAGGTTCCATGAGGCGAAGGGCCCCTTTGCTTTATGTATCCAAGACGACCAGCAAGATGCATCACGAATGGCGATGGTTTCCCAGTACCTGTTCACTTGGTACGACGCGACAACCCTGAACAGATTCCAAAAGGGAGACGAAAACGCAGGTGCTGCGTTTTACTTTCAATTCGACAAGTCCGACAGCAGACTCAGAAGCATCAAATCCATGCTCGCTCAATTTCTCTCAGAAACGACCTGGCGCATGTGGTCGAAACCAGAAGTGGCCCCAACGGCTCGTCGCGTGTTTAGGAGCCTGGAATACTACCGCAGCTGGTCTTTGCCTGTTCTTTTCAAGCCCTTCGAAGAATAGAGACGGTGTAAAGATATCGAAAACATCGTCATCATCCTGGGCTGCTTTGAAAACTGTGTAGAGGAAGGGCGCGATTGATTCCTCGCCAAGGTGCTAGAACATCAAAGCCGCACTGATTCCAGCTACCGGCTGGTCATCAGCACAAGAAGCCAGGACAGGGCATTCAAGGACTCACCCCATGAATTGTAAGTAATCTCCTTGGAGGATTTCCCGGAACCACCGAAAGGGTACACAATCGACGAAAAGGGCCGATGCCAGTGGGCTTGGGCCATACCTCAAAGGCGTGCTCCAGAAACGTCCGGTTTTGCACCGTCTCGAGAAAAGCCACGAGGGCTTCCGATCGCCGACATCACCGTAACTATCAACAAGCTGCATCCCGCCACGCCACAGACTGTCTCGTCAGTTCTGATCGGTACTTTGTCGCCTGACAAACAGAAACCGGCACTCGCAATCTATCGATGGGTGAAATACGCCATTGAACCAATGACGGTCGAGACGCTTGGCCCTGCTCTAGCTGCATCGACAGTTTCGAACACGCCAGTCTTGGACATCGACTATGACCAGCTGCTCCAAGACGTGACAAGAATGTTTTTCGGCGCCATTGTCGTAGAGGGTCGCATTCTCAAGTTCTCTCACAGCTCCTTCTACGACACAAACATACCTAGTGAAAACGGTGACGGGAACCCACCGTCGATTCACGGTTTCTCGGCCAAGACTTGCTTGAAGTACCTCATGCACCAGGAAGTGCAGCAGCTATACGCCAAGCTCTCAGTCGACAAGTACAGCGGAGACGTCGTTAAAAAGGCCCTCGTGCTTCCCGGAGATGACTTACTGGAATATGCGGTCCGATTTTGGGCCGAACACTATCGGCTTTGCGAATCTTATCGACCCACCGAGCTTGCGCTTGACTTCAATCGTAGTACGGAAAAGAGGAACAGATGAGCCGAAGCGTATTATCTTATGTCGAACCCCTCACACGCATTCATCGAAGCTATGTTTCTCCTCTGCCCCTCATAGCCTCGCTGGGGCTGGAAGACGTGATGTCTCAGCAAGTTAAAGAAGAAGAAGAAGAAGAAGACTCGAGATGGTTTTAACAAGACGCTTGGTTAGCCATCACAGAAGCCGCGCGAAACGGTAACGAATACATAGTGCGTCAGCTTCTAGGAAAAGTTCAGCCCCAGAAGTCGGGATTGCAAGATGCGATCATCTGGGCCACATCCTCTTGCAACGAAGGTGTAGTGGAGGAGCTCCTGGAGAGCATTGGCTTTCTTGATGACTTTACCTGGTCCGAATGCATCCTCTCTCGTGCCGCCGCCTCTGGTCTTGATTCTTTGGTCTCTGCTCTCATCAAAGCAGGCTGCAATCTCAACAAGAGGAATGAAGACACAGATGAGACGGCTATCCATACAGCTATTGCTTGGGGACAGAAGACAGTGGTCAAACTCTTGTTGGACTCCAATGTCGACCTGCGCGTGCGAGATAACCTGGGTAGGACTCCCTTGTTGTTATCTTCTGAGGTCGGGCTGCCCAAGATTGTGCAGATGCTTCTCGACGCAGGAGCGAGCGTCAATGATAAGGACGAAAATGGTGTGTCGGTCGTCAACACGGCCGTCTCCAACGGTGAATTTGAAGCCCTCGAGCGACTCCTGGCAGCTCCCCCCCGGTCTGAGCTGCGGAACACGGCAGGCTGCAGTGCATCCGAGTACTTCTAGAACACGGAGCAGGTCCCTGTGTTGATTCCAATAAAGGAACTCCGTTGTATGTCCTCTGCCACCTCTCCAACGTCACAGAAGGCCGCCGTCTTCTTATCGAGAAGGGTGCGGCGCCCAATCAGTTCTACGCTGACAAGGAAATACTTCTCCGCCGGGCCATGCGAACAGGAGACAAGGGAATGGTCGGCCTTCTCATCGACAACGGTGCTTAAGTGAATTCATCGGACACCTGGGAATGCTCGAACTTCAAGGAGCCCTTGGCTTTTGCCATCTTATTCAGCGGGCTCCGGATGGTGGAGTTCCTCATCGAAAAAGGCGCATCCGTCAACTACGACCCCCAAGAGGCGGATTCTCTCCCGTACAACGCGGCTTACTATTACATTGATATCAAGATCGCCAAGTTGCTTCTGGAACACAAAGCAAACATCGATTGGAAAATTTTCAACGGGTGGGCTGCCCTTCACGCTGCTTACGACTCGCCCAAGTACGCGGCCCTCTTTCTCAAATCCGGCGCAGACGTCAACAAGATGAGCGATTGCGGTACTGTGTTGATGATGTCGGCAAGGTGAAACTTCCCTGATGTTTTGAGGCCTCTCCTTGCCCACCGTCCGTTACCAAATCTCGACTTGAACTTTGAATACGACCTAGAGAGCCCCAACTATGGCGACACCGCCCTGGTGATGGCGGTCGAGAGTGGCAGCCACGAGTGTGCTAGTCTGCTCCTCGAGGCCGGGGCAGAAGTGGATGATAAGCTCAAGAACGCTGAATCCATCCTGCAACACGCAGATCTAGATGAATCCGAAGCAACAAGACGAAGACGTGAAGGGCTTGCTGCAGCCCCCCTGCACATGAGAGGGAGCGTGAAGGCAAAGACGGTTCCACGCAAGTGTGGGACTCCGGATGCCACGACACACAATCAAAACCGAACGTTTTTACCTACTGGTTTTGCGATGGCTGCTTCACAGCAAGTCTGCATATATCCACTGCGCCATTCATGATTTGCCTTAGTAACCGACAATCTTTTAACTCCAGCCACTAGTTGGGTCGCAGTACCAGTGCACTGTATGTGAAGACTATGATCTGTGTTTCAAATGCTTCCCAGCTCGGAAAGACTTGCACAACGAAGACCATGAGTTGAAGGAGTCCTCCCGAGGTGGATTTTCTGTCCGGGAAAATGGCGGAGTGCTCAGAGAGAGCTGGACTCCGGCAATGAATCGAATCACAGTAATGGTGACTGGGTGGGAGGGGGCGAACTTAGTATCGGAGTCGGTAAAGATACCGACGAAGGTGACTTCGATCCAGAGAACGAGTAGTCCAGAAAGGACTGTACTGACTCGCCACTGAGCAATGTCTTGTCTTAATCCTTTACTTAAATCATTTACCTAACCTGGGTGGCTGTCAGGAACGAATCTGGTAGGCTCATGCTTTCTGTCCTCTGCCCTCGTCCCTTATTCCTCTCCGTCGTCCGACAAGACACGAAAACAAGAGGAGGCTGAATGAGAGAACACGAAAACGACGGAACAGGTCAAAGTAAAAGGAAGGGCGCGAAGATCGGTGACGTTCTGGCCAGGTATCCGGGCCTGGTCCCTCATCTGCCCGAGACGCATGTGCCTATCGAGGCTCGCTCAATGGAATCCGGGCTGGTTCGACGCAAACGACCCAGCAGGTGCGCTCCAGGGCCGTGGATCAGTACCCTTTCAAGACATTGTGGCTCGCGGGAGACGCTTTCGGAGAAAGGAATTCGACAACATGCAGTTTGCCGCATTGCACCACGGGTAAGACATGGCGTCGAGCTCGCCGAGCCCTCCCCACGCCCGATGCGGGAAACACCTGCAAGGCCTTTTTTTCCTTTATAACAGGGAAATGCTGCCCGGAAAGAAGGGGAGTCGAGTTCCGCGGTGACCTCCTGTTCGAATCTGACCATCACCATCTCGAATCACCCTACCAGGACCTAGCATCATGAAGAGCCGATTTGCAGCCATATCGGCGTCCGCCGTACTGGCTGCCGGCGCCGCGATGGCCGACGACGCGTGGCGCGCGCCCGGGTCGGCCTTCGGATCGCCGCTGCCGCCGTTCGTCGACACCGAGACCGCTGAAGTCTTCCGGAAAGCCGTTGCCGCGCCGAATGCGACGCGTTCAATCAAGTTGCGGCCTTTCGCCGACAGCGGCACGAGCAGCACCCAGCTGAGCCAGGACGAGTGGACTTGGCGTGAGCATCCCCTCCCCTCCCCCTATCAAACTTCCGCTCGCGCCAGTGACTTGCACGGTCGAACTGGGTATCGCGTTCGCGTCGGCCCAGCAAGCTGACCCCTCCCCGCAGGCGTCAACGTCACCGAGCTCGCCCTGCCCCGTCTGCCCTCCAACCTCTCGGCCGCCGGCATCGACAGCCCCAGCACCTTCGTGACGACGTACGACCTCTCTTGGCCCAATGGCGGCAACATCTCGTCCGGGCTGCGGGGGTCGTCGTCGCCCTTCTGCGTCACCGCGTTCGACTACCTGTTCCCGGCCAACGTCACGGACCTGTACACGGAGGCGGACGCCGGCAGCACAGACTGCATGCCCGTCCTAGGCGAGGAGTGCTTGAACGCGCTCTACTACGACGGCAACAACCTCGACGGCGACCAGTGCGTCGTGCCGCAGTGGGGCAACATCCCCGAGTGCAACGCGACGCTCGGCGCCGCCACGCGGGCCGACAGGGCCGGGCGCCCCTTCACCTTCAGCGCCGCGACGGCCGACGCCAACCCCGCCTCGGCCAACAACGCCCTGAACGAGGCGCCGCCGGTCCAGAGCGGGCAGGGCATCTGGACGTTCCAGGGCGGGGTGCTCAGCGGCGCGGACGCCGTCCGGGGGTACCAGGATGCCTCGGGCCGGCTGCAGGTCTTCATGTTCAACACCTGGCTGAACATCACCAACGGCCGGGTGAGCAAGCCCAACGTCCTCTGCATGCGGGTCGACACCGCGGCCGCACCCGCCGGGACGTCGACCGCTGCTTCACCTTCCTCTTCTTCTTCTTCTTCTTCTTCTTCTTCTTCTTCTTCTTCTCCTCCTCAGTCGGCCGCTCCTCCTCAGGGCCGCGCGGTTGCTGCCGTCGTGGCGGGGGTTCTTGTAACTGTAGTTGCGTTGCTCTCCTAGAAACCCGGAATGATACTTTGAACCTGTGTTGCTTACTTACATGCTGCGACCTCCGGTACTCGCCGAGAGATGATGGCGGACGTGCAAACGCGCTCTAACTGTCATTAATACCAGGAGCCAGCGGTCATTCGAGACGCTTTGTTGGTTGAAGCGGCAGGTCGGAATACTATCTCAACCATGTGGGAAAGCCCTTTGAGGACCATTGAACAAGTGCAACATTATACAGAGCCGAGCTGGGTCATCATTCCAGGCGATTGGACGTTGAATGCACGATCAGCTGTCCCAAAACAGGCAATGCAAGCACTCTGGTGAAAAAAAGAGAGCGCCGATTGTTCCTACTATTACCACAGCCGCAGCAATAGGTCATACAGCTTTCGATATACTAAAAAAGGCGCATCGACGAGGCGCTCTGTGTTTTGAATACAAATAAAAGAATGTTCCTTCTTTTCTCTGCCTATTTTCAGCTCTGCGAAAGGCCAAGGCCATGAGGCTCTTGAAACCGGCACTATTTTTTGTCACCCAAGGCGGGCATGTTGATTGGGGACGAGCCCGGTCAATGATACCGTATATCTCCCCTTACCGATAACATAGCATGCACAGTACTACTTCTGACACGAACTTGTCTCCCACGGCGAACCCTAGCCTCCCACCCTACTCCCTGGATATCATGGCATTCGTATCGGCTACGGTACCAATAATGAGAACCTACGGTATCAATAATATCAATAACCGTACCCTATCTCACCAGGAACCCACCACCCCCCCCCCCCCCCTTGCGGCCCGACTTGTTTGAAGCTGAGGCTGGTTTGTTGGGGCCATCTGCATTCAAACAGAGGCCTGAAGATTTGCAATCTCGATGCGCGCGCCTCGTAGAATCCGAAAGGGGGCATCCGAGGGGGGGAAAAAACGGTTCTCCCGCGTCGGGCACAATCTGCTGCTGCTGCCCACAGCTAGTTCGCCAATGTTTGCTCTTGGCCGGGAAATTGGAAACTGAAATTCCCCACGCGTGTACGGATATTATCAGGAAACATTTCGCGGCAACCCCTCCCCCTGCCACATGAATGCCAAGTGCGTCAGTCCTCCAGGGGGTGTGGGGGCGAGTATCAGTGCCTCGATATCTCAAGGTGCACTTGGACAACCGAGTCCAATACATCAAAGGGTGGGGGGGGGGGAGCATGGTTTCCTCGCCGGGCCTATTTCGCAAGATAAGTAAATCCATTAGTCTGATCAGCACCGCTGCAATACCGGTAGTCTCCTCTAGACCCATGCACCCCGATTTGGTTCGACCGAGGTGAGTTTCAGGCGCCGGGCCACATCGCCCCCAGGCCAAGCTGGGTCCCGTGTGGCGATTTCAGCCGCCGTCCCTTTTACCAACGGTGCCGGGAGTGGTTGGGGCGGGGGTGGCCCCGGCCCCCCGGCCCGGGATCTCCGGGTCTCCGGGAGAATCAGCCATCGAACCCTCCCGCGACCGACAGGCCGGAATGCGTGCCCAACCCTCCGGGACTCAGAACGCCGACAGAAACGGGCGCGTTCCGTCCCATCACTGTGGCCTCTGTTGCAAACGTCGCGCCGTCCGGCCGCTACATCCTCGTCCTCGTCCTCGTCCTCCTCTTCCGGGGAGACGGGGGATCACCAGCGACCGGCAAAAAGGACCACGGCGACGACAAGGGCAGCAAGAACCCACGAGGTCAAAGCCGCCAAGTCTTTGCGTGGAATCAGTCACACAGAGGCGCGTGCATTTCGACCTCATCCTCAGAAACAAACCTCTCTTCCATCCGGGACGCCACACACACCGGGTCCGGTCTCGTGAAACCCCAACTCGAGATTCCCTCTTCGTCTCAATTCTTTCAACTCTCTCGAGATCGCGTCGTTTAGAAAGAGAAGGGGACCTAGGTCATCAAAAAGGACGGAATCTCTTATTTCCCCCTATGCACCGAGTCGAGGCCGTCCAAGTCTCAGCATACACAAATCAGCCAGCATCGCGGGTGAGCACCGGGGTGGGGGATACGTTGTGGCTGTGCAGGGAAAGGACGGAGAAGTGGGAGGGACCGGGGGCCCCCCCAAAAGATAAAAAAGAAAATTTAAGCGTCAATATCGCAATCTGCGATCTGACACGCTTTGACATGGCTATCCTCCCCTGGTCAATAACCAACAACCAAACTCTGTTGCCCCCCTTTACCAGGCCCCCATGTCACCTACCGGAGGGGGGACCACCTCGCTAAGAGGAAAAGGAAGAACCTCTATCCCAACTCTTTGGCAACTCCCACCATGGTAACAATAATGGATAATATGCTGTATCGTCTCTCTTGTGTCTCTCTCGGCATGATTGTTCTCGCAGACTCTCAGTATCCGTACACATAGTAGACCACTCTACCAGCACACAAACATATCCGTAGATATGCAGGGAGGGGTACGTACCGTTTCCCTGATACCGTAGCATTAAGCACGACACACACACTCACATCCGTCCAAACTCCGGGGAGTCGATCACCCTCTCAAAAAAGAACAAAAAAGAAAAAATAGAAGCTTGAAACGCGTCTCAACTCTGGATTCTTCCATCCCACTCTACATGAGGAAGGCATCCATCTACGATGTGCGAATACCATTATACCATGCATCTTTTTGAGCCTGAGTCCCCCCTTGTCTTTCCCCTTTCCATCCCCCCACCCCCCCAAAACTGGGGGTAAGAGGAGGAGGCTTCCGCGTTTCGTAGAAGCCCCCCCCCCCCCCCCCCCTTTCGGTCGCCAAGCGGTCGCCAAGCCGGCGTCTCTCACTCCATGGAACCAGATATTACGGGCGCAAAACACCTGCGGTTCTCAGCTTAGTCATTCAGGCACACCCCCGACGCCCCCCCCCCCCCCCCCCCCACCCAAACTCTGCGCCTAGCTAGCGTCTCCACGCGGTCGGGCCGCATGAATGAGACACTCACTCGCACGCAGATCAGACGCCGCAAGCCCGCTGCCACGGCCACCCACCCACACCCACACCGAGTGAACAAGCATTCCCTGTCCCCGGTATATCGGCGTTGGAGGGAGGGAGGGCGCAAAGGGCGCAGAAGGGCAGACGAGCCAACCTGTTCGAACGTTGAGAGTTTTGTCACCCGTCGGTTGGAACTCTGCCGCCCACACCCACCACCCCCAAGCTAAACGGCACGACATGTCAATCAATCTCAGTGGACCGAGCAATAAGAAAAAGAAAAAAAAATGAAGAAATCTGTGCAACTCTCTACTGGAATTGTGCCTTCCAATTCCTTTCCAAGTCATGCTGCGTATCCTCAACTAACGGGGTGGGTAAAAGAACAACTCCCTCTAAATGTACAGAAAGACGGATCGTGAAGATTTTGTCGTGGTGGTCGAGTGAGGGGGGGTAACATTAGAACAATAATATAGAGAGGGGGTGGAGTTTTTGCCAAATGGTGTCGTTGATGCGTCTGTGGTATCGAAGCCCGGCGCCGGTTTCCCATCGTCGGACAAAAAAAAAGAGGCGACAACGAAGACAACCCATCCACGCCAGACCGCATTACCCTTCCCATCCCGACAACCTCCTACCAGTTTCGTCAACAACCAAAAGAAAAGCAAAAGCACCAAGTGGGCCAACTCTGGATGGTCAACCGCCGAGGCAACCTAAAAGAAGCCTGTCTGTCGTCCTGGTAAAAACGGCCCAAGTTCCAAAGTCCCGTATCCTGTGGCCCGCGTGGCAAGAATCCCAATCCTCGGTTGTCGTCGAAGTGGAGAGAGAGAGAGCCTATGAGAGCTGCTGGGTGCAGGTCTGGAACTGGGCGTCGCAGTCGGCAGTGGATCCCGAGGTCAGTTTTCCGCGGTTGATGGCATCGAAGCATCCGTTCCGTTGAATGTCGCAGGCACGCTGGACCGCTGCGGCCTTGTTCACGAATGTGTTGCCGTTGACGGCGAAGGGTCGGCTGCTATCGCCAGAGTTCGTGACCGCCGGGGCCTGAATCCCGCCGATAGCGTTCGCCGTCGCACCTCCCTTGCCGGATCCAGAGTTTCCGTTGTTGGTACCCGAATTACTGGCGCCGTCCCCGTCCTGGGTCTTAGTGTTAGCATTTCCAGTCTTGGCTCCAGATCCAGTGCCTGTGTTCCCGGGGAATTGGTTAGATTTGTCAGGGAATCCTCCAGCGCTTGCTCCGTTCTGTTGCTTACCACCTTGTCTGCCGCCTGCAGAGCCGTCAGTCTATCTAGGTGTAATGGATGAAGCAGAGGTTTGGGGGATCCAGGACTACTTACCCTGTCCGTTGCCCTGTCCGTTGCCCTGGCCGTTGCCCTGGCCGTTGCCCTGGTTGTTGCCCTGGCCGTTGCCCTGGCCGTTGCCCTGGTTGTTGCCCTGGTTGTTGCCCTGGCCTTTGCCCTGGCCATTGTTGCCGCCGCCACCTCCAACTGTGAACTTGTTGCAGTCATCCTGAGCGCCACGCTGGGCGACAGGCATCAGGACGGGCTGATGGTTGGAGGCACTGGACATGGTGCAGACACGGTAGTTTCCGGCCGGGAGACCACCAGTAACAGTGGCCTGAAGGTTGCCGTTTCCGTCACCGGCATCGTCGATACCCTTGAAGAAGACGAACTGCTTGGGGTCCAGGGCGTTTTGGGGAGTCAGGGAGTTGCCCATGTCCTGAATGGTGACGTGAACGTGACCAATGATCTTGCCTTGGCCGTTGAGGTCCTGGGGAGCCGAGTAGTAGGTAGACTGGGCGTCGGTGAAGGAGCCGGCCTGCAGGTTGTTGACCTTGAGCTGGACATTGAACTGCTGGTTGGCCTGGAGGTTGCCGCCGGGAGGGGGGTTCTTGATGATGGTGGAGACCATGTTGTTGTTGGAGGGGATCTTGCCCATGGGAATACCGTTGCAAGAACCTGAAGTCTTCTGCTCACCGTCGGTGGTCTGCTGATTGTTACAGAAGTTGATGAAGTTGGCTTTGTCACTAGGCAGCTCGGTTAGTGTTTTCTTCTTCTAGTGCACTGGATGAGTCCTGTTCGCTTACGTCTGGGAGTTGGCTTGTCCCTGTTTGGGCGTTCCGGCCTGCTGGCTACCCTTTTGAACGTTGTTCGCGTTCAGGCAGAGCTCGTTTCCACCACCGTTGTTGTTGTTGTTGTTACCGTTGTTTCCACCTCGGTTTTGACGCTTGGCCAACGCGGCGCTCAAAGGAGTGTCGAGGAAGGTGACAGAGGCCTCGGCGACGACGGCCATGCCCGCAAGGGCGGCAATGAGCTTCTGAATCTGCATCTTGTCTTTTGAATCTTTTTATGAATCGGACGTTGTCGGCCGAGTCGCTTTCAATAAAGTACTAGGAGTTGACGTTCGAAAGGGGCTGGTTCCAGACCAAAAAAGCGAAGAGGATGAAATGAACGGTCGCAACACCTGAGGATAGCAAGCTGGAAAGAGAAATGAATGAATGAATGTGAAGGCACACTCCCAGCGTGAGGCAACAGGATGATTGGAAATAAGTGTTGAAGAGAAAGGAATGATCGAGACTGAGCTTGGGTCGAGAATAAGAAGGGAAGAGACGAGACAAATATGCGTTCCGTGCCAAGCTTTAAAGTCCCATATGCGCAGGGCTGTGGTACCGGTTCAGACCGGGGTGTCGGTCTTGGCATTAAACCTGACAGGGGGTTATCGTCTCCACGAGTCCAAAACACGGCGCAGGGGACATGGAAGGGGAGACGAGGATTGACAGGAGCAGTAGTGTCTGGTGTACTGCACACACAGCACGTAGTGTAGGCGTGGCTCAAACCGACAGCAAGGATGGGTGCGAGCACATTGGTGTTGCTCAGCATCCGACCCCTGTGTGCAGACAATGGCAGGCCGGCCCGCTTTGGAGGGAGAGAGGCGTAGGAGTGCATGACGGGGGGGTGGTTCGGTCGTGAGTGAGAAGGAACACGCTTGAGACCGTACACGAGGACATCCGTAGAAAACAGGTAGCATCTGTCTGATGAGATGGCTTGCAACAGCTTAGCTGGTGAGGCAAGACGCCTCTGGCGGAGACGGAAGAAGAAGGAATTGGAATCCAACTTTTGCAGGGGTCTTGCAGCGCAAAACCGGGTGCGTTCAAGCTACGGTCCGAACAGGGGTGAAGGTTGGCGCGTGGACAATGGCCGTCGATGACGGACAGAAATACCGTCTCAACCAGATGGCAGGTGGGTGATGTAACCAAGTTGAGTCGAACAGAGCGGTTCGGCCAACGTCAGTGTGTGGCCGTCTCTCTCCGTCTGTCTGACTCTCTCTCTCTCTCTCTCTCTCACACTCTTCGTCCAATCTATGATGCATGGGACAGGGGAAAAAGAGAAAGAGAAGGAAAAGAAGGAACCCGAGTATTGGCAGGGGTGGAAAGGAGTGCCTAGGGATTGGGCGTTGGAGAAGTGCTGTCAAGAACCCCCCGTCCGGTTCCTGGCCCTGCCGTCGCAGGGTCCGATGCGGCTCCTGTCGTCGCAGAATGGGGTCATGGAGTCTCCACATGAGCCCCGGCGCGGCTTAGCGAGCCAATGATAGACCTTCGTCTCACGCACATCATGCAAATAGCGTTTCGCCCGACGCGTCGATGAAGCGAAACGAGACGCACTGGACGACATTTTTGGTCTTGCCCGTCCCGTTAAGCGCGGGTCCTCCTCGCCTCGCGTGCGCCGTTATCCGTAGACAGGCTGAGCGATGCCTCCCCTGCTCCATCGCAATCTCTCTCCCAGATGCACTTCGCTCCTCGATGCCTGCATCAGCGTAGCGTGACCACCCCTTTCGCGGGTCGTCTTTGGGTTGACAGGGCCTGTAAGATGATGAGGAATCAAGACGAGTTTGCCATTGTGCCGTTGTGCCGCAGCCCCCAGTTAAGAGAGGAACACCTGGTATACTGCAGACTAGATTCGACCGACACCTGAGTCGCCATCACTTTAGCACCTCATGCTAAGCATATTTGCGATCGTCAATGATTTGCCTCGGAACGCCCGGCTTCACATCGGATTCTGGGGCCGACGCCCACATACTTGCGAATACACGCAAAAGACGCAACGTCCACATCGTCATGTTCGTCGACGGTTGGGCGTTTCCAGCCTTCCGTCTTGGTGATTGGCGACGCCGCCTGACCATCTCCGAACCGCGCTGTGTTTCCGGCCTTGTTCTCTATGCGGATACCGGCGACACCAGAGCGGTCTCAAGCCTGATCGGGAGAGAGCGGCAAAGGAATGATTGGCGCCGATCCGTCCAGACGGCCAAGACATGCCGTGCTAGCGAGCGCAACGGCCGGCTAGCCGCACAGTAATCCTAACAGCAGCCGTCATAGGTATCACATTGATATCTGTAGCGCTCGACTGAATTCGGTGGGCGCGCTGCAACGCATCACAGTCTCCACCGTACACAGATACTGTTCCACAAAATGAAGAAGAAAAGCCGGTTCCTTATAGATTCTATCCTGCAGATAACGACATAACCGTGCGGTGTATCGGCTTCCTCGTCTGCACTGGGGTTCGGTTAGCTCATTTGGCTTGACCGGGCATGCATGGTAGTTCCGTACGGCGGGACTCGATGTAAAGGGTTCTGCGATAGGTAATTAGCCTGCAAGCTTGGAACAATGACGGCTCCAAGCATCTAGTAAAACCTAATCTTTCAAACGACAACTTCGGATGACGGCAAGGCCCCGGAGCCCCCGGGGCCCCTTGGGACGGAGACGTTCGGCTGCAGCGGCGTTTACTGTGGTTTGAGAGGAAGAGGAGATAGGGGGCGCACGCGCATTGGCCAGGGGTGAGAGTGTCAGTGAGGGATCGTGAGGCTTGGGGAGTGTGTGTTGGAAGGCGATGGGAGGTTTCCTTGGGGACGGTTTACCTCAGCAAAGCACGAGGGTGAGCGGTGAGGTACGTTCCTAGGTGCCTACTATACGGATAAGCTGCTACCTAGGGAGCAGCTGTCTAGGCCCACCTGAGTTCCTTGCACCTGCCTGCTTCTACCTAAACCACTATTCGTCACCCGGTAGGTATGGTACGTTATATTACCTACCCAAGTCGGGTACTGTTGCATCCCAGGAGCGCCAAGAATGATCTCCACTCGGTACCTGCAGCGACCCCCAGGTCGCGCCTGCCTGTGGAGATCCCCGTGTCCCACCACTATGGACGAAACAGGAAGCCGAAAGCCCCTCTTGCACTTTCGCCCGCTTTTAAGGTTGTCCTTGGCCCTGGAAGTAGGAGCAGGGGGCTCCTGTTGGGCTTCCGCGTTCCTGCCAACGGCGCTGCGTCACTCCGAGTCACTCTTCCATGTTGCCTCGGGTAGCCGTGTGCCGTGTCACCTTCCTTCTCCCGCGAGTCGGACCTGCCTGCCACCTCGACAGCCTCTTCTGGCAACAACACCAACCCCCCCTTCCCCATCTTTCGTTCGACGTCGTGTCTTTTTTGACAAGAGCCGTAGCAAAAGAGGTTAATCTGATCTACCTCATGGCCACCCTTGGTAAGCCGAGAAAAGAGGTGCTCGTCTCATGGGATGGCAGTTTCGCTTCTCATCCCATACTGTCATCCCATCTCAACTACCGGTTTTCTGCTGTCAAAGCCATGGTCTTCAAGTCGAGAAGGTTCTTTTTTGAGGATATTTTAACCGGACTTCACTACACTACATAGTACGTAGACCAACCTAGTTAATGCTGTTGTTAAGCTCTCATACGTCGCTCCTTTCTCGTGTTAAGAAGTGCAGGGCTCGGGAGGAAGACCATCTTAGCCGGGCACCGAGAGTCTTCAGGACCAGCCGACAGATTGGAATATGGATTCGGCAACGCACACATGGGTGTCGGCCCCGACGGCACGGATTTACGGCCTAATCCTTGAAGGCTTGTCTCCATCGCGAAATGATGGATTGGAGAGACCAACATCTCGTCTCCAAAGGTCCGGCACCACGGCAAACACGTTCCCCCCATATTCGTCTCATCACTTCCGCGATCCCGCATACACGACCGGGCCTGTTTCCCCTGTGGCTACACTAGTCCCGAACAGCAATTTGAGGGCTTGTCAGAAAGAGGGAGAGAAAGATGATTTTGTCTTCCTTGCCCGATCCGGTTTACTGGGGCTACTGGTGACCCCCTGTCAGAGAGAGAAAGCGGGCCTCCACCTCACTGTCAAGGGGGGGGGGGGCGCTCCATTTCTGCGACGCGAGGCTGGGTTTGAAGCCTGCGCCAAAAATTTGATGGTGAAACAGGTTCACCTGCCCATCTGTCCATTTGTCACTCGTGCTCGCCCGTGGCCAGCCTCTCGTTCCTACAGGCGTCCTTCGTCGAATTCTCTCTGCCTGCTTGCCTTCCAAGTTCCACCCCAGCTCGGAAAGCAGAGTTGAAACTCGACGACCGTCAGAAGGGGGGCAAACACCTGCCCCGGTGTCTCCCCCCCCCCAACCAACCTTCGCTCGTTTGCCTTGCGCCTATGCCTAAATACCCCAGTAAGCTTAACCGTCGTCGCAGGCAGACTTGAGATGCAGACAGACAATCCGTGCCAATCCCGTTGGGTCGGTTGCCATGCGCTCCCGCCAGCCACCCAATCATCTCTGCACCTGCTCCATCCACAGCCCTCGGACCCCCCGGCACTGGCTGTCAAATCGCCATCTTCTTGTCAGACGTCGCCCATCAAGACGCCGGCCCCTGTTCCGGTTTCCCAACTCCCCACACCCAGCGAGCGAGCGCCATCGCACGTCGTCCAAGTCACGCCACTTTTCTCGGCCGCGCAAGCCAGCGATTGCCGAGTGCACCTCTGGGAAACAATCTTCCATGATAATCAAACGTGGCCGCATGTCAAAGCTAATATTCGATCGGTGAGCACCCGGCCAAGACCACGACACGCTCGGCGTGATCGCCCTCATCCGCAACACCTCAACACCGGAAGAACCTCGAAACTAAAGGCCTGGCGGTGCAGGCCTCTGCTAGTTGCGGCTCGGCACCTGTCATGGCTTTTTTGCCCATGCGTCACTGAGAGAGCCTCACGATATCTTGGCCGACTGCCATGGGTCGTCCCAGCCCGTCGTCAATCGGAACTTTGAAAGGTAGTAGGTATGGATCATGATGCGAAATACCAACAAAAACAAGCGGGACCGCCAGAAAATCTGCCAAGCTTTTCACTGCATCACATCATGTTTTGCCCGGTAGGATAAACGAGGATCTCCTACGGGAGGCTGGGGGTTGCAAACGGCAGTACGCGCTTGGCGGTCTCATATCTTATAATTCTTCCATAGCCACGGTCACCTTTCTCGCCTGGTCTTCGTAAGCCGCCGCAATGAGATCCAACCAAGTAGCCAGTCTGACGCCGGCGCGGGCCACCTGCAGCTCAATCACCGGCGCCGCCTTTTCGAAATACTCGCCGCCGAGCTCCTGTCCGACAATCGCGCGCGGCCCCTCCGGGAACACTGGACGAAAGTCAGTTCGCCGGGTACTATGTAAATGTCGCGGTGCCGGTTTGTGGAGAAAGGTATAGTGGGGGCGGCACCACCCCAGCTCGAGAATCAACATACCATGAGTACACACAAACGCGTTGCCCTCTTTCGCCCACTGCAAGCCAGTTGAGTTGACATTGTTGAAGTCGAGGCTCTTCAACCATTCAGCCTTTTGCTCGGCAAACTTGCCCGTCTCGATCTCCTCGGCCAGCTGGTCCGCCCACCGCTTCGCGTTGTCGTACGGCCTCCGGCGGGAACCCCCGATTAGCTTCTCGGCGATGGAGCTGTCCCAGACGTGGTGCAGGTTGAAGTCGGTGCCATGCCACTTGACGTGGATGCCGTTGCCTCCTCGGGCCACGTCCTCGTTGTGAAGAGGTTGGTGCATGTCGCCGATGAAGTGCACGACGAATCTCGCGGCCTGGTTTCGCTCCCAGCCGCTCAGCGTGGGATCGAGTGACCGCGCCGTGTAGTTGGCGAGAGCCGTAACGACGCAGCCCTGCGCCTTGCAGTCCCGCTCGAGATCGACGCCGCAGTACCCGGGAGGGCTGTCGTGGGCGTCAATGAAGTGGAAAGGCCCCGTGAAGTGGCCCCATCTCGTGTACCGAATCGTGTCGGCCCAGGTCGCGACGCCGGCCAGGTAATGCTCGGTGTCATTTCGCAGGAGGTCCTGGAAGAAGGCCTCGGTCGTGTTGGCGACGAAGTGGCTGGCGAGGTAGGCCGTCGCGATATGCCCCAGACCTTTTGATGCGAGCAGTCAGTATGGTTCCTCGGCGGCCGGTTCAACGCTGACGCGTAGCACAGGACCAGAGCGACTTACTTCCCCATGCGAGGACTCCGGGCAGAGGTGCGCCGACCAGCGCGACGGTGCTTGAGAATTTCATGGTGGTGGCCTGCACTTCGAATCACGGGTGTTTGAAAACTAGGTGACAACTACAGGTGCAAACTAATCGTCGCGGATTGCTAGTCTGATGTCGTTAAGAAGCCTCACGACGGCCAAACAATAGAGAAACGGGACGGACACGAGCTTAAATGGAAGCCCGACACGTGGTTGGCGCGTCGGGTCGCCGGTCTGCGAGGGGGAACGGGAGCGATGCACGCCCGCTAACGCCAACCCACGTCAAGGTCAACGTCAGTGTCAATGTCAATACAGACGGATGACTAGCGCTGTGCGGGTCGTTGGTGACCCTGGCCGGAGGTGGAGTGTGTGTGTGTGTGTGTTGGCCGAGGAACGGACTCTTTGGGGGGAGTCGCCTCGGAGCACCCCTCATGTGCACCATCCACACCTGTACCAGCTCAGCCACACGCATCATGGCGGTGCGCGGGATGTGAGTCCACGTGAAACGCGGCTGAAGATTGTCGACGAGTGGCGGATATCCGGTGACCCGCTGGAATGCAACAGGAACAGACCTCTGTGGCCTTGTGATGATCGGAGAAAGATGACGGTATCATGCATTAAACTTTGGATGACGGCTTGTGTGAAGACTTGGTTCCGACATAAAACCAAACTACAGTCTACATCATATGGACCAAGCCAGCGGTTCATCGATGCATATCATACGCAATATGCAAGCTTATTGCAACGAACTGCTGCCTCGCCGCCGAGGCGTGTTTGATGCGTTTACATAAGCTCAGCTCCTCAGCTTTAGAGAATTGCATCCTTCTGGGGGGGGGTTTTTTTTTCTCCCGCGCCAGCAGGACCGGATTTGCACCGGATGACAAAACCAGCCTTCTCATTGGCGAGTTCCCGCCCTCTCCAGATCCAGAAGTACGTGGTACCATCTTGGGTACCTAGGTACTCTGTAGAGGCGGTAAGCCCCGTATTTCTGTCAAGTTTTGTTGGAGACGATCCATGTTAAATCCCCCACTATCCGCCCTCTGAGGCGCTGCTGTCGTCGCTCACGGGCCATCGCCAAGTCCCCCCTGCCCCATCGGTTATGTCATGCGGGATCTGCTTATCGGATGCGGTCAGCGATAAGAGATAACAGGACTGGAAAGTGTAAATGGTGGCCACGGATTGGCCAGGACATTTTCGCCCTCCTTATCGCATTGCCCTGTACGGAATACGCATCTTGGTTGTTTTTTTTTTGCTGCGTGACTCTACCTCTGCCACCACATCCCATCCCACCTGACCGAGGAACGCAGACGGCAGAGGAGAGACCCTGGCCTTCGTCCGCGGCTCCTTTCTTCCCTTCCCTTCGTTCTGTGTCAAACCCTCCCTTCCATTTCCAATTGGCGGCATTCCGGGAAACAAACAACATACCAAAACATTATGGCGTCTTTCGCAGTCACGGCCTACGCCGCCTTATCGCACACACCCGAGGTCGAGGAGATTCTGTCTGGCATCTTTGGCAGTATCAGCTTGACAGCGTGGATATGCCTTCTCGTACGCCCGTCCCGCAGCCTCGCGTATCCCATAAGCTAGAAAACTGCTTTGCTGACTTGGACTTTTGCGTAGCTCCCTCAGCTCATCACCAACTACAAGGCGCAAAGCGCTGATGGCCTCTCCATGGGCTTTCTGATTATCTGGTTGATCGGCGACGTGACCAACCTCCTTGGTAAGCAACACCCCCCGCCGCTCGTCATGTTCTCTATGCCACCCTGCTTTTGGTCCTTTGCTCTGCTGTGGCTTTGACTACTGTGATGTTTTCTGTCCACCTTGCCGCCATCCACCCCACCACTCCCCTCGCGCTGAAAATTTCTTAAAACCAACCACGGAAAAAAACCTGGTGCGTGCTCTGGCTCACCTCCCACATGTAGGCGCCCTCTTCACGCACCTCGCCCCAACGGCGGTCGCCCTCGCGACGTACTTCTGCTTCGCGGACCTCGTCCTCATCGGCCAGTGCGTTTACTACAACACCAAGAACGCCCGCCGCGCCGCGCGCCGCCGCGCCTCGGCCGCCACCCCCGCAGAGGCCACCGAAGATGAGCCCCTCCTCCGCTCCCGCCGCAGCTCCTCCGCCGCCGGTCTTCCCGGCTCGCATCGCCGCCAAGGCCTGCACGAGGAGAGCTCGCTCGACCCTCTGCGCAAGATGGTCACGGGCGAGGACGACACGCCCGACAGCAACCCGTGGCTGCACAACACGCTGAGCATCGTCGCCGTCTACCTCGTCGGCGCCGCCGGCTGGTTCCTCTCCTACAAGGCGGGTGCGTGGGACTCTCCGGACGCCGACGTCGGCTCGCCCGCGGAGGCGGCGGACACGATGGAGAAGATTGGCCTGATGCTGGGGTATTTCAGCGCCGCGTGCTACCTCACGGCGCGCATCCCACAGATTGTAAAGAACTACCAAGAGAAGTCTTGCGAAGGTCGGTTCCCTCTTGTTATCCCTTTCCTATCCGTGAATTGATTTCCCAAGGGGAGGGGGGGCTTTGCCATTGGGTCTGTGGGAGGATTCGCCTGCTAACTCGTATGAGCGCCCAGGTCTCGCGCTGCTCTTCTTCCTCCTCTCGCTCACCGGAAACCTCACCTACGGCGCCAGCCTGGTCGCGTTCAAGCAGGACAAGGCCTACCTCCTCAACGCGCTCCCCTGGCTTCTCGGATCGCTGGGCACCATAGTCGAGGATTTCATCATCTTTACTCAGTTCCACATCTACGCACCGCGCCCCGATACGAAGCACGACGACGAGGCTTAAAGGGGCGGAAAGTCCCCTCCTCCGGCACGGAGAATTCAATTGACATTAAGTACTGGGCTGGCGGTCACGTCAGTCGGGTACACCTCTCATGAGCACTGCCCCACGTCGTGTCGTGGTCCAGACGAGAAAGGGTTACCAGACGAGACGAGTAACGCGCACAGGCGGGCTTGACGAGATCTAGACGCAAGGCATGCAAATCGGGAAGCATTGAGGGCGGACAAACGGGCGGATGTACCATGACGACTTGCATTTTCGGCGTTTATTTTCATTTTTTTTTTTTTTTTTCATTCAACGTGGCCACGACTGCACGGGTTTGATGGACGCACGCGTGAGGTTCTTGCCCGCCATTGCTTGGCTATGACGATGGCAAATGTTTTTCACTTGTTTGTTTTTTTTTCGGGAAAGGAGGGGAATATAATGAGAGCTCGTCCTTTGTTCCTGTTGACTCGAGTCGCACGGAGAAACATCTCCACGGGATCACGGGTAGTAGGATTAGCTTGTCTTTGCGAATGAGAAATTCCTCATCATTCACATCATTCAAACCATTGGTTTCCTGTGTACTTTTCACTCAACGATGTGACACACACCCCCTTTGCCTTCCGTTACACCAACCGAGCGTACGTGACCGTCTTCGCGACGCAAATTTTTTTTTTTTCTTTTCCCAGCGTGACGATGTTTGTACTCGAGGGCATCAAAATGCAAAGCAGAGTGGCGAGCTGAGGGAACTGGGAACTGCCGGCGAAATCAAGGTAGGTACTCGATAAACGCCGCATGTCCATGGTAATGACAAGTGTCCTGCGCCACGAAAGTCTGCGAAGCTCTGATTTATATATATATATATATAAGATATCAAAATTAAATTAAATTTAGAATTGAGATGAACATCGCCATCTACTACACGAGTCTGAATGGCTTCTACGCATGCAGTCCTTTCTCATGTTGGTATTTTTTTTTTTTTTTCCCTGCAAGAATCTCATGCGGAGCAATGATTTTCCCGACAACGTCCCCAAGACGTCTCTGGGTCGCCGTGAAAAACCATCGCCGTTGGAGGACCTACACTTACATCCCTTCCCCCGATCAAAAGCGAAGAATGGACCTGCCTCCGGGTGATTCGTCTGCGGCTTTTCCAGAAAAAAAAAAATGCTCGGTTCGCGGCGATCAATATCGCAAACCTGACGATGGTGTGCTGTATCCGGTTTACATAACAAAGATGTAGGTAATCAAATAAAGAGCAATGTCAACCCTTGGAGACCGAGTCCCTCTAACCTCGGACTCTGCTCGTTATCTCCTCATCCTTTCACCGCGAGGTCAAAGTACTCGTCGCATAGCAGAGATGGAACTGTCCCCGGATCCGCCAGAACATGGTGGCTCGAAACGTGACGCCCAGCCGCCGTTTGGGGAAACGATGATTTTATTTTATTTTTCCCTTCCCAAATCGCTGAAGAGCGAGCGGCCTGGAGGCGCTTCAGCAAATGCCTCCTCGGCCATCCTTTCTTAAGTCGAGGCCCGCCGTCTTTGTGCGTGCTGGAGGTGAAGCACCTGAGACCCAAGGCTGTAGCCGGTTTGTTGGGACAATCTTCCAGCTGGGCGATGGATCAGAGTTGGCGTCAGGTGTTAACCGCGATCCCTGACGCGTCGAATTGCTCACTTCCCGAGAATGCAGTGTTACCCTTCCAGAAGCCATGAGACGTAGCGAGGCACTCGAGAAGCTTCATATGCCTTGGACTCCTCCCTTGTCTCATTAGTAGTGTACAGACCTACAAATCGTATCTTGCCTGGCCTGGTAGCAAGCCCGGCCCAATGTTCAGCCCAACTGGTACTCGACATCAGCAGGAAAGCGGAGTTATATGGGCTGGACAGGTGCTTATTGGGACGTAATATGCGATACTGTCTATGCACATGCAGTTTTTTGCTAACGAAGAAAAAACAAACAAAAGCCAATGCTCTTTGTGTTGACACAGTCGCCCTGGGTAAAGTTTTACTTGTGGGAACTCCATATTCGTATCGACAAAGAGACCCATGGTATGTCGTGATTTACCCATACCAAAAAGATCCGTATCAGACCACCGGTCGAAGCGTGAATGCTTCGATGTGATGCTTGCGGCACAGCATGGTGTTTAGGAAGCCACATGCAATAAGACGCAGGGGGAGTACGCGCGTGACGTCTCGCAAGGCTACAAGCCTAGCTGGTTGATAGATTCAAATCATCATTACTTGCTTGCTCGCACCACTGTGTAGATGTTTAGTTTATCCCACAAACACGCCAAATAAAGCCATGGTCTTGACACCTCACAATGCTGCTTATTCCCAACGATTCCGCAATGGTCTATTATGTTCTCTGTATTGCTAGGCACCTATGTCCCAATGCGAATACGATCATATTCTTCCTCGACCTAAAACCCCTCACGTTTCTACTCGAGTGGCGCATTGCCATGCAGCTTAGAGGGGAGTAGCTCGCACCTCTGCTCATCCCACTTTGTCTGCGTCAAAATCTATAGCTTCCGGAGTAAAATATGTTGGAAAGAGTGAGCAGATTCATCACGTCACGGTAGATCCATTAAACTTCGGGCAATGAGAGTTACCAAATAATAGGCAGGTCTGTCGAACCGTTGAGACGTCAAATGCGGCGGTATCACCTCTGCAGCAGAAAATAGACACCCACGGCGCAACTGTCCCGAGATGAAAGGAAGGCTTCAGGAAAGATAGATGTGCGCAACAGCCGTCGTTTCCATTCTCTAAAAATGCGACAGTCAGCTGGATGGCAAGTCAGCGACCAACGGACTTGGATCATAACAGAACTGTGCTAGCAAGATCTCGGTATTGTGTCCCCGCAGATGAAATCAGCCAGATGGCATGAGAGTAAAAGGGAAAATGTAACGCAGGAGGTATGGTACAAGTGAGGATAGACGAGGGAAACCGAGAGGGCCAGGATTAGCTGGAGTTGTAGCCCCTAACTTGCAATACACAAGAGACGAGGACGCTCTGCTCTACTCTGCCTGGCCGGATTTCACTATGCTCTCAACTCTGTTGACAAGTGTCATGGATCACTTACATAGCCTCTGAAGGTACTTGGAGGTGAGAAACTGGAATGCCTCAATCCGAGGCTGGTCATTTGCCGCCGAGCAAAGAACAGCGGCGTGAACTGCTTGTTCGCAGCAAGTGCACTTTTCGGATATCTACAAGCCAACTGTTGCGCATGCGCAGTCTTTTAACTGACCGGGGCGTTATTACGCACAATACTCTCGTCATCCTGTCCCAGAGACGCGGCTGGGATGGCCCAGTTCGAGACGTGCAGAGATGCGTCACTAGGAAGAGCCGTCGTGGCATGCGCAGTCCACGAACCGAACAGACATGAAAGAGAGAGCGGTAAACTAGATTACATAGAACCCCGCTGTGCCTGGCATCCATGAAGTTACGCCAAAGCGTAAGAGAACATCATCGCCCCAAAGTACTCGGGCTCCTCCCAAGTGATGTGGCTCAGATGACGAAGGCGTGTCCACCGAGGGCAAACTCGCGATGCTTGATGTCATGAAGCCAGAGGAAAGTGAATGGAAAAAAAAGCAGGAAAAAAAAGATTACATGTATAGAGTCATGAATGTAAAAAGCCCGTTGATGGGTCTGCAAAGTTGGCGGGCCGAAATATGCGTTTGACAGGAATGAATGTGCTGTGCGAAGACCACACACAGCAACTGGGTTGTGTCAAGAGATGCTCACGAAATCCTCAGTTTTGCGAACAGCCAAGCTGTCCAGCCGCGATGACGCCAGGACTCGAGACCTCTCCATTGTCCTGGCATCACAGCAACCCAAGAAACGCTCGAGAATGCTGCCCGCCCCCCTTGCCGCTCATTGTGCAAGGAGATCGTCTGCCGCGATTCATGGACGTCCTATATCAGGGCCACGCCGGATTCAATGACTCTGGCAACGTGGCATCAATGACCTCGTACCTCGTAAGGCTGTTGAGGGAGCAAAAAACAAGAGAGTCAGTCAAGTCCGCGAAGAAGCATGGGAACGAGCCAGCGTAGGGTCAAAACTCCATCGTGCGGGAGATTTGCAAACCAGATCTTCACGACAATCCGTGAACTCGGGCCACCTTGCCACTTCGGCTCTGCCGTTGCGAGCGAGTCGTCCGTAGGAGGTTATCATGCCGCGCCCTACCCGTGGACCATTTTGTGATCCGGTCGTCGTCGACAACAACTGCACAAGAGCCTCGACCCCTCTATCGACAAAGGTCGGATGTTCTAGCGTCGCCCAAACTATATTGGGCGTGTCAATGACTCGACCACATCCTAGTCCAACTGGGAGCTAAATGATTTTCTCATCATAAAACAGCTTGAAAAATTCGTCACGCCCCCAACGAGCTCGGGCCCGAGCATCGCTAGTTTATGACGCTGCTCTGCGCGATCGAGGGACCAACGCATGACGAAAACATTTGTGCCTCGAGGGCCGGCAGACGCCAGACGCTGGCGCGTGCGCGGCCAATTACATGGGGAGGCTGCTGCGTTCCTGAGAACGAGAACACAATGATCTTGTGGTCGGTCTACTTGCGCCGTGAGACCTGCTGTGTTACTGGAGAGACATCTTGTAATGTGGCGGCCGCGATAGACCTAGACAAGTCTCATTCGACATGGCTCAAAAGACCATCCGGCAAAAAGACCAAGGGGTTCGCGTCGCGTCGTGTGGGAGGTATGTTGTCCGATGAGAAACTACCACGGAGAAGAGAGGTCCATTTCCATGGAGGGTGTTGGCCCGGGCATCGAAGACAAAACAAAACACCCGGCGCACTCGCGCGGGGGAGATGTGCAACAGACACCATCTGTCCCTGGTCACGTATCAAGATAGATCAGCGCAACGAGCACCGAGCACCGAGCTGAAGACAACATCCATCACCGCCAGTACCGGGCGGGTCAGTCAGGCCACGCTCGACGAAGAGAGAGCGGTGGACGGACGGACGTTGACAGTGGGAGGATGGCGATCGTTTCGATAACAAGTTCCGGGGTACGAAGGAGCAAAGCCGCAAGCAAGAGCATCAGTCAGCATTACTGTTAGCATTACTGTCAGCAGATGGCAAGGGAAAAGCCGAAGCTGGTTCTCCTGGATCACGTACCTCAGTCTAGCTTCCACTGTGCATGGTCACTATTATGTACCTGTGCGACCTCAAGAGGGACCGCCTTGTATCCGGAGCTCAGTACCTCAGTCTAGCAATGCTGGCTCGTGCGCGTGCGCCGCATGGAGGATGCTAAACAAGCAAGTCGTCGAGTAAGTGGTTGGTTGGCCCGGGTAGAGTTGCCGGGGAGATGGATGTCGTCCGCCCGCCGATTCGAGATTGGAAATGGATCACGTCAACGGAACGATGGGGAGGCCGCGGTAATCGTGCTGCTCAACAGAGTAGCGACTTGCGAGTGACGCACGCTGGGTTGGGTATGGGGAAGCTCCTCATATTGACCACCGTTCACACACGTCTCAACAAGGTTAGTCATGATACCGAAGGCGGAGAAGATGCCGTCTCGAGGCCCCCTAAACCCTCTATGGTAAACCCCTGAGCCCCATTAGGGGGATCAAACGGATCTTCTTTGCACTGTGCAAGATGACCGCCAGGGATGCCGTCGATTCATCGTGACATGGATGCGTGATTGTGGGTCGATGGCCGTCAATGTAGTGGCGTCACCAGAACGGGATGCCAGAATGCCATGCATCGAGCGACATCCTTCGATGCTCAAAGGTCGACGATGATGTATGAGTGTATGGTGGTGGTGGTGGTGGTGGTGGTGGTGGTGGTGGTGTGGCAGGCGCGAGGGATCGAACGTTGAAGGTGACAGCGAAACCCCTGTTCAGCCAGGTACGCGTCCTCACAGCGCCATGTGCTTCGAGGTCGTGGCGGCTGGGCTCTTCCCTGTCATCGTGTGTCTCGGGGGTGGAGAGGGCAACTCTGTTCCTATGCAAAGCTGACAGAAGACAGCTCGAATTTAGGTAGGTACGTACTGGCAATTTCTGCTCCGTCCCTTCCTTCAGTCCCTCCGTCCCTTCCTCTGTGTCTATTCCCGTCCCTTCCTCTATTCCTGCCGCTACTCCTTCCTCTGTTCCTGTCTCGTTCGTTCTTTCTTTAGAGGTATCCTGCTCTTGCTTGTGATCGATCCCGTTGTCTGCTTGATACCAGGCCTCGTGCTTCTTCTGATTGGCCGTAGCACCCCTACACAGCAAGGCTCTCAACGGTGCCTGGGAGCCAATCAAATCCTGGTGAGACCCCTGCCGTCGTTACATATTCGGTCCACTCCGAGACGGCCGTCCCACCACATGGCGGGAATGGCGGGAAAGCGCGCGTTAGTGGGTGAGTGAGCCTGAAAGCGGCTGTGTTGCATGTTTGGCCCAAAACCAATCACGGCTTCATAGTTACGAGAAGAAAGAAATTCGATTTTGTTGGCCTGCTGCGAGACTAGTTGATTCTATTCCCTATCTATACCTCTCGCCGTCATCAGGGAGTGCGAAATACTACACAAACCTTACTCATCAGACTACCTATTCGGGACCCAGTTCTTTTGCACTTCATTCCAGAACGTCTGGAGCAATCGACATTCGCCTGCCGGCACCGCACTTGAGCCCCCCTTGTCCAATCATCTGCGCGCGCTACCCCCGAAACCTACAACCTTAATCCCTTGGCCCGCCAGACCGGCCTGGATCCTCGAGATGGGGGAGCAAGCCACTTTTCCTAGCGATCTCTCCCTCTCCCTCTCTCTCTCTCAACAATACGGAGTAGGTACTTTGTGGGAATACATAGTCCCTATCAACCTCCTCCTCGGCATTTGACAGAATTCGTGCGGACGTGGCCATGTCGATACAGCATCGGTTCTCCATCGATTGCCATCTCAACCAAATCAACGTCGAATCTCCACCGCGACCGCCCCAAGAGTCGTAGATTCCCTAGACGCCGAACTCAAGAAATGGTTCGAACCACGATTACTAACCCCTCTCGGTGCTCGTCTGCCTGCATCGCATGCTAATATCAGGCGGTGACCCGCGCGCACCGCCTCAATGGGTTTCATACCCTGAAACTCTACCAGCTAGCTCATCTCGGCCACCAATCCCCAAAGGGGAGGGAGTAATCCCATCCCCCCCTGGTCTCAAGTTTTGGACACGCCGCGACTGACAGCCACCTTCCTGTCAGACTGGAATGATTCGCATCAATGGCCCAATACACCTCGTACCCAGTAATTAGCCTTGTACGAATAGAGCCGGAAACTCAGTTGCTGGGTACGGGCTTGGCAGGCACACCATTGGTATCTCAGTATCCGTACCAATACTGGGTAGCATGTTGTTGTCCCTTCCCTTGCTTGCCTTTGCAACTAACTGCCTAGGTAGGTACTTTAGCAAGTAGGCAAGCAAGCAAGCAAGCATGTTGATAACGTACACTTCCTGCAGGCGCTGCACAGTATCCGTAAACCACCATGCATTCATTCCTTCGTGGTGGACGACTCCTGTTCAACAACAACAACCCCCCGCCCTCGGCCCCTCTTCCAAGCCATACATAATCCCTGCCACATATTACATTGAACCCTGTCGAGACGAGTTTCGTCACAGCCCATCATCGTCCGATATCACAAACCCACGTCCCTCTTTTCCTTCTCTTTTCCCTCCCTCTTCCCTTCTCCTTCTCCTCACTCTTGTAACCTGCCTCGACCTCGTCCCACGGCTATCTAAAACACCGCGTAACCACGCATCCACGCATCGTCAACCAACCACATCATCCGGTTCTCCGCCCGACCAGCGCACGGTAGACGCACACACGCCTAGAGATCTGCACCCACACCTCCCTCTCGTACTCTTTTAACACTCCCACTTCCCACACACCATCCTCCTAGCCCGTCGAAAGCCTAATCCACTTCTCTCTCTATATCTTTTTTTATTTTAAACTTCTAGTCCGCATTCCTTCACTACTCACTCAAACCCCGTGCTATCCTGCACTTCTCACGGCGATCATTCATTTACAATCGAGCGCCCGCCCCGTGCTTTTTTATCTTTTGTTCTCATTCAGCTGGTCTGCACAACAACCCAAGAGCCTTTTCCACATTTCGCTCTTCCACGCGTACTCGTCTCGTGCATCCTGTACATATCCTCGCCTCGACTCGACGCATTCACGGCATCGTCGCTAGCCTGACGCAAGCGAATCGCGAATCTAGACCAATTTTCACTCGTTGGAAGGGGACCTGGAAGAAAGAGGGCGCCGACCCCATCTTGAGACATCTGTTCAGAAAGAGAATAGGAACCGGTCCTCCACAAGAGACTGTGGGAAAAAAAAAAACCAAACCGACGATCGCCATCATCTATCTGCTGGCAGCCTCACCAATAGCTGCCACTTTCAACTTCCCTCCGAACTCCCCCCCGGTACAAGTCACGATGAAGGTCTCACTCGCGCTCCTGGCCACGCTGTGCGCCTCGCTTGCCAGCGCCGGCGTCGTAATCACCCCCGTCCGCCAGGACCAAGTTGTCCCCGCCGCGCAGAAGGTTGCAGGAGACTGTTTCTTCGGAGTCGTTACCCCCCAAGGTTGCGCGTAGGTCTCCAGAATATTATTCCTTTCTAATGATATACTTACTAACATAACTTTTCAGACCCTTGAGAACATGAAATATGTCAAAAACAGGGAGAACCGGCAGGAAGAAAATCCCTTTCGTGATGAGGGCAGGAAAGGACGAGGAAGGAGAGGTAGGCCGGAGCTCGTCAGGGCGCTTTGCCCTCCAACCCAACGCCAGCACCTCATCTCACCAGTGAAAGAGGTCTGGACGTTCGCCCCGATGATTCCGAGGGACCGTCTCTTCGAAACCTCACCCTCTTCTCACATCATTAAGGAACCCTCTCGTCACCATCCGCAGGGGGATGGCGTGGCCTTCAACTCATGTGTCCTTGTATAAAGGAAAACTCACGGCCTTCAGTGACGGGCTCACGAAGCTTCAACCATCATCAGCATCAGCGGTTTTGTCTTTTTTCACATTTTGCCATTGAGCATTTTCATACCATGGAGGAGAGAGAGTGTGTGCTTGAGGGTGCGCTCAGCAAGCGACTATTCTTTTTTTCCCCAGTGGAGGATTTCATGCTGAACCTCCAGAAAACTAATGTGCATCCAAGTATCAACATACCCCCCACTACGGACGTCCGATGGGCTGCGCATGTGGTCTTGGCACTTCACTTCACACTTTTCATATTTTACCATATAACTAGATTTTTCCGTCTACTATTCACTTTCGATATCCAGAAGAATTGAAAATGAATATTAAACACTACCCCCCTTCCCTCCCCTTTTTCTGCGTGGCATGCATGCATGCATGCCTTACGTGTGCACCTTTACACTAATAAGCCGGAACTGAACCGTAGCGTTTGATCGTAGTCATGCCAGTGCAAGCCATGGCGCCCATCAAACACGGTTTTTGTGGCTTGTCCTCGGCCTCCATGGGCCAGGCCGAAGCCCCGATACGCTTTGCACTCGCCTCGCTTGCCGCGGGTCCGTGTTTTGGGTTTCTCGCGTGCCTGGACGCACTGACGCTCGAGCTGCGTCAGAAGTGCCGGTCGCTTTCCTCATCGGGCCCCGTGTCGGTTTCGTCCCGAGCTGGCCGTGTTCCATCTTGTCCGGATGAAGGTGGTGCCCCCTCTTCCACTCGTGACCACGGCTTTCTTGTCTTTTCCTGTAACGCAATAACCTTAACCCTGTGGGCACCCAGAGCCAATCCGCGCCAGCGACCCGCCACACACACTCTCTCCCACTCCCGCCCTCGGACGACCACAAAGGACGTCCGCCAACCCACTTAGAGGCTTGGCTTGGCGTGCGTGTGTGTGCCTGTAAGCTAGCCTAGGAACCTGGGACTAGCCTGTCTCTCGGTCCCGAGACGAGTCAACGGCGGGAGGACGCGCCCCCAGATGGCCAAAATAGGCACGCCTCTCTTCCGATCGCGGTGGCCTTTTGACGTGGAATACGCATCGAAGTCATTCTATTCACTGCCACATGCGGACTAGAAGTGTAAATACTGAATTAGATCCCTCCTCCCTTACCAAGCATCTCGTCATCAGTCTCACGAGGCGGAGACGATGCGCAACAGTCCATGCCATCTGAAATGCCTCCATCTAGAGTCCGTCATCCTCTCATCGCATTGCGCCGTCATCCGCGTGGGCTTCGCTGCAGGTCGGCTCAACACAGGAGCGAATACTTGGCCGTGCGGTCAGCCTTCATTCCACCCCAGTGAGTCTCAGGAGCCTCGCCGCCGTCCTTGCCAATGGCGTGAGGCTTCCAGGGCTACCGAACGCCTCGAAGAAGAAGAAGAAGACGTTGAAGCCCCAATTCACCATTCCGCAGACACCGTCGCTGTAGAAAGCTTGAGCGTTGCCATGTCCGGGCATGGCGTTCTGGTATTCTGCGCCATCGCTGAGCCACCCTGAACTCAAATCTAATGTGTCAGCAATCCGTTCCTTGATGGTCTGGGTAAGTCAGGTGGGAGTACACGGTGTGCGTTGCGCAAAGGACGATGATGACGTACGACTTGAACACACGATCAGGGCATGGCGACGAAAAGATACGTCCGGCCGACTCACCAGTCTCGCCTACCCATACCTCGGGCTTGTTGGTCGACCCGCTGACGCTCTGGATGCGCCCGAACGTTTGCATGATGGAATCGAAGAAGCACGCAGTGGCGTTATCCCGGGTCTGGCCTTGCCAGTACGAGAAGGCGTACGTCTCTGATCTTGGCTGCAAGCTCCACACCGGTGAAGTTGCCGCGATACAGAGATTCAGAGCCGACGGTGACGGCATACACTTGACCCTCGTAGCCGGGGGTGTGGGGAATGATTGCAGCTTTGTCGGCCACATAAGGCTTGTCCGTGTCGGGCCTTCCCGTCCGAGTCAGAATGACTCGTGTTCCTCTTAAACTTTGACGGAGCCGGAGAGGGAAAAGGCTTATTGGGGATGGGACATGGGCCCGGGCTTACCAGATGCCCAGGATCACCAAGAAGTCCTCCTTCTTTGCAGCAGGTAGAATCTCTTGTGCCGTGTTACACTAGTCGGCTGCGTATAGACGCACAATGTTGTTGCCCGAGGCATCACGGATTGCTCTGAGGTCCGCTTCATAGTCCGCTTGATATTTGCAGCGGCCGTCTGGCTGCTTCGAAGCCCAGAGACCCGGACGCCACAACCAGACCGGGAGCTGCAGTCATGATAGTTGTGAAGATGGACGTAGAACGCACGATGGTTGTTGAGCACTAGATGCTTAAGGGTGGGTATTTGAGTGTTGGCTATGATACAGGTTGGGCGAGGTATCTTGAAACTTGAAGTATTGGATAATTGCGGCAGACAAGTGAGACGATTATAGGGCTTGTTGATACAGGGAAAAGGCGATGTGGACGGTGTTGAGGAAGAGATACGCGAATTGAGATTCCAAGTACTTCTTTTGGGATCCATCATTAGCCGAGGCAAGTGAGGGCATTCACCACAAAGGTGGGAAGAAACTGCCATGTGAGTGTGTGTGAGTGTGTGTATAGTATAGTAGCTTTAGGCTAGAAAAGAGCGGGATGCAACCAGGGTCCCACCTTGAGATCCCGCCTGTTGGACTTGGGACGAACCAGTGGAAAGGAAGCAGCAATCATCTCGATCTCCACCAAAACTTGGGATGTCAGATAGAGAGGCCTTGGCACACTTACTGTTGTTCCTGTCCCGTTCTCCTGGCCATTCATCTTCGCCCAAAATTTAGGCAGCTAGTACGAAGAAGGCCTCTTATCTCACTCATTGGTGCATCCCGATTTAGATGAATTTGAATGACTGAGAAGCATGTGTTTTGCTTCTTGGCCATGATGAACCTAGCGCAGCAGCAAAGTACGCACAGCAGCGAAGCAGGGCAAAGCAGACTTGAGGCTCAGGCGGATAGATCCTGGGAGTTTGTGGCATGTAAGAGAGATCCAACCTAGTTAGTCAAGGACTTATTGGTTTAACCCATGGGTAATGCATGGCAAGACACGTGCAAACCATTCACACATAGGCAGAAAGGAATCAAGCGAAGAAAACTGTAGGGCCATATCTAGGCCCTGCATGTTCATTAATCAATAACAGAAAAATATGTTGTCCCAGGGCCAGGGAATAGGGTATAAAGCAGTCAGCCCAGTTCGTCATCTTCTACCCGCTCGATGCAGCAGCCGTGTCGATTCCATCCCAACGCCCGATGCATGCAATGATCCTCAGCTGTGCAATTGTGTACGCGAATCAAACAAAGGACATGAACACTTGCATAGCGAGCAGAGCACCAGCTGCCATCCAGATACCAGCAGGTGTCGCTCGACCGGCAACATTCTCATTATCACCCCCACTCCCTCCGCTGCCGCTGCTACTGCCGTCGTTGGAGCTGGCCGGACACTCGCCGGTAAACCTGGCAGCCGCATTGTTGCCAAGGGGGATCATCTGCAGGCTGGAGCCGCAGTCGACGTAGGGAGCAAAGTGGAGAGCGGGTGTCTCCTGGTCGAAAACGACATATGTGGAACGGAGGAACGAATCGCCAAGGATGTAAGTATCGTCGGAAGCCTTGTCTGCGCCGAGTACGCAACTGTTGTCGCCCACTTGCCAGATGAACTCAGACAGAGGCACCTTTATTGTGTAGTCGCCAAACTTGAAGTCGATTGTGCCTTTGGAGCTGCACGGCACGAGATACATGTTAATGGAGGACTCGAGGCGGCCCCCCAAATCACTTCCAAGCTGGTCGATGAGAGCAGGGGGGAAGTAGCTCAAGGTGGCGCCAGTGTCGAAGAATACCGGAAACTGGGTGTTGGCATATGTCTTGGTACTCCTGCCGGATTTGCTCAGACCAACCGAGTCGAGTTGAACCCAGTATCTGGGAGTGAGGTTAGACGTGCCAATGTGGCGGCCGGGACCACAAGTCACTTACCTACGCAGGTTCTCGCCGTTCTGGGGCCCGAGAACGGGCGCAGTGTGCAGGTTGCCACTGAACTTCTTGGTGTCCACGCCACCAAATGAAATGAGGCCGCTGCCCGTCTTCTCCTCTTTGTTTCCGAGAGCAATTCCTACCGTGAGCGACTCGATGACATGCTGTGCCTTCATCGTGTCGAGCACCGTTGGGTAGTCAGTGGTGTTGGTAGCTTCGCCAAAGCTCAGACCAAGAATACCCCTGCTCAGTTCAGCACTGTAGGTGGCATAGCCAAAGATTGTGTCTGAAAGTGAGATGTCTACGAAGCTTGGTCAGTCATCGTTATTTGGGAGCCAAGACGGAGCAGTACATACCACTGCCGGGAATGGTGATGTTATCGCCGACATATGTCAGGTTGACCGTTCCCTTGCCGTACGTGATGCTGCCCCTGTCGGCATAAACGACCGACGTTGACGAGTCTTGGGGATCGTACTGGCCATTGGCTCTGCAAGACTGAACCATGGCGGTGGTGCCCGCATTAGCGCACAAGGGGTTGACCCAAAGCTCCGAGGAACCGGTATCAATGGCAACCTTGGTGTCTTGACCGGGAGTGCCAATGCTGACTGTAGAAGCGAATTAGCTACGCGGGATAGGCCATTATGCACACGGTAAGCAAGCACATACGCTCAATCAGGTATGTTGTCGACGTTACATTAAGAATCGGAGCATCGGTGTCCTCGACTTCTCGTCTCCTCAGCTTCTCCAAAGGGTGAATTCGAATGTCCTGGTAAACAGGGAGCGAAATGACGCCGGGAGACGAGTTCGTCTGTTCGCGGCGAACAGAATGTGCGGACACGCCCGCCACCAGGGCAGCAAGAGGTAGCCAACGGGTAGCCATGACGATGTTCGGGGGGGTAGTAATACTGGGGTCGGGGGTCTGTATTCGCCTGGTATGCAGGTGGCGGCAGTGTTGTGTCGATAGTGTCTAAGAATCGTCCAAGAGTTGTCGTCGTCAAGAATGCAAGCGCGAAATCCCGAGCCCAGAACCAAAATCGACAGAACAAGTCAAAGTACGAACTGGAGACGGAGGGGAGGGAGGGCCACGGAAGACAGCTGGACACGACCGAGCAAAAAGAGTGGGATGGCAATGCTTTTAAAAGACTGTGGTGGTGCCTTGGCAAAGTGGTCGCCCAGACCCGTAGCGTGAATGAGAAGAGAGGTGGATGTTGTGAGGGAGAGAGAGTCGACCGACAAGGAGAGTCTAGCGTTAGGCACCCTGCAACAGCATCATCACCGAGAACACGCGCTAAAGGGGCAGCAACCGGGAGACAGCGCCTTCCCGGGTTGGTGACCTCACTTAATTGGGATAATTATGGAGAAGCCGGAAGGAAGCGTGGGAAGCTTGGAAGGTGGCACTGCAGCGCACGGTGTGGGCGCTGTTGCTGGTGTACACTAGGTACCTAGTTATGACGGCCGCAGGTACCCTTTGCACACAGCTACGGCGAAGATATACATGGAAATGCATTGAAGCTGAGCTGGTCCTGTCGGGAAGGGCCTCTCCTTGGGGCTGAGCCCAACGAGGCTCACTCAGTTCAGCAGGGTCGTCCTCAGAGAGAGAGGCATCACTAATACCACCATGACATGACGCCTACAGCAGCCACTGCCAGCCACGCATCATTAGGTTCCTGAGGGCCAACGGGGATCTGGGTCGGAAAAATCCGCTGATTGGACAAAGAAGCAGGACAACGGGGCCAAGAGAAGCGCCCAGTCCCTGAATCTCTTGCTGTTCCGTTTTACTGCACTTTCCTGGCTTTCCCAGCATGAATCCCTTTTCGGACACCCGAAAAGGGGTAGGGGGATAGGAGATACGTACCTGATTCACTTCCAGCATCCCCGCAAAAGCCCAGAGACACACTGCTGCACTACGGTAGGTAGGCACCAAGTACCTACATGCCTACCCAGGTATCTACCTGTAGGTAAGTACCTCGGTACGAATACACAGTCGCGTACGTACCTACCTCGTCAGCTGAAGACCAGGATGAGGCGGATGGCATTTCCGTCAGCATATTCGTAGACATCTGTCATCTGGGCTTGCACTGTGTTTTGGGACCAACCGCACACACACCTGTTTCGTGCTCTCAGTGTTTGAACACCATGACATCGTCTCCTGCCTGCCTATGTCAAAGTATCAACGCCGTCTACGAAGCGGACCCCGGCGGTGCGCTTGACTGGAAACGTCGGCTACCCAGGCAGCGCAGCGATGTGGCAACGGAAATAACGGCTGTGCACAGCCTACCAGAGGAGGGTATCGGATTCTCGGCACCAGCAATGGACCGCCTGGGTTGTTGGGTTCGTCGATATGACTAACCAGAAATGCAAGGCATTTGACATCCTTGTGTCCCGTCCCATGCCCGTGGTTGACACGGTTTGGGCCGTGCCTCTTGAGACCTTCAGACGACCGACCGGTCCATCGAATGGCCCGTGTAGCCTCTCTAGGTAGATGACTACCTATTACGGTCTCACCCGTCAACGTCACCCAACCCATTGCCGCCCTCCAAGATACCAAGACATTTGTACAACACACGCGAGGGCCGGCCCACCATCAGCATGCCTAGCCCGTCCTCTCACTGGCTGGCCGCTGGGGCAAAGAGCATTACGACAACATTCGCCCGCCCTTGGGCGGTTCGTTGCTCGATACACTACGTCACCAGTATTGGAGCTCCCTGTGGCTTCGCCCAGCCTCCATGTGCCCCTACTGCGTAAGCCCCTCGAGCTGACTCTGGCTAGCGCAGGCGGCGTGCTCATGAAAGAAGGAAAAGAAGGACAGAAGAAACGGATGTGACTTTTGGATCACCGAATCTGCCTGCGCTATTTTTACCGCGGTGCAGTCCAGGGACCTTGGTTCACCTCAACGGAAGCCTGGATCTCCAGCAAGCGCAGATGTCCCCTGGGATGAAGTATTCGGTGGGGAAAGAGATGCCAATTTTTCAGCCCCAGCCTGACATGCCTTGCTGATTCACCGCAAATGAGCCAAGCGGGAATCATTCAATCGGGGGAGGCTTGCACATGTATGTGTGTATTGGTACGCTATCTATCAATACTGTATCCCTACTCTGTATCCGTACAGTTGACGGATACGCTTACGGCTTCTCTCCATTCGGCGACCATGCTTCTTCTTCGCTCGCCCACCCGGATGCCTTGCGCAGGATTTGATGGGGCAGTCTGCCTCATTCACTGTTCCCACCCGTACCGTGCGCGTGCTCGTTTATTACTCGGGGGCACATTCGGAGACCCTAGCCATTGTCGTAATCTCTAAGCGCTAGTGTCCAGCCCTAAGGCGGAATCACCAGACTAAGGTACGTACGAAGTATCCAAGCCGGCCTCTCTCTTTGACTTCGGGGTTTTATTTTATTTTGTTTGGATTTGGATTTGGATTTGTCGTGCAGCCAGCTGAGGTGACGCGAGTCAACTTGCGCCAGCCTTGCCATGCATGAGCTGAGACCAATAGCAGTGACCCTCCTCGTTCGTCCATCCGCCTCGGCGTTGACAGACTGTACGCTCATCAAGAGAACTGTTTTTATTTCCCTTTTGTTTTATGCATATTTTCTAACCCACTTCACCGAATTGCAAGACATGGTGCCCTTGGCTACCCAGATGATAATGTTTCGATAAACATCCACCCCGAGCACACACAGTACAGTATTCACAGACCGAAATCAGCAGGTTACACACAGGGGGGGTCCATGCACCCCTGCAGCCGTGGTCGACAAAGGTACATTTCAGTGTTACCCTTGATCGTTTGTGCCACCACATATTAATTTAAGCTCCGGAGCCTGGTCTTCGTCAGCTCTGCAGGCACATCTCTTCTTCCGCACTCTAATGAGGTGTTTCGCTTGTTGCGCTGCTCTGCGCTCGAATTCGAGGCTGGTCGTTCAATATGGTCTTGGAGGCGTCTAAACCTTCTAGGCTTGTTCTGTGCGGTATATCCTTCGGAGGCTTAGGCTGTTGTCGGCCAACAACTGCCCTATCGTTATATCGCTAGAACTCTCCTTTGGTCCGTTAGCCGATGCCATCGGTCTCCGGTGTGTCCGGCACGTCTGAACGTGGCATGGCGGAGAGGTCTCGCTTTTGTTTGCTCCATCTGGAACTATAGGTAGCCAAGAGAGGCGCGACCGTTGCCGCCACCGCCCATCCCGGTGACAAGACTCGCCGAATTAGCTTGTTGCAACGGCGGGGGCTTGGGTGTTTCGCAAGCAGGGCGCAAGCTAAATCCTCTCATCCGCCTCGTTGCTTACATGAGTGTCACGGGACCGGCAGCGGACTGGCTGTCTCACAGCTCGATCGTGTCTCTTGTGGCAAGGTCGGAAGTTGGGAATAAGCAGTGCCACTGACGCGGTTCCGGTCTTTCGGACTGAGACAGCTGATTGCCGGATCAGGGTATCACAAAGAGCTCCAGCGAATCTGGCTGGGCGTGCTCGACCCAAGTCCCAAAGGCTTTGATTTCATATCCCGCCCTGTATCCGCGGCGATTCTTGCTGTCTTCTTGTCATCCATACGCCTCTCCTTGTCCATGCTGAAGCCTTGGCGGACATAAAGTACCAGACTCCAGGAACTGCCGCCGAATCCTTTTGTTCTCGATGGTGATGACCGGATTGCCTTAAGCAAGATTGGTGTCTTCCGGTTCAATTCCGCAATCACAATGAGGCTGGATCCGTTCCCATATATAGAGTCCTCTTTAGACCTGACAGGGTTCCGCTTTGCGCCGGATTGAATGACATGTAGATCGGCAACTGGAAGGAAAGATACAAGTTGAAACCCATGGCCCGTGTATCTCAACAACTCACAACAGCTCTTCCGGATATCTCCTCCCTTGCGAGCCGGGCCATGATATCCGCAACATCGGCGAAACCATACGGCTCCACAACCGCTCTGATAGTTCCTTTCCTCGCCTCTTGAAGCAACTCGGTCATTTGCTCCTCCGTGCCAACCATGGCACCTTTGATTGTCAACGCTTGCGTATCCCGCATTAGCTCCCAAGCCATCGAGGCGACGCGTGTGCAACACGAATACATACCTTTGAGGGCGCATTGGGTGACTGAGATTGGGAGCTGGAAATCGTTGTGCGGCAAACCGACGCAGACGACCGTCGCCATGGACCTGGCCAGCTTGGGCGCGATGCGGTAGGCTTCTTCGGACCCGGGCACTACGATCACGGCGTGAGCACCCTCGCCGGTCAACTCCGTCACCGCCTTCTCCACATCGTCGGTCACGTAGTCGATGTATGCCTCTGCCCCCGAGGACTCGGCCAGTACCCGCTTCTCATGCCCAGTGTCCACCGCGATGACGCGAAGCCCCTTCATCCTGGACGCGATCTGGACCCCGAGGTGACCGAGCCCCCCGCCGGCGCCTTGGATGACGACCCAGTCGCCGCGGGACAGGTCGCCGTCCAGCATCGAGACGGCGCCCATCATCGTGAGGCCCGCGCAGAGCAGCGGCGCGGCCTCCTCGTCGCTGAGCCCCGGCGGTATCCGCGTCAGGTACCGCGCGTCGGCGACGACGTACCGCTGCAGCGTCCCGGGCCGGTGCTTGCCCGTGTTCAGCTGCCCCGGGCAGTTGTTGGGGAACCCGCGCGCACATGCGGAGCACGCGCCGCAGGCGCGGTACAGCCACTTGACCCCGACCCGCTGGCCCAAGAGGGACCCGGGGGTGTCGTCGCCCAGCCCGGCCACGACGCCGACGCCCTCGTGGCCGACGATAGGGTTGTAGGCGCCCCAGCCGCGGAGGGCCCGGACTTCCGATCCACTAACGAGGAGGGAGGGTGCTCTAAGTCTTTGGCTTCTTGGCGGGCGGGCGGCGTGCGCCGGACTTACCAGACACCGGTGAAGCTCAGTTCAACGAGGACCTCGTGAGGCCCGGGGCTTCCGACGGGTACATCGTCGCGGACGATGACCCTGGCCTCGGGACCCGGGTTTTCGATCAGGACTGCTTTCTGCAGGTTGGGAATGACGCCCGGACTCATTCTGTACCGGCGCGTAAAGTCGTGGTTCGCTTACTTGGAGTCAATATGAGACGGGCTAATGTGGAGGAGGCCTGGTGGCTCACAACGGGGCGACATGATAATGTCGCCTTACTTGCGGCGGGGTCTTCCCCGCGTCTGCGTGAGGCCGGGATTGCGGGGGCGCCTGCGGAGTAGTTGATCGAACGCGCAAGACTTACTCACACTTCTGTCCTCGTCATGTAGCTGGCTACTGAAACACAAACTCAAGTTGGTCTCGCATCATAGCAATCATGGAGTCCCCTATGCCCCTTCTGTCGATGAATACCAGCATTGCAGTGGCAATCCACAACTAAATACCGACGAGAAGCCATGGCTTCTGTCTTCGAGAGGCAAGATGACGACGTCAAAGGTCTTTGGGGGGCGTGCGCGGTACGGGGGGGAGGCGCTCAGGGCCCTGGTATACCGCTGCTTGAGCTATGTCACCGGCTGACGGCGTTTTGATGGCGGACTGTGGATGGCGACAGCGATAGACTTCGTCACTGGCACGACTCGTCGAGTGCGACTGCCTGGAGACGCCCGTCGAGTCTCGGGGAGATACACGCATTATGGGGACAAGAGCTCGCGCCTTACGCCGCTGCATATGAAGACAGTTTGCTTCCAAGAGCAGGCTCGATTGACTGGGCGTTGCGGCTCTTGTCAGAATTCAAATGGAGCAGAGAGACTGACTGCATGATCGGAAATGAATGCATGTGTCTCTTCACACGTGTCTGGCTGACATGAAGATATTCATTCGTCCCTTCGACCCCTTTTATATTCGTGTATATCTCCTGAGCCGCCAGGCTCCGAATCTATGTTGAATCGTTTCTTTAACGGACCTTGCCACCGGTCCTCTCTCTTTTCTCCTACTGTATGCCCTTTGACGCTTCTACTGTGATCCGCCCTTTTCTTTACCAAAAACTCGTCGCGGAAGCTGAACCGCAGCCTCCCCCCGTCTCTTCGTCACCCCCGAACGCCAACCTCACCCAGCACCCGCCTCGGCCCCAGCCTCTTCCACTTGTCGACCGTCTCCGTCCCCGCGGCCCAGACGACGCCCAGCATCCCCGCCGCGTTCACGCCGATACCGTCGACCCCGTCTGTCACCCTCGGAATGACCACCATCCACCTCCCGCCCAGCACGACGTTGTGCGGCACCGCCGCCTCCCTGCCGCCCCCGCCCCCGTCCCCGCTCTCCTCCATGGCCTCCTCCCGCCCGGGGACCAGCGCCGCCGCTTGCCCGAGCATCTGCTGGTAGGCCCCGACCAGCTCGTCCGCAGACGGCAGCTCCCCAGCCCCGCCACCGCCGCCGTTCAGAGACCCGCCGAACCGGTGCACGAAGTACCGAAACGGCGGGCCCGGTTGCCCTCCGGAGGACCCCTCCGGCTTGGCCTCGTCGGGCCACAACGGGATGGCGTCGGGCGCAGGGATCACCTGCATGTGCTTGTGGAGCCGGCTGCACCCGCCCTTCTTGCCGCAGTTGAAGATGGCGAGATACTCCTGCCCAACGCCGCCGCCGCCGCCACCGCCGCCGCCGCGGCGATGCAGCCCCATCAGGACCTCCCGCGCGGCCCCGAGGTCCGCGCCGTCCAGCGCCTCGAACTGGCGCCGCCGCCCGTCGGCCGTCACGAGCATCAGGTGCGGCCGGTACGCGCAGAACTTGTTGAACGAGAGGACGTGCGCGCCGCCGCCCACGAGGCCGATCTCGTACCCCGCGATGCTGATGTCGCCCCCGGGCAAGCAGCCGTCCGCGTCGAACTCTATCCCGTGCAGTGTTCCGTTGCTGCTGCTGGCGCCGGCGCTGCCATTGCCGGTACCGGGTGCCTTGGTTTCGGACGACGTGTGGTGGGAGCCCCCGTCGGCCCCGCCGTTGGCGTCGTCCAGCTCCGCGTTGTCTCCCACGGCGGCGGGCTTGCTTTTCAGGGCTGACGTGATGCGGAACTCGAACTGAAGAACTTGTCAGTTCCTGTTCCAGCAGCGCTTCCCCCCCCCTAGCTCGTTCCGCGTTCCGCATCACACACGTGTGGCGCCATGGTAGAAGGTCCGCAGCCAACTTTGAGAGCCAGACAGCAAAGAGAGGGGAGGGGGAAAGAGGAGAGAGGGGTTTTACCTTGAAACCCCGGTCCTCGTAGTAGACTTTTTCCATGTCCTCGGCGTACATCACCACGCCGTCGCGGACGAGCTCATCGAACCTGGCGAGGACTGAGGCCTCGTCTATCGCGGTCGAAGCCATCTCTGCCTCCCAAGCTCCAGTTGTCCGATTCACCTTTCACAGTAGGGCCGGATTCTGTAAAGCCAAATGCAGGGACTGCGAAAAAAAAAACCCCCCCCCGTAAAAAAGTAGCAAAAGACCAAGCAGCGTACCCGTTGATATCTGCTATAACACTCTAAGCCGTTAGTCGATTACAAGTTTGTGGTTCGTTAGGTCGTGGTTGGCGACCACCCGCGAAAACCAGGAAGCCGGTTCATTGGCCGGCCCCAGATGACGACACTCATCACAATTCCTTGGAGGCTCCTTGCTGCACAACTCCCTGCGCCACCGGAAGGGGCGTGTCCTTCTACCGCTGACGGCATGCTTCGAGACATTCTGATAAAGGCACGAAGAAGTGTTATTACCAAACGCCATTAGAATTTTTGAAATTTCAACAGACATGCAATTACACACCACACCCGCAAGGCTTTCTAGGTTCCGAGGTATTATATTACAAATTCCCACCAGCTGGTTGTTTTACCCACACCCTATTGCTGCCGGTCCAGCATGGCAGATGGCCCTCCCTTGTCCCTCTCCCCTTAACGCTATCATTGACTCGTCAATTGCCCGAGAAGCCCTTATAATGCTGTTTTCTCTTGTCTTCGGTCCGCACAGAGTCGTGTGACACCCGTACCATAGTCCTCAATACAACCTCGTCTAACTCTCCGCCAAAGTTTCACGTCTACGCGGGAGGAACGGGGGCAGCAGGGCCGGTGCCGGTCGCGGCGCCTCTCTGGACGGGAGGTGGCAGGAAAAGGGGCAGGTAGGTGACGGCCAGGGCCATGACTGCGTCTCTCTGTCAGCTGTGCAGCCAAAAAAAAAAAAAAAAAAAAAAGGACAAAAGAATTTATCGCGACATGTGAGGCGGGACATACTGGACATGCCGACGGAGAAGTAGCCCGGGGTCGCAGAGCTCTTCTTGGTCTCCTCGCTCTCGCCGAGCCAGGTCTGGATGCTGAAGACAACGGAAGCCCTGTATTGGTCCCGTTAGTGAGCGATTGGGGTTCTGGGGGCCCATCGTTCTGTGCCGCAGCTCGCCGCAATCCGTGGCGGGAGCAACAAAGCGATCGATTCAAAAAGGGGGCGAGGGGGTGAATATGGGTGACGGAAGTGCGTACCATCCGATGAACTTGTTGCGCGTGAGCATGGCGGCCATTGGCAGGGTGGAGGAAAGCGTCGAGGACATATCAGTGGTGTCGCCCTTGGCCCTGGGCTCCTGATAGGGGACGACTGCGAGAGGGGTGCTCAGTTAGCAAGCAGGTTGGCATGGCGAGTTGGGGACGGATCGCAACATACTCAGGTCCGGCCGGCGCATATCCCGCTTGGACGCCATTGCGAGGGTTGGTGATGTGGTGTCGGTGGGCTTGCGAGGGCAGGTGGAATCGACACGAGCTGTGGAGGGGGAGGACGGGACAGCTGAAGGTACCTGAAGCAACGTCGCGGAATTGGATCTCGACCATCTGGCTGCACAACGCGAACGAACGAAGCTCTCCCCAGTGACGGCGCAATTACAAAAGTGGGGGCCTTGGATCTGAGGCTGCCACAGACGACGACCAGGAACTGGAGCTGGAGCTGGGGGGGGGGGGGGGGAATTCGGCGCCGATGCCCCCGCTGCCACAAGCAAAGACACGTTTTCCATATAACGCGGGTACGCCCGGGGGTGTGTGCGACTCCGCGCCAGCCGTCCAGCGGCCCCTCCGACCTGCCCCACGAACCGATCCAATCTACTGATTATTTTGCCCACATGCCTTCGGACCATAGACTCTTGCAGCACGCTCGTGTGCTCATGCTCGCGCCCATTACCCAGTACCTACCTACCTACCTACCTACCTAGTGCGTGCACAGCTGGTGGATCGCTCACTTTCCGAGAGAGACGCGGGTTCCGGTAACGAGAAAGAAAAAAAAAATACATACAGGACCTGAGACTCGAACGGGAGCGCCGGCTGCCCAGTGCGGGAGGGGTGAGGGAGGCCTCGAACGGGGTTCACCCTAGCCATGGCGTTCGTCCCGGCGGGACAGTTTCGCCATGCTCAACCAGTAGTAGAGTACGGAGGCGATTTCCAGGTTCGATGCCCAGCCGCGGCTACATAACTAGTTGGAGAAGCAAGATGTCACCAAGAGGTAGGCGGGACACATAGTGCAGTGCTTTTTCGATGCAGAGGAGGGCTTGGTGGGTGGCGGTCCCCCTTTTCGAATGTTTGAAATTCCCGGGCAACTCTAACTCCCTGAGAGCCGGGTCTGCGGGGCAACCCCGTCAACTCGTTTTCATCTCCAGGGTATTTGGCCGCCGGGGCAAGGGGAGCTCTCCGCAGATTGCTGCTCGGTCCGGCATCACCTCCGTGGTAGTCGTTCTCAGTCCCAGTAGTAACCTTTGACGCGATGCTCCCTGCCTGCTCCTTGCCATGTTCCACCATCTGGACGGACACGGAAACTCTCGTCGCCCTGCGCGGGCCACAGATGCGGCCGCGAGGACAAGCCGGCCCAGTCAGTCGTTCTGCAGGCACGGCAACCCTACATGTGTACCGTGGGCATGTGTACAGCCATTTCCCCCACACTAGGAACCCCAAGGCGTGCCTGCGTCGCAGCAGGGCCCCGAAGCCGGGCATTTATCGGGGGATGCAGCAACAGGCCTGGAGATGCGGTGTGGTCGTCCGACGTGCCGTGCAACCCTGGTGGGCAGCTACCTGAGGTAGGTAGTGTACGGGTAATAGTGCGTGGACTACTCTGTACGGAGTAGAGGCACAGCCAACCGGGCCTGATCCCAGCGAACCGAACGAACCGAACGAGCCCACGACTGTGTATACGTAGCAGTGCACAGGCAAGTATGGCGGATGAGGAACCCAACGGCAATATGCCCCATTGCCGTTGGGCCTCCCGAGACGTGGACATTCGTATGGGAGGAGGACACGGCCAGGACCAGGGGAAAAGCCCAAGAAAGGCCTTTTCAAAGGGAACGCCATCGTCGACCTCTCTCTGGAAGACCCTCCCCCCCATGGGCACCAGCAGAGCAGCGCCCAACTCAAAAGTCAGGCGTAGTCAGGCGTAGTCAGGCGTTGCAAGACGCCTCGGCAGCAAGTGTCTCGCGTGGGTGATGGGTATCACGAGAGGCTATTCGTATCTGCTGGAGCAAGGCATCACCGATTGGCCATCATATCGCCATGGTGCGTTCCTGGTGCGTAACCAACGAAATGCTCGGCGGCGATTTTCGTCAGACTGTATGCCAATCTTGTTGCACTGATTGGCGGTGGGACTGCATGCAGTATGATGGCAGATTGCGTGACACACATGGGTCACGATTCAGCTATCGAGAGACAAGGAGGGGAGGAGGGAGGGGGTGCTTCAACGACTGAGGAGCCATTGCGGCACGTTTTCTGGTTCGCCAGAGGTGGACAAACTTTTCCGAATCTGGAGAAGCGAGGAGAGGCGGGTATCGCGAGGTGTAAGCCGTGCTCGATAGAGCAACCTACTCGTCGAACCATAGAGGGATCTCGATGCGTAGAGAAGGGCGATGAATTAAAGGGAGGGAGAAAGAGAAGGAGAGAGAGAATAAGCTAGGTGGCTTTGATCGCTCGTGGAAAGTCTGGACGAAACGCGGAAAATGCAAGGCCGGTCTTTTCTGCTGCCAATGGTCGACGGTTCGGACACGGTGCCGCCTTCATCCTGCATGCATGCATACATCCGCCTGTTCGGGAGGAACGGGCTGATGGGACGGGGACGACTCAAAACACGCGAGGTTTGTAAGAGAGGAGGCAAACCGGATGCAACACACCAAACAAGAGGCACAGGATAGAAGCTTGCAGCAAGCAGCAGGGAACGGAAAGCGTCAATATGGACGGGCGATGAGGCGGCGGTGGCGCTTTTTTTTTTTTCGGGAGGGCTGGCGGCGGGCGCAGAGATCTGAAAGTGGCAGTTACGATGCAGATGGAAGCTAAAGAGGCGGGGACCGGCACGATTGGACGGACGGGCTAAGGTACCTACCTACCTACCTATCTACCTAGTGGTACCTACCTGTATTTGTGTAGACCAGGCCAGGCCGGGCGATGGGAAGGGAGCAGATGGCTGGATGGCTTGTCCTGCTTTCCCTCCTCCTCCTCTTCTTCTTCTTCTTCTTTGCTTGGAGGGGAAGGAGTCTCCGGGGAGTTCATGTCAGCGGACCGATACCCGGCCTGCCTAATTTAGATTGTCGCCGTCATCGGTTGTCAGAAGGTTTGGGTTGCGTGATCTGTTGCGTACCGGTAACGTGTGTGTGTGTGTGTGCGCTGGCCAAGAGGGGCTGTAGGTCAATAAACTCACTCAAACTATGGGTAAATGAATATACTAAATAAGGCAGTACATCGTATCTCAAAAGATGCATTTCCTGTGCGGACCTTTTTCTTTTCTTTTCCTTTTTTTCCTTTTGCCTTTCTCTGCCGCTGGGAAGCTCCTGCCGGCCCCTGTTTGGCTCTGAACTACAAAAAGAAACGACACAAGCAGACGAGACCGGGGGGGGGGAAGGCGGGCAGCGGATGTGGCCCCCCCGGACGCTGACAATTTGTTCACAGGCTTGCGATCTCCATCCCCGATTCTTATCTAGCCTGTCTCAGCACCTTTAGTCTATTGTCCGTCTGGATGAAACCTTTTCAATATCTTGCCGCATTGTCATTCACGTAGGAAGTTGTCGCAGTGATGGAAGGAACACCCGGCTCGTGCTCTCTGCTCCCTAAGTAGACATGTTTACCGTGTACAAAGTAGTCATGTTTGCTGGTCGGTTGTTGTTGGTTATTGTTGGTTGTGGTTGGTTGTGGTTTGGATTGTGTTGAAGCGTGCAACCGGTGACTATCATTTACCTAGTCGATTCGCGCGTAGGTAAGTGGCCCATCGAGCTGGATACGGAGAAACAGAGTCCCTGCGTTTACCTACCTAAGTATCTTACTAGGTACGTACAACTCGGAGTACCCAGCTGGCTATATCGACTTGGACACAGTCCGTGAATTTGCCCCCCACTCGGAGAAATCCCCAAGCCAATCCTCGTAGTGCCAAGAGACGGTGTTTGTTCTCCCATCTACTACCGGTAGACTGTGATACGCCCATACAGAGACTACGGTCGGTGGGAATAGTAGTGTACTCTAACTGCGGCCCCCCCCCCCCCCCCCCCTTTCCCATGTGTCGTTCCCAAGTCCCAAACAGGCAGGAAATGTGTCCAACTCTACGGAATCGCAGATCTCCTCGGTTCCGCCCCGCGACTCAAAAGCAATCTCTCCGTACGTACAGTCCTACGTAGTACGGATACACCGTATTCAGACTTGCACTCGGTCAAATCACACGATTCCCACATCCCACGGCGCACCCCCAGAGGCGCCCTCACACACCCTTTTCCCGCCGCCCTCCCACGAGCTTTGGCTTTCCCTTTCCCATTTCTTGTCGACACTATCACCCGTACCATTCTCCATTCACCAGTCCTTGCCTGGATTCGGACCCATCTTCAACCGGGCTGAACTCAGCCAAGACACGCTTACTCTGCGCCGTCGCCTTTGGGTCTTCCGATAACCTACTACTGCGTTGAACTCCACCTGCACCCTTGTGTGTCTGCCTCTCTCACTCTCCCTCTAACTCTCCCTCTCTCTCTCACTCTATTCTCTGGGCTGTCAATCGACCGGAAACCCGTCTTGCAAGACTCGCTGCAACAAGATTTCAAGCGGGCCATCGCGAGTCATCTGACGCCAACGAACCTGGCAGCCGCGGGAACCTTCGGAGATACACCGCCCCCCCCCGTCTCTGTATCTGATGGTACCTACCAAAGATTACCCGCGCGCACTTTTGCAACCTTACTGCGTGTTATCGGGTAGGGTGCCTTAGTCACCAACTACCTACCCTAGGGGCCCTGTACTATTACCGACCCCTTCTGAACCGTAAACCGGAATCCACAAACCGCACTCCCTCCACCCGACTTCTGCACAGATAGCGCGGCTGACGCCGTCAGATCCCCGACATCAATCCATCCATCAGTTTGTTCCCCCCTTCCATCCCTAACCTCCCGTCCCCAAACCCCCCCCCCCCCCAAGCATCGTCAAACCCGCTGGACATCACGGCATCGCAGTCCATCCCCCCCTCTCTCTCACGACCGTCAACCGCACCGTAACATCCCTTGAGAACCCAGCGATGTCGTCTCGGAACTTCCACTTGCGATGACCTCTCGGACCCCAATGGGCGTCCAGCCGCGACCGCCCCAGCAGCGAACTGTAAGCAGCTCGGGCTTGTCGGTTCAACGGCCAACTCACCAACGCACCCTGTCCGCACAATACCTGCCTCAATCGCCCGTCCGCAAGGAAAACCCGATCGATCTAACCGGCGATTCCAACGACGCTGCCGTCGCCCAGAACAGATATGGCTCCCTGCCGCGGAGGGGAGGCTCTCGCCTCAAGCTCGAGTTGTCCAACGATGCCATGCTAGCCCAACACCCCATCACCGACTCCCCCAAGACTCTCACGCCTTCCCGCCTTATGCCCAAGAACGACCCGTCCAACCTCGCCGAAATGGCCTCGCCCTCCTCTGCCAAGGGCCAGCCTATCGACGCAGATAACCCGCCCATGCCCATGCCGAAACGCCGTCAGCGATTCGTCGTCCCCTCGGCCGTCAAAGACTCCCCCGCGCCCACTGTCGCAATCAAGAAGGATGGCCGCCCAAAAGCCTGGCACTTTGAAACCCCTGCCGCTGCTCCTCGGTATGCGCCCTTTAACAAACAACGGAATGACGCGACCGCCAAACCAGGCTTTGGCGGTTCCGGCACTGGTCCGCGCGATGCGTCGGAAATCGGCTATGCCGACTTCTTTCCCTGGAATGGAAACCACCCCGAAGACCAATACTCAGAAACCGTAATCAAGACTGGTTACTATGACAAACCTCCCGCCTCGTCCGCATCCGAGACCTCGTCCGCCAAGGCCGTACTCTTTCCTGCCTTGAAGCACAAGAGCGGGCTCAACTTGCTGTCCAGTATCTTCGTCGGCGTCTTGAACCAGAGAAAGCTCAACGGCCAGATCTTGTCGCCCTCGACCTTTAAACCACCACCGCGCGTCACCCTCACTGATACCAAGCGGGAAATCTGGCTGAGGGACTTGGCGAACCCGTCGATATCCTTGCGCCGACTGAGCCGAACCATCCCCCACGGCATCAGGGGTAAGGTGCTGCTGGATCACTGCCTCAACAAGAACGTTCCGACGGAAAGAGCTGTATGGCTGGTCAAATGTGTTGGCGCCAACGAGATTCGGGCCTTCAAGAGAAAAGGGAACGGCCCGGGCCCATTTGTACTCGGCGGCGAGGCGAAATGGCTCAGAGATTGGACCGTTTTCGTGGAGCAGTTTGTGGAGGGTGTATCAACGGCCTTTGGCGACAACGACTGGAAAGCCAAGGTCCAATACGCGTAGGTCTATGTGGTCAAAGAACCCGCTTCAGTAACTAACAGTGCGACAGTATCCGACTGGCGACGCACCTCTATGCCGAACAACTACTCGACCGCGATCACTATATGGACTGGCTCGTCACCGGAATCGAAAACTCCACTCAATCGAAGCTGCCCATGTGGATACTGATCACGCAAATCTACTGGAAGGACCTGCTTCGGTTGAGGAAATATGGTCGGCGATTAGTGAATGCGTTGCTCGGCCATCTTCATACGGTACGTTTTGCTTGCATCCGTCCTTTTACCCCCCCGGCTTACAATTCTAGATCCACACCGACCCTGACCGCGACATCCTCGCCCAGCTCTCGGCAAGGTTGGCTACCTTGCTTACCCCCCTATTGTCGGCGCATCCCGACAACTTTGTGTCTCCTGCAACATGGTTCAAATATAGGGACGCCTTGCTTGCATCTATCCTGACCGACCACGAGTTTGCGCAGACCGCATACAAATCGATCAATATCAGAAACGAACAGCTTGTTGCTTCGGCTAGCAACTCCCAACCGGCCAACCGCCAAATACTTGTCAAGCATCTCGACACCACCTTCACCACCCTATACAGCCCCGATCTGGCTGCGCAGTGCTGGGCCGTGAGCGAGGACAAGGGCATGATTGTTCGGACACTACTAGAGTGGTGCACCTCACCGCACCGGCCAGGGGCCGCGAAGGTCTACATAACAGCCAGCCTTCTCCGGGCATGGGTGGCAGCCGGAGTCGACGTGACGACGGCCGTTCTCGAGTATCTAAGTAGTAACCCGCCGACGGAGACGAACTCGAAACGAGTTTTTCATAGACTCATGTCGGAAATCGTCCGTACGGGCGATTTTCAACTCCAGGGTTACATTTTCTGGCTCATTGCTAGAGGCGGCCTGCGGAAGCCCGCCGACACCGAAGCTGATGGCTCCTGCGCGACGAGGTTGCTGGTGGATCTTCCCCTTCACGCCCTGAACTCGACTTCCCGAACAACCAGAGCCAGTCTTCTCCGGCGTGCGAGTTACGATGTCAACGACGAGGCCGAGGACATCAGCACGGCTCTCAAGTGCATCGAGCATGCCCTGGGACTGCCTCTCCCACCGGGAGACCCGATGCTCCAACGGAAGCCAGTACCTGTGGGTAAGCTTTGTAGGCTGATTGCCAACAGCAACCGAGCCCTTCAAACCGAGGTTGGGGCCAGACTTGTCCAAATTTTCACGACCGAAATCGTCATGACCAAGAACGGACCGCAGGTCTCCTCGGCCATGTTCAACTTTACCCGGGCCGTTCTTGAAGCAGCGGCCGACTTTTCCGCCCTTGCTGAGATCATCAAGCTAGTAGTGCGAGCTTCAAACCCCGAGATTCTCGCCTCTTGCGCCGATACTCTCAATGTGCATCTGCCGGTCTTTGCTGCGCTGGGTGGGCCCAAAGAAATGTTCGACTTGCTGATGGAAAGGCTGAAGACCGTCAGTGAGGAACAAGGTCCTGCTGCACGACCTCTCTTGGCATCCCTTGCGAGCCTTGCGGTTCGGTTACCTGGGTTTACAAACACGGCCAGTTACCTCCGCCAGCAGCTCCACCAGTGCGATCGTAACAACCCGATCGACGCCTGTTCGCCGGTATCCGACAATATGACGGCCCAACTGCAGGACGCGGAGGGCGAGCTGCATGAAGAGATCGAGAAGCTCCTGACGAGCGGTACGAGCGTGGATCGGCCGACGATGGATCGGCTTTTCCAGACAGTCGTGGGCCGTTTGGAGTCCAGCTGGTCCAATTCGCCGGAGCGGCAGCGTGCCTACAGTGCACTCCTCGGAAGACTGCGGATTTTCGACACCCAACATTTCGATGTGCGTATGACTGACTGGGTTCACCACATCAGCGCGCTGAAGGCCCGCCCTGCCCTAGTAGATATATATCCGCTACTAATCAGCATGGGGTGCCTGACCCTGCCCATTGTTCTGACCACAACATCGATCGACACGGGCAGGATTGCGCTCAACCCATCCGGGCCAATCAGCAGTACTACGACTTACATGCAAGAGGTTCTCCGCCTCACGACAATGCCTCTCGCGGTCAAGACTACGTTGACCCCGGAAGAGACATACCGATTCTACATCCAGCAACAAGTGGCGCCGCGTCAAAACCACAAGGACATGGTTCTTCTCGTCAGGAACGCCCTAGTCGAGTACTCGAGGCTTCAGGGAGCCGTCGATCCAGCGCTGCTACCCCTGGCGAGCCCGAGCTTCACAGATTCCGTTTTGGAACTGCTCAAGTTTCTGGTGTTGCGGGATCCCCCTTCAGTCGTTCAGGCGCTGGGCACCAAGACGCCGGAGCCGGCGTTAACGAGTTTGTTTGCACAGATCACCTCCAAATTACTGTTGCCCGACGCCAGTGACGAATCGCCGCTCACATTCGAAACCGTCCTGGAACTAGCCAACGAGTTTACTCTCCCCTTCTGCCAGCTCAAGTTGTCGATCGGCCTTTCCGCCGACAGCACGACAAGCCCAGGAGGTGGCGAGCAGGCCCTAACGCAGTTCGACATGTTCTCTCGGGCAATGGATCGCGCGGTGTCAGCCAACAACGTCATGTGGACCAGCATGTTGCCGTATTTGAGCGAGGAGATCACAGAACACCTCAAGAAGCAAGCCCATCTACGATTTCTGGGCCTGTTTCCGTCGCAAAAGAACCCTCCTGCTTCGGATCCGCTTTCCCTCGAAAGCACCCAGTTAGCAGGGAGCTTACTGTCGGTTGTCGAGGCCATTCTTCGAGGCCGTCCGGCTGTTCGGACCTCCCAGCTCACGTCGGGCATGGTCGAAAAGCTGGCAGAGCTCTGGGAAATCTTGGCGGCCGGAGATGATGACAAGAGGGAGCTCCGGACGTCGATACTCCGGTACTGGCTACCGGCATTGTTGAGATTCATCACACTCCATACAACCGCCAACGAACCCGTGTCCGCTGCCGCTCAGGCCCAGACCACCAACAACATGAAGCCTCCAGTCAATGCAGCGGCATTTGAAATCCGGGCCAGAATCCTCATCATCTTGTCTGGTCTCACCCTCGAGCTCGACACCCTGGCGCTCCAAGACCCGCAGACCGGCCGGATCTTGAGCCAGCAGGTATTCGATCTGGCCCTGCTGCTGATCGACACCTTGCCGGAAGACTCACGCTTGCAGTGCGTGCGTGTTCTTCTCACAGGTGGCACAATGCAAAACCCAGCGTCGTCGGACGCCCGCCTCCAGTACCTCTTCAGCCACATGCCTCCACAGACAGAGCAGTTCGTGCTCGCGCATCGACAGCAGCCGGCAACACAACAAATCGGGCCGCCGAGACAGAAAATCCCAATCTCGATGCAAGGCACCGGTAAGCTTACGCCTTTCGTCTACCGCAAGTGGGAGATGCTCAGCGAGCCAACTCCCAACGTTGGAGAAAATGATACGGCTCTTAGCCTTACACTGTTTGAGGCTATCAAAATTCAGTAAAAAAAGTTTGGGGAGAACAGGGTATACACACATTGCACACAAATTTTTTTTTTTTTAGTCATTGCATTCCGTTCGAAGGGGGGGGCGTGGAGGATTACATTTTTTATATATAGATACCATTACTGGTCCAGAATGGGAAGGGTGCTATGATAGACTCATGGGGAAGGGGGCAGTGAGAGAAAGCCCTTTATTTTTATTTTATGCTTTGATACCAGGATGACAAGAGACGGGGTAACAAAAGCCGGCGTTGGCTGACTTTGGAAAGATAAGGAAGAGAAGGATGCTGGGGAGGGGAGGGGGGGTTGAATGACTGTATCATTGACGCACATGTTCTTTCTTTACGTTAACAACAATCTATCACGCGTGCTGATGACCTCATTCATCTGCCACATATATATGATTATAGTGCGCTGCTCAAATGTGACACGTGTGGTTGAGTGACCGCGTATGCGATAAATAACTCACTCCTCCGCTTACTACAGACTGGGTCGCCGTTGTCGCCAGACCCTCTGAGACTTTCCAAGGTATCCTAAACACATAGGTAATTTGGCAAAGAAAGGGTATGAGTTGACCGAGTGTGGCGTTTGCCCTTCGGCGGAAAAGTCGAGTCCGTTCATCATCACGATCAGAGACATGGGTCAGATGGCGGAAAGGCTCGTTGCACTGGCTGCTGAGGCATATTCCCTACAAGGAAGATAAAATGCCGACTTGGTTGTGGACGATATATTGGTATATTGTTTGCATTTTCAAAAACATGTAATCAATTTCGAATACCACGCGGAACTGCTGGCGACCAGGAAAAGACGCGACGACCCAAGCTTTGACCCTGTCTCTGAATGTGATATGGATGTACTCCCCTATGGGTTTTATTGATGGACTGGGCCTCAACTCAGGGAGCGTCGATTTCGAAGACATTGAGAACCCCTCGATGACCGCTGAGTTCCCATTCATCTACATTTGTCCTTTCCCACCCTGGCAAATATACCATCGTTGTAATTAAGCACCCCCCTACGTACGAAGGAAGTATGATTCCCAGGTCCGTCAAAGGGGGGAGGATGCTAAGGGGAGAGAATGTTGAGTTCCCTCAATGCACCTGCAAACGGGTTGGTAAGAAAACGCTAGTTTAGCATCACTAGGTCCATTCGTAATCCTCCGATTTAGATGTTGGACGACGGAGTCGTCTCTTGCCCGGGCCGCCTTGCCTGCCAGCCAGCCAGCTTTGAAACCCCCGAAAAGGGTAGCCGAGCGGTCGACTTTTCCCTGCCCAGACCTCCGAAGGCGATATGTCACCACATGTTTCTGATTGGCTGATTTGGCTGGGTCCCACAAGCGCTGGGAGGCTTTTACACTCCGGGCCCTCGCCCAATAACCTACTCCTCGGGGCCGGCAATTAATTCCTTTATAAGCCAGGAGACATACGACGACTTCATATCGAGGAAAAATCTAACTTCACTCGGAGATGCACAGTCTCCTCCGCTTGGTCAAAGTGCAGAGTCGTCGTCCTCTGGCCTCCTCCTTACCCCTGATCCTACTCTCTATTCCCACCTCTTCTCCCTCTCGTAATCCCAACCGTCTCGGCTGGACGATTCCCAACTCTCGCTTAACACACGCCCTAAGGCCAGGAAAGCCAGCGCTTCCTCTCAAAATGGACGGACACGGAGACGTCAACAACGTCCACGCCGCCCGGCCCGCCGTTGAGATCCGCCCCGACGAAGCGTACCTCGGCCGCTCCCACGCCCTCGCCGCCGAGGACGACGACGCCGAGACCCGCGCCCGCTACCGCCCCTTCCTCCTGCCCCCCGCCGCGGCCGAGGACGACTGGGTCGCGGGCCTGGAGCTCTCGACGGCCCTCGCCCTCGTCGACCGCGAGGTCCTCTCCCGCGGCCTGCCGCGCCTCCGCATCCTCGTCCTCTACGGCAGCCTCCGCGCCCGCTCCTACAGCCGGCTACTCGCCCTCGAGGGCGCCCGGGTGCTCCACCGGCTGGGCTGCGATGTGCGCGTCTTCGACCCGGCCGGCCTGCCGCTCAAGGACGACGTCAGCCACGGGCACCCCAAGGTCCAGGAGCTCCGCGACCTGAGCCGGTGGAGCGACGGGCACTTCTGGGTCAGCGCCGAGCAGCACGGCGCCGTCACGGGCCTGTTCAAGACGCAGATCGACTGGATCCCGCTGTCGCAGGGCTCCGTGCGGCCGACGCAGGGCCGCACGCTCTGCGTGGCGCAGGTGTCGGGCGGGTCGCAGAGCTTCAACGCCGTCAACACGCTGCGGCTCTTGGGCCGGTGGATGCGCATGTTCGTCGTGCCGAACCAGAGCTCCGTGCCGATGGCGTACACGCAGTTCACGCCGGAGGACGAGGGCGGGGGCGGGGGGTCCAGGATGCTGCCGAGCTCCAACAGGGACAGGCTGGTCGACTGCATGGAGGAGCTGGTCAAGTACACCGTGGTGATGCGGCCGCACCTCGACCTGTTTGGAGACAGGTTCAGCGAGCGGAAGGAGAAGAGGGAGAAGGCGGAGAAGGCGGTCAAGATTGCTGAGGTATGAGAGAAGCTGCCACCGTATCAAAGCTGGAGGAACGGCACGGCGCCCGCGTCTTGCTGTCCCATGAAGGCCTCCTTCAAGTTCTCGAAACACCCGGGGGTCACGATGTGGTCGGGTTGTATGTGTCGAGTTCCTCATACCAGGTGGATGAGATTGATAGAATACAACAGGAATGGATAATGGCGCGATCGAATATAGGTCGAACGCGCATGTTTCGCTCGTGATAGATACCGAAGCGCGACACTGGGCACTAGATGCCACCGTTTTGACGAAGCAAGCGAGTTCTGATGGTGTCCAATATCTGTTTTCCTCGTCGGCCAACAAACGGACGACGGGCTTCCCGCCGCGGGGGTCACACTCCCGCCTCTAACTAACCCGGAAACGGGTTCCCACGCCGACCCTCCTCGCGAGGAACGGCTCGCGCACGGGGGAGGGGACTGGTGAAGAGGCGTGGTCGTCTCGCCGGCCGATACGGGATCACGGCTTGCTGACCAAAGTTAAACGGGATCTCTTTCACTATGTCACCTTAGCCCAAGACTTCCTCGCAGCCGAACCAGTGCTAAAACGCTTCGGCTTGGAATAGCCACGGTATGATCAAGCAGGGCGCCGGCGCTCGACCAACATGAGTTGCACTGTACAGAGAGACTGTACGATGTACAGAAAGAAAGGTCGCCTATTTTCAACCAAAGCTAGAGGGGGGGGGAGCAGTACGAACGATCCATAGGTGTGGGATCATACACGAACATACAAGCAGACCATGTTGAGGCAACACAATTTGAAGAGGCAGATATGAGGCATAAAAGCAATGCTTCGCAAGTGCAAATCAAATCCAGAGGCTGTTTCGTACATCCCATTGAACTCCCCCCCCCCCCCCCCCCCCCCCCCCATCCCAGTCCCTGCCCTGTACCCACAGCCTTTCTTATTATACACAACTGGACACCACGTTCTGATTCTTTTTTGCTTTCCGGTGCGACCAAGCGCTTCGCTGTCTGTTTTCTAAGGAGATCACCCTTCTCCCTTTGAGCGTTTAATTCCATAGGTATGCTTAGATAATGAGAAAGTAGGCCGCCGCCTCGTGTAGGATCGTCCAGCCGCATGGTCATTCCCCTTCGTACCGAAAGGAAAGAGCACAAGGCCTTTGATTAGTAGGTAGATAATGAACGTGCAGTGCTCCATGCGCCGCGTGCCAATACAGTGACGAAGGCGTTTTCTATACAAATATGCATCTTGTTGTTAATGAACATCTAGAGGATTGGATTTCTCCATCATGCGTAGAATGCCTCAAAGAAGTAGATGAAGCCGAACACGAGGAATGCGACGGCACCACCGACAGTGACTGCAAACAGTTAGTGATTATCCTGCGGCAGAGACGTAGAACTGACTTACCAACTTTGAGACTGACACGGCCTGCGATGGCACGGCCGCCAATGACGGCAGCGCCGGTGCAGATGCAGTGGCCAACCATGGCACCCAAGATGACCCACCAGTAGTCCTGTCCAGCAGCCATAGCGATCGTGGCAATCTGACTCCGATCACCCCATTCGCCGAGGAAGGTCATGACGAACGTCTGGACCCACGCAGGACTGAGGAGGAGGCTAAAAAGGTTGCTCAGACCCTGCAGGGAGCCCTTAATGCCACCCGAACTAGGCGAAGGACTGCGGGGCGGGGATTGAGAAGGCGAGCGCGGGGGCGACGGGAAACGGCTCTTAGACCTAGACTTCCTGCTGCCGTTCAGGCCCATCTCCAAGGCATAGGGAGAAACCGCAGAGCCGCGACGCTTGCCCTCCTTCTCCTTCTCAGCCAGCTCCCGCTCGACTTCGTGCAGCTCAGCAGTGACACCCTCGTTGGGGTCCATGCCCAGACCCTCACGAAGCAGTTTCGCGCCGAACACAAAGAACAGACCGGCAGCAAGAAAACTGGTAACGCGCTTGGGAATCAAAGTAGGCACCGCGTGGCCGAGACAAGCAGATAGAATGGTCATGACCAAGAGGGCGCCGAAGGCAGCAGAGAAGACGACCGTCCGGTCATGCTTCATCGCCATGAGTGCAGCAACGAGGAACGTCTTGTCGCCGACCTCGGATACAAGGATCATAGTCAAAGACAGAACGAAGGAGTGGAATGGCTGGATGACGCCCTCGGCCTGATCGTCTAGGTTGTTGGATGACTTCCCCTTGGACTTGGAGACATCCAGGTGATCCTTGTGCGCCGAGTTGGGGAGAGGTTGGGGCTTGTCGTCGAGCTTGTGGGGGAGACCTGCAGGTTTCTGAGAAGTATTAGCATTTCGCGTCCGGAGTTATCTGTCAGGCGTTCATGCAACCCACCTCGAGACCCGCAACGTCGTCAGCAGTGTGGTGGTCGCGGTCGCGCTCCTTGTCCTTGGTGGCTTCCTTGTCGCCCGAGATCTTCTCCTGCTCGCTGTGAGGTAGAGGAGGCTGCTCCTTGGGCGCCTCGGGCTTGTTATTGGGCTTTTCACCAATTTTGCCCTCAGCCGCTTTGCGCGCCTTATCCTTCTCACTGACACCTCCCTCGGTGCCCCTGGTGCCCTCCTTGGGCTTCTGACGTGTCTTGTCGTTCATGACACCATCGTTGGTCTCGGGGATCTTCTTGCCATCAACAACAGTAGGGTCTGACGGGCGTCCCTTCAGGGGGGGCAAGCCCTTTTTATTATCCGTATCGGCAGCATCCTTTTTGCTGTCTCTGTCCTGGTCGATGAAGGGACCCTCGTGGGGCATGCCGTCCTTCCCATCGACAGGCGCATGGTCGGTGCCGAATCTGGTCTTGACGCCAGAGCCAGCGGTCGAATCGGTGGACTTGTCGGTAGAAGCTACGGCCTTGGCGCCATTCTTGTCCTTGGTTTCAACGGCTAAACCTGCGACAAGGGACGGAATGAGGAGCAGGAGCAGAGGGGAGTGTCGGGTGCGCAACCTCATGGTGACTCGATCGGGCTATCGTGCCTCGGTGCCTGGGCAATAATACTGGGCTGTGAGTGAAAGTGTGAAATGCCCGAATTTGTTCTGCTCTTGCAAGGCAAGGGGGGAAGGGAAAAGGGTGTCGGTAGTTTCTAGCCACGGCCGGGCTCTAAATTTGTTACGTATCTTTTGCTGCACGGCCACGGGGTAAGCAATAAGAAGGACGCGCCGCCGTGGCCCCATGTTCCAGAATCCCTTGATTCGCCCCCCCACACGCGAGGCGATTTCACAGGTCCAGTTTTGGGTGACCCTGGTCGTTTCCACTTAAAGACAGGCCGTGTAGGGGGTATCTTCATAGAGGACACTCTTGACTCGGATACACGATCAGACGTCTGAAACACAAATTACACGGTATCTTGGGAAGGTTGGGATCATTTCAGACATGGGCTAAGATGACGGCCATCGTTTGCGATCGTCTGCAGCACTTTCACTGTCCGTTTTGCAACTCTATGCAAGGTAGGCTGCGATGCTTTTCCGTGGACAATCTTGTATCCAAGGAACCCCGGATTTGCCTAAGTAAACCACATCTGTTTGGCCCAAACGGTTCGTGATCATCGCAAACATGGGTACGTACCGCTCACTCAGCGAGAGCTTCAGCCACTAACTCCCGGAGCTTGCAGCAGCTATGTTATCTTATCTCCGACGCACCGGTCCAGCGACACCCCACCTTATGTCCCGGGACTAAATGCATGTCGTCACGAATGATCGCCTTCTTCATGAAACATAATCGGAGCACTCCTCTTGGCCATAATTGCTGCTCTTTCAACCCATTGTAAATACAAACCGCAGCTCAAGGTCACTTGAAATCAATCCAGCAACTGTCAGGCTGCAGCCGACGTTGCTGTGCACAGCTTTCATCACACGCCGGCAGTCATATATCCGAGCTCCGTTGTATCACTAAGCAATCAACCCGCACTTCCCGTGCGAACACTAAGTCAAGCTACAATGGACAATTCTGAGGAAAACTCGAGGTCTCCGTATGCGAGTACAGGTGCTGATGAAGATGACGGCGCTGCGACATGGACATATCATTTTGAGCAAGATGACGAGGATCATGATTCCGACTTCCAAGACGAACCAGACGAAGATGATGGAGAGGACGCTGAGGAATACGATGAGGAATACTATGGTACTACATACAAATACTGATTCCCAAAGAGCGGTATGGCTTACCTATCCCAGATGCCGATGACGGTGGCGAACGTGATGTAGAGGTTGAAGTGTTCATGGGCGCTGGCGACGAAGATGATAGTGGCGAAGACGAAGCCTCAGGGACAGACAATACGTTTGCGACGATCTTGACCCTGATGAGTACGTTCGATCACCACATACCCCATTAATCCGAGTTCAATGCTAACCCCACATGTAGCTGGTGGCACGAGACTCGTTTCACGAACACAACTATTAGGCATCCTTCAGGGCGGCGGTGACGTGACGTTACGCAGCGCACTCGACGACTTTGATGACGATGAAGATATCGGATGGGGAAGAAGACGGAGGCGACGTCATTATGGAGGGCCCAGTCGATTTCCCAAGGTACCAAGTGACGAGGGCACGAAACTGATGCACTCCGGTGTATTTGGGGCAAATGAACAACGCGCCGGCAAGAAGCAGTTGGCACGAAGGATACTGGATCGCGAACTTGGCTTGGGTGACAGACGCGACCGAAAGCAAAACCAAGACTTGATGGCCCAGGGCATGATACCGTCAACCAACCCCGAGATGATCGTGCACTACGATGACCCTGTCTACTCCGGCCAGTTTTCCGACGATGGCAACTTCTTTTACGCATGCGGTCACGATTTCAAGGTTCGGATGTACGACACGTCAAATCCGTACAACTGGAGATACTATAAAACGGTCAATTACCCCTGGGGACAATGGACGTTGACAGACGCATCGTTGAGCCCCGACAACCGCTGGCTTGCTTATACGTCCATCCAAAGCAACGTCTGTCTAGCGCCCACGGATCCCAACGACACTGGAGACCCATATACGCTGGACCTCGCGGGGCGGAGTGTGGGAACGCAACACGAAGGGCGGAGCCATTCATTCGGAATCTGGTCTGTCCGGTTCTCCGGCGACGGTCGGGAGCTTGTGGCTGGCACTAATACGCAGTCGATTGTCGTCTACGACATTGAATCGCGCACCGTTCTGCACAACGTCGTCGGCCACGAGGACGATGTGAATGCCGTGTGTTTCGCAGACAAATCGTCGCCGCATATTCTCTACTCCGGATCGGATGATGCCACTATCAAGGTGTGGGACCGACGCAGCATGGGAGATGGGCGGCCAGCGGGTGCTTTTGTGGGCCACGTCGAAGGCTTGACTTACATCGATAGCAAAGGCGACGGCCGCTACATCCTTAGCAACGGAAAAGACCAGACCATGAAGTTGTGGGATCTCAGGATGGTCATGTCCACGGCCGAGTTCGAAGAAGCCAACCCTACAAGCTTGACCGGCCGCAGTGGCTTCGATTATCGATGGGGAACTTTCAGAGATCAAGACTGGTTCCCCCATCCCAACGACAACTCCGTTGTCACCTTCCGTGGACACCGCGTAATGCGTACACTGATCCGTTGTCACTTTTCGCCTCCCTCCAGTACGAATTCGAGATATGTGTACTCTGGTAGCCACGATGGCAAGGTTTACATCTGGAATTTGGATGCCACCTTGGCTGGCACCATTGATGTGAGACAGGCCACCAAAAACTCCAGGCCCCTGGAGCGGAGATATCGCATCTACCACGGCGATGACTTTCCAGGATGGAACACCTGTGTGCGAGACGTCAGCTGGCACCCTAATGCGCCGGTTCTGGTTGGTGAGTCGGCGTTATGCTCGCTCCTTGCCAATATTACTAACACCGCCCAGCATCCGCTTGGAACGGCTTCAACATGGCCCACGGCACTTGCACGCTTCACTCGTACAACGAGGCTGAAGAAGACGAGGCAGAGCCTCCAATGGGCCGAAGCGTCGACGAGAAACTGCGCCCAGTCGGCTCGGCATTCCAGATGTAGGTGTTCTGGCGGGCGGATTCACCTAAGGAGAGCGACGTGGGATGATTATTTTTTATTATTTGTACATCTTCCATGCGCGTCAACCCCCTCTTTTGGCAATGGTACATGATCGATGAAGCCACTGGTCTCGGGGTATCTCCCACCACTCCTGCGCGACGTCCCTCACGTCTGGCTATCATGATGTTGCAATCTGCCCATGCAATGCTTTTCGAGACCCATCCTTGCGTATAAAATCATCATCTTGGTCGGCCGCGCCGACGTAGTAGAGCGTAAGAAGCCGACCCGTGGACTCGGGTACTTCCGTTGAATATGACACCTATGCGTTTATGCGCCTCCGACGAGGATGTTATTGACGGGGATGTGGATCAGCTTGACAATGTAGCCGACAGCGCCCATGATGAGGAAACCGACACCGACGGCCTGGCAGAGCTTCAGGAACTCGACCTTGTCGGCTAAAATGACACGTTAGCAACTACGGGGCTTCTCAAAAGCGACAAGGTGTTACACGTACGCTTGGTGCACCGTCTCATAAACTGAACACCTTCCTGGGCGAACTCGGAGGGAACCTCGAGGATCTCCTTGACTTGGTCGGCCATTGTGGATAGAAGCGCGTGGGTACTGGGGAGGAAAGGTATGTGTGTGTGGTTGGATGAAGGTCGCAAATGGAATCCCAATGGGCTGCAGTGGAACAGTAAATCGCAAAGTCGATAAAAGAGAGGCGCGACGACGGAGTGTTTAAGACGTGCAGGGAGGGCGGGTGGAAGTATCGAGAAATCGATGGGTTGAAGGGAGATGTGTTAAATTGAGTGCGCTGTCGCCAGATGGACCCCAAAATTTCGGGTCAAGCTCCCGCTACGGAGGGAAGAGCCAGATTGCCATTCAGGAGGCGATGGAGGAACGATGCGCCGGCTGCCGACGCGCACGCCACATAGTGCATAGGTGCCTGTATGGTAGATAGGTACCTAGGCAGGTGGGTATCTAAGGTTCCTGATAAGATAGGAGGCTCAGCGTCCCTCCAGTGGAGGAGACAGTGGAGGAGGGCCCCTAAATTCTCACGCTAGCAGGGCGTAGGCCTGGCCTCGGCCAATGGGCCAACCGTGATTCAGCGCATTCGAATGCACGACAGGGAGATTAAATACGTACCTTTCGATGCGTAGTCGGAGGATCCACTCAGGTATCCACTGGCCCTTGCCCAGTCTCAGCATGCGGCCTCAGCTTGTTCACTCAGGAGCTTCCCCCAGTTTTCTTACTCTTTCCAAACGTTCCTCCACACGTCCTCCCCGACCGCATTTCTTCCATCGCGTCAACATCCCTCCGAGCTGTCCATTTCTATCCGACTTCACCACAGCTCAAGTCAACTCGCCCGACGCGTTGGTCTTCCGCTTTCACACATTACTTTACCAATTGCTAGCCAAGCAACGCGTCGTCACTTCTCACCTCCTTGCCGAGAAACCTTAATTGGGCCCTCTGGATCACTAACTTGCCGAGGCTGACAGCATCGGCCACGCAGTGAGCGGGCAGACACGCGCGTGGAGATAGGTGGTGGCAGAACGAGCAAACGGTCTCTGGAGTCTAGGGATCCTGTTTCCACTCTTGCTCGTCCCAACTACATCTTTTTTGCCTGTACCTAAGGCTTCTGGGCCGAACAAAGAAGAAGAAAAACCGTCATATCGCCCATAGGGGAAGGCTGAAGCACAGAGCTTCGTCTTCGGTTTTATTTGGCTGAAGGAGAGGATCACATTGGCTTGGGTATTCCATCCAACCTCTTCCATATTGTCTGCGGAACGAGGAGTGTACGTATCAGATGTTCTCTGTTTCTATCCTTTGCTCGATTTGTGGCTCGAGATTTGGCTATGACCCTGTATATGGCAGCGGCTGATGATCCTGTTTCCAAGGCTGCAGACGGTTCCTGTATCTCGCAGACTAATAACAACCTTGTTGCAACCACAACCAGGCGCACTGCTCCAACTCACGGCTACCAGATAGTGCTGTCAACATGGCCGAGGAGGAATTTGAGATCGACATCTACGGGGACGCACCCCAAGATCACCAGGACGGCAACGCCGAGAATTACGATGGACAGCAGGCCAACGGACACGCCGACGACCACAATGAACAGCACGAGCAACATGAACAACACGATGACCAGCAGAACCAGCAGGAAGAGTACAACGACCATCAGGATGCGCCTGCTCCGCAACAAGGTGTGAAGAGGAAGGGTGATGACAGACCTGTCGATCCTGGTGCGACAACAGCTTTAATGATCTCGGACCTTAACTGGTGGAACACCGATGATGACATAAGGGGTTATGCCAGAGCGGCTCATTGCGAAGACGAGCTGAAGGATATAACATTTAGTGAACACAAGGTCAACGGAAAGAGCAAGGGGTATGGTTCATGACACAAATTAGACTTCCGGCCGCTAACTGAGTGTTCAGCCAAGCATATGTCGAGTTTACAACGCAGCAAGCAGCGACGGCCGCGAAGCACGCCCTCGAGGCGACAGACGGCGGACAAGGCGTTCCTAAGAAGCACCAGGTCACCTACTCCAACCCCCACGTCAACCCGTTCCGTACGTTGCCTAAGGATGCGCCGAACCGAGCAGGCAAGGATCAGGGCGGCAGCAGCAGGCCTGCAGGTAACTACAACAACCAAGGCTCCTCTATGGGCGGCGACTTCCGTGGTAACAGCTATCGTGGCCGTGGTGGTTTCAACGGCCCTCGTGGAGGCATGAACCAGGGTGGGTTCAACCGCAACTTCGTGGGCGGCATGGGAGGCGGCTTCAACAACAACAACATGGGCGGTGGCTTCAACAACGGCATGGGCGGTGGCAACTTCGGCGGCGGTTTCCAGCGAGGTGGTGGTTTTGGTGGAGGTATGCGTGGCGGCCCCGGCATGCGTGGTGGACGAGGCGGAATGCATAACCCTATGGGCGGCATGGGTATGGGCCCGATGGGCGGTATGCCGATGGGAGGCATGCCCAACATGGGTATGATGGGTGGCGGAATGCCCGGTACGACTTCCCCTTCTCTTGGACCCTCTCAGAAATGTCACAACCCCTCAACATCTCAAGTCGCCAATGGCCCATGCCAGAAGCGGAAGTACTATGGTCGGCGCGTGGACAAGGTTGTCAAGCCTGACCAAGCACTATCCCCTTCGTAGCACAAACTCAGTCTGTACCGGGGATGGGCCGATGGACCAAGGAGCGTGGTTTGGAGTTCACCACAGGAGCCACTTCACTTTTGCTCCCCGCTACTCCAGCCACGTGCTCTAGGACATGTCATCGTCCAGTTCTACGCTTTGACACCTCCCCCCTTCCCCTGACCGATTTCTGTTCTGTTTGCAACTCTTCCGTTTTGCCTCCGGAGGCCACGCATGCTGACTGTTATTTAGGATTCCAAGGCATGCCACAACAGTTCAACCCAGGGTTCTTCGGTGGTAATCAAGGTGGAGGAAACGACTGGGGCAACCCTCACGGAGCAAAGCGACCTCGACCCGAGTAGAACTCCAGGCCTAGGGGTTTCGCGCGAACCCCGACAGAGGGAGGACTCGGGAAACAGAATCTCTAGCCGAGGACTATAGAGTTGCCTCCGCTGTTCTTATGACAGGCTCTCACGCATTGCAAGGAGGACCTTCCCGCCGGCCAAGATATGGAGGTTCAGGCAAGGTCCCATTTTTGCCAGTGTTGTTGTCTCTTCTCATCATAGCTGAAGTTGACATTCTGGGAAAACAAAAGGGCAATGGGTGTTTGGGGACGATGAATCGGCCTATTAACCTAAACTGGAACCTAGGCTGCGGCAGCTGGACAGAAAGAGGCCTTGCGATCTGCACCTACTCACTCGTGTTACTGGTTACTTCTGTATGTGTACTATTAGAATTTAGCTGCACGGGAACGGTACTCATGCAGCTTGATAGCGGCGTTATATTTCAGAGGTCAAGAGCACAATCGACTGTTACGATGTGTTACTTCAAGTCACTTCGGACGATGGTTGACTGTCTTTCATTTCAGGTGTCAAGTTTCTGCAATGTCGCTCGCACCAGCTCCTGTATCTGTTTCCAGCGGGTCACGACCATCTGCCTCTGAAACTCCTCTCCTTCGTCCAGCGCACCCACCGCCTCGATCCTGGACTCGATCTCCCCGTCGTACTCGGCAAGGATCTCACGCAGCATCCTGTCGACCTCGGGCTGCTCCGCCTCCCCGTCCGTGAATCCGTCAACAAACTGCGCCCACCGCCTTGGGGCCATCACCAGCGTCCGCAGCGCCACCTGCGTCCGGTAGCACACTGTCTCGGCGTCGAGCATGTACTTCCCCAGGAACCCCCTCTCCTCGAGCCGCCGTCTGCAGGCGGCACTCAACCGCGGGAGGATGGCGTCATCGAGGCACGCCTCGTCCCACTCATTCTCGCCCTGCGCCATGACGAAGCCGTACTCAATCAGGAGGAAGTCGTTGCTGTGGCGGCCGTAGCAGATGTGCATCTCCTCCCCGGGGGCGTAGTCCCTCTCGGCCTTGATGGTGAAGGAGCGGTCGTCGAAGGCGACGGAGCAGCCGCGCGAGGCGTGGTTGAGGAGGTCGGCGACGGGCTGGAGGATCATGTGGTCGTCGCGGGAGCGCTTGGAGGTCTTGGGGGTGACGTGGTAAAACGTGCGCGAGTTGACGAGGAGCCAGGCGTGGCGGTAGCCCTCGTATGTGACGTCCGGGAACGAGGCGGCCACCAGGGCCCAGTGGGCCTCGAACTTTTCGCGCTGGGCGGCGAGGAGGGAGGACGCCGCGGGCGGGAGGAGGGATGTCAGAGACTCGGGCCAGGTCAGAGGGCAGGAGGAGAGGTCTCGGGGCGTGGGGAAGACGGCAGACCAGGTTTTGAAGGAGGGGGAACCGTCGAGGGCGACATCAAGGGCGAGGAGGGCGTGGACGGCGGTGTCTTTGGGGAAGGGGCGGGTCAGGGCCTTTGGGATGGTTGAGAGGGATTTCAGGCAGGGAATGGGCACGTCGATGATTGTGTCGTCTTTCTGGGGGGTGTTAGTGGCGGGTCTGGGAGAGGTGTGCCAGGGGGGGTTGAGGGTTGGAGAGAGAAAACTTGAGGCATACTTTTATAGGAGAAGTTGCGACGATGCCTATGCCTCGTCCTGGGAGAGTGCGGGGGCCGACTTTAGACACAGTTACGCCTTGGGTTTCGGCCCATGAGAGAAGGTTTTCAATGGCATCCATTGTGGGTTTAAAAAATAGATGTAAGCCTGGTGTTGGGTATCTCAAATGATATGGTAAAGTGTGTTTGAGTAGTTGGAAACAAACATAAGTGAGAGCTGCCCCAGTCGCAACACACTTTGCTGCTTCAAGCTTACACGAATGAGTGTTAAAAGAGAGACGACGAGTCGAAGGGATCTCAAGTCTAAACCCTTATACTCTCAGCGAAGTTGAGTGAGAGGATCCAGTTAGTCGTACGCGTGAAAAGGGCGAGACTGTGTTGTGAAGGGTTGTGAGAGTACATGACAGAGCATCAATACTTGAATGAGTCTGCAAAGTTTCGAATAAGTAAGTTCAAAACCAACCAATTTAGACTGACAGGAGGTTGTTGTAAAGACTCGAGGAATCAAAAGGACTCGAGTTGAGACGAGGGAGCCGTCAAAAACCTGAGTGACGAATCAGAGACGCTGCGGCATGCAATTCTGGCACTGTCAAACTACAGCTCAGCGCCCAGAGGTCGGCGCTAGTGTCCACCGATGCCCCGATATCCCCTTCTAAATTCTCGGGTGGCCACCGACGTGAGGTAATCGAACCGGACTCCCCAGGCCATTAGAAGTGTTCCGATCATCGAACCACCAGCATCCGATGTGGGTTCATAGCTCATACCTCCCCAAAGCTTCTGAGAAGCTTCCCCCCCCCTCAATTGAGCTTCACGAAGCCTTCCAAGCGGCATGTGAACGACGGCCACAAACACTGAAAACCACTCTAGTATGAAGGCCCTTCGAGCTCTCCCCGGGGCACCTGCCCGCCGCGCCCTGCCCGCCATCTGCGCCGCCTGCTCCTTGACCACATCCTCCTCTCCAACGGCCGCCCGTCCGTTCTCCGTCCTCAACCGCCCGCCGCCCAACTACCCCGGCCATGTACCCCTCACCAAGATCGAGCGCGCCGGCCTCGCCCTCGGCGCGGGCATCTGGTCCCTCCTGAGCCCCTACCGCGCCGACCTTATCGCCGCTGTCGGCGAGGCGACCGCGACGCCGTACTTTATCTACCGCCTGCGCGACGCCATGCTTGCGGACCCGACCGGCCGCCGCATCCTCCGCGACCGGCCGCGCATAACGTCTACCTCCCTCGACCTCGACCGCCTGCGCCGGATGCCAGAGAACAGCGTCGGGCGGGCCTACGTCGGCTGGCTTGATGCCGAGGGCGTAAGCCCGGACACACGGCCCGCCGTGCGATACATTGACGACCCGGAGTGTGCGTACGTCATGCAGCGGTACCGCGAGTGCCACGACTTCTACCACGCGCTCACGGGCCTGCCGATCGTGCGGGAGGGCGAGGTGGCCCTCAAGGCGTTCGAGTTCGCCAACACGCTGATCCCGATGACGGGGTTCGCGGTGCTGAGCTACGCGACGATGAAGAAGGGCGAGAGGAAGAGATTCCGCGACATCTATGGCCCCTGGGCGCTCAAGAATGGGATGAAGGCCAAGGATGTGATCAATGTCTACTGGGAGGAGCAGCTGGAGAGAGACGTGGGCGAGCTGAGGACCGAGCTGGGCATCGAGAGGCCGCCCAACATGCGGGCCATCCGGAAAAGGGAGAGAGAGGAGAGGATGAGGGCGCAGGATGCTATGAAGGGAATGTAGGCTGGGCGCCAGAGAAAATTTGTACATGTAGTGTATGTTAGATATAGTATCTTTTTTTTGTAGTGTCCTATGGAAATCCCACTCGGACGGAAACCAACCTGCTGTTTCGCAGCATGCTCAGAACGCCCTCCAACGCCGGCACACCATCTACTCCCGTGAACATGGTCTTGTTCGCGGCCGTTCTCGGTCGTATCGGTCCGCAAGGAGCTCACCCACATTGGGTGTGAAGACGCATGCTTGATGATACCCTTTCCATCATACCGCCCAATATTGCCTCGCCCCGACGACGAACATCAGCCCCCTACAAGTCCAGCAAGTCGTCATCGTCATCATCCCAGCCCTTCCGCCTGCTGACGACAATCTTCTCCTCCTCCTTGTTGTCGGCGACGGCGGAGAGGAGATCCTTGAGCTGGGCCTCTGTGACCTTGCTGCGCAGCTGGCCGCTCTGCGCGAGCATAATCAGCCTGTTCTCAACCTCCTGAGCGCGCTGCTCCTTGACGAGCCTGATGCGGCCCAGGCGGTCCGCCGCCTCGGGGTGCAGGATCTGGTTGAGGATCTGCTGTCGGGCTTCCTGCTCTTGCTGTCTGTGTCGCGCGTGGTCAGCTGTGTTTCATTCCCAAGAGATGCGGTCCCGTCGATGCAGTGGACTCCGGCGCTTGTTGTACCAGGGACTGGCTTCAACGGAGTATTCGAAAAGGACAGGGAAGGCCTACTGTCTTTGTTCGTGCTGCTGTTGCTTGTTTGAGCCGCCGCCGGAGGAGCCGCCTCCTGCCCCGCCCTGCGCCTTGAGCTGCTCGAGGCGGGCCTTGCGGATCTGCGTGCCGCGCGCTGTCAGTCCAGTCCTGATGTCACTCACGTTTCCTAGGCCGAAACCGAGCTACTCACCTGTTCGAGTTCGGAATCGTCCATGTTTGCGGGTGGGTATCTGGGTGCGGGTTTGCGCGGTGTTGGTGTTTGGTCGAAATGCAAACGCGGGGTGGTCGCCTTGCTCTCTGCCTGACGTCCAACTTTTTGGCGGGGTCGGACGTCTGGGGGTGGTTCAGTCTGGCAACTCGAAAATTCCTCGACGGCGAACGTGGAGCAATTGAGGTACCCTGAAATGGCCTGACCATCGCAACTCAACCGACCTGACTGACGGTTTATTCGCTGCATTGCGAAGCTTGTTTTACACATCATTGAGAGTTTGACGGATTGTGAACAAATTTTCTTGTTCTTTGTATTCATACAAATGCTAGCCCGCCGTTAGATATACATAAAACCCAGATTTACAGCCGCCGTCTATGGCAACGTCTCTAACTCATTTCCTTGAGGTCAACTCCAATGGAAGGTATCCCCTATGCTTCTCTAGTTGCGCCTTGTGCTTCGCCTTCACCATGCCCACAACCAGTTCGTTAGCAGGCAGCTTCAACCCCAGCTGGCGTCCCCTCTTGATGAAGAACCCGTTGATATAGTCTATGTCCGTCAGCATGCCGCGCTGAATCTGCAGCACCATCTCGCTTGGCGCATTTCCCTTGCCCCTGAGCTTCCCCATGATCTCCTTGCGCATGCCCTCACCCCGGAGAAGGACCTGCAGCTCCGACGAGTGCTTGACCTCGTCCATACGCGCCACAACATCGGCAATCTCTCCAAGCAGCTGCGTAATGAGCTGGTTAGCCGTCGGGTTGTAAATGAGCTGCTCGTAGCGGTAGTCCAGCATGACACAGATCGGGTCGACGACGGCCGAGAACATGAGCGACGTGATTTTAAGATTCAGCCAATTGCCGAGCCTCACACTCTTGGCCTTCAGCACGTCCGATGCCTCAAACTTATGCAGCATGCCCTGCATCCGCAACCGAGGATCTGCCCAGATATTCTTCTTTTTCTTGCTCACCAATGGCGGTAAGCCCGTCAAGACGGATTCGTACTCGGGGCTCATCACCCTGACCGAACTGGTATTGCGATCGTACGCCAGAGGAGGACCGATGTGTCCAAGCACCATTGACGGACGTTTTTCCTCATCTAGAAAGACTCTGTTGTTCACGGCCTGGGCGATTCCAAGTCCATCCTGAACGAGGCAGACAGCCGTCCGGTCATCCACCCGGTGCTTCACCCGCTCGAGTAGTGTGACGGCCTCACTTGGCCTACCGGCGACCACCAGATTGCTGATGTGCCCATCTTCTTGTTGCGGTTCCCTGGCCTGATCTATGGAGGCGTTTCGCTCGACCCACCCTCCGGCGCTCCGCTTTACTCCCATGTTTCCGGTAATGTTCGGATAGGCCGTGTTCGTTGGCAAGTCAACGAGTTTAACTGAGTCGTAGATATTGTGCAGGGCGTGCGACAAGAACAATGACCGCTCATCCCGACCCAGAATATGTACAGTTCGCGAAGATGGCGGTGTCGGCGAATTGTGGCCCATCATGACCGCTGGCACGTAGAACCGTGATAGGTTGTCCGCGTTAAAAATGGCGTACAGCTCCCTCTTGTTCCGCTCCGGCTGCAATCCAAGCACCTTGGCGAACTCCTCTTGTTTCCCCCTTGGTATGCCCACCGTTTGGGCGCCGGGAACCGTCGCCGCCATCTCCTTGGGTGCCACTCTCCCAAGGGCGATGCCATGCGGCGGCGCACGCTGCTTTAGGCCAAGCTTGTTCGAGTCGACTGAGACGCATCTGATAGCTCCCCGGCCAGTATATGTGCTACCTGTCCTCCATAGTGACTGTGTCGTAGGTATCCGCGCGAAGAGCCGCGGTCTCGGAAGGCTCGCCAGAGTGCCTGCCACGGTGGATGAGGTCTGGGGGTTCGGCGCGATCACTGCGCGGTGTTCATCGGGAGACCGAGGGAGTTCGTCTGTCGAAACGACTTTTTGATCTGATGGCTGTGTCCTCCGTTGTCGAGGGTATAGGAAAGCGGTGTCGGAAACTGTGGGAAGGTTCGTGGTTAATGAGCGTGTGGTCTTTGTCGCAAGCAGAAGGCGGCTTTTAGGTGTGCATGACGGGGACATTCTTCAAATTTTGGCGCGTGGTAAGGTCGCCGTGGATTCCCGGGCGGCAGAAGACCCACCGAGCGTGCAGCCTTTACACCTCGTTAGATGCATGCAAATCCTTCAACACCCGGATTCTTGAATTTTCAGCATCTATGAGGACCTCATCAAAGAGCTATACATATCCACGACCTTGACTATCGTTAGGTACGGGCTCACTCTTAATATTCTGGCCCGTTTGTTTCCGCCACATAAAAAAGCCCCCAAGATGGCCTTGAAGGACATGACACACGACCTGGAGAAGCTCGATTCTCACATCGACTCTCTCGAGAATGCGCTCAAGCCCCTGATCGATAGCCTTCCCGAAATGGCCAACGAGCTCCCGCTTCTCGACAAGGCTAAGATGTTCGCCCTCACAGCTTATGCCATCGAGTCTCTTCTCTTCTGTCAGTCATTTCCCCTTTCCGAACCAAGTCAGTCGCTAACACATTGTTACAGCTTCCCTCCGTCTGCAAGGCGTAGACGCCAAGGACCATCAAGTCATGACGGAACTCAAGCGCGTGCAACAGTACTTTGGCAAGATCAAGAAGGCCGAAGAGGTACCGGCCCAGCGGACCATGACCGTCAACACTGAGGCTGCTACGCGGATTCTCAAAGCGGATCTCGTAAGTGGCTCTCACCGGACAACGCCGAGAACACTGAACTAAATCTGTGCAGGGCGAGAACGACAAGAGTTTGAAGAAGAAACTGGAGGAGAAACTGGCTGAGGAGCGCGCGAAGGCGCTGCTCAACTCCATGCAGAGGCCCAAAAGACCCGCACCCGAATCACCGTCAGCCAGCTCCTCCGGTCCGGAGAAGAAGTTGAGAAGCTCAAAGAGGAAGAGCGCCGGCAAGAATCGCAACTCCTGAGCCGTCTATGTGGAAACGGAAGTTAAACAAATGAAGCACACAGCACGAACCGGATTTCCAAGGCTGTGGAATGGGTATCGGTAGTACAGGCCGTGTATTAGATGTCCCGGGGCATCAACACATGGGACAAACGAGCCCCTCTAGCTAGGCCACGTTCTCACCGGGCCAGATACATCTCAACAAGAGCGGGGCCTGATTGTGGTCTACCCAAGTGAGATTAAAGTTTAAGTATGATAGTGAGGAATTCATCACGGGGGGTAGTGGTCAACATTATTTTGTGCACTGGGAGATCGGATACCCTCGAGATAGACATAGATACCAAATAACGAATCACAATGAAAAAAGTCTCTAACTATTGTGATGTACCTGCCGACGCTCATTCATTTCAATTTCATCGCCACCCTGAGATGTTACATATGCATGCCATTACCCCCTTAGTTGCATAACCGACGCAATGACCCCTACCCCAAATTCCTGACCACGATCAAATTCGCCATCACTTGATTGGCCATATCTCGCCACTCACCCCGGCTCAAATCAAAAATCCGAGCTTTCAGCAGCAGTAGCGGCCAACCCCGGCTCGGCGCATAACTTCTGCCGATTTCCCTCCAGATCCGCATCTTCAACTTTCTCTCACACCAACACATTCTTTCCTTACGAGCCAGCCAAACATCTCACGATATACACACACTCTCCCTAGCCGAGTTAACGGACACGCACACACATCTTCAAAATGCCTCGTCAACGCTCCGCCGGCCGCCCCAGCGCCGCCCCCTCGCGCCCTACCGTCTCGGCCGCGAAGCCCGCCCCTGTCCAGTCCCGCCCTGCCTCGACCATGGCCGCTCCTCCCCAACAGCACGCCGCTCCCCCGCCTGCCGCCGCCGCCCCCTCGCAGGGCCCCGGCCTCTTCGGCCAGATGGCCAGCACCGCTGCGTACGTCTCAATAATCCTCTTCCGTCGTCAAGATCCACAATCCCCCCCGCAAGGAGTACCCCTCGAGTCCTCGGGGCTCTGGGGGCTGCTCCTGTTCACCCTTTTACAAACTCTACGAAGTGTAGCAGGGTCCAGACCAATACCGAGATGCTAACGAAACTTTTGAACAGCGGTGTCGCAATCGGCTCCTCCATCGGCCACGCCATCGGCGGCATGTTCGGCGGCGGCTCCTCCGCGCCCGCCGAGGCCGCGCCCCAGAACAACTCTCCCGTCGCCTCGGGCGAGTCCCAGACGACGCAGCAGTGGGGCAACAACTGCGCCGGTGCAACCCAGCAGTTCACAAAGTGCATGGACGAGCACGGCGGCAACATGCAGATCTGCAACTGGTACCTCGAGCAGCTCAAGGCCTGCCAAGCCGCCGCCAGCCAGTACTAGACGCTTTCCGTCCTCATGCCACGTCTCGTGTCCTTAACGGTCGGATGCAAACTTAGCGTGTGAGATAGTGAAGCCTAGCATGTTGACACGCTGTCATGTCTGGGAGGAGAGAAGAACGTTACATGTAGATTAATAGCCAAAAAGGGGTTTAAGGAAAGGAAATTCAAAAACAACAATCAGCGGCAAACTGTGCGCGGGGCTTCACGGAGTTGTGTATGACATGCATTGGCAGAAGCATGGAGCAAGGGGGCCTTTTCGACCAAATTATTACATCTCCCACGTTGTACAATAGATGACATTCCCACTCGTACAAGTTCGATGCTCTTCTTTCATCACTTCAGTGCGACGTGTTTGTTTGGCAACCATTCTCCTTACTCGTCCTTCTTCTCGTCTGGCCGCGGCTCAAAGTTCAACTACGACAGTCAGCTTTCATGCTTCATCTTTGCTTCTCTCTGGAATAGGGGACGGGTAAGAACTGACCGAGTTCCCGTTGTAAAGCTGATGGTCATTTTTCCGATCATTCGGGTTTGCAAACTGCGAGAACTTTCCCTTGCGCTGCTCCCTCACCGTAACAGGCTCCGCGCCACCCTCCTCCGCTGCCTGCCTCGAAGCCCCGATTTTGGAAAACACGCTCGAGATGAGTTCCCAGAGCCACTGCAGCAGCGTCAACGGCAGCAGCAGAAACCCTACGGCCATGCTCCCCAGAGAGGACCCTTCGTAAGCGCTGACGTGTGCGCCGACGGGCGCCAATACGAGAGTAGAAGACGGCGAGAGGCTCAGCTCTTCAAGACTCTTGCTTTCTTCTGTGTCGTCAATGAGCTTGCTCGGCAACGGCGCAAGCACGACTTTGAAACGGTACGGCTCCTTGCTCCCGTCCGCCCACTCGCTATCGACCCACGTTCGCACATCCTTGGCAAGGGTGGCCTTGCTCGGGAACCGCGAGCGAATCGTGGAACCGTCCAGGAGACGCACCTGTAACGCCGTCATACCGCTCGCAGAGGATGTCGACGGCGCAAGGGAACTCGACTCGAACCTCGTCAGCGCAGCTGCGACTTCACCTAGCTTTGGCGAGGACGCTTGGTTCCGGATGGCAGCGCGCTCTGCGGCCTTGGCCCGTCGCTCGGCGCGGTCGTCCTCGATCTTTTTCAGGATGCGCGCCTTCTCGTCCGCGGCATCCTGGCGCGCCTTCTTGAGGGCGGCCTTGTGGTTACGCGTCTGCTCGGTTTGCTTGGAGTTGTCTGTCTCGGCCTTCTCCGCGGCAGCGGCGCGAGCCGCTTTCGCTTTACGCTCGGATTCCATACGTTGAGCCTCCAGACGAGCAGCACGTTCTGCGAGGACTGTACGCAGGATGGCTGCGTTTTCTTCTTCTTGGGTTGGGGTGGCGGGGCCGCGGGGGCTAGAATCAGATGTGCTGGGTCTGGCGGGTGCGGTTTGGGTATTGGTTCCGGCAGCTGCGGCTTGGGGAGGGTTGGAGGGAGTCTCCTCGTACAGGTCGTCAGTCGTTTGAGCAGCCGGAGCGGCCGCTGGCGCCGCGCCTGGCTGAGGGGCAGCGGGTTGGCCCTGGGCACCGCTGAAGGCTGTGGTCACCCGTCTAACGAACTCATCCTTGCTGGTTCCGGCGGTGATGTACTCCTTGAGATCGCCATTCTTGATGATGACAACTGTAGGAGTTTTGGGAAGCGGGAAGATGGCGGCCAAGTAGCCCGCCTCTTCAGAGCCCTTCTTCAACCGGAGGGCGATAGCTCCATCTTGGAGCAGAGCTGCAATCTGAATTGTGTGAGCTTTGGAAGCATGCTGTCCACGGCCTTGTGCTTACAGTGCCTTCGGTCAGGTACTCGGTCTCCCAAGTTTGGCTCTCAGCTTCTTCGTCTAGCCTGTGTCAGTTATGCGGTTGCAAACGATGATGAGAGTGGGGTATATAAGCTCACCTGTGACAAAGCAGAAGACGCATTTGTTGTGCTGCAGCGCCGTGGCGATACCTTCTTGCAAGCTTCCTGTGAAGAACATGGTTGCAATTCTTGCCCTTCCAGCTATAATTCGGGAACTTGTGTCTTGCGGTAAATGGATTCGCTGGACCAAACCTTACAAATGCAACGAAGGGAATGATGTGGATCTCTACCCCAGACGACACATCCACGGTCGAATGGAATTGTACGTAGGGTCGTAAACTGGCTCACAAGCTATCGTCCAAAACTCGAAACAACCTTCGGCGTGCGAGGCTCAAGGCCGTGGAATCAAGCTTTCAGATAAGGTCGCCTACGTCAATGCTGCTGAGTGAGGATATCAGAAGCTTGACAGGGGACAGGTGTCGTCGTACGTTCAAAAGAGAAGACCTTCCTTACCTTAGCACGGGGGTGGCTAATCCCCTTGCATCCGGGAATGAATCCACCATGCGGTCATCAGCCAATCATATATCGTAAAAGGAGTCCCACACCGGACGCCACCTACAGCAGCTTTCTAAAAAATGCAGCTCAATCCGTGCTGAGCGTAAAAAGGTACCCTGGAAATGGAACCCATCGGTCCCAAAAAACCGAAATGTCCTGACCTCATCGAACTTCAAGCCTCCGACTATCCCACGCACCACCACCCAACCTACGGCGCGAAAACGACCGATTCACCATGCCACCTCCACTGCCAACACACGCCTTGCTCCGGCCTTCAGGTCTCACAGCGCAGACATGCCTCAGATCGATCGCCCGCCCCAGAATCCTCCCTCGTCACCGCGCGCCGACGGCTACACCATGCTCCTCCTCCCGCGACTCCTCAACCCGCAAGTTCCACACTACCCCGCGCGCCCGCGCGTCCGAACCACCCCCGGACTTCATCTCCATAGTCGACAACCCCCCTGACCTGGTCCGCACCGGCCGCCGTCACGGCCCGGGACTCATCATCCTCGCCCTGATCCCCATCACCGCCTTCGCCCTCGGCACATGGCAGGTCCAGCGCCTCGGCTGGAAGACGGACCTCATCGCCAAGTTCGAGGACCGCCTCGTCCGCGACCCCCTGCCCCTCCCGCCCAAGATTGACCCCGACGCCGTCGCCGAGTTCGACTACCGCCGCGTCTACGCGACCGGCCGCTTCCGCCACGACAAGGAGATGCTCATCGGGCCCAGGATGTGGGACGGTGAGCAGGGGTATATGGTCGTCACGCCGCTCGAGCGTGAAGGGGAAGGAACCACGGTGCTGGTGAACCGCGGTTGGATCTCCAAGGACATGGCAGACCAGCGGAAAAGGCCCGCGAGTGCGCTGCCGAGGGGCGAGGTCACGGTCGAAGGCTTGTTGCGTGAGCCGTGGAAAAAGAACATGTTCACACCCGACAACCGCCCGGACCGCTGGGAGTTTTTCTTCCCTGACGTGCACCAGATGGCGGAGCTGACGGGCAGTCAGCCCGTTTGGATTGAGGCTACTCTGGGTATGTAGACTGTCTGTCCCTGAAGGCTTTCCCCCTTCCTTGTGTGAGGGAGCTTGCTATAGTGTACATGCTGATGCTGACCCTTCCTCGTAGATCACGAGTTCTTCCGCGTCATGGATCTCAAGTCCAAGGGTATTCCTATCGGAAGAGCCGCCGAGGTGAACCTGCGAAATAACCATGCCCAGTACATCTTCACATGGTAAGATTCATTTGCTTTCCTCCGTTATTCTCCATGGTTTTCTCCACAGCCGATGCTGATAACTCATGACAGGTATGGGCTTGCGTTTGCCACCTCAATTATGCTGTGGATGGTCGTCAAGAAGCCCCCATCTGACGTCTCACGACGGGTGCGCATGAACAAACATTGGTAAGGACGCCCTGATCTCTTTGAGAAGAGAGAGCGAGAGCGGGAGCGAAAGAGATAGACCACGCGTGGTGGTGGGGGTGACATGAGATTGTTCAAGTCACTTCCTCCTCTCCTTCGCCGTTGGTCACGCGACGGCGCTTCTTCTTCGGCTCCGCCGGCGCCGGCGGCTTGGGCATCCTCAACTCCTGCAGCAGTTCCCGAGGCAGGTGCCTGTGTGCCAGGGAAAAGGGGGTAGCCGTCTGGCTGGTCTGTCGTTGTCTGTAAGAGTATTAGGCAAAACAAAATTTGTACAAAAAGCTTCTGTTTATAGAAACTGAAAAGGAAGTCGATACCCCCCAAATAGGGTCCTGTAACTTGATTGAAGGCAAAGAAAAAGGAAGGGAAAAAAAAGCTTACCTCCGCATAAGAGTGAGCATATCACTCTCGTCGATAGTCTTTCGCTTCGCGTGCCTCGCGTACGCCGCCAGGTCGTCGCCCAGCTGCTCAAAGAACCAGTCCGACGCCCGCTGGATCTCGGCCAGCGCCTCCGGGCCGATCTTGGTCTTGCTGATGCCGCTCGACCGCGCAAACGTGTTGGCCAACCTCTTGACCACCGCTGGCGGCAGTGACGGGTACTCCATGTTGTATTTTGACAGCTTGACGCCGGCTTTGGTCTTGCGCGGCCGGTGTTGCGGGCCGGCGTACGCGCTGGCCTTGGTTTCGTCGCCGTCAAGCCCCGTTGCCTCGGCCGCCTCGATCGGCGTCGAGCTGCGCAGGTCGTAATACGAGTTCCCGAAGCCGGCGTCCTCATCCACAGGCGGGTTCGGCTCGTCGTAGGCCGGCGCGATGTTCAGGGACGGTTGTTCGTCTGTGAACTCCGGCAGCGGCCGTGCCGGCGAGCTCAGTCCCTCCACCGCCATCATGAATGTGGTCTGGTTGTCTGCGTCCACTGGCACCTCGAACCCGAAGTCACTTTCCCTTGCCGATGCGAGCGTCTGTCGTCGAAGGGCCTCGTCCTCCACTCTGCTACCTGCGTCAGCAACCGTCTTGATTCAGAACGTGTCGCTCCTGGGGACACTAACCTGTCAAACGTCTCCTCCTGATCTCGTCCGCCCTCCTCGTCCAACGCACCGACCTCGAACCCAGGAAGAAAGCCTTCCCCGCCATCACCGTCATCGTCATCCAGGTCGTCATAGTTCCTGTACTCGCTCAGCCGCACGCTCCCCATCGACATCCGCGACTGTTGATCCGTATACGCCCTCCTCGGAAATTCAATCGTCGCATTCTCGTCAATCTGCGACAGCTCGGGTGCCACCAAATCATCATCGTCGTCGTCGACGTCCAACGGTAACGACAACCTCGGCCTATCGATGGGAAGCTCGTCATCGTCGTCGTCGTCCCCGTACGCCAGACTCCGGCGGTCACCGCCCGCGGTCCGGATCGGCAGGCTCGTGCTCGGCGCCCTCGAGCCCAGGTCGCTTGGCGAGGAGGATGATGAAATCGGCTGCGTGTTATGCTTCACGACCCGACTAAGCCCACGGAGGATGTCATGTATCGATTCGCGCCGCGGTCGGAAACTCTCGCGTCGCTTGTTCTTGCCGGGGGTCAGCGCCGCGGCACGCCGAGCGTCGATAGTACGATAGGCGGCGCGGGCGTGCGGCGTCGCGGCCGCGGTGATGGAACGGCGGCCCGAGGCGGAGAGACCGCGGTAGGCGGAGCTGCGGAGGGAGCTGCGAAGCGGGTTGTTGGACGGCGTGCGGAGGGAGGCGCGGCTTGACGGAGGGTCGAGGTTGGGGGCGCCGCGGAACGGGGTCGTTGTTGCATCAAGGGCGGGAGAGAAGAGAGGGTCATCGCCGTCTGCGCCCGCCGCTGCGGCGAGGCGAGTTGCGAGAGGTGTGCGGAGGGGTGGTGAAGACATCGCTGGGTGGTGACTGGGATACGGCGACACGATATCTGATCGTCGCGAACGGTAAGAGGCTGGTCACCACGCTGTCACGCTGTAGGCATAGCGTACAGATCAATTGGCCCGCGGCAATAACGCTTGTTCGACTGGACGCAGTCCGGAGCACGGGTGAAGTGGAGTTTCTTGACGGTCGTGGACGCGGTTTAGACTCCCACTGCGTCGGAGCTGTGCAGGACAACGCGACGCTCGACGCGCCTTCACGCCGTGCGTCGGCTGTCGTCAACAAGGGTCGATGACGCACGGGCCATACGACAAACCCCGCCTTTCCGGCCCCACAATCGGCAGCCAGCGGAACCGGCTCACCAAACGGTTTACCACAACTGCCTAACCTACTACCTACCTTCCCTACGTACAGAGGCGGAGGCGCCATCTAGAATAAAATCTTTGATGGAAGCAGGGTCATGCTTTCAGAACAACAGCTGATGTCACGTTCCAAAGTTTATCTAGTAAAAGCGAGCAACCCGAGAGAGCGCGAGAAAGAGAAGGGGGGGAAGGGGGGGGGGAGAGAGAGAGAGAGACGAACACTGACTCGGCCACAAACTCCCTTGCAGAAATCGCGCAGTTCGGCTTTGAAAGTTTAGATTCTGCGAGGTGGTGGGCTCAACTCCCTCTTTGCGTGCCTAGAAGTCTGAACGTCGAGTACAGTACACTACTGGACAAGATACATTTCAACTTCATTTCCAACACCGACTCAGGCTTGTGAGTCGGTTGTCGGCACCAACATGGTCGATCTCCACCCTGAAAGGTTTACGGGAACATGACGGATTCGAGCCAAGTCATTGGCCAGAGTACGTAATACCGCCTGAGCAAGAGTCTAAGTCGAGGGCTCACTTGATTCAGCATCACCACCCACAGCGACCATTCTCCCTTCAGGATCTCCATGACACCATATCGATGTGAATCTAGATCAAATGCCCTCCGTATGCTTCTGCTCAGCCCTACAGCTGATACCTCCTGGTCATGCAAGATTACCGAAACTCTACTCTGTTGACTCATTTTCCAATTTCAGTTCCCGTGGCGTTGCATCTTGCATGAGCCTGGCTTCTGGACCAAGCCTGATGGCACGTTATAGAGCCTGATTAGAAGTATCCTTCAGCAAGAGTTGATCACCAGGCTTGGCCTCCTTGATAGTAGCTGACCTCATCACCGATGCTGCGTGCTCGCGTTCAACTTGGACGTTGTAGGCGAGGCAAATAATCAGTAGCAGAAGTTCCCCAATATGATCCGACATAGGTTCTCGTCATGCAACATTATGAGGCTGTTAAGGAACATAACAGCACAGTCTGGAGTTCATCGACGACAGCCGTCTTGATCCTGAAGGCTTCCTGTAACTTGCAAACAACAAGATATCGCACAAAATTTCTGGTAAACTTGTGTTCATTACCGGTGTCGCATGCTTCATCAGCCTGAAGCCATCGATGGACAAGATTCCTCAGCCATTGTGCCCAACATATCAGCACCCGGTGCCTATAACGAAGCCATTGGATGTGTGGATTACGTTGCCCGCTGCCCATCGACCTCGCTAAGCTTTGGTAAAGATGAGCACAAGGGAACGGACGATGTAGTCTAAGTCAATCCGGCACCTGCGAACTTCGACTGTATGCTCACGAGTGCTTCGTAAAAAGAAGCCTTGACCGCCCGGTCTTCGTTGGAGAATACTGGGTGGCGACTCGGAGGGCTCCGCATGGGCCTGTTGTGCCAGTAAGGCTGCCGCTCTCGATCCATCCGAAGCTTGGTCTAGGGCTGCTGAATCGATCACAACAGTCGAATAGCGTGTTACCCGAGTATTCGAGAGGTGGGAAGAATAAAGCGAGCTTTGTTGGTGTCATCAATGACCCAACTGCCGCGGAAGTTTGTGCGCTTTCCCCATCGGGAACAAGATTACTCTTTGGGTAAGCTTGTTGCTATGGATGATGTCAGGGTCATTGCACGTACGAACTTACTCCAGGAGTTCAGTCAACAGCGAAGATTCTGACGGATGCTTCCAAGGGCGAGAATGTAATATGGCATGTTGGCGGATACTGCTTGTTGAAGGTTGCGAGCAAAGGACGAGCGCAAAATGCATGTTCCATAGGCAGGCGGCCTGCTACATATCCAATCACGACACATTCGATAGCAAAAAGACTGGGATTATACCAGGGAATGAGACGAGCCTCAAACTCGGCCCCAGAAGCCGACCCGGTGATCTCCAGCATAGCAAAACTTTCTCGCGACTGAACCAAGTGGCAGACAATGGGCCGAACTCCATACAGCCGACGGTTCCGTAGGAAGAAGCGGAAGAAAGAAAGAATCAAAAAAAGAAGAAGAAGAAGAAGAAGAAGAAGAAGAAGAGGCTATTGACCAACGTAGTTTGCCGGCGTTCGCAGTGTCGAACTGCATATTCAGGCGTATGGGCGCAGTTACATGGGCGAAGAAGCGATCCGTGCGATTTGTGACGAGTTCAGTCGGGTTCATTCATAACGAGAAACGAGTGACACCCAGTAACGTTTCGAGAACACCCATGTCTCCAACGATCCTGTTTAGCGTACGTAGTAGCACCTCTCCGGCTTCCCTCCAAAGCACACGTCGTGGACTGCATCACAAGTGGCCACCGCCGAGAAAATCAGTCATCTGACGAGTGTTTCTTCCATTTGACAGAAGGTGTTCCACAAGGAAGGGACCAGGCGGGTAAGGGAGATCAGAAGAGAGTGGGAGATGAGGTATGGTTGATGCCAGTCGGATGGACTCCGAGAGGGCGCCATGACGGAAGGTGGAAACGACGGCCTCTATTAAGTAGCAAATGATTGGAGTTGCCGACAAGGACGCGCAAGACAGAGGAAAGTACGACCAGGATATCTAATGGAGTCGATTCAATGATCCTGCCGGGCTCCGTCGAGGTGAGGCCAAGTATATGGGTTGATGTCAAGGTCGTGGGGTCAATAAAGTGTCGAGTCGTTGAACCACCGAGTCCTTTCCGACTCGGGGTTCGTCAGTCTCAGTCTTGGTCTTTGGGAACGACTTGTGAAGAGACGTGTGTTAGTGAGGTGGGTGGCCAATTCGAGTGGTTAGGCCAGGCATCCCTCGAAAACGTGGGACAGTGAGAACGAGGAGCTTCAAAACGTTCCTTGAGTGTTCCATCAAGGGCAGGCAATTTTGTTACAAGACGTGCGTCAAATAGCGCCTGAACCTTCGTTCTGGGGCGGGCGGCGAAAGGGGGGCGGACGTTTTCCTCCTCGCTTGGGTGAAGAGAGAGAGTGTGTGTGTGGGTGGGTGGGTGTGTGTGTGCGCAGGCGAACCACAAGGACAGCCAGACGAGACGGGACTGGACGTCGACGATGGCGATGGAGACGAACAAGAAACAAAGGGGACCCGAGTCATCAGAAACCTGGATCACAGAGGGAAATGGCAATGGCGAGGGGGGATTTGGTTGGTGAAGGAGTAGGAGAGGATTGCCGCGATTGACAGATATCGCGCCCAGCTCCTTGCAAGTTTCGCAAAGTCTCCTAGTCTCTGGTGGGCGGACCCGGGGGCTACCCCTCTTTTTGGATATGGTACCCACCTTTATGGCCGGCACCCCCCTTGTTTCCTTCCCTTCGATCTCGTCTCGTGGAAAAGAAATGGAAGGCAGCGTTAATTCTCTGGGAAGCCACGGGGTACGTCGGTTGACGAATGGGAGACGCCTACCACGTGTGGAAGAATGCCTCAGGGAAGGAGCTGTGTGTATCTACGAAAAGGGGAGAAGGGAAGGGGGGCTCAAATCACCTGCTCCAGAAACAGGTGGCCGCTCCGGTTGATCAAATTGCAAAAGCCCGATTCTGTTGGATGGCCGATCGGTGACAATGATTACATATTGAACGCTGAGATGGGGCTCTTCAGGGGTTCTGCCCAGGCTCCCCTGGAGCAACGTGAGAGAGCTCCCTGCGCGCACTACTTTTTAGCTCCTGTTCATCGCGAACTGCTTATGGTCGATTGCTTACCTGCAAGGTACCTAACCTTACCTTGAGAACTACCTAGGGTAGGCAGTGTAGCGTAGCCGTACGTGAACTTGATATGGTTCTACCTACATGGTGTAATCTGTAATTACTGCGGTAGACAGGCAAGAGCGACGAGTTTCCTCCTAAGCGTTTGTGCCACGGCGATGGTAGATCCGAAACAAGATGCGAGAGACTGATCAACAGCAGAGTTTCCCTCCTCTGCACATCAGATAATGAGAGGAACTTTGGGTACGGCAGCACCGAACCGTCATCGTCACCCGAGGTTTGACGTCAAGCCGGCCAATTTTTAGAGGAAGCGCCATCAGCTTGCCGTTGGGTTGGCGCCTGAAGAGTCTTGGCTCCTCGGAGACAGCACCAGTCATTGGCCTCTGGTCTCGACTCAAAGCCAATGAAAGGGGGCTTGTTTATATTGTTCGAGGCCACTGGAGTTTCTAGCTGGGGGTTCCGCGACACCAACACGACCCTTTCGATACCAACCATGTGGACGGACCAATGTTCTACTTCGTATTAGTTGAGAGGTTGAGTTGAGAGCGCTGCCTGCCTCAACACATCGTCTCCTCGTGAACTCATGCCACTCTTATATCTCTGACACTATCCAAGGTAACTCGGAGTAGGAGGAGTTCGGTCCCTTCCCACAGGACACATACGTCATCATCATTGTCGCCTTTCAACGGCCACTGAGTTAAGGTACCCTGTACCGCGTACGTACCCCCGGCGGAACGTCTGCGAGCGAATGCCAACCACCGACATTGGAACTGAAGTCTGCACGGACCACCATGTCACCCGCTGCCCATCCACACATGGCACCCACCTCTGGTGCTGCCATCCACATTCAACCATCCACCGTCCACAGTCCAAACATCCACACCCCTTCGCAGCATTCAGATACCAGCATTTGACTAGCCTGCACTGCACCTTGCCCGCCTGCCGGGTCTTCACCACCCAATCCAGCTTGTCCTCCTTTCCTATCCGTGCCAGCCTCCTCTGAACCCGTCGTCCATCTATGCCCATCCATTCAGTAGTATCCTGGTGCAGTGCTTACCAAGAGACCGAGGTAGGTTCGCACGTACCTACCTGCATTTTGTACTGTATCTAGACATGTACCTATACCGCTTACCTAGCTAGGTACCTAGGTAAGAGAGGTAAGTACTCCGTACACAGCACCTTACGGCCTGGTGGTGTACATAGTCTCATCCTCGTCGCCTCACATTGCATGCCCACCTACCTGCTTGTATCTGTACCTTCCGCCCGCTCCATCACGTCCTGGTCTCGCAACCGCTGGACACCTTGCTGCACTGTATGCTCATTGGCATATCTACTCACCAAGCTCCCACTGTCCGGACCAGTACGCTTCCAATTGGGGCAGCAGGCACACAAGGTCAAGCGCGTCGACGCCGAAACTGTTGCAGCCAGGAGCTCCTTGCTGCCCGTGACGCACTGCACTGCACCTCAGCGCATGGCATCGCATTGCATCGCAGGCCAGACCGCAGGCCGGTACGTGCCATCCCCCTTCTCGCCTCTGAGGTACTGAGGTACGTTACCAAGGCGGTCTCCCAATCCCATGCCGCGTGTTTAGGTACATTGGCCGCCCATACAGAGTACATTGCCTTGCCTTGCGTCGCCTGCAACCGTACCCGTATGCTCTGTATCGTACCGTACTGCATCGGATCCTCTTTTCCTCTCTCTCTCTCCCCTCTCCCTTGCTCTCTCGCGTCGTCCAACCATCCACCGCCATCTCCTCTTCGTGCCCGTCCACCACTCTTGAAGCGGCGTCCGTTCCCGATTTGCTTCCACCGCCCTGCCACCGCACTGCCCGAGTTTTCTGCCTTTGTTTGATCACAAACTCCAGATCCTCTCTTCTTCAATAACAAGATTGCCGTGGTTGGGCGCTTTCAATCAGCACATCCCGATACCGAATTCTTTCGCCGTTCCATACGCAGATCGTACCTATCCTGGTGAGTGTGTGTTGTGCCCTGTCCTGTACTGTCGTCCTCTACTACCTCCCACCACTTCGACACACCACCCACCCCCATCCTGTCGGCATCCCCTTGCCCTACCCTGTCCGCCTGTCCGTCTCTCTGTCTCTCTGTGCGTCCCTTTGGCCTGATCATACTGTTTGTACGGATACCTACCTATCATACCTACAACGAGGTACCTCTCCTTGCCTTGCCGTACCTGTGCTTTCCCTGCACCTCACAACGACTCTACCGTTCTCTCTGCGACTCTAAACCGCCTCTGCCCTGCCCACCCTGACCCCCGACCCCTCCACTTCCCTTCCCTCAGGTTTCCCAATTGCCCCCATCCCCACTTTGCCTGAGAAGAAGGTTAGATATACAGGGTACCGTTATCACCCTTCCAGCTTCACCTCCTGCGGCACTAATCCCTTCCGCTGTGTCAAAACATTTCTGACCTCGACTCTTTATGCAGCCACAGGAGCCCACCAGAGCTTAGACTACGCAACTGTCTTTTGCTACTGCTGCGCAGTGTGTCTGCTTCATTTTCCACCACTCCAACTCTGCTCTACCACCTGTTTGTACCTGACCTCAACCTATTGCTCTGTTCTACCCGACCTGACCTTGCTGTCAAACAGATACACAGAAACCAATCGTCTCTCCGACCGCTCCTGCCTTGTCTCGTCTGCTCTTGCTACCTGAATATTGTCATCGCTCGGTCTGTTCGACACAACACGGCACGCCACGACTGCCAGGCCACTCGCCTCGTACAATCATACTATACTGTATACCGAAGCACTCTACGCTGCCATCCGTAATTGCGAGTCCCTAGGACTACTAAGCATCTCCGAGCGATCGCCGCCAGAGAACCGCTTGCCGTTTTCCCCTGTTCTTCCAGCCACTCAGCAACCTTGCGTCGCACTTGATCTCCCAGACTCCCCTCTCGGATCGATAACCAATCCGACGCCGCCTCTCTTAACCCGCGAACTCTATTCGCGCTAACAACTGTTGTGGAATCCAACCTCACGTCGCCATCTCAAAATACTACAGAAATGGCTCAACCAGGAGTCCAGTCCCTGAAGGTGCGTCGCGCCGGCCGTCGCTATCGACCGACTTGGGTGGAATGGAGCACAAATGCTAACCGGCTTCATCTCGCAGTGTGTGGTGACAGGTGACGGTGCTGTCGGAAAGGTAAGCCCTCCTTCAAAACGATGTCCTTCTATGCCTGTGACTGACGTTTCTTACAGACATGCTTGCTGATTTCCTATACAACGAACGCCTTCCCTGGCGAGTACATCCCTACTGTGTAAGTACTGGAACCAGTGTCCGCAAATCTTGTTAGGCCAGGTCTGACCAGCTTCTAGCTTCGACAACTACTCGGCGAGTGTGATGGTCGACGGAAAGCCAATTAGTTTGGGATTGTGGGATACTGCTGGTCAGGAGGATTACGACAGACTGCGACCTCTTTCTTACCCCCAGACCGACGTCTTCCTCATTTGCTTCTCTATTGTCAGCCCGCCATCATTTGACAACGTCAAGGCCAAGGTATGCCGACCTGCAGTCTCACCACGCGGAAATCAGCACTAACGATGCGCAGTGGTACCCCGAGATCGATCACCATGCACCAAACATTCCCATCATTCTCGTCGGTACCAAGCTCGATTTGAGAGAGGACCCCAACACCCTCGAGTCGCTCCGCCAAAAGCGTATGGAGCCTGTCTCGTACGACCAGGCCCTGATTTGTGCCAAGGAGATCAGGGCGCATAAGTACCTCGAATGCTCCGCTCTCACACAGAGGAATCTCAAGAGCGTTTTTGACGAGGCCATTCGGTAAGATTGACGCCATGGCTAGGAGAATTCAGCTGACAAGCCTCTAGCGCCGTCTTGAACCCCCGACCTGTCGTCCAGCAGAAGAAGAAGTCCAAGTGCACGATTTTGTAAACGCGTTCAAGTGATCTTCAGCGTTGCAGGTTAATATTGGAAATGGTGTAAAGAGGTGGATTACACAACCAGTTCTTCGCTACCTGTCCGTTAAGACTGGACCATGTTGCACGTCTCTGTGCCTTGCGCTTATTTCAAAGAACGACACTACTTTCGGAGGCACACTGCAGAGAGCTCAGCTCAGCTCATCCTGCGAAGATCGCAACGACCCCAACTATTCGATTTCGCTTACCTCCCTTGCCTGGCCTTGTTACAGACATGGCTATGTATCACAGATACGTTGCGGCGGTGTGACGAATGGAATATGCTTTGTTGTCGCTTCTCTCTTTCTTTCGCCTGGGAAAAGACTGAATATGACAACCGCAAGGGGGAGAATGGACGTTGGTAGCAGGCAAGCTTTGCATCTCATTACACAAGGATATCCCAAGTTTTCTGTAGATAGTACACACTCTCACAAAGACACTACTTTTTTTTTTTCCACGGAGGAAACTAGACAGTAGGCTAGGAAGGGATACGAGCTTCGCCTTGAGAATTTACTTTTACTGCAAATATCCCTGGGTATCTAACATGAGACCTGGTGCTGGTCCGTCCAGTGAGACTGCATAGCCCGTCTATACCACAACTCCTGGTGTATCCAATATTGAACAAGCCCAAGTCGAGCCCTGACCCGAAGTTCGACCGCAAATCTCCGTGGAATACAAGGCAGAATCCCCACCGTCTACTGATACATCATGGCCAGGCGGCTCGGGTGGATGCTGTCCTGCTGGGAATTCACCCCGCCCTGGGCCGCCCGCTGCTTCTTGTAGTCCTCCTCCTTCTGCAAGCGCTTGGCGCGGTTCTCGTTGAGGTGGGCGTTGCGTTCCTTGATCTTCTCCTTGCGGAACTTGCTCTTGCCGCCGCCGCCAGCACTGAATAGGTTCGTTAGCATGTGCTTTTTATTGTAGTACGAAGGTTTGAGAGGTGAAGAAAGAGGAGTGTTTTTGAATAGAGAGTCTGGCAGGGGGCTAATGAGACGGGGGCACGCACGAAAGCTCGAGGTTGATGCGGCGCGCGGGCGATAGGCCGTCGTCAAACTCGGTGTGGTGCATCTTGTCGAGGCAGGTGCGCATGTTGGAGCCGTTGGAGAACTCGAGGAAGGCAATGCCGCGGCAGATGTTGGGGTTGCCGTCCTTGTGGAGGCAGCGGACGGCAGTTGGCTTGTAGGCGGCGAAGTGCGCCATGATGGACTCCTTGTTGGCCGTGTAGGGGAGGTTACCTGGGCACCATCAATCGCGTCAGTACTAGGAGGAGGGGGGGAAATTCTCTCATCTGGGCTTGCGGGAGGTTGGGGGGAAGCGACGAGGACGGTCTCGAAGCAATTTTGAATCCTAGGCCGGAGCAGGGAAGGGGGAGGGACAGCATGGCTTACCGACGAAGACAATGTACTTCTCCCTCTTTGCTCCCTCGGCTGGGGTCTCTTCCTCGCCGCCGGCTGCCGCAGCGGGTTCGACAGCCTCGGCGGTAGGCTCGTCTTTGGACTTTTTCGACTTCTTAGACTTCTTTTCCGACTTGGCGGGCTTCTCTTCGGCGGCGACGGCAGCGGCAGCGGCGTCGCCGTTGGCCTCCTTTTCCTTCTTGTCTTTCTTTTCCTTCTTCTCCTTCTTCTCCTTTTTCTCCTTCTTTTCTGTCTTGTCTTCGTCGTCCGCGGCGGCGGGCTTGGACTTCTTGCTCTTCTTCTCCTTCTCCTTCTTGGAGTCCTCCTTAGCGGCGGGGGGATCGACGTCCATGGCCGAGGGGTCGGCTGGGTCTTCTGTCGAGGCCTCGGCCGCTTTGCGGGCCTCCTTCTCTTTGCGCTTGCGCTCTTTCTTCTCGGCCTTGGATTCCTCGAGGGGTATGAACTCGGTCGCCGGCTCGGGATCGGCCGCCTTCTTTTCTTTCTTCTCCTTCTTCTCCTTCTTTTCGGACTTGGGCTTCTTGGTCACGGCGTCGTCCGTGGAGGCGGCGGTGGCCTCGGCGCGCTTGCGCTTCTTGGAAGAGAGCTCTGCGGAGGCCATTTTTGCGGCTTGGAGGTACAAGAGAGAGGAGGGTGAAGAAGAAGAGTCGGCAAAGAAGAATAGTTGTGGCTGCGAGAATTGATTGTTCTGCTGGGAGAAGGGAAGAGACTTGAGGAACTGGGTATCGGAAACCCGATCGCACTTCCCAATTAAGGCTGTGGAGCAAAAAGACGCCCGACCAAAATATTTCAGACTTGTTGCCCAGGAACTGGTAGGCTTTGCTCCTATCGCAGGAAAAAAAGTTTCGGTGTGGGGAGATAAGGGAGTTTTGAAAATTTTAGTGGGGGCGCCTCTCGCTGGCACGGAGTCTGCACCGACCGACTCTGGCTTAGAAGAGGACGGCGGACTGGACGGCACGTAATAGTGTGCGACGGCCAGTTCGGCAGCCTGGTGGGGCGACTGACCGGGTCGGCACCACGGAGATGGCCAGCGGGCATCAGATCTAGGATGTGGCTTTCCATGTGGTTGCACTGCATATCGTGGATTTTTCTTTTATTTCAGTCAGCATCAGGGTATGTATGTATTTCAACTTGAGGTAGTGGTGTTACCTTACCTAGCGTTGCTGAAGCTGTTTGAGCTCCAATACCACATCTACACGGCGTTAGAGATATTCTGAGCAAATTAGCACGGGAGCAAAGCAATTAAGCACTGGCAGAGGCCCTATATGATTTAGTTCCCTTATCATATCAATATTTACATTATTAAATTATCAAGTGACTGGACTTTGTATATTTTAGATGTCTACGTGCATGACGGAAACGCAGTTCCAGATTGAGGAACCACACGACACCTTTATGAAGGTAATCAGGACGCAGACATCTATCTGACCGACAGAAAAGTACGTAGCAGCACCTTAAAATTAAGCGAGTTATGATTTAAAGATCTTTCAGCATCTCTAGAGACACAGAAATGATCCTCATGATGGGCAACCAGAAGCTGATGTGCGGGTGAGAGCCCATGAGCAGATGTCCAGGGAAAGAGCTGGATTTCTAGCGCTGGTTCCAGCGGATGCTTCAGCGCACTGTGCGCGCTGCAGTGGTCAATCTCAGCAGTACCGCTCTGCCAGCCCAGGCGCAATCTCGGTGGTTCCGCCGGCGATGCACAGTGCGAAACTGACTTTTCCTCACGAGCTGAAATTTTCATGGGCGGCAAGCTCACGTTCAACAACACCAATCCTCACCCTCGCCGATACCCATTTATCCGACTTGTCGCTCAACGTCACACAACCTGACAGCGCTTCTTCACCAGAGACATCGACTAAAAAGGCCAGAAACTGTATCACATCCACAATGTCCAACCCCAAGAAGAGATCGGCGCCGAGCCAGGACGGCGAGGGCCAGAAGAAGAAGAAGAAGAAGTCGGCGTACCACGTCGACGAGACGCTCCTGAACAGCGAGCTGGGCATCAACGAAGCTTTCGCCGTCATGGACAACCAGCTACTCGCCGACTACACCGCGCAGAAGATTGCCCGGTTCGGCACGGATCTAAGCCCCGTAGAGGTGTCCGACCTGTCCATCTCAGGTGAGTTCTCATCCATCTCCGTTTGCCTCTGACATTAGGGGCTGTAGGAAACTCTCTGATGAGAGGCTGGATGGCACTAGCCCAGTATCGGTGAAACATGGCTAACAGACGACGGCAGCAAACTCCATCAAGGACACAACGTCTTGGACGGAACCCAGAGCCCTAGAAAAACTGCCCGAGTTCCTGGAAAAGTTCGCCGACAAGCCCGAAAGTCTGAGCGCGGCGCCCAAGAAGAAGGGCACTCCGCACACCATCATCGTCGCCGGGGCCGGACTGCGGGCGGCGGACATCGTGCGCGCCGTGAGGAAGTTTCAGACTAAGAAGAACACCGTTTCGAAGCTTGTAAGTCAGCGCCTCTCGCCTCCCGGTTGTTCTACGCATCGACAAGCGCCATGTTGTTCCTTTTGGGAGTTTTTCTCCCCATTCTTGTTTCGGGGATGAGATCTAGTCTAACAGAGGTTTGCAGTTCGCAAAGCACATGAAGGTGGATGAGCAGGTCAAGTTCTTGCAGAACACGCGGACAGGCATCGCAGTCGGCACGCCGGCGAGGCTTATGGAGTTGGCCGAGAATGGTGAGTATCGCTGCCCTCCTTGTTTCCTCTTTACTACAAGAGGCAACCCCCACCCCCTTACTTAGCTAGTAGAGAGGCTGACGGACGAGGGGGGGAAAGGGGCATTATCACTGGAGAAGCTGCAACGCATCGTGGTGGACGCGTCGCACATTGACCAGAAGAAGCGCGGCGTCATGGACATGAAGGACACGATGCTGCCGCTCGCGAGGTGGCTGACGCGGCAGGAGTTCAAGGAACGGTATGTGGACGATAAGAAGCATTTGGACCTACTATTCTACTAGGTGGGGAGGCGTGGAGAAGTTGTCTAAAGCACGAAGAAGAGAGAACCTACGGGCAGAGAGTCTCATTGACTGGAAGGGGCGGAGGTGCGAGCAGCGAGCAGCGAGCAGCGAACAATCCGACTGCATAGCGCGGCTTTGAGGTCCGCGGTTTTGAAGAGTGGGGGGATGAGCTCGGAAAGTAATGCACAGAAACATGATGCGAGCCCATACCAGTAGTTTCCTGGTCGTCTTATGAAAGTGCTTGGCTAGGCGCCAGGGCAAATTGAAGTCCACGGGGGAAGCCGCTTTCGGTTCAAATGCCGCTCCATTTCTCTTAACTTGAAAAGCCTTTGCTATTGTGATTGAGACACCGATGACCATTGTATCTCTTGGCGGCATGGCAGATCATCGTCGGCGATGGGTGACCGTTCAATGCGCTTGCACCGGGACGCAGAGGAGATGTTTGGCTTGGGAGATATGCTCCCACGGCATCATCCGTCAAGGTTTCCTATTGTTAAGCTAAAGGGCCAGTGGTGGATGACAGCTTTCTTGCGCACATGGGCGCGCGAGGGAGCCGCGCCATGAAGTATGAGAACAGGGGCCATGCATGCAACCGTCACTTAGGGTAACCACCAATGACGACGACGGCGAGGCGGCGGGTATGTATATCAGGTCCCGACATCACGACGGTGCTCAGCGGTCCTGGAGCATTTCGGAGGAGCCCATATCTCGAGGGCAGGGGTTGCGTGGTCGGAGCCGACGCCGGGTCGATCGGGGGTGTCTTACTTATCCAACCCCTGGCCTGGCATCTCGTTGATCCGGCACCTTAATATTAAATCGAATCCGGACGAACGTGGGCCGTGGGGACGTCTGAGGAGCCCCAATGCAATAGCAGACTGGGGAGCAAGGGAATCGGGGCCGAAGATTCCGCATGAAGGGGAGACGGCCATTTGGAGGCTTGCTGCAGGGTGCGTGACGATTCCCAGATCTGCGGTTACACTGGTGAAGGAGGTGAATGCTTCCATTCGGCCGGGCGATGTGAGATGACAGGCCGGGCGCGGAACAGGGGACGGGGCCGGGGACTGGCGTGACACACTTTGCCCAAGATCGACGTCGAGGGGTCAGTTTGGGAGCGATAAGAGGGGCCCGGCGTGTGTCGGTGGACTCACAAGCTTGTGGTGTTCGAGAAGAGAGGGTATTGGGAACCGGCCGAGGTTGTTACTGGTCAACTTGGTGGTATCTTGCCGGGTTGCATGAGATGGGAGGATTTGTAGGAGTTGTTGCCGTGGACTGAGTCACAGCATCGGCGGGCGTTAATAAACGAGTGGCATCAAGGTAATGCAGGTAAAGTAGAAACCGGACGATAGACGTTGAACGTTGGTACGAAGAGTCTGGGACGACTCCCACCCACCAGGGAGACTTTGGTTCGATGCATACTTTGGAGACACCTTGCGATAGTGGTGCATTTATAATAGAGATGATCGACTCGGACTATAAAGGACGAGATGGAAAATCAAAATTAAAATCGGGGGCCCCTTGAGACGCTTGAGACAGGCGTATGTATCCACGGGTTTCGCGATTCACCCGAAGCATCCGAATTCAACTATGGGGAGCGAGCGTGGCCGTCAGGCCTTGGCCCTTTCCCATTTGCCCCCTCTCTTGGATTGTTGGCGATGCCACCTGGTCTTAGAGGCAACTGCACCGTTGCGGTTGTGTTCCGTGCGTCGGTTCGTGGTGATCTGCTGGATGGGGTGCTTCAGGTTGGCACTCGATCCGGGGGAGATGCACGCATCAAGTCTCAAGCGGAAATCTACGGTCCGGATACCACCTCTATTTAGATACAGCCTCTTCGGCCGACGCGATGCGGGTTGGGTTCGTCGAGTGGCCATTTCTTCAGCGAAGACAGTGCTCGTCCTGGACTGGAGAGGGGGAGCTAGGCTCCAAGAGGATTACTTCGCAGTACTGCTAATTACGTAGCCGTCTGCCGATGATAGACGTGGCGGTGGTGTGAGCTCTGTGTATTTCGAGGGCCGCCGTGCTTTGCCCCGGTTTATTCGTTTTAGCCCGAATTGTGGGGGCGGCCGAGGCCGGCTGCAAGAGTGACTGACTGGCCTGACTGGCGCGGTGGAGGGACGTTGATTCGACCTGATTGAACTAAATGCTGGCCTCTGTTGGAGTTTTCTCTACTCAGAACACTGAGACCAATTGTCCGGGCATGGCCAGCAGTAGGTAACGTAAAAGAATAAACAAGATTCAAAATTAAAATAAAAAAATAAAATAAAAAAAAGTAGCCGTGACGAACCTGACTGGCCCTTTTGCCTTACGATTGACATGCTGCTGTCGCCCACAATTACGCGTCGTGAAGGCGCATAGCAGCAGTCGTCACCTCTTGCTGTAATACCGTATTGCTCTCACCTTGTAGTCATTGGCCGTGCTCGCTCGTCTCTTCAGGTCTTACCAGCCCCCCCCTCGTCTAGGATGTTCAACTGCGCCTGGCCAAGACTACGCGGCCGGCCCGCATTCTTTGCCTTGCCTTGCCTGACGTGTCTCTCTGTCTGTACGCTAATGCGCACTGCCATTCGGTAGTCTCGTCCCAACATCCCAGCCAAGACATTCCATAGCCTGTTCTTGTCGTTTTCCAGATCAACTCTCTTTTTCTTTTTCTTTTCTTTTTTCTTATTTCTTTGGTACAGCTTCCTTCTTCAGCGCCTTCACGTCCTGCCCCGTCGAGTTGACCGACCATCACAGTCCGTCCGACCTCGACGCCATCAACGGTCCATGACCCTGACGTACCTACATATGGTAGTACATAGTACAGTACATCAACCCCGGTCCGCCATCGTCGCTTTCCCCCACGGTCTTCCCCCCTCTTGGTGTCGATTGTCCCACGTTATTCCGTCCTCCGTGTGCTCCCACGGCCGGTCACCAGACCTGAGCTCTGCAGTGTATTCGCACAGCGCACCACCATCCCACGTCCGCCCGTGTATCCAAGGCCACATTTCCCACCCGCGCAACACCCAATCGCTTACCTCGCCGATCAACCCGTCATATCGGACGACCTGTTCGTCCACCAACTCATTCAAGCCATCCTCGAGCATCTCTCTCGCATGAATCTCCTCCGTTTCACCCCTTGTCTCTCCACCTAACCACGCCCCCTCCAAGCTGGTAACTCGAATCCGTTCGTTCACCCGTCTTGCACCCAAACAAAGTTCACGCCCTCAGCTCCAAACGACGCCTGCCCTGGCCGCTTGCTTCCTTGGCCCGTCCCATCCCCGAAAGTTGGCTGCCGCCGTCTGAGCTGGAGCCTCCCATCTCGTGCTACCTACTCGAGCCCTTTTGCGCCGGGTCGCCTGACTCTCCTTGACCTCTCAAAATGGCCGACCTCCGCTCCTCCCCCTCCGAGGACGACAACTTGCCCTCCCCCAACGAACAGCGCGACAGGACGAGCAGCATGTCACTAGGAACCACGGAAATAACAACAACACCTCCCTCCCAGAATGGGGGGGTCACTACGTCCAACGGCGACGCGCCCGCCGGTGCCGAGACAGCTTCGGCGCCTACTTCCGAGGTCTCGCGCCAGGTACAGGATGTACTGTCATCAGACGTAAGGCCGTCGCCTGCTTGTCCCTAAACTCTTCCGAATACGCTGACAATGGCCCAGATCGGAGTCGCAACCATGCTGAACCAGCTCAAGGCGAGCATCGCCTCTGCCAAGGTGAGCGGCCATTGCTCCTACGGCCCCGCGTCCACAGCTGCTGACGGAACTATAGGAATTCGCCCTCTTCCTCAAGAAGCGATCGCACATCGAAGAGAGCCATTCCTCCTCCCTCAAGAAGCTGTCCCGCATCAGCCAGGAGACGATGCACCAGCCCGATCACCGACAAGGCACCTTCGCCCAGGCCTACAGCGAAATGATGTATATCCACGAGCGCATGGCCGAGAACGGCTCCCAGTTCGCCCAATCACTACAGATGATGCACGACGACCTCCTCGAGCTCGCCGCCGTCGCGGAGCGCAGTAGAAAAGGGTGGAAGGCGAACGGCCTGGCGGCGGAGCAGAGAGTGGCCGAGCTAGAGGCCGCGATGCGCAAATCCAAGGCCAAGTACGACAGTCTGGCAGAGGAATACGACCGCGCGCGCACCGGCGACACCAGCAGGAACAGCGGCAAGATGTTCAGTCTCAAGTCCAAGTCGGGACCCCAACACGAGGAGGATCTTTTGCGCAAGGCCCAGGCCGCCGATCAAGACTACCAATCCAAGGTGCAGACGCTTCAGAGCGAGAAGGCGGAGCTGATTGCGAGGACAAGACCGGAGGCCATTTCCGCTCTTCAGGATTTGGTCAAGGAAACGGATTCGGGCCTGGCGCTTCAGATGCAGAAGTTTGGTAGGTCGAGTGTCGTCGTCTTACGGGCCTGACAGAGCTAACGCAACCGCAGCGTCCTTCAATGAGAAGCTGCTCCTAAGCAACGGTCTTAGCATTAGCCCAATCAAGGGGCACGGCTCGGGGGGGTCGCGCAGTCTTCGCGAGGCCGTCATGGCCATCAACAACGAAAAGGACCTCCACGATTACCTCGTCTCTCACTACTCAAGGGTGGCAAACAACAATGGCGAAGTCAAGTACGAAAAGAACCCGATTCTGGCCACCGCCCGCCACCCGGCAATGGGCCATCAGTCCAATGCGTCAGTTTCGAACGTGCTGCAGAATTCGGGGCCGCCACCTGGTCAGGGTCAACATCAGCAGCAACAACAACAACGAGAGATGCCGCCTCCTGCTAGACCAGGGGGTCCTCAACAGCCCGTCGAGCCTCTTCGGGATTTTGCGCCGCCGAACATGCCCGTACCGCAACTGCAACGACCGTCGTCTCAACATCAACATCAGACCCCTCAGTCGCAACACGGCCGCAGCTTCAGCGCCAATAATATGGTTAACCAGCCTAGCCAGCAACAGCAGTTCCAGTCAAACCGCAACTCGGGCGTGGTGACGTCGAAATACAATGGAGGCGCCATGGCATCGCAAGGACC